TTGCAGGGACTTCCTTTTCCAATCTGACCTGCAGCCTTAGACTTCTTCTTCTTCGGCTGAACTCACTCCCATATCACTGTCTTAGCATCCATCCTTCTACCCGACTGAAGTATGGACCGACACTGAGTACATCAACCAATCAACCAACCTCATCTTCTGTTCCCAGATGCTGCATACACCCGTCCCATATCGGACGGCGTTCCTGGCGGCGTCCCTGCCGTTCCTGTTCCTGTTCCTGACGGCATGCACGGAAAGACTCTGCACTGCCTCGATTAAAATGCCTGCTGGCTGCATGGACCGCCTCGCGACGCGGTGGCAATAAACTCTTTTCAATTTGACGCAACTCGGACCCGGGGAGAGGGGGGGAAAAAACATCGGATGTCATTTTCTGCCCACTGACTTTGGTGGTCTGCTTCACCATCATTTCGGGACCTGCCCTGTTCCCGCCATGATCATCAGCCGCGGGCCGCGGGCCACTCTCGAGGCTTGACTAGCTTCAGCCATCATCACTCCAGACGCCTGCCTTCTGTGCGCGCTCTCTCAATTGATGGACCGAAAGCCCAGACGGCCTCCCGCCAACCCGCACCGCGTCGTCTGCCAGACGTGTCAGGGTTGATGCTTGGTTGTCAACATGCTCTGCGACCAACCAGCCGGCCATTCCAGATTCTTGTCAGATCAGATCAACCCTCGTCGACCAAGAACCGCACCCGACTCGACTTGGCGGGGTCGTTCGTGTCGGGTGACGCAGTCAGCATTCAACGACCTTCCTGCCGGATTTCGATCCACATGCTCACAAAGTGGAATGCAAATGGCCTTCAAACGAAAAAAAAAACGCGCCCCGTCGACTCGTTCGTCAACCCAAACAGAACACCGCGATATGGGGTCCACGCGCGCGGCCAGCGAAATCCGAGAAACGACACCGAGAGAGCCGTGCTAGCGGCGGCTGCGTCATGCCTGGCCAGCGCGATGTCATGAAAGCCATAGACTAGAGTTCAAAGCGCGACGCGGGGTCGCTGACTGGTGCCTACGACCGTGTGATGGACGGCGGAAGTGACCATTCGGATGCCAAGTCGCCCTCCATCGACGCCCAATGGTGGGATGGCACTTCATGGCAAACGTCGCGATGGCCTGAAAGTCTCGACGTTGGGGGCGGCAGACGGAGGCGCCTCGGGCTCTGTTGAAGGCCTGGCAGCCGTTCTCAATGGCCCGGCATTAACCCCATCACACATCCTTTGTGTGTTTCGAGTTTCTGTACAACCGCCCACAAAACGAACCAGTCGGGCATCCAGCCTGCATCACCATCTGTATGTGGGTTGGTGATGGCGATGGTGATGGCGCATCGCATTGGATACAACCCCAATATGCATCGACATTATTCGAGCACATGCACATGCTCGCCGCCTCCAAGGAATTAGTTGTGCCCTGGCACCGGAGCCATTGGAGCACTGGACCGCCGGCTTGTGGCCCCTCGCATACCTATGGCATCCCACACATGGAATTCACAAGGGCTTATCCGTACACAACCAGGCTTGATTGCTATTGGGAGAGACAACAAGGCGCATAACGGGGGCATGTGGGTGTGCGGCCTCCCAGAGCCAATTTTCACAATTTATCCAACACTCTCGGACGAATTAACCGTCGACTGCTGCGGCTTTTTATTCTTAGCACAGAAAGTCGGGTCTTAAGGTCTTCACTAATTATGTGCCTGGCCCTGACGACATCGGATGGGCGAGCCACACACGGCTTCTCCAGAGTCGAGGTTTCCAAGTCCGCTGTCTCCTCACCTTGATGGCAACTCACAAGCTTCGTTCGTCTCTGCGTTGCGGCTCTGGCATGAATTTGACCCGCTGGCCAACCCTGGCCGTCATCGTCAATGCTGCTTGAGCAGTCCATCCCGTCATCTGGCGCCATGTGCTCCGCGTTTCGACCGCCGAGAACCAGCTTTGCTTGCTTGTCTGGAGCATCAAACGCGCACAGCTCTGTTCAGCTCAACTCAGCCGCTCCGAAGCATGAAGATGGGTTACGAATGCGCCCACGAGCCCACGACGTCGAAACCCGCCGGGCTGGGGCTTGAAGAGCAGCCGCCGTGACCACGGCGACGAGCGGCAGATGGCGGCTGGCTGGCGACGAGAACAAGGCAGACCCTTCTCGTTGCCGCTGATACTGCTCGTTGCTATCATGATTTGCCGCTGTTACGACTTTCCAGCTAGACTCGTGATCAGCGACCAGCGGCGCGACGCCGCCGCCCAAAGAATCGTTGGTTTGGTACCTTGCATCCGCGCCTCCGTCGCGTCGCGGGTGTGCCAGTACAGCAAGCGATACGACTGGTGTGCAGCACTGCAGCACGAGTTTGTGTCTGCATGTGTGACGGTCGATAGAGAACAAGTCCAGCGAATGGCGGTGCCTGAACCGGCGGTCGGACACGCGCCGGACGGCGAGTACGAAAGGAAGAAACCATTTGTGCAAGTTGTGTGGACGTCGGCTAATCCATCGACACCCACTATCCACTTGTGCCTTGATCTACCTGTCCTATCAACAAGCACACAACCCTCGGGTTTATGCAGCTCTCTGAGTTACCTCGACGCTCTCACTGATCAGCGAAGACTTTCGGGCCTGTCTCATCTCGTATGGCACATTGTATGGATACTTGGTGGTGGCCCGTGAAAAACTTCCCACTCTGTGCCTGGCTAAATTATTGTACCCATCCCCAAGGAGTACTTTCTGCCTCGCAGCGCGCAACGACAACCGGACAGAGTGCGGATACCACCACAAAAGCCTTGATCTATTCATATTGAGGAAACGTCACCGTCGCTGGGTACGACGGTCTCATGCACACAAAAAGCGACGATATGCAATAGTTATGTATAGTGTTGCTCCGTGCCCAGGCCCGGGTCAGGGACACAACGCCCGCTCGCGGCCGCCGTCAACGCCTTCTGCTCGCGTTGGTTCCGTTGCTGTAGCTGTTGAGGAGCAGCATGGCGGCCGGTAAGGATTCTCCAGCTCAGCTCCGAAGGTTGGTTGATGGAGCTGACCGAGAGACGGGTGCCGCGATACGGGACTGGGACTGGGATTGGGATTGCTCTTTCTGCAGAAGAAATGGCTTTCGCCTCTAAAACGCAATGGTCTACCGGTGTCAAGAGCGGCGTGGTCATGCAAGGTGTCGTATGTGTGCGTCTGCTCCTAGTCAGCCAGACAAGCAAAGTAGTCTATTCCGTACGAGACGGTACGGGAATCCTTCCAGACATGGTCATGGGCGGCGGCGTGGAAGGGCCTCCAACCCGCAGCAGCAGCAGCACCAGCAGCAGAAGCAGCATTGAGAAGTTGAGCAGCTGGAGGGGACGTGTGGTCGTGGACGTCAGGCACAGAGTGCAGACGGAGGAGAATGGCTTGGCACGCACAGGGACCAGCAAGCTGTCAGGTACCCTTCAGACTGCGGTACTTCCGGGACGAGTGATGAACAGTCCCGCTCGTCTCGTCTCGTCCGTCCTCCCACTCCCACTGTCCACTGCCCACTGCCCACTGCCCACTGCCCAAAAGTTGCCCGTCCAGATTTAGAATTGGCCTGATGGCTGCGCCATCCTCCTCGTCCCAGCCCACCACCCACACGCTTGCGCAGTCAGTCTGTACTTCTAACTTCGCACGCGCACACACCACTTACCACATACCACATATCTTAATTGACGGTACGCAGTAGTCCCAGAGCCCACTCGTCTGATGTTTCCGCTTGCCTCGAGAACCAGACAGACATGCAGAGAGTGAACCCGAACCTGAACCTGAGAGAGACGTACAGCAGGGATATGGTCTTGTCGTCGTCTCGTCCGCTGGTGTCCCTGTTCCTGATCCGTCGTGACCGTCGCCGTCGCCGTCGTCTATCCATCCATCATCGGTGGTGCTGGCTGTCAATCACTCGACTGGTCTTCGTCTTGGGTACGGTCGAGAGGGTGTGTGTGGGTGGCATGTCCCCCTACCCCTGGTCTCCCCTCCATACCCACCCGCTAGGTACGGAAACCCATCCAGCGACCGAGAGATACGTACCGGTCCGACGAGGGATTCGGTACGTAGCGTCGTAGCTTGGATTCAGTCGTCCACCCCGGTCATCCGTCTACGTACCCTTATCCACAAATACGTACCGGACCTGGCCAGCTTGTGGGTGAGACATGCCTGCGTGGAGGAGAGGGGAGACGAGGGACGTGGACGAGACGAGGATCCGTCGACTCTACACTAGCAACACTAGGATATGGACATGGTGCACTAGGGTCTGCTTGGTCTGGCTCTGGTACTCGGTGTCCCGTACCATCGGCCTATCGATGACTTTTATCTTGGGGCCAGTCGGTTGATCTTGGACTCTTTTCTACTTATCCCCCTTCATCACCCACGCTCATTTAAGACCTGCTATTCCATGATCGACACGACTGTCGCCTACGGTACGCTGTGAACTTTTCTTCTTATGACCTCTCGGTTCTTCCTTCTTTTGTGACTCGATATTTGGGAAACACTTCGACCTGCTCGAACCATCCCGTCCTTCCTTTAAGACAAACCAACCGTCCTCGAAGCCCGTAATACACCCTCAAAGCACAGTCACTCTATCACGACTCTCAAACGCCAACCGGTCACTTCGAGACGACAGACAGAAACAACTCAGGACGAGTTACATGTACAACTAAGACAACAACAACAACCCACTTTCACTCATCGAGTCAACCAACACCCAGACGGTCATTGTCCATCGAACAACCCGTCGTCCTATCCTTCAGATACAGGAAAACCGAACACACCATCCGTCATTAGGCCAACTGCCCACGATACAACTTCGAAAGAACTCGATTGTATAACAACCACACACACAAACACAAACAATACGATTAATCAGTAAAGACGGATTCGAATCCCGACAACTAACATCACAGCTCTACAAGACAACCCTGTCTGGTGCGTTTCTGGAGAAGCAACAACGACTTTTGGTAGAGCAGGGACTGATAAGAACGACCAGACGCATCAAAATGGACGCAAACATGATGGCAGCCCAAGCAATGGGACAAGCTCCCTTCCTTTACTACCGACCCGAACACAAGCCCGATGCTTCAAGGCACCGCGGCCACTTCACCCAGCAACCCACCATGCAGCAGCAGATGGCCATGTACCCCATGGTCCCGACGCTCCCCTCGACGCCCATCTACTCCAGACCTACCTCTTCTTGCTCACAGCCCATGGGTCCCACGCTGTACAGCAACGGACCCGCGACCATGACACCTGTGGCATCTCCCCAGCCCATGAGCAACAAGCCCGCCATCATGCTCGAGACGGAAATCTGCGACGCGGACGGCATGTACTACCCTTCAACGCCGCCTCTGTCCACCTCGGGCAGCGCCATCAGCAGTCCCCTCAACAGCTGCGAGCTTCTCCAGACCCCGATGAACCCCATGTTCTCCGGACTGGACGGCATTGATGGCCTGGAGAGCTTCAAGGAGACTTTGGAAGTGCCCGAGAACCTCGCTGTGGACTGGTCCAGCTGCGGATCGCCCCCGATGACGCCTGGTAAGTGATCGATCGTGTTTCCCGTTGGTGTTTGCTGCGCTGCGCTGCAATCGTATCCATCATTTCCACCCATGCTTCTATTGCGCTCGGCAAGGAAGGCGCTCCGGTCCCAGCGGCCTGGGTGTTGGTGGTGTTGGTGGTGGTGGTTGTAGCTTGCGGCGGGGCACTTCACCTGGGAGCAAATGGAACTCAGGCCGTTTTTTGGAGACTAACCTCAATTTGGCAGTCTACCTGCAAAACCAGATCCCCTCGCTTAACACCAACACTAGCGACCTCCTTTCCACAGCATCTTGCCCTTCGCTCTCACCCTCACCCTCACCGTATGCCAGGTCCGTCGCATCTGAACAGGATCTTGATTTCTGTGACCCGCGCAACCTGACCGTCGCTGCCGCCCCCAACACCTCCAACCCGACTTTGGCCCCCGAGTACTCGGCTTTCACTCTCGGTGACGAGCTCAGGGGTGAGGCCTCTAACAAGACCCCTACCTCCGCCCCTTCATCGCAGACCTTCGACTTCAACCCTGCCATTCCTCACGGTCTTCCCGCCTTCGAGGACTTGTCTGACTTGGAGTCTGAGGACGACTTTGTCAACGGCCTGGTCAACCTCGGCGACGCCTCCTCCACCGAGGTCCGCCGCCCTCGCGCCTGCACCGGCTCAAGTGTCGTCTCACTCGGCCACGCCAGCTTCATCGGCGGCGAGGAGGACTTCACCTTCGACGAGGCCGAGGCTTCAGCCGCCTGCTTCCCCAGCCCTTCCGCCTCCTGCTCCGACGCCGACTGCCACCAGGACAAGCGCCGCAGGTTCGCCAAGGAGTCCACCCCTGTCATGACATCCACCGCCGGATCCTCTCAGGCTGCCAGCAGCGAGAAGCAGTCCAACACCGCCGCCGCTTCGGACGCCAACAGCTCTTCCGACTCTGAGACGCCCTCTGCCCCTCTCCCCGCCCCCGTCAACCGCCGTGGCCGCAAGCAGTCTCTCACTGAGGACCCCTCCAAGACGTTCGTGTGCGAGCTCTGCAACCGCCGCTTCCGCCGCCAGGAGCACCTGAAGCGCCACTACCGCTCTCTCCACACCCAGGACAAGCCCTTCGAGTGCAACGAGTGTGGCAAGAAGTTCTCCCGCAGCGACAACTTGTCCCAGCACGCCAGAACACACGGCAGTGGAGCCATCATCATGGAGCTCGATGAGTCGGTTCACGCGTTCGACCACGGCATGATGGGCCACCACGAAGACTACCAGCACCTCGGCAAGGTCCTCTTTCAAGTCGCCGCCGAGATCCCCGGCAGCGCCAGCGAATTGTCTTCGGAAGAGGACAACGGCAAGAAGAAGAGGAAGCGCTCCGACTAAAGGGTCAGAGAGTGATTGATTTCTTTTCGCATTCAAGCGGTTTCACAATCGACGGCGACCCATAACCGCTTCGATTATGCCCGACACGACTATGATGACAACTTCTTTTTCCAGACCTACCCCGCTATTGTTTACGCGGAACGGTCACTTAGGGTCACACGGGGGACCTTCCACAGGGGGCCTATCACGAACCACCAGCAGATAGACCGCCTCGGGAAGGGCCACATGCGAAAAGCGCAAGCGGTTTGGGCATTCCGCCAACAGCACCTGCCTCCTCTGTATCAATATTTCCGACGCGGGGCTTGCTTGAGCCTCATCCGGGGTCTCGGCAAGGTCCCCGCCGTCGAAGGGATGTGTTGTTTCCAAGGGCTGCATGATGATCACCAAAAAGTTCAAGAACGTAAGGGCAGAGCGATTCGGATTCAGGGCAAACGGCGTGTATGGCGGACACTTTGTTTCACAACCAGATACAGCAAAGCAGCATGATTGTTTTTTGTTTGATTTTTTTTGAGAGATATGCTACGGCAAAAGCAAGGGAGGGCAACATCAGAAGGTGGGAGAGACGAGAACCAAGCTCGTTCTTTTTTGGCAGCGGCCCAAGCGTACTTTTCTCTACGCTCGTTGTAATCTCTCCAGCATGGTCGGAGGCCGGCCAGCCGTCATCGCTTTGGAACAAGGGAACTTTCTTCTGTGAGCGGCGCCAAAGCTCGCGGGCCTCGGGGCCCCGGTTTCGGGCCGTCGCCTTCATGTGTTTACTTTTTTTATACATCATTCAGGTCCGAGTTGGGTTTCTTCTCGTTCTTTCTGCTTCAGTTTCGATTTCTTGTTTGGTCGCGGATCAAGAGAGACTCAGTGTGCCGGGATATGAGGAGTGCAGGTCACACCGTCATCGTCATTGGGGAAGAAGGCCAAACAGGAAGGATTGCTATATCAGCAACCGCTTGCACATGTACACAAACACAAGACATTTTTGAACAAAAAAGACACTTTTCCGCGCTGCCAAAACAAAACATCCATACTCTCTCTCTCTCTCTGTTGTCCCTCGTGCTCATGTGACTGACATCTTACCCTTCTATGACTCGGAAATGTTTCTAGCTCATCGGTCGATTTGGGTCTGCCCAGCCTGAGGGCGCTTCCAGACATGGGTTCGTTTTGTGAGACACGGCTATAGCTTTCGTCATTGAATACTCGATTCTTTTCTTCGCCGTATCGGATGTTTTCTTGTGGTTTCTTATTCAGCCATCGTTTCTTCTTTGAATCAACGTAGCGGAGGGGCTGACTGAGCTGCCCGCGACGGGAGGAAAGTGGTAGTGTAGGTTCCTGGACTAGGACCCAACCTTAGCCGACACATCTCCCGTGCCTTGCAACGGCCGCCCGGCATCCAAGTGACGTTTGCGTTATCACATATGCCACACCGCGCCGTAGGGGCCAGTGAGTCATCTACGAATTCCCGGCGGCTGGCGCTCTTCGCTCGCCGCTCGCGGTGTCTCTTTCTCGTTTGGCCGTTTGGATCGTTTTTTTGTCTCGCTGCCGGCCGGATCGCCAGACGCCTCTTTTCGCGCCGCCGCCGCCCCTCTCGTTCCTCTCTCTCTTTTTCACTCTCCCTCTTGTGCCGGCGGTCAGCCTGCCGCGTGCTTTCAGACCCCCCCTCCCCATGCCCGCGGACTGAGGTCCGGTTGTAACGGTGTTATTCGAACTTTTCGGGGCGGGACATGGGGACGCCACTTTTTTTTGGTCTACTTCAAGAGGTAAACAGGCGAGGCGAAGGGGGCCATTACAACGCGGTCGGTACCCAGATAAAAATTCCAACGGTTCGGCATGCCCGTCCCGGACATGGGAACGGGTTGTTTTCCTCGGGGAGGGTTTTCGCTCCGCGCGGCGCGCATGATATGATGATGATTTGTTCAGGCATGCGTGCAACAGCGCAGTGCGATCGGATCGAAGGGGGGCGGAGGAGGGCGGCAACTCTTTTTTTAGAGAGCGCATGTCTCACATGTGGTTGGGTTGATGACGGAAAAAGAATCGAAATGTACGAATCAGCATCAGTCAGCAACACACAGCACAGCACAGCGCTTCAAGCGTGGAAAAAGTTTTCTGCAGTCTGTCTTGTCTTTTCCTAGGTATTCGGCTTCCCGATACGATACGAGATGTCACGGTAATAACGAGGTGGGGGATTGGTCGATAGGTCAGGTAAGGCGAACCTGCAATGGAACTCAGAGTACCTACGGGCGTGGCGGCGGGCAGCAAGAATAATTGCAGATTGCAGATGCGGCACATGCCCGCTGGTTCGTGTACATGTATCCATGTGGTTTTTTCCTGGTTTAGAATCCAATATTTAATAACGGCGAGCCTTAAAATCAGGTGCCGTCGTTCTGGGGGCCATGCAACAAGTGCAGTAGGTAACGCCATTCCGCGAATGCAAGGTACGGTATTAATGCTTCCTCGAGGTCAATTCGAGAAGAAGACGGTCATGTACTTGGTCTTAGTTTTGGGGGCGGGCGGGTGTGTGTACCTTGTTTTCTGGTCGTGTTGTAAACTATTGGATGCTAGGCCCTAGGCCAGACCGCGAGTTTTTCGCCCGTGGTGAAATGAGGGCCCCGGATGAGAGAAGAAAGGAACGAGTGAGGAAACAGGTGATGAGTTTGTTCACCGCTCGTTCCCTCGGGTGTCTTTCCTGGTCCAAGCTCGCGCTCGCGCTGGCGCTCGTGGCTGTCTGCATTTTCCATCATGGACATGTCATCTCATTTGCCTTGCTAGTCTCGTCTCTGTGCGTGCAGCAGTAGTAAATGAGATGGAGATGAGATGCTGTGAAGCATGTACTGAGGAGTACTGAGGTACACATACACTTGCAACCTTGACATGTTCACGGTCCCGTCCTGCCACGAGAGAGAGAAAAGAGGACCACGGACGTGTGGCCGTTGGGGCCGGTTGACCGTGCTTTCGCTTTCCGGGTTGTTTTGCAGTGAAGGAGCCTCCATTCTCATGATTGAGTGAGTGAGAGTGAGTGGGCTGCTAACAGCGCTCCTTGCGCGGTGAAGACCGTGAAAGTGTCTCGGACCTTTTTTTTTCGCTGACGAGGTTGTGAACTGACGGGTCGTGTATCTGGCTTCCGAGTGGTGATCAGATGGGCTAGGTAAGGTATCCTCCTCGGACGGTGGAGAGGGTTGGAGATGATGGCTTTGACGAGCATCATCGACGTCCTGAGGTTGAAGCTGAGAATGGTGGCGTTTGACGTTTGACCCTCCCGGCGCTGAGGCGCTGAGGCACTGAGGCGAGGCCCCTCTTGACAGTCGACAAGGCCCCGGATCTCCCAGTTCCAGCCCGTTTCGACGTTTTGGAATCTTTGCTGCTTCCGCTTCTCTAGCGAGGTGGCCTTGCCAACCTGGAAGTTGCAAGGCCACCTTACACCGCAAAAACGGTTCATCCTAGGACTCTGGCTCAATCAGCCCATGAAAGCATGAAGCATGACTCCATCGGAGACCTGGAGCTCCATTGCAATTTTGGCGCGGCCCGCTCGGACGACCGTCTCCAAAGGGCCTCCCGTCCTCCTCCAGTCTGGGCTCCAGAACGGGCGGGCAAATCCACTAATCTACAGGCCCGTCGCCGTTCCGTCCTCTTAGATTCAGAGGTGGACGGTGGTGGGCGGTGGTGAGGTTTGGCCTGATTATCCCGTGGAGTTATTCCTCGTCGTCGTCGTCTAACAGGCCGGTTTGTGGAGTTCACTTCTGGAGACCGGGAACCTCGACAGGCCTGCAAGGCTACGACGCTAAGTGTATCCGTACACTACTTTCTGGCGACGACAGGCCCCCTGATGTCGATGAAATTGGCCCTTCCAAGTCTCGAGTCTCGAGTCTCGAGGCCGAGGCGAGGCGAGATCTTCGGGTAGGTCCACGTCCTCTCTGTGTTGAACGGAGACGGGGCCTTGCAGCCTAGGTATTCTTCAGGGACCCCCGGAAGCGCTCTCTTCTTCCCTTCCGGAGGGGTCCTGTTCCACTGCACTAGGAGGGATCCAAAGCCAGTCGGAATCTCAGTGTGCCTTGGAAGCCAGCCTTTCGAAACTTCGAAGGTATCCATAGCTTCCATTGCATGCCCCTCCCCTCCCCTCCCCAATTGCCGATGCTGCAGCTTACCTTGCAATTCCAATAGAACAATCCGAGAAAGGTCGAAATATTCGATATTCCCTGCAATGGAAGACGAAAAGAATTGGCACCTTTGGCCCTGGGGCTGCGGAGCAGAATTCCAATGTTGGGCAGGGCAGAAGTTCTTACCGACTCATCAACTCACTTTAGGGACCCATATGTGTAAATTATCCGAGCGGGGACGCGGCGACGACCGCGACCAGTTTTTTTTCTCTCTTTCCACAACTCGAGTATCCTTCCCACTCGGCGATTTCGCCGTCCAGCCCCGGGTTGCTGATTCACTCCGTTTCTCGTACCACATCTCGTCCCTCGTCGCTAACAAGCACCCCCGGCCTCGTCGACGGCTCCAAACGGAGCTCCGAGTCAATCAAGGGTCCCTTGGCGTACGGATACGGCCTGTCCTCGACCGCGGACGAACCAGTCTGTTCCCATCCCGCTATCCTTCCGTGGCGTGGCCCGCCTTCAGAGATACCCGCCGTCGAGACTGACCGTAACAACCTTTCACAACTCCCACACGCTCAGGCAAGCACATCTCGAGACGAGAGAGGTCTGCATAGCAGCACGGCCCTCGCGCCATTGCATCCAGGCGGTCAGACTTGCACAAGTTTTCCGGTCTAAACCCACGCGCTGCATGTAGCCTGCCGAGCCCGTTCGCCATGTCATCCGAACAGCTGAATGTCATCGCCCTGGTCTCGGGCGGCAAGGACAGCTTCTTCTCCGGCCTGCACTGTCAGAGGAACGGGCACCGACTTGTGGCCCTCGCTAACCTCTTCCCCGCCGCGCCCGTCAGCGCCGGCTCCGACGCCACCGCGCGCTCGGCCCAGGGGACCTCCACCCTCATCTTCAAGCCTCGGAGCGAGGATGACTTGAACGACGCCGTCGCGCAGCAGGAACCGGAGGGACGTGGAGACGAGGAGGCTGGGATGGGGGCTGGCGAGGACGCCGACCTGAATAGTTTCATGTATCAGACCGTCGGCCATCAAGTCATCCCCCTGTACGCGGACGCCACGGGACTGCCGCTCTACCGCCAGCCCATTCATGGCGGCGCCAAGTACGAAGGCAGGGACTACGATTCATCTCACGCCACGGGCGGCGCTGCCACCGTCGCCGACGACGCGGATGAGACGGAGAACATGATCCCCCTCCTCCGCACCATCATGGCACACCATCCGGACGCCAACGCCCTCTGCGCCGGCGCGATCCTGTCCACCTACCAGCGGACACGCGTCGAATCCGTCGCCCTGCGGCTGGGCCTCACCCCTCTGTCGTACCTCTGGAAGTACCCAGTCCTCCCGCCGCCCGTCCCCGGGGCCGTGGAAGACGCGCAGCTGCTCCACGACATGGCGGCCGCGGGGCTCGACGCGAGGATTATCAAGGTCGCCAGCGCGGGGCTTGACGAGGACTTCTTGTGGGAGAGGGTGAGTTCGCTCTCTGGCGCGGCGAAAGTGAAGCGCGCGCTGCGCAGATTTGGTGCCGCCGAGGGCTCCGTGCTGGGCGAGGGCGGCGAGTTTGAGACCATTGTGCTCGATGGGCCGCCGGGGCTTTTCCGCAAGGCGATCGAGGTGTCGGAGCCCGGGAGGAGGGTCGTGAGGGAGGGCGGCGGGACGTCGTGGTTGAACTTCTCGGGGGCGAGTGTCCGTGAGAAGAGCACCCCTGGAGAAAGCTGCTCCGAGGTTCGGGTGCCTGATGTTCTGGACGCCAGGTTTCAGGCTTTGTTGGAGTCTCTACCTTCTGCTTCACCAGCGCAGGAGGCGCCGTCTGAGAGCGGTTTCGTCGGTGGTGATGGTCGAGTGTCAGCGCCTGTGACGTCTTCGAGCGATATCCATTGGACTGTTGAGGCACAAGTCCCGTTGGACAAGAAACTCTCCGTAGAGGAAGAGACGGAGGACGTCGTCGGGCAGATCCAGGGGCTTCTTGCAAATCACACTCCGTCGCTGCCTACCGCCGCCATCACCCACACCGTCATTGTCCTGAAGAGGATGTCAGATTTCCCCGCGATTAACAAGATCTACGGCAGACTCTTCCAGCATCCGAACCCCCCGTCCCGCGTCACCATCTCTTGCGGCGATCTCCCCCAAGGCAAGTCCATCCATATCCATCTCACAGTCAAGCCGGGACTGGAGCAACGCGAGCGCAATGGACTTCACGTCCAGGGTCGGTCCTACTGGGCACCTGCGAACATCGGGCCTTACAGCCAAGCCATTGATGTGCCCCTGGCGGCCGACGGGGCCAGAGGCGTGACGATCGCAGGACAGATCCCGCTCGTGCCGGCGAGCATGATTCTACCTACTCAAACCACGGGAAACCTGGAAATGCAGATCATCCTGTCTCTGCAGCATCTCTGGCGCATAGCCATCGAGATGAAGGTGCAACTCTGGGCCAGCGCGGTGGCATACTTCCCCAACACGCCCCAGCAGTCTGAGATGCGGCGCCAAGCCCGGCTTGCCGCTGCGGCGTGGGAAGGAGCGCACGCGGCCGGCGGCGATGAGGATGAGGATAGCGAAGGCGGCCCGGATCCCTGGGATCGCAAGTACAACCCCCAATACATGTCCCTCGGCGGCGGCGAGGACGCCAGCGCGGAACAGAAGTTGCCGGACTGGTCTGCCGTGAAGGGAGCCACCGACGACGACGAAGAACCGAAGCCAGTGCCGCCGTTCTTCGCCGTCGAGGTGGAGGAGCTGCCGCGCGCGGCCGGTGTCGAGTGGCATGCGCACCTGGGCCTGTCGCGGCTCGCCTCGTCGTCTGTGGAATTCCAGACTCTCAACCTCGCGGCGTCGACCGAGGTCCCCTTTTACCACCGGATCTGTCACGTCGTGGTCGGCGGCACGATCGTGCATACCACGATCTCCTGGCTCGCCATCGAAGACCAGACGTCGCGGTCGCCGACGTCGTCTTCTGAAGCGCATGAGTGGATGAAGCGTGCGTACCTCGAGAGCACGGGGTCGTCTGGTTTCCCGTACTTGATGTATGTGAATCGGGGGAGCGTGAAGTTCCCCGGCGTTGCGGGGGGTTGTGGCGACGTCGAGGATAAGACGACGGCGTTTGTGTACGCGAGGTCCATTTGGGGCGGCGATGGCGAAGAGGTTATCGCCGTTGGGCTCTTCAAGTAGCTTCGGAATAGAAGAATTTGTTGAAGTGAAAAGCGTCTCACTGTCGTTGTTCCCGGTATTCTTCCTAGAGGTCTCGCGGGAGGCTAGTCATGGCGGTTCAAGCGACTACCAGACCAACATTGTGAAGCTCGATATGCCTGCTCTCGCCAGTTTCGTGTTGTCTGTTTACTTCAGAGCCACTGTCTGGACCTCCCTCGGGTCTAGGGGCTTGTAGCTGTCCTTCTATTGCGATCCTGGACACGGAGCCCACTCCTCAACTGGAGTTATCCTACTTTACCCCGCTGATATTTGTGGTACACAGACCGAACAGCTTTGTCTCGACCAGAGAAGATCATGCTCAAGACCTTCAAAACCACCAGGGTCACAGTTTGGCTTGTATAAAAGATAAAGAGCACTATCTCGGTGGAGGGAAGTAGAGCCAAGTTGACGTATTTCTGATGGCGTGGTTGCAAAAATGGGCAACTAGTTGGTGTATTACTCGTCGACGGAAACATCGCGGTGGCTCCGATCTCCTCGATTTCCCTGTCCCTTGCGACTGCCCCTCCTCCGGTACTAGTCAGTCTTCCTCACCCTGGGAGTATTCGACGCATGTTCGTAGCCCGAGTTCTTGAGGGAGACACGCGGTACGGATACACTTCTATGGGCCATGTCAGCTTACGTTCCAGACATGGACGGGGAAAAGCTCATGGGAACGTTGTCTGAGGAAGAGGCATATAACGACGATGATCGCCTTGGTGCAACCCAGTCGCTAGTGGTGACGGGATACCTTGATATAGGCCGGTATCGGCGACATGGTGTACGATTGCAGCAGCATAAGTATGCTAGGTTGCCGAATGTAGATGGCGTCGGCGATACGGAGTGCCTTGGGCTTGCTTTTGTCCTCCAACGGAGCCACAAGATGGAACGGTCTGACGTCCTCTTTGTAACCACATGGATCACACTATCAAGCCAGTCGGAAGGGTCAAAAAGCCACGGAGTCTCATATCCCATCGACGCTTCCGATCATATATCTCTGGCCCTCATTCCCACTGAAGTATTCCGCTTCGTATCGGCTCTCGCTTCAAAACCCAGCTTAGAAGATGTGCTATACCTCGCACGGGGGTTGTATACGTGAGCCAGCCCCCGAGCCGGGCTGTTCTCTGAGGTAGTCGTTGACGGTGATATGCCGAAACTGTGAGAGCATTTCCAATTGCCGTGCCATGATTCCCGTGCTAAGCTACTGGAACTTATAAATGAAGCTTACCACCAACGCGTTCAAGGCGTTGGGTTGATGAGGACGTGTGATGGGCGGCTATTGTATTTGGTAGACCGCGGCCCGCGGTGTCAACCAGCAACAGCAACGCCTGCTTGAGATGATTGTATTGATGAAGTAGATGTGTGAATACGGTGATTTCCTATTCCTCCTGGTATGGAGCTGTGATGATGGCCGCGCAGATGGGAATAGAGGTGTGGTGGCAGGTGCCGGACATAAAAGCGGCTGTGATGGGTAGCGGTGAAGTCTTCACATACGTGTTCTTCCAGCTCTCAGGTCTTGCAAGTAATTAGAGACTACATTCTTTGGGATCAGAACCGCCAAGAGCGCATCTTGAGATTCGATACCAATCCACCTGTAACACTGCCATGAAAGGGCGGCCGACGCACAACCGATGTCTTCCTCCGCCACTGCGTCTAGGCTCCTTCTTCTCCCAGGTATTCATGATGCTAATAAGCAGGTCCTCATCAGATCGATCGATCAATAGAAAGCCATAGAAGCGGACAAGTAGGCGGGACATGAATGGCTTAATTGCCATTTGGTAACAAAAGCGTCAGTCCCACCCCGGCACTTAATGAGAAACTCTCCATGGCAGCGGAGGTGACAGAATATTTATATACGGTGATATTGGCAGCCAAAGGCAGTTTATTGTGAGGTACAAACCGAAGAGAGACTCGGGGCCTTGGAACATGGCGTCCTGAGGAAGGCTTGTCCGAATCAGAACTGGAAAGGACGTTGAAAAATGCTCCTTGTCCTCGAGGCGTTGAAGGAGACCGGTTGCAATGAGACATCTTGAGTCGAGCATTGATGTTGACTGAATCTTGGCGTGAACTATATGCCATTGACACTAGACGAATAACAGATAGTTGATACCCGTCTCGTGAGCTAAGTGAGAGATATCATCACGGCTCGCAACGAGAGGGTTCGGCTGACATAGACTTACGCGAGAGTGCGCCGGATCTGACAGGCAGCACCGCTTATAATCTGCGGTGTCATCATCCCAGCGTTGGTTGGTGAAGTCTTCTTAAAGGTGTCTGCCTGACATCATCGTCACGAGGGCGAGTGACACAGCCCAGAAGCAGATGATGCAGTTCACTTCGATATACCAAGAGGTCCAAGACCCGAGCTGTTCGACATGACCCGAGTCGACGAGGCAAACCTTCCATAACTTGTAAGCTTGTTTGCGAGATCCGGGGTCAAGTCCAGGGTCGTTGAAGATGTTGGACATGACCCAGCTCTGAGTCGTATTGGCCCATCCGATTGGCGGCGACGAGGTCCCCGTGGTTGTGGCGGGGTAGCACGTACGAGATCTTGGGATGGTCGGCGACCAACCAAAGAGCTCCATGCCCGTTGCAGTGACAATCCAGATCAGGATGGTGGGAGGGTCGGTGTTATGTCATGGGGTCCCCTTCTTCAAAAAGCCCACGTGAAGACAGCTCGTCTCAATTCTTCCCTGCTATGCTGAGAGAGCTCTTGCTTCTCAGCTTCTCAGCCTCCCTAGACTTTAACCTTACCGCAAAAGACGCCGTCAATCCTTCTGTCGCGGCTGCCGGTCTCAAACGTTCCCGCCCGACTGCCGTGCCGCCGCCGCCAGGTACCTCTACTGGCCTACTGACCTGCAGTATATCTGTAGTGCATGAGGAAACACCGCCCTAACGCACCTCCATCGGCCGCCTAAACTGAGATCACCCACCACCATTTCCCGAACAGCCTCCAAGACCACAAAAATCTCCAAGAAAACCTTAGTCTCACTTCTGAAGAAAACCGGTCGTCTTTTTTTTCCTGATCACGTCACAAGACCCCTGCTCTCGCGCGAGACGCTACTATCTTCCAGACTCTGCCGTCTGGGGCGCTTTCCACCCGTGCTCCGGTCTGGGACATGCAGCAATCGCCCTTGTCTTGGACGTGATGGCGCCCGTTGGCGATGATGCACCACGACCTCCACGGCTCTCCTCTACCACCTCACTGCCTCCTCTTTCGTCCGATGCCCAGCTGGTGCGATCCCCGTCCCCTACCACCCCGCCGCCACCGCGAGGTTTAAGTAGGCGCGTTTCCTACGATGAGAGCTCCCCAACGTCGCCGCGCTCCCTCCCTCGGAGGCAGAGCACAAACGAGCGCATCAACGAGATCTTAGAGGTATGTAAACTGTCGCTTCTGCATCTCGGCCGAAGGACCTTCCCGACTGTGGGACCCCTTCAACGCTACCCTGCTTGGCACCGACCATTCTAGCCTCCAAATCTGCATTGAAGTCTAATCCCCGTCTTCGTTTCCCTCGACCCTTCATTATAACCCCGTTCCCGCCCCATTGGCCCCCTCCGCATCCCGATCTCCCGCTCCCGCTCCCGTCCACCCCGTCTGTGCCTCGCTGACAACGGCTCCCGGCGCCAACAGAACGCAAGAGGCCGCGCAGAAGCAATGGGCGGCGCATTATCCGCATCCCGATCCGCTCCCGCCAGCCCTCCTCAACGACAGTATTCCCGGGACGACGGTACTCACGATGAGACCGTTGGCATCATTTCCCGCGGCCCGGACCGCAACTACCAAAGCATGAACGCCACAACCCCGAACATCACGACGGCGACGGCACCCGAGCTACGGCCCCGTAAGACGATCCAGACGACACGGAGTCAGCTTCCACCGCAAGCTGAGGTAGACGAGGAAGACTATGACACGTTCGTGGCCCGGGAGGAGCGAGCAAGAGAGGCTCAGGTACGAGAGCCGTGGTACACAATCTTCCTGTCTAGCTTCCAGAGCATTGAGCTCGAGAACAAGGGAAGCGTAGCTCGAGATCACTTGGCACTAGGTTCGAGCATCCCCGGAGCGCACTTCACTTTGTGCAAACATTCGCTGACCGTGACCATGCAGAGCGAACCTTTCTCGCCTGGCTCCGTACGTCTCTTGCATTCGCCTCTATAGGCATTGCCGTAACCCAGCTTTTCCGCCTCAACTCATCCATATCCAACCCCGACTCGAGCAGCCATACACTGCGCCAACTTGGCAAGCCACTAGGCGCAACCTTCCTCGGCATCAGTATCCTCATTCTCTTCCTGGGCTATCAACGCTACTTCCGTGCCCAGCAGTGGGTCATGAAGGGCAAGTTCCCCGCGAGCAGAGGCACCATCATCATCGTGTCCATGGTAGCGTTTGCCCTCATGGCGGTCAGCTTGGTGGTCGTAATAGTAGTCGGTCCCACTGATACCGAGCGGTGAGCTGCTGGCGTGGTGAGATGTGTTTATACCATACTGGAATGCATATATACAGGTGAGGAGTAGTCTGTATATATATACGGCCAAGGGAGCTAGGAATGGTGGTCAAGCTTGCATTTAACATCTGTATCATATTATATACCTCGACGGCGTCACGTAGGAATGAGCATCTAATAATACAAATGCGCACAATCGAACTTTGAAGTCCGCGTCCCCTCCGTCCCCGATTCCCCATCAGCCTATCAGATGACGTCAAAGCAAAGCTGTACCTCACATGTGGGCCTACCTTAAACAGAACCACTTACAACTCACAAACATCTCGACTACATCCCAACTCACTTACACACAACCAGAACACTCACCACAACTCAATCGAGACGCAGCTTCGTCTTTTTCCACCGTCCCCAGAGCCACGGACGCAAAAGGGAGCAAGGCACCGAGTCACAGGCACCAACGAGTCACATATCACAAACACCCACACACGACGGGAAAAAATGGCGCCAAGCTCATCAGAACCCCTCTCGGTCCAATCCTTCGCAAACACCCAGCTGTCTCTGCTCTCCGCGGAGCTCGCGGCCGAGATCGCCGAGTCCTCGGCCCTGGTCGCCCTGCACTCCCCGACCGCCCTCCAGCGCGCGGGCCTCGCGCTCTCCAACCTCGTCGTCGGCGCCCGCCGGACCGGCCTCGGCGGCCGCACCGTCATCGAGCTCAACCCCGACCCGGCCGTCTCCTCGGAGCTGCCCGAGCACGGGCTCCGGCCGGGGGACATCGTGCTCGTCGCCGAGCAGCCCGCGGGCAACGCCAAGAAGAGGGAGGTCAAGGAGCTCGAGAGCAAGGGCGCGAGGGGCGTGGTCACGAGGGTGCGGAACGAGAGCGTCGGTGTCGCCGTCGACGAGGGCAAGGGGGAGGAGAGGGAGTTCAACGGGCGGGTGTGGATTGTCAAGGTTGCGGATGATGTCACGTACCGCAGGTGAGTCGAAGGTCTGCTATGGAAGAGGACGAAGCTTGGATGAGTCTCCGCGGGGGCTGTGAAAGGCGACTGCCAAGGCGAACCAGGTTCTCGCAGAAGCTTGTTGCCAGGAGGGCGCTGACGCACACAGAATGAACCAAACCATGGAGAAGCTCGAGAAGATGACCGAGGGCGAGTACACCGCCTTCATGCGCGTGCTGTTCGGCCTCTCGAGCCCGACGCCTGTGCCGTCCGATCTGGCAACCGATCAGGACCTGTCCAAGATCCAGTGGATTGACCCGTCACTGAACGACTCTCAAAAAGACGCCATCCGCTTCGCCCTGGCATCTAGAGAAGTTGCTCTCATTCACGGGCCGCCCGGTGTTAGCGTGCCTCAGATCTCATCATGAATGACGACTGACTGGAATTCACAGACTGGCAAGACGCACACCCTCATCGAGCTCATTCTCCAGATGATCAAGCTTGACCTGCGCATTCTCGTTTGCGGACCATCCAACATCTCCGTCGACAACATCGTCGAACGTCTCGCACCGCACAAGATTCCCATCCTTCGCCTGGGCCACCCAGCTCGTCTCCTGCCGAGCGTCGTCGCCCACTCGCTCGACGTGCTCACCCAGACCTCCGAAGCGGGCGCCATTGTCAAAGACGTCCGCGCCGAGATGGACGCCAAGCAGGCCTCGATCAAGAAGACTCGCAACGGACGCGAGCGCCGCCAGATCTATGGCGAGCTGAAAGAGCTTCGGAAGGAGTACCGTGAGCGAGAGCGGCGGTGTGTCAGTGACCTCGTGCGTGAGAGCAAGGTCGTCCTCGCGACGCTCCACGGCGCGGGCGGTCACCAGCTCCGGGACCAGCAGTTCGACGTCGTCATCATCGACGAGGCCAGCCAGGCCCTCGAGGCACAGTGCTGGGTGCCCCTTTTGTCGGCAAAGAAGGCTGTCTGCGCGGGTGATCATCTGCAGTTGCCGCCGACCATCAAGTCACTCAACTCCAAGGTGAAGAAGGCGCCGGCTGAGGGCGGCGAGAAGCAGATCAAGGGGATGACGTTGGAAACGACCTTGTTTGACAGACTGCTCGCCCTGCATGGGTCATCCATCAAAAGGATGCTTACCACGCAGTACCGCATGCATGAGAAGATCATGAGGTTCCCTTCGGACGAGCTCTATGAGGGGAGACTCATGGCCGCAGAGGCAGTCAAGGAACGTCTCCTGAAGGACCTCCCATACGAGGTCGCGGACACGGAAGACACCAACGAGCCGCTCGTCTTCATTGACACGCAAGGCGGCGATTACCCGGAAAAGAGCGAAGATGACGACAAAGATGCCGTCAAGAAGGCCAAGTTCAGCCTCCACGGCGAGAGCAAAAGCAATGATATGGAGGCAGCCCTTGTGCGGCAGCACGCGCAGAGCTTGGTTGACGCTGGGGTCAAGCCGGAGGACATCGCCGTGGTCACCCCGTATAACGCTCAGGTAGGTCCTGTCCATACAACTCGCAAAGGCTTGAGCCGCCGCAAGGCACGGCATGAATGCTGACATCGGATGAACCGAAGCTCGCGATCCTCGCGCCCCTGAAAGAGCAGTTCCCGGGCATCGAGCTAGGCAGCGTGGACGGCTTCCAGGGCCGCGAAAAGGAGGCCGTCATAGTCAGCCTTGTACGGAGCAACACCGAAGGAGAAGTAGGGTTCCTAGGCGAGAAGCGCCGACTGAATGGTAAGCTCTGGAGTCCAGACTTTGTCTGGGAAGATCCCAGCAGGGCCGACATTGTTGCGCATGAATGTTAATGCGCTCTAGTGGCGATGACGCGACCCAAACGCTCACTGACGGTGATCGGTGATTCGGAGACAGTCAAGAGGTGAGTCCGTTTGAGAAGTTCCTTATTTCCGTTCCTCGTTCTGTCAGGCTTGGATCTGCCGGCGCGGCGAACCACTGCACAGATGTCGTCCTGAGACACTGCTGAGCCGCACCAAACGCCCGAAATCTCGGGCCTGTTTCTTCTTTTTGCTGACATGTTGCGTCACACGAACAGAGGCAGCACGTTCCTCAAGAGATGGATGGACTTCCTCGAAGAGAATGCCGATCTGCGTTATCCAGACTTGTCAACTCTTCAGGGGTCCTGATGCCAATTTGGGACGGTGATGGGTGGTGGCTGAAGCATATTCCATCTCTATGCAGGCGGCCTTCAATATGAATCTTTATGCGACGAAAGTGTACTCGGCGCAAAAGACCAGACGATCTGAAAAAAAACCGACGAACCGGCTTCCTCGGTGTTCGTGAACCGCCTGGAAGGGCCGTGAACGAGCTGGGATGGCTTCTTATGCGCAACGATGCCCTGGTTCCCCAACGCGTCCGAAAAGGGAATAGGCATGTTGCATGCAGAGAAAAAGCGCGGCGTATCGTAGAATTTACACAGAAGGCCGCCAACGATGCCCCGTCCATGACCAACTGGGGTTCACGGGGGTGGGAGTGTCCGTTGACGCAAGTTGATAGGCACCGGGGCCTGGGTTCTTCGCGCAGACCGAAGAAAGAGACCAGAAAGCGTGGATGGAGCACAGATGACAGCCGTCACTGATCAGACGAAGCACCCATGTCCTGTATGTTTCAGGTTACTTTCAAAGTCTGTGCCATCCTTGCGCGCGTGGCCAGACCCGCCAAATTCTCCTACCGAGGACGAGGGGGACCGGGGTTGCTTCACTTGACCGCGTTTTCGCTGCTTTCTGACCAGTTTGTGCGCGAGATTTTGCGACCTTGTCGGGGCTGTGGAAGGACTTTGTCCAAACCCGAGTCCTGCGGCTGACACCGAGTTTGCGAAGATTGTCACGAAGAGATACTTTGGTGACTTCCTGGCGCAAGATATCATCATTCCTCGTTGGGGCCTCTCACAGACTTTCACTTGATGCAAGTCCCGCTGCAGAGGCGAAACAGTGGGTAAGCAGTCGAACACCTCCTCGTATCTGCCTGATTGTTTGTTGATGTCGCGATGTCGTGCAGTGACCAGTGCGTCTTTCGTGTTTGTTATCAACATCTTACACCAACCACATGAGCGCGGTTGAAGCCCGACAACGTCAGTCGGGTTATTCGCCGCCGACTAGTCGCGCATGTCGCATTAGGAGGCTGTCTTCTTCGTGGTACGCCGGGACAGCTTGACAACCAGCTGACAATAAGATTGAAGGCTAATGCGATGCCAATCCGTGTTGTCGAGTCGGGCGGGCTGGAGCGAAACCTGAAGCGTTCTCACATACTCTCCCTCCAGTGATGCTTCCCGGGAGCTCGGGACGTCTCCTTCATTTCAAGACAAACCCATTTCCGGAGCCGTGAACCCCCAATTGGATATGTGTCCCGATGAACAGAATAGCAACGGCGAGTAATGAGAGCGCCAGGGTATGTCAAGGCATTGCTTGAAGTTGCCGGCCGCACCGCGCCCATCTTATGCTCGATCACTTATGCCGCTGGCGTCGCCCAGCAGTGGTTGACGGGAGATCATAAGTCGGCTGCCTCGCTATATGATGCTCCGCTGGGACCCCACCCGGCGAGCCGATCAAACCGTGACCGGACGCGCGACGAGAATTCGTGTTGGGTCGAGGTTGTATTGGGTGCCGCGGTGACCAAGAAAGAGCGTGTACGTGACCTCCTAGCTGCAGGAATAAGTACTGCATCATGTCGTCCGCGATGACACGGTACGGCGGCTGGTGAGTGGTAGAATCGTGCCATTCGTGCATGCAAGTCCTGGAGATGGCTGGCCGGCGTGCCAATGTAGCCAGCAATAGGCCGCCACCATAGTCTACCCAAGAAACACAGCAGGGTATCGTAGACAAATGAGCGCTGATTTGCAGTAGCTCTGCAATGTGGCATTCCAGTAATCGCAGCCAGAGGACGTTCGCGAGTCAGATGCTGGTTGAGTAAGCCGGTATGGACCGATACGCAGGACCTATTGTCTCTTCAATACGGGCCGCGAGGTGGTCGACGAGTGACCGCCGAATGTGGCCTAGGTACTTTGAAGACAATCAGACAATGGTCGTTGGACGTGGGCCCTGCAGGCCATGTGGTGTTTTAGCCTCTTGGTTCTGCGATGTGGGGTTGGACCTCCACGCTAGTAGGTGTCTTTTTTCCCCTTCGCGAAGCTGTACGGATACACAGGGGTGGTTCAGGAGCGTGGTCGTCAGAGGCTTTTGCTCGAAGGGTCGAAGGTGAGAAGTAGTGAGCGGATTGCTGTCGTCGAGCCAGACGCAGACGCGCAAAGGCTCTCTTCTGCAGGACGCAGCTGCAGCATCCGGGGGGCAGCTGCGGTGTTCCAAGAATAAAGTACTCTGTAGCGCAGAATGGTGAATGCAAGAGGACGTGGCATGTGGTTGCAGCGATCCAGGAGAGGAATGCTCCGTTGCAATCTGCGGCTCCTGGACGTGTTGCGATTCGTCCGTGACGTGAGCGATCACATCTCTCTAGCATAGGTGAAGAGCTAGTTCTAGCGCCATCATCAAGACGACGAGTGGTTGGAGAACCGCCCGCCAGTTCAAGCCGTCGTTGGCGACATTGAGTGTCAGTTTCGATAGCGGCGGCAGTGGCAGTGACGGAGGAAATGTCGGCCACAAACGAGATAGCGTAAACGGCCAAACAGACAGGAGAGGCTAGTGCCAATGAGTAGAGGATGCCTCAAATCTGGCAGTCGGTTTGCCGGATTGATGGCTGCTTCCTATTGGGGCAAAGCAGGCGTTTATCAAGCGTGGGTTTCTCTGTCGCGGCGCGATATCGAACGACTAGCTGTCTTGGATGGTGGCATTTGGAACGCCATGTCGGATAAAGATGCCAACCCCCTTTCTTCAGTTTCTGCCTACTCTGTACTCCGTAGGTCGATCGGCTGCCGCGTCTGTCGTAGGTGAGGTATTCAGGGTGTTGCCGCCATGGACAGGATGAGGATGGCTTTGACCTCGACTGTTGACATGATGAGCGACTGGGGTGCAAGCTGAGACTGAGACTGGTGATGGCTGGCTGGTGGCTTTTGGCGATTCGGACCGGGATTTGAAGGCGGCCAAGAACCGGGTTGAATGGTGTGGTTGAAATCGAAATCTATCCGTAGAGTGGTAACAACAGTGCGGTGGTAGCATTCGCGAACCCACACTCCGCAAATGCTCCCTCGGAAGGTGTTTGCTCTTGGAAGATATTCGTATCGCGATGGTGCCCGGTGGGTGTGAAGTCGACACGGACACGGGCCACCACTAACTATTGCGGGATGGGATGAGCAGCGGGAGCACCTTCCCTTAGGAAAGAGGATCAGAAAAAAGGAAGGAAAGAAGACTGAAACAAAGCCCCGAATTCGGCAAGGCGTCGGAATCGGACCAGCAGACCGGATTGGATTGGATCCGGGAGGAGCAGGGGAAGGGGAGAGCACAGGTGGATTGGCAGCAGAAAATGGTCACTGGAGTCGACTCGTCGAGTCTGGAGTCTGGACAGAACAAGACATTGAATCGTTGACAGTCGAGTCACCCCACCCGGACTCCTCATCTTACAGCTGTCACTGCAGGTGAGTCGTGCAGTGGAGTTGCAGTTGGCTGAAAAGACGAGGCCCGTGGATCGCAATGACTTATTTTGGGCAAGTTTGAGTGTTTTGGCTTGAGGCTCTGACACGAACGGTTGTGGAATTTCCGGGCCAAGAAGATGAGTGAGAGCATCTGACTTGAACACTTTTCACTGACGATGCCTATGTACCATATATCTGACTTTTGGCTAGGTGGATAAGGTAATTGAGTGCAGACTCTTAATTATCTCGCATCTAGTGTATCCGTACTGAAGTACGTAGCACAACTTTAACTCTCCGTGCCTCGGCCCCCAAATCTAACCACTTTCATCCGCCTCACCGAATACCACACACCATTTGGTTGGTTCCCTTGATCGACGGCCTTAGCCTCGATGGTTGATACAGGCACACGATAGTATCAACTGCATACCGCTTGCCCACATTCCTTTCATCCCTCACGTTGCTCACACGCCGCCATGGACAAACTTGATCTCAAACAGGACCCAATTCAGTCGCTGAGTAGAGAGCTGGCTACTGGCTACCTCGAACAATGAGAGGATGTAGACGCGTTCCTGTCACTCAATTCATTCTTGACCACAGACCTTCCCTCAACTCCTGGCTCTTGCAGCCATCCAGTGTTTCGCCCGCGTGCCTTGCGGTACTGCGTATGCTCACCTCACAGGCGGCTTACCTTGGACGGGTAAAGACACCGAGCCCAAGCGGTGGAGGGGTCCCGTCACCGACAACCTTGGAAGCCGCCTTCTGTCCTTCTGTTCATGTTCCTAGCGCGGCAACGGCAACGGCACGCCACACAGAAAACCTGCGCAACTCGCAACTCGCATCTCGCAGTTCGCTCTCACTTCACCCAACACGTCTTGAACCGCCTCGGTCAGGGGTCCGGGGGCTCGTCTCGTTCCTTGGCTTTACCCCACCGTCAGGGACGACCCAAGCACTGGCCCTCAAACCAGGGTCATCCCCCGACGCAGGAGCCAAGGACCTGAGGATACCTGACTTTTGCCAATGGAAATGAGAATTGGACCTCCACTGAGATTTGAGATGGAAGGAATGGTTCTGTCCCTTCCCTGCCTCCATTGTCTTTGACGACATCCATCCAGTGTCCCGTCCGACCTTTCCTGCCGGTCCACTGCCACTCGCTGCCTGCCACCTTGACTTTTCTCGTAGGTCCCGTCTTGCTGTGTCCTGATATGGGCCTGTTCTTACCTGTCCAGTCCATTCCAGGGACCATTCACTGTATCCTAGACACGTTATATGCACCATCGACGCCGTTCCAATGGTCCGTATCCTCTTTAGTCGCGCATGCGTGCTTGTTTCATCCCACTAGCAATCTGCATCTCCTCTGCCTCTGCCTCTGCCTGCCTCCGCCTCTTCCTTTACCCATCCGCAACATACGGATACCCATCCAAAGTGACAAAGTCTGCCGCGTCCTCCGTCCCCTCCAGTCCCGTCCCCGTCCCGTCTTCTCTTGTACGAAATGTTGCTCGCGGCCCTTGCCTGCCCTCCCCTGTCCATGCCGTGCTGTACCTCGTGAGCCACCTTACAGACACCACTCTACCATGTACCGCATCTACCTACCTTGCTTTGGACGGATACCTTGTCTCGTACACACGATACCGCACCCTTCCTACAGCACCTTGCCATTTACATGCCATTGCTTTCCCTTTTCTCTCACCCTCCCTCTCTTTTTTATTCTTTGTTTCTTTTTCCTTCCCGGTGCCGCCCCGTCTGCTGTTGGAGAGACACAGATATTCCTCCCGACTGCAGCCCCCAACCTTTCGCTTCTTCCTCTTTCGAGGTCACCTGCTTCAGGTACTACCGCTACCTCGCTCCACGTTCCTTGCACCTTTTCATCGATACTTGCCCTCACCTATTGTATAATTCAGCCTTCTCCCCTCCCCCCATCCCATCCCATCCCATCCCATCTCGCCCTACTCCCTTCTTCCCGCTCCGCGAACCTCGATCCTGCCAACGACACTGCTTTAGCGGCACGCTACCGCCCGTCCTAATCAACGTGCTCCTCTCCTCCGGCCGCCTCGTCAGCCTGTCGCAAAGCTGTCCGGGTCCTCCTTTGATACATGACGCATGTGCTGCTGGGGTCCCCCCTTCTTAGTGCCATAACGTCTTCCCCAATCCTCGATCCCCTCGCCCATTCTTCTCCTTTACTCGCCTCCCTCCTCGTGCCTTGATCACCCAGCCCGACCTCCCTCCGTCGACATCTTGCGCCGCCGCGCCTGTCGCCGGCCATTGCCACCTCCCCAATCCCCGACAAGCCCACACGACGGGCGGCATTGCTGGCCATATGCACCATGAATCAGACTTCAGCATAGATCACAACCTGGCCTAGACTCCGGGCGCCCGATCAAGATTCCCAGACTCACCTGTCTGGCTGGATATCCTAGGCGAACCGTCACGGCACGGAACCGGACATCACCCGCTCTCTTGGGCCTCACCAGCATTGCCTCCGCCCCTCTCGGTCATTTCTCTCAAAAGCACTACTCCATGGCTTATACTGGACGACAACCATATACACCACCCCTCCTCCGTCGTCCTGCCACACGCTCGTTCTAGCCTCTAGCCTTACGAGCCGCAACATCATTCCTAGGTCAACTTCAACTCAGCCATGGGCCTTTTCAAGTCGGCCAACCCCCCTGCCCCTCCCAACAACCGGTCTATGACGGGCCAGTCTATTCGCGGCAAAATATCAGGCCCGATTCCCATACCAAATCCCGTCGACGACGAATTTCCCATGCGCAACCCGGGCACCGGAATCGCTACGCCGGTCACTGCCGGCGATATGAGAGAGCAGCAGATGAATCCCCCGCAAGCCGACCCCGTGGCCGGCTCGACTGTCTCAGTCCCCCATCCCGAAGTCTCACAGGTTCCGAGAACCGATTCGGTCGCCGTCCCTCCTGGAACCGGCTCTACTTCTGGATCCTCTCCAACATCCGCTACCCATACCCACACCAACTCGCCTCAGTCGCAAAGAAGGACGAACATGTCAAGCAATCTGAGGTATTCTGCCGTCAGCGCATCGTCTGAACAGACGGGCGCGAGCAAGGACAGGCCACAGCGCAAAAAGTCAACTTTGCGCGGTGCACTGGGAAAGCTGTTCGGACGCAAAAAGAAGAATGGTAGCCAGGGTTCTTACGATTCGCAGCGCGTATCGACTTACAACCCCACGACCCAGACCCAGACCCAGACCCAGACCCAGAACCTACACAAGAGCGTGAGTTTCGGCAGCGGCTGTCCCCGTGCCAATACTTTCTTTTTCACCTCGTAGAGTTTGCGGCTGATAGATGAATAACAGGACCCTTCCGCGTTAAACCGAGCCAAGGAATCCGAACCAAAGCGATCGGCGTCCCTGCCGATCACCGAGTACGACAGAGCACTGAGGTCTCACTCCATCGGCCCCCAGGACATCACTACCATCGAAAGCGTGCGCAACTCACTCAACATCGACCCGGCGCAGTCCAGCCGCAAGCGAGCAGCAACCTCTACCATTAGCCAAATTTACTCGGCCCCGTTTAGGCGCGAGGGCGAATTGGCAGGTCTCTCGCCACGTCCTGCGAGCACCCATGTACGCGGAAGTCGACTCTTCCATTCTGACGATGACGACCCCGAAGAAATCGGGCGCGCGATTACAAGCGACGTTGGTCACAAGCGACGATCCAGAAGCCTAAGTGGACTCAATAATCCGGAGGTACGGGCGGATCTTCGGCGACGAAGCGACGAGATCCGCTACTGGCGACAAAGCTACGATCAAGGCTTCGGTGCTTCTCCCGCCTCAACATATCCTCCTGATCACGAAAATCAGTTCGCAGGGATTGCACCGATGGATATGCCTGAATCTCCGGTGTCTCCGATAGAGCAAGCGCAGACACCCATTCATACGCCGCCGCAGCCGTTTTCTTTTGGCAATCTAACTCATATGAATGTCATGGCGGGTATGAAGATTACCCAAGCAGCCAGCATCGAGACACGGATTGAGACATTGGAGAGCAGAATGCAACGAATGGAGGATGTTGTCACCCAGTTGTGCAACTCGGTACCTGGCTTCCAGGTTCAAGTCAACCAGCCAGTCCGGCCTGCGCCGCCTGTGCCCGGGTCCAACCCATCGCAGTCAAGCACTGCCACGAACCCCGTTATTCAGCAGGTTGCACGCCAGAGCGCACCAAGCTCCAGGTACAGCAACTCGGCACAATCGAACACCTCTTTCGGTGAAGCTCCCACATACGTTGGATCCCTTCATATTCCCACCGGAATGAACCGACCCACTTCGAACTCGACCATTCGTGGCGTCACCAGCTTGCCAGCCATGCCTCGGACAGACGCTGGCCGCACTACAGAAACGTTTACAGCAGATCATTACACGATGCTTTTGGCACTTCTCGAGACGGAGAGGTCCTCTAGACAGGCCCTTGAGTCTCAGGTAAAGAAGTTGACCAGACGCATCAACATGATTTCCGGGCCAACTGGCCAGGGCCGCATGTCTCTGCAGATGGAACCTCCTCCAACAGCCAAGTCCTTTGGCAGCGTCTCCGCTTTTGACCACGATTCATCAGATGAGGAGGATGCGGCTACCAGGAACCGTCGTTACTTGGCCGAAGATTCCGGCGTGGGAACTGGGGTCGGAGACGACGACTCCTACTCAGAGGTCTTTGCTACGCCGAGAGAGGAGCAGCCGCACAGTTACGGGGCTTTTGGGGAGGAACTGCACGAGGACGACGAAGATCCCGTACGCAAAAAGGCAGCGAGGACACTGTCACTCAGCCAGATGACGTTGGGAAAGAAATCGTCCAGGACGGGAGTACGAAGTTGATGCAGTCGGCGATTGTCTGTTGCGAAGTTTTCTTTTTGAGGTTTCTCACTATACCCCGGGAGACGTCCTCCCATTCACGAGACGACGACGGCGGTTCTTTTCTCGGCAGCTGTTGAGTTGAAGACTCGCTCGTCTTGGCGATCCGGCACTGATACGTCCCTGGAGTTTCTGACGGAATCAGCATTGTTACGGCAGCGAATTCTTCTTTTTGCATTAATCTTTTCTTTTTCTTTTTTCGCTCTTGTATATGACTACCCATTTCCGTTCTTGACGAAGTAAGTTGGAACAGTCTTGATGGGATACTTCCCTATGACGAGGATTTCTTTTTCTTTGGGTTTCATTTCGTTTCTGAGCATTCGGCCATCTCGGCAGGAATGAAGGCCTGCAAAATTCGTCAGCCGGCAGTGCCACGCGCATCATCATTTCCAAGCGTCCATGGAATAGCGAGAGCGTCGCAAGTTTCGCGTGCGGTGGAGGCGCCAAATTGTGGTCCCGTATCTACATACGGCCTGACATCTCGGTGCCTGGTGAGAGGATGTAGCATAATAGCTAGATAGCGTCGCCTTTGGGTGTGCGCGTGTGCAATACCCAAAACAATTCATGGTACCCAGCTTTCGTTCTCGCTGATCAACAACGTCGATACTCGTACAGGGCCCTGTCGTGCCCGTCAATCCTTTGAGCGAAGCCACATGGCAACCATTCGCTATGTTCACCGGGAGGTTGTGCGCCCCTCGCCCTAGTAACGAAACAGACAGCGGGCCGAAAAGACAAGGCCAGGGACAAGGCTGCCCAGTGCCAATCTCCGGGTTGTCATCTCGGGAAAAGGACCAGAACGTTTCGAGAACCATTCTCGGTCCCGGCCACCCATCATGTCAGCCTGCCTTTGGGGATGGGGAACGGGGAAACCCAGCAGGGCTATTTCGTCGTTTAGTACGTCCGCTCCACCCTGTCGGGTCCGTTCAGGTTACCGTTGTCTTCCGAGTCCGCCGAAGAAAATCGGAAGACTATTCCGTGAGAGTGCATAGCACAATGTGTATGAAAATATTATCAAAATCGAATGACCGCAGCGCGTCCGTCAACGCGCCGCACCCGACCGAGTCAAGCGGTCCCCACATCTCCTTCCTCCGGAGATTGACACCGGGGCGATACGGCGCCGTCGACTCGGGTGGGGACCTACGTAAGCAGAAAACTCTAGCTCCGCCGACCACTAAGAACGTCCGGAGATTGGTTTAGGCAGGCAAAACGCGGAGTAGGTAATCAGCCACGCACAACCGAACTGCCTGCCTACCTACCTACCTTATCACTCTCTCGCGCGTGCGCAACACACAACCGAAGAACGCTTCTGGCGCACATACCATCCAGCCTCTCCCGCGCGTGCTTCCTCGTGGTGAATAGCGCATTTGTTCAAACTACCCCTCCGCGGACCCCCCAGCCAGCCCCTCGTTTGCGCGCGCGTCATATTTCGCGAAGTCACTCGTGCTCGATCTGTTCAGCAATCGGCTCACCAACAAACGGATTAACTCTGCTCGAGGACACTCCTCCTCCTCCTCTTTCCTCGTCAATCGAAAGCCTTTCCCACTCCGTATCGCGACTCGATAAACCGCCAAAATGTCCGGCTGGGTAGATTGGTCAAAGACCACCCAATCCAACAACTACCGCGGCTCCAACTCGTTCGCGACGTTCATGATCATCGGCCGTACGTCCCCCCTCCCTCTCCTCCTGTCCCCTGACAGCCCAAGACTAACATCCCTCAGCGACCTGCTTCTTCCTCGGCATCCTCTTCGCCTCCTTCCCCTACGACTTCCCCCTCCTCTGGACCTCCGCCCCGGTCCCCGAGTCCTTCTACGCCCACCTCGAAACCCACCTCAAGTTCATGCACCAGTCCCCGCCCCTGATCGGCCGCCTCCTCAACATCATTGTCTTCACCGGCTTCCTCGGCTTCTTCATCAAGCTCTTCCGCCCCTCCGAGGCCAACGTCCTCTTCGACGGCGCCTCCCTCGTCCTCTACCTCATCGGCGTCGGCGTCTACATCACAAACATCGTAAAGGGCCTCCGCTCCGTCTCCGCCGGCATCTGGGACGACGCCGCCGCCTTCGCCGACACCGCCGCCAAGGCCGCCGAGGGCGGCTCCGGCGAGATCATCCTCGGCAAGGAGGACAGCCTCAAGGTCCTCGCCGCCAGCAACACCATCCTCGCCCTCGTCCTCGTCGGCGTCCTCGTCCTCCAGGCCGGCCAGTGGTACGCCGAGCGCAAAGACCGCGAGGACTTTGACAAGCTCGAGAAGGAGGAGTCCAAGAAGGGGGGGCCCGCCGCGTCCAAGAAGAAGCAGTAAGCGGGGGAGTGTTGGATTGCGCGCGCGCGTGTGTCGAAGGTATCATCATTTCATGAGTGGCGCATGAACTTTGGAAAAGAAAAAACCTTTGGGGGGCCATGTATGGGTGGTTTTGTTGCGGCGTTACGACATCACATCACGAATGCAATGTTTACGGCGTTTAACGAGAGGCGAGCGCATGTCACTGTAATCACACAGGTAAAAGCAGAGTGACAGTTAGTCAGTTGCATCGAATATACCATGTCTAACGTCTTTTTTATTCTGGGTCTATCTACCCATGATCTCGACATAAAATACTAACGACAAGCAATGTGATCTTCATTCACGTGACGACTGATCATGTCTTTCTTCCTTTTTATTTCGTGATACATAACTCTCCTCTCATTCAAGCTTGAGCTGCTCGAACTGCTTGATCGTACCCTCGAAACCTCTGGCCTCGGATTCGAGGTCGACGACCTTCTGCTTGTCGGACGCCTGCACGTTGGGGTCGACCTTCTCCTTGTAGTTGGGGTCAGCGAGAAGCTTGTTCTGCTTCTCGACGTTGGCGCGGGCCTTGTCGAGCTTCTTCTGCGCCTTCTCGATCTCGGCGTCGAGATCGACGCGACCCTTGACGTGCAGGTACACGGAGGCCGAGGAGCCGACGGGGAAGGCAACGCAGCCGGCAGGGCGGGCGGCGGCGGGAGCGAGGACTTCGATACCGGTGACGCCCTTGCCGCTGAGGGCGTTGATAGCAGCGACCTGCTCCTGTGCTGTGGAGTAAGAGGTGGCGTCGTGGGCTTGGACAATGACTGTAGCATGTTAGCAATTGTGGCTGATGTCATAGAGGATGACTTACTCTTCGCCTCCTCGTTGCGGGCGTACTCGCTCATGAGCGATCTCGCGCCACGGGAGCATCCCAGAACAAGCTCGTAGGCCTCCTCAGCCTGTGGTAAGTTGAACTTCTCGTCGAAGACGGGGTAGCTGGCAAGCATGATGGACTTGGTCTTGTCCTCGGGGCGGCGGGGCAGGCGCTGCCACAGCTCCTCGGTGAGGAAGGGGGTGAAGGGGTGGATCATGGTGAGGGCACCCTCCAGGGCGGTGTACAGGGTCTGGATGGCGCTGTTCCTCTCCTCCTCGGTGCCATCCTGGATGATGGCCTTGCTGTTCTCGATGTAAACATCGCAGAGGTGGTTCAGGATGTACTGGTAGACAATGCCGGTGGCGTGCTGGAAATCGCGGTCACCAAGAGCCTTGTTGATGTCCTTTGCGGCGACGTTGAGCTTGTGCAGAATCCACTTCTCTGCAAGCGTCTTGCCGACAACGGGCTCCTTGAGGGGCACGAAGCCCTCGGGCAACTTGCCGAGGACGTACTTGGAGGCCTGCCAGATCTTGTTGCAGAACTTTCTCCAGCCGGTCATGACCTTAACGTCGAAGTTGACGTCACCGCTCGTCGAGGTGAGCGCCGCCATGGTAAAGCGCAGCGCATCCGCGCCGTTGCGAGGCAGACCCTCGGGGAAGGCCGTCTTCTGGTACTTCTCGGCCTTCTGGACCTCACTGGGGTGGAGGTTGCCGGTGCGGAGCTTGGCGTGGAGGTCCGGCAGCGAGATACCAGCAATGGCGTCCAAGGGGTCGATGACGTTACCCAGGGACTTACTCATCTTGCGACCCTCAGAGTCACGGACGAGACTGTGGCAGTACACCTCAGTGAAAGGGACTTGGCCGGTGAGCTTGATGCCGAGCATGACCATTCTGGCAATCCAGAAGAACAGAATATCCCAACCCGTCTCGAGGACGGAAGTGGGGTAGAGCTCTGAGAGGTCGTTGGTCTTGTTGGGCCAGCCCAGGGTAGAGAAGGGCCAGAGACCGGAGGAGAACCAGGTGTCAAGAACGTCCTCGTCCTGTTCGAGAGTGAACTTCTTGTCGGGGAGGGCGGCCTTCGCCTTGGCTTCAGCCTCCTCACGGTTCTTGCCGGCGAACCATCGCTTGTTGTCCAGGGGGTCGGCCGTCTCACCCTCGACCTTGGCGAGGTAGACGGGACAGCGGTGACCCCACCAGAGCTGACGAGAGATGCACCAATCGTTGATACCGGACATCCAGGCGTAGAAGCTGCGCTCGGAGGATTCGGGGCGGATCTTGATCCTGCCGTCCTTGACAGCGGCAACAGCGTCGTCAGCCATGCTGCGCATGCTCATGTACCACTGGGGCTTCAAGAGAGGCTCGATGACATCCTTGGAACGTTCGCACAGGGGGATGGTCATGGCGTTGTCCTTCTTGTCGACGTAGAGGCCAAGCTGCTTGAGCTCGTCCTGGATGGTGTAACGGACGTCGAATCTCTTCTGGCCCTCGTACTTACCACCGTTCTTGTTGATGTTTCCATCGTCGGTGAGAATGTTGATGAACTCAAGGCCGTGCTTCTGGCCCAGGTTGAAATCGTTCGGGTCGTGAGCGGGGGTCAGCTTGACGGCACCAGTACCGAACTCCTTGTCGACGTAGGTATCGGCAACAATGGGCAGGAGACGACCCTCGATGATGGGGTGCTTGGCCCTTTTGCCAACGAGATGTGTGTATCTCGGGTCCTCAGGGTGAACAGCGATACCGGAATCACCCAGCATCGTCTCGATACGGGTGGTAGCGACCTCGATGGTCTCGTCAGAGCCCTCGATGGGGTACTTGAAGTGGATCAAAACACCAAACTCGATCTTCTTCTCGTATCCGGGAACGTCGAGGAGTGTCCTGCCGGTGAGATCCCTGTTGATGACCTCGAGGTTCGATAGAGCGGTGGTCAGGCGGGAAGACCAGTTGACGAGTCTGTTCGCGCGGTAGATGGTGCCCTCCTCGAAGAGTCTGACGAAGGTTTCGGCGACAGCGGCGGACAGGTTGGCGTCCATGGTGAAAGCCTCGCGGCTCCAGTCAAAGCTTCCTCCCATCTTGCGGAGAGCAGCGTTGATCTTGTCGTGGTACTCGCCCTTCCAGGCCCAGACCTTGTCGACGAAGTCCTCACGGCCCAGGTCGTGACGGGTCTTTCCTTCTCTTCTCCAGAGCATGTTCTCCACAACGCTCTGTGTCGAGATACCGGCGTGATCGCAACCGGGGATCCACAGGGTCGTCTTGCCCAACATGCGGTTCCATCGAATCATGATATCCTGGAGGGAGTCGCCGAGGGCGTGACCAAGATGCAGGGCACCAGTGACGTTCGGCGGGGGGTGGGCGACGACAAACTTGCCCGCGGGCTTGACCTTGCCCTCGGCCGTGAACTCGGGCTCTGCGACTCTGTCAGCTTGGAATGTCTCATCGGATCGTTTGCACCATACTGAAGAAGCCTTCCTTCTCCCACCACTCGTACCAGGCGCTCTCGACGGCCTCGGGGTGGTAAGCCTTGAAGTGAGGGTCCTCGAGGGACTTGAGGCGCTTCTTCTCTCCCTTGGGGGTATCTTCAACGTATTCAGGGACGACCTCCTCCTCCTTCTTCGCGGCCTTGGCCTTCTTCTCGGCCTTCTTAGACGGAGGAGCGGCGGCGGCCTTCGCGGCCTGCGCAGCTTGCTTCTCCGCGAACTTGGCAGCCTTCTCTGCCTTCTTGCGCTCCTTATCCAACTCCTTCTCGGTCTTCACCTTCGGCGGTGCGCCACCAGCGGCACCAGCATCTTGGCCGGCGGCATGGGTAGAGGACGTCGCGGCGACCTGTGCCTTGACTTCGTTCGAGGCGGGAGGAGGCACCTCCTCCTTGAGGCCCTCAGTGGCGCCGACTGAATCAGAGAAAGGCATATTGTCAGCTTCAATGTCGATTCATAGAGGAATCAGGGTGGGCGAGGGGCATCGTGAGAATGTGGGGGTGGGTGGAGGGGTTGCGCACTGGGGTTTCCGCGTCCGCTGTCGGTAGCCATGGTGGCACGTGTCTGAAGAAAAGGTCGAAGACGAGGACGAACTGGTGGACGTGGACTGAGTATCGGAGGGCGCACACGGAGTGCTCGAAGAAATATTGATCTGGACGTGGTGGATATTTTGGCGAAGAAGCCCGGAGAGGTGGGCTTCTGTCTTGTGTCCAAATACAAAAAAAAACTCCAAAGGTTTCCCGATGAGGGGCAGGCAAATATGACTCGACGGTCTGCTTGCTGCAACTCGAATTTGACTCACAGGATTGGATGTCAACGGAGCGCAATGGAGGGGTCCCTCCCTTCATGCCATGCGCTAGCGATGCAACAAATCGGCGGCGCGGGGCCTGAGGCAAGCCACTTTCTTCTCCACTGTAGCTAGCACGCCCCGGTGGCTGCAAGCCAACAGCTGGAGGGCCCTGGCCCGGGGGCTTCCTCCTTGGGCAGGTCTTCCCAATTGGTATTGAAGTCATCATCATTTCTCTCCCTCTTTCCCTAACAAGCCCTTCCCACTGTCTGTAATTCCCCCGTTATCGCCGGCTGGCTCATAATTCCTTGCATTCCTGTCATTGAGGTTCAATTCGTCATTTTGAAGAGCTTTTGTGACATTGGGATTGCCAAGGGGGTACTTTGAGACCATACCTTTCTAGGGTGAAAACCCGAACAACACGAGAAAATTCGTGACGCGATGTATTCTCCAAGGACGCTTTCACGGCTCAACCACAACCTTCGAGGGCCTCTTCTGAGAAGATGGGCATCGAACTCGGTTAGATTCTCTGTTCATGGCAACGGCCAGAGCACAAAGGTACCATGCCCTATTACTCACCCAGTGCATCACTCTAACTTCGACAGGATAGCCTCATCCAAACTGTCAACCAGGGAATTAAGCAATTGAATGCCACAAAACAGGTGGAGAACGATGCTCTCGTCATTCTAGCATCCCGCCACTATGCCTCATGGCTGCAAGACGAGAAATTTATGTCGACCCTGTTAGAGCCATTCTCATCCACAGGTCCAAGCGAGCTGAGCGTTCTCGCCGCCGCAGTCGATGGCCTTCACCCGGTACAGCCCCTTGGCGAGATTCCACACGGCTTCTCATTTTACCATGGATCACGCAGATCCATTCTGCCAAACTTATGGCAGAGCAATCAGTCGAGGCCGCAGCGCGATTCAAAGTTGCAGGCGGCCATCACCTTCCGCCTCAACTCATTAGACCTAACTCCTTCCACTACCAACTGCACGCTACCCTTGGCCAATACGATTTTCCAGAACGGCCTGCAGTCAACACTTCTAGCCAGCCGCTGGCGTCGGTCAGGAGCTCGGCTGGAGCTCGCTCAGATGACCGAGCAACAGACTCAAGATGTTGACTTCTCCCGCGAACTCGCAACTTCGATGACCACCATTGAAGCGCCATTGGTACCCATCACTGCTCCTCGGAAGATTCTGGCCGGCCTTGGTAACATCATACGACAAATCGAAGTCGATGGCAAAGCCACGCCAGCTTCGAAGGAGCTCGAGATCGCCGTTCAGACGCTATTCGATAGGCGGTTGAAGGAGGGCCACGAATTTCCACCAGGCCCAGTCGGTGTCTGGGCTGTTGTCATCCCGCCTGCTACGACGCAGCTCACTGACGTGGAACGTATGGACGAGTGGGCGAACATGTTGAACGAAGACAGCATGGCAGAGGATGAGTGGAAGCAGGCATTGGAAATGAAGGGGCACGTACAAGGTTTCTTAGGCCACGGCGCCAGAGTCTATCGGATCTGTAAGTTCATCTCGCCTCACGTTCATGTCTTGGAGATAGACTGACCAAGGGATAGTGAGTGGTGGAGGCGGATGGGGAAAGAAGCAAGGCCTTCTCTCCCTCGACCCGGAAACCAAGTATTCGCCGTCCGAAGAAGACGACCTCGACAGCTTCATCCGGTCTTTTTCCAGCCAACACGACGGACACGCCCAAGAAGGTGTCGTCGCTCCCGGTTCATACGTTCAATATTTCGTGTCCCCTCCCGCGACCGCCAAGTCAGAACTGCCTCAGGGAGACGACACATCTACAAGTATCGCCTTCGGCGCCTCAGAGGCCTCTCTTGCGGAAAATTCCCCGTCCACCGGGGGCCCGTCGGGGTGGAAATTAAATCCCGACCACTTCGGCGCCGTGACAAGTCACGGTCTTTTTATTACCTCTGAGACTAACAAGTCAATTGATTCGAAACTCGACGCGCCAGACTCGTGGATTGGGTACTCGAAGTGAGGGATCGAATAGTGGTTGTAAATTATTGAGTGCCAAGCTCGTATATTGCGACTTGTAACATCAATTTTGACATAGACAAGAGCGCAATTTCTTCAACTAGATTTTGTTACTCAAACTTGTTTCTCAATTCGATTGAGAGACATTTAGCATTTCATCCGTTGTTCAGTCACAATCGGCTGTGCGCGGCAATAACAGGCCGGAAACTGACGCAATTCTGTAACTTGCAGCTTAGATCGCTGCAGGTGGATAGCTCATTCTCAACCTCCACAACTCAACCACTCCCAGACTCAGTCATAATCACTCAGTCATAATCAAAACCTCATCACCCAAGTCATAATGTCTACGAACGGCGTGACTCCTTCAAAGATTGGAGTCATCTCCATCGGCGACATGGGTGTCGGCATAGCCAAACTGCTTATCGCCAAAGGCTTCAATGTCGCGACCAATGTCAAGGGCCGCAGGTATTCACTCTCTCTTACTCACCCACCCATGCATCTCAGATTTCTAACACCCTCGCAGCGAAGACACCATCCAGCGCGCCCGTGACGCAAACGTAGAACTCATTGACTCAGACTTCGATCTGGTCTCCCAGTGCGCCGCAGTCCTCTCCGTCGTGCCCCCGCGCGACGCCGAGGCCACGGCCCAACGCATCATCGACGCCCTCCAAGGCGCCAAACGACCGGTGCCGCTCTACTTTGTAGACATGAACGCCGTTGCCCCGTCCACCTGCAAATCCATGTCCGAGAACTTCGCCCGCTCCCGCGCGCCCGCGGTCTTCATCGACGCCTGCATCATCGGCGCCCCGCCGCGCCATCGCTCGGCCCCGAACGCCGGCACCAACGTCTCCTCCTCCTCAGCCCCGCAGTCCGCCGACGATGACGATTGGTCCGTCCCCGGGATGCCCATGTCCGGCCCCCACAAGCTGGTCGACTTCCCGACGGCAGAGGGCGAGGCCGAGAGCCTGGGGGCGAGGTTGAGCGGCGTCCTCGGCGGCAAGCACATATCCCCCGAGATCGGCGCCGCGAGTGGGCTGAAGATGTGCTTCGCCTCCATGTCCAAGGGGTTCACCGCCCTCGCGACGCAGTCCTTCACCACGGCGTCGCGGCTGGGAGTTCTGGATCACCTGCGCGACGAGCTGTCCGCCAGACTGCCGACGCATCTGCAGTTCGCGGAGAAGGGGGTCACGACCATGCCGCCCAAGGCGTACAGGTGGGTGCGTGAGATGGAGGAGATTAGTAAGACGCACTCTGAGGAGGGGGGTTTCGGGCCGGAGATGTTTCTAGGCGCCGCCGGCGTGTATAAGGCAGTCGAGGAGTCGCCTCTGGGAGGGGAGAAGATTGGCAAGAGGAAGAGGGGCACGACGCTTGAAGATGTCGCCGCTGCTATGGCTGAAGGGTTCGAACGGAAGAAGAAGAAGACGGAATAATAGACGAAGCAAAGATTTCTGGAAGAGGCCTGGAGGTCGAACGAGACAAGAGACGTGGGCTGCAAAGACTACATTCACAGGAGATGTCACCGAGAGCGGGCGAGTGTACTGTTCATCAACCACTCTGCCGATCAATACCTCCTCTCTACGTAGTGAATGCCTATGGTATCTGCCGAACCTGAAAGTCCTCAACGCCCTGTACTGTGACCGACCGATTCTTACTTTCATGGACCCCTTTCCTCTTTATTATTACAGTGTACTCCATTACTAACGCCAAACCAATATTCATACATGCAGGTTTTTGAGACAAATGCCCAACCGGTCATCACACGTCCCACGTTACAAAACAGATAGAGTCAAGTCTCCCATGATGGCGGCCTTTAGCTCGATCTCCACCTGGAGGTTCATCTTGAGGTCCACGATGAACCCCCGTTCGCCATCGTTAAGGATGTCGCGCGGGTTCCTGGTCCGCGCCGGCAGAGGCCGGTCGCCGTCGTAATCTGGACCAAACTCCACACCAGGGGGCACGAGGGTGCCGTCTTCTGACTTCTCGAGGATGGGCCCCCTCAAAGAGAGGTCCATCTCCGTACGCGTCCTGATGGGACGCCGCCGGATAGGAGGCGGGCCAGAAGATGATGAACTGGACGTTGTGTCGGTATCCGACGCCGCGGAGGCAGGACCAGGCTCTCCGAGACGTGGGATCCTCCGGGGCGCGGAACGCCGCACCGGTATGGCTGGCCGGCGAGGTACCGGCTCAGTCAGTTGCTCATCTTCTGACGGCATTGAGGGCGCCGGCGCCGGTCTTGGATTTGATGAAGTAGGTCGTCGTGGCCTTGGCCGTTGCTGTCTGGCAGAGTGGGTAGGTGGTGTTGGCGGAAAGCGGCCTAGTTCCTCGACGTCACTCCCACGCTCACGATCTGAACCTTCTGATAAAGACCTGACGTCCCCAGAGTCTGACGGGGGCGGTGGGCGTGCAGACGGTCTCCTATGCCTCGGTGGCTGAGAGCTGGATCGCGGGCGTTGTGAAGAAGTGTTGCGTCTTGGTGCGCGCCTGTTATTGGTGGTGTTTGATGATGGCGAGGAGCCCTCCGTGTGCTGGGCAGATTCCATCCCGTGTTGGCGATGGGTATCTTTTTACGAGGCCCGACGAACAGATGATGACGGAATATAGGGCGGTTAAGAGTTGTTGAATGTCTCCCGGAACGGAACGGGAGTGCCAGGCCAGCGTCAGAGACAGCGCGCAACGGTTGCGTATGTTGCGCTGATCTCGAAAGTAAGATGTTAGAGCTTGGGGAGTTGAAACAAACCCTCGTGTCGCGCGCTCTCAGTCAGGTTGTCTGTTTAAAGTGTTGATCGACGTGTTCACGATTCAGTCGCGAGGGGAACAACGACAGAGCGGCGACAAACTGAGAAACGGTCGTCGCTGGCAGATATAAGTCGATGTTATTACCAGCAACCGTCATATTGTTGCGTTGCCATTATCGTCGGTCCGTTTAGGTCGCAGGCGCGGTGAGAATAAGCCCTCGGTGACCCCGAATTGCTTTAGTTTGGTTGATGGCAACTCACCGTACTCTCCATCTTTGTTGCAACAATTTCCAAGGTTTGGGATGACGGCAGAGGTGGAAGAGGCAAGGAGGCAAGGCGTTGAGGAGGGCGGCAAGACTGGGGCCGGGGGAGATGGGGTGCTGACTGCTGCCCTTCCTCAATTACGGTGCGTGCAGCGGGAGGTGGTGCTGCGTGCATGCACCCTGACGTTGCAGGTTGGACGTGCGCTTGGCGGGGGACCTGGGGCGATTTTCCTTGGTTTTTGGGGAATGTTGCCAAGTTGCATGTCACATGCATGGAGGGTCCCCTCGATCGGAAACTTGATTTTTGGGTGGGCAGCTTTTCGTCGTGGGCCTCCCCAATTAGGCATGTCCCTTGTTTCGACAACCTCAACATGGGAGCACTGCGACTGCAATGCGGCTGTGAGGCGAACGGACAGAAGGTTGGTTGGACGTCCTCTTTCAGGATTTGGGGACATGATCGGCAGAAGCCAACAGGAACATCGGCATAATAATCTTGAAATATCTCGAAAACCGGACCGCCGGAGGGCAGCCCGACAAAGGGTCCAAACGCATGATTGGTGCCCTGACCTTGACTTGATCGTTCCACGTCGTGGAAGTTGGTCCTTTGAGGATAGGTGGTGGTTATTGTCGGTTCTACTGTATAAGGGTCCACGATGCTATTGGCGTGTTCAAACCATGGCTTTCTGGACATCTGGTTCTCCACGTGTCAGGGCTTGCTCCCTCCCATATCTGTTGATCTCGTGACTCTTCCAATGCGTCCAACTCTGCAAGTTTGCATAAACTTAGACATGCAGGCGAACTTGGATCACTCAATCATGTCGATATCGTCGTTGGGGGCTGCAGTCGCGGCTGCAGCATTCGCGCCACCGTTGGCCTGAGGCGCAGTCTCCTCGGAGTTTCCTCCGCCGAAGTAGTCCGCCATCTCGGCATCGAGCTCCTCCTGCGTCTTACGGGTCCGGTTCCTACCGCCTCCACCACCTCCACCACGACCACCTTCCTGGTCTCGTTGTCCCTCTCTGCGGGCACCCGGTCTGCGTCCGCCACCGCCGCCGCCGCCGCCACGTCGACGCGGCATGGGGCTACGCGAGCGGGTTCCCGGGACGTATCTATCGATTCCCTTGCTCGCAGCGTCGTCGACGTCGTACTTGCGACCGGGAGACAATGACCTTGATCTGCCTCCGGGTGCAGAGATGCGCTCGGAGAGGGGACGGCCAGGCATGACCGCCGAGTCGAAAGGATTGCGAGATCGACCGCCGTGCCCGCCTCCCACAAAAGACAATTTGATAGGTTGTCCTGCAGCGAGTTAGCGTCGGACAGCCGCAGCTTGGGTCCAGGGGACAAACCATTGGCGTTGGCACCATCAAACTCCTTGATCGCTTCCTGAGCGTCTTCGCGAGATTGCATCGTGACAAACGCAACACCCTCGGACCGTCCGGCGCGGTCGTACTTCAGGTCCACCTTAACCACGGGTCCAATTCTGTTGAACAGCTCCTATGTCTTCTTTTAGTTCTGCGCCGGTATTCCCTCTTCTCGCCTGGTTTGCCATACCTCGAGGTCCTCAGACGTCAGCTCATAGTGTATATTCTCGACGCGTAGCTTTGAGCTGCTAGCATCTCTGTCGTATTTGTGAGCCTCGACCCAGGTTATCGTGCGTGTAGGTCTTACCTGTGATCAGGCTCGTCGCGTCTTCGTCGGTTGGCCGGGCCGCGGCGAGAATCTATCGGATTTAGCCATGCGAAGGGGATTCGAAGCTCTTCAAGGCATACCGTGTTCTTCGAAACGATCGTGGACCCATTCACTGCCCCGGCGTCAGCGTACACTCGATCATTGGGGTATTCACAAGCTTACCTATCGAGGTTTCTGGACTCGTCACGGAACGACTGTATCGCGGGGCGGCGACACCTGTTAGCTAGGCCCTACCAATTGAGACGAAGCGGTCCCGGTCTTCAACGAGGTGTCCAGCGCGGGCCGACAGCTGCGGAAACGGAGTCGACCGGGAGGAGGGAGGGTCATTGAACCTGGCCGGTGAGCGTGATGATCTACCGCGCGCAGGCACTCTAGGGGGCGCGTCGTACCTTTCTGACGCCATCACGAGGGTATTCTTGACGTTCGCGTTCGCGCCTTCGAGGACCACCACCGCCACCGCCGCCACCGCCTCTGCGGTTGTTGCGAGGACCGTCGCTTTTCTGTCGATGCATCGTGTCAGCTTGGTCTGGGCATGTCGCGTGAGGCTGCGAGTGTACGTACCTTTTCAGCGAGGATCTCGTCGAGACTACGGTCCATCTTGTCCGCCATGATGATTAAGTGAGAAATACGTTTCTCCGGGGATAAGAATGCAAAGAAAATCCGTCGGATTGAGCACTGATGATGTTTACCCTTCGGCCTTCTGGGGGTCGGGTTTGCTGCAGAAAGGATGTTGGCGGCTGAGCGCTAACGGAGTCGACGGAGCAGCCGACCGTGTGGGGAGCGGTCGCAAGTCGTGGTCGTGCCGACCGAGTAGCTGCTAGGTTCGGCTTTCCTGATTGGTCCAACACGAATTGGCTATGTGGATGGACGGGAGAAGGTGCTAAGCAAATTCCATTGCTGAGAATAGCCTCCAAGTGTTCCCAACTTTGGTGGACCCCCACTGCAGGTCTCAGGGGTCCCGCTGAGGGCCCCGTACAGTTAATCAGGACCAGACCCCCTTCTGAGCCATTCAAAGTCTTAGCACCTCTCAGCGTCCCCGTCGCACGCTGGTCGCAAGTTTACAGCGCTGTTTCGCCCGTAAACCTCGCCGCCCTGCGTGCTGTTCGAGCTGAGGCAGATTAATCCGGGCCGGAGTTAGTCCTCGACGGGAGATGACGCTAAGCCCCTTTTGTGAGCCCAACTGCAACTCGAGCGTAGAGCTGTCCTCCCAATGCGCATCCCTTGATCGACCTGCTAATACCAGCCCGTCAACGTGGGAATCTCGTATCTGGCCAAATTTCTCGTTCCTTTCCCGCCAGAGAGACACGAGAAGGAGCGCCTTTTCTCGACTTCTGTCCACTTGCACGGTCCCCCCGTCTCTCACATCCTTTGAAAAGAATTACACTCTTTCGATACCTCTACATTCCAAGCCACAGGATCCCGCGCCGAGCCGAAAGCTACCACAACTACCCTTGAGGATCCAGCTGCTTGCGCGAAGCGAATCGAAGCGAACCCGTCGACGACAAACCCTCCCGACCTGCGATTCCAACCTTTATGATTTCCGCGCCGCTCGTCACCTCCGCGTGAGCACACAGCACCCATGGCTCGCCCCATGGGGTCAGTCCGCTTGAAGAAGGCGAACCCGTTGACTCTGATCCTCGGAACCGTCCTGTGCATCTTCATCATCGTCTTCCTCGTCGGTCCCTCCAAATCCTCCAAGCCAGAGCCCGCCGGCACCGCATCTCATCACCTCTCGCCGCCCACGGCACCCTACCGAAAGAAGTCCAAATCCGACACGAGACCGCCGCCCGTCGTCCGCTACAACCTGAACAATGTCACCATCACCCCCGACCCAATTGCCAACCAGGAGGTCGTCCTCATCCTTACGCCCATGTCCCGTTTTTACCAGGGGTACTGGGATAACCTGTTGAACCTCAACTACCCTCATGAGCTCATCTCGCTGGGCTTCATCCTACCCAAGACTAAGGAGGGCAACGCCGCAACTCTCGCGCTGCAGGAGCAGATCACCAAGACCCAGAGCATGGACAAGAAGTTCAAGAGCATCGTCATCATGAGGCAGGACTTTGAACCAGCTATCGCGTCCCAGGACGAGGCGGAGCGTCACAAGATGGAGAACCAGAGGGCCAGGCGCGCCGTTATGTCCAAGGCTCGCAACTCGCTCTTGTTCACCACTTTGGGCCCCCAGACCTCTTGGGTTCTGTGGCTCGACGCCGACATTGTGGAAACGCCGCCATCCCTCATCCAGGACCTGGCCGCCCACGACAAGCCTGTCATCGTGCCCAATTGCTTCCAACGATACTACAATGAGGACTCTAAGAAGATGGACGAACGCCCGTACGACTTCAACAGCTGGCAGGACAGCGAGATCGCGCAGAAGATGGCCGAGACCATGGGCCGCGACGACATCCTCCTCGAGGGATACAAGGACATGCCGACGTATCGCGCATTGATGGCGTATCTGGGCACCGACGACAAGGACAAGAACATGGAGATCCCCCTCGACGGCGTTGGTGGCACGGCGTTGCTGGTCAAGGCCGACGTACATCGTGACGGCGCCATGTTCCCACCCTTCGCATTTTACCACCTCATCGAGACCGAGGGCTTTGCCAAGATGGCGAAGCGCTTGGGTTGGCAACCGTTCGGACTCCCCAACTACAGAGTAAGCAAACGACCCCTGAGACCACGTCGTGCAATCGGCTCAGCTGCTGACAATCCATAGGTCTACCACTACAATGAGTAATGACTAAGCGTCATGACTGGACGCGGAGAAAGAACAGCGCCCATCACGTTTCGTCCAGAGGTGTCAGCGACGCGGACAACTGGCGCACCCATCCCCTCCATTTCGGCCGCCGCCAGCAGGTAAACGGTGGCGGCGACGGCATCACGAATTTACGCGCGAGCCTTCTTTTTTACCATTGGAGACCTAGGCCTTTTAGTGTGCAGATACCCATCCATCTGTATCTTGCCGACATAATTGCATTTACAATCTCGGGGGAGGGGAGGGGGGCAGAGGCGAAAAAAGTAGGGGGATGGCGTTTTGTAGTATATTTTGCACATCACAGAGCAACCACAAACCACACACAGACACACGCACAAACTTCATCGAGGCGACGGCGGGTTCAAGGGCCAGGAGTCAGGGAAATGGTTCGGGGAACAGACAGGCCGCGCGAGAGAGAAGGGAAGGTAGCCTCAAGGGAGCAAAGATGTAAATGCGTACGAAGTGTGTAAGAATAAACGAGGCGCGAGGAATCGCAAGGACGGCGGGGGAAACGGACCAAACGGATCGCGCACAAGAACAAACTTGCAGCATTAGAAGGAGTCTCTTTACGTTCCATCTCACAGCAGTCTTCCTTCAAACGTGATAAACTTGTTATTTGTTTCCAACGACGATGAGATATTCCCTTTCCGATTCTATAATTACAATCTGGACAAGCAGCCTTTCAGATTTCCTAACCCACACGCGCCATCCCGTTCCGATTACCAAAAGTGTTATTCAACCCTCCCAAAAACCCGCTTCCGATATCCAATCCCGTTTCCCTCCTCTCCCTGCCGTCAAATTCTCATCCTTGGCACACTGCCCACGCCCTATCTGGAAGCAGGGATGTGGTAACGCATTGAGACCTTCCAGATCCCCTTGCATCCAAACATGGCCCCATCACGATAAGCAAGCAACACCACCACCAGTCAACAACCCGCATCGTGGCCTCTTTTCACACCGCCGCCGCATCATGGCCCTTCGTACCTCCCCTCGTCGTCCCGACACCAAAACTCGACGAGCGCCCTCGTGCCCAGGACGTCCCCGCCGCGGAGCAGCGCCGCGACGTCGACGTTGAGCGGGGAGTCCGTCTCCGGGTACGCCAGGAGGGTCCGCACGGCGCGCACGCTCTCGAGCACGCTGTAGGCCGGCGTCCAGGCGTCCTTGAGCAGGTCCAGGCAGATCTCGCCCGTCTGGAGGGCGATGTTGGCGTGCACCACGGGCGTGGCGAAGCGGATCGTCGGCGGGCGGAGGGGGTAGTCGGTCGGGATGTTGATCTCGAGGAGCCAGCGGCCTTCTGTGGTAATCGTTAGCCGTGATTTTGCGCAGGTGTTTTTATATGAGGAGAGGAGGATGGGTAGATGGAGGGTGACCCGTCCCGTCCTGAGGTTTCACAGATGGGAAGGGCGTGCGTTTGAGATTTCTCGTACCATCGTATCCGTTCCCGATGCCCCGGCCATTGATCACGGCCTCCCATGAGAGCAGGTCCTCGTCGTTGACGGGCCCCAACCTCTCGATGCCCCTCTCGTCCGTCTGCTCCGCGCGCCAGACGTCCAGCTCCTTGATGAGCCGCTTGATCGCGCCGCGGCCGTTGGACGACGAGGACGACTTTGACTTCTTCTTGTTGCTGCCGGCGCCGGCGCCGGCCGGATTCGAGCTAGAATCGGGGAGGTTCTGGATGCGCCACGACATTTTCGGGGCGAGGGCGACGGACGGGTGAGGATGCGAAAAAGAGGGGGAAAGGGGTCGGCTGGTGCTTGGCTTACGGCCCAATCGATGTCTTTAATCGGTCGGACCAGGTTGCCGGGAGCGAGGAATGTGAGATGTTCGAGGAGGGTAGGTTCACGTGGCGGTCGACTATCGCGAGTCGGAAGCAATCGCGTTACAGTACTGGATGGCGTTGTCAAATCTTCGGATGAGAGCTCTCGAGCTTTGGACGCCAGGCAAGGTAGCGCAGCGCTTCCCCAACGTCCCGTCTGCCCTTGCCGATTAAAGGTATGACGCGACAGGGGCCGTGGGTCCCGCGGGTTCTACCGAGGCTCCTGAACGACGTTTGGGCCAGCATTCGGCCCCCCTGATTTGCAAGTGCTCCGCAACATTGCATTCCCCAGACTCCAGGTATTCAGTCGTCATTGATTTGTTCGTTGCGGTCAAGTACACCAAGTTCACGGGGTTACCACTATCAAGTGCTCGGGAATATGTTCATTAATATTTGTCTACGTCGCGATTTGTCCATCGTCTAGAGGGCTGAAATAGCCGGCCGGCCAAAGAACTAAGAGGACGCTGCAAGCGCGCCTCGACTTGTCTGCCTCCCTTTCTTTTCGCCTTCCTAAATTCGCAATTCATCCGGAGTATGTCCAGAGAACGGAAACAAAACCGTTGAACCAAATGTTTCCGCCCCTGCATAGTGCCTAAAGACATTTGGCCGCGTACCTGCTATGCTCATGCAACTTGCTGCTCATGCTATCATCACAAAGAACGCCGAATCCGTGTCCCAAAAAAGCTCGTCGTTGGCTTGGCTCTACATATAGCAGAGACCAGCATCGAGCTGGAGATGCTTTTCATCTGGTTGTAGGAGTATGTTGATGTTCGGTGTTGTCTGCCGAACATGTTCGCTTCCGAGACGTGGCTCCTTTTCCAGTTAAAAAAGACATTATCCCGCCGGACAGACTCGCCGAGAGAGAAGGTGTAAAAAAGTTGTACAAGAATTCCATATACATGCGTCGTGAGGTAACCTCTATGGGCGGAGGAAAGACCTGGGTAGACGGTGACCAATCACCCGGTCTTGTTGGTGAGGAACAGGCGACATCTTGACGGTCCTACGCCGAGTTGTCTTCCTTAGGCTTCCAAAATCGCATCATCCGACTGAGTCGCTTTGACTTGCTGGACTTATGTTTCTTCTCAGTCTCGCCGTCGTATGAAACCTCCATCGAGAGCTTGCTTCTCTCGCCGTGGGAGCTGCTAATGAGTCTGCTCAAACTGGCCAGGCTTGATCGCCGACGGCCAAACGCGGCGGAGGACACAGATACCGGTCGTTGCTGGTCGGTACGGCCGCTGTCCGGCCTGAACTGAGGGTTGGTGACGAAAGAACTGTCCCTCGTCATTGTGGAGTGGCTGGAGGTCAACGACGGGATATCCACCGACAGCCTGACTTCAGGACCAGGCTCGCCCAGAAGCAGAGACTGGAAATTGTTCTCCTCATTAACTGAAGAAGGCGCCGTTGAAATCCTTTGAGCGTCGTAGGACATTGGCGAGCGGGGCGACGGGAACGAAGAGGCGTGGCTCATCGAGTAAGGACTGACAGGGACGTTCGAGGGCGTCGGCAAGTGCAGAGGGCTGACATCAACGGGAGCCAAATCTTTACTCGCAAGGATTCTGCGAGGTGAGGGAGTCTCCGAACCAGTCGATTCCGCCTTGTCATGGAACAGAGAGGTTGTTCGGAATTCAGGAATGTCGGGCATTTCTGGCAGAGGCTCCTCAGGAATCGCTAGTTCATGAAGAGACGTCACAGATCTCTCGGACTTCATGCTGTTACGCTTCTTCAGATCCTGGTTGGCAGCCGCAGGAGGCACGTCGGTGCTGCTGTTGTCAGTGCTGGTGGTGTTGAGACCGAGCATGGGGTTCTTGGCTGTGACGGCAGGAGGCGTCGCCTCGTCGCTGGAGGATTCCGAGTCCTGTCGGGCAGCGGCCCGCCGAGCAGCGCTGCGACTCTGGGATGTGGACTTGACACCGTTCTCGTCGTCTTCCTCATCTTCCTCGAAGACGTCGGCCATTGTCGAACTGCTACCAAAACGATGGATACCGAACCGGGCGCCCTCGAACGGAACCATCTCGGGCGCGCTCTCAGCTCGCCGATGGTAGTGCATGCCTGGACCGCTGAAGCCCTTCATGCCTTGCGCGCTGTGCAGCTGGCGCTTAGAGGAACCAGCTTTTTGGGCCGCGTCCCACTCAGGGTTGTTAGGAAGGGGTGTGTTGAATGGACCAAGCGCAGCATCCAAGTCGATCATGGGGAACGAGGTATCGTCCTGGGCAGACACAGGTCGCGGCTTCCATTCTTGAAGGGCCTGCGGCTGGCTCGATGAGTCTGTCACGACCAAGGTTGGAGTTACAGGCTCCACGTCGATTTCGGGCTCGGCGAGGAACACTTCTTCCTTTTCCTCTGCGGGTTCAGCTCGAACAACAGATTCGCCAGAGAGGTCCAGATCTTTGCACTTTTTGGACCGCCGCTTATCCTTGCGTGTCAAGATGGAACCAGCCCAATTCTTAACCTTCTTCTTCTTCTTTGACTTCCTGCCGTCTTTGCTGTGAGGATCGGAGGCTTCTGATGCGCCAAAAGATTCCGAAATATGCTCAGAAGAAGAAGATGCGGAGCTATTAGGCTTGGATGCCGACTCGGATGAGCTCGAGCTGACAGGTCTGGCGCGCAGTGGCGATGCCGCGGCAGCAAAAGGGTCCAGTCCAAAGAATGACCACCGCTTTGGCGTCTTAGAAGGGCTGGGCATCGGCGGGCCAACGGTACCTGCTTCGGGTACGTTGATAAGGGTGGGAATCGAGTTTCGTCTTCTGGGTGATGCTCCAACAGACTGGATACTTTGAGACCGCTCCAGCACCGCACCAGCCGTGCTAGGTCTGGATTCGTTGGTTTGCCGGGACGGGGTGAGGACAAGTGGAATCACGGGCTCTGTCTCGGCGTTGGCGAGCGTCGGAATGGAGATGATGGAGGAGATGCTGCCAGAAACGGAGTGCCCACCAGGTCGAGCAGTCACAGTGCTGGAGGTGTCGCTAGAAACCATCGAAAGGGGTCGCGGGATGAATTCCAGAGTATCAGAGAAGCCAACACGAGCGCGTGTAACTGGCCGGGCCACAGGAGACGCTCGGCCACTCGAGCTGGCTGATCCATCCGAGGGCGTGTGCAATTCTCGAGGCACTTTTAAGGATGGTTCAGACTCGACGTATTTCAGCGTCCTTTCGTCCTGCCTGTCTGGCTGGTTCTCCAAGCGCCTGTTGCTGTAGTCGGCAGGGCTTGTCGGTGCGCTGCTTCCACGAGGGGGCCCTGAAGCGGGGGGCTGGAGAATGAGGGACAGGTCATGGCCTGAGAGCGCGGCAGAGCGCCGGTGCTGATGGCCTCGACGCCCTGGGGGTTTAGGAGGTGGTAGTTGGAAACCTCCGGGTGCAAAGCCACTCTCTGGTCTTGTTGGACTGGTGCTCGCAACAATAGAGTCCCCAGAGCGGATGCTCCCACCAACAAACTCGCTTCCTCCTCGTCTGTGGCCATGACCAGGTCTGGATGCCGAAATGGAGTTGGGTGACGGTATCAGTCTTGGGGATACCGGTGGAGGAGAAAGCGGAGGCGGGGTGAACAGCGCGGTTTCGGGTGACAGCGAAGCACCCGGGTTGAATGTGAAGTTGGGAAGCGCTGGAGACCTAGAGGGGCGGTCAAAGGTGTCCCCAAACGGAGAAGAGCGGTCCTGGATTTCGATGGCAGACAGAGGGCGTCTGCCAGTGGCCCTCGAGAAGGACGACGGCGCGGAAGCGGACGAGGGCCTCGCCGGGAAGACGAAGGGGGGGTTCGGCAGCGGAGGCATTGTTCGCGGTGATGTTTGGGGGCCTGAAAAGTCGGTTGTGGAAGAGGTTGAATTATCCAGCATTGCCGGGAGAGGAAGCGATTGCATCGAAGGATCGTCCAGAAGCTGAGGACCGGGTGTTCCCATAATACTCTCAGGACCAACAGCCGTTGCCATTCTCGACACAGCCGCTCTGCGGCAGTCAAGGACAATGAGAAACTAGGCGTCGGACATAGAAAGTCGGGTTGGAGAAGGGAGTCGTCGGGAAGTGAATCGGAAAGTCGGTCGGACTTTTTGACGTGGACGACGCGTATAGGACAGGTTGCGAGGCGAAGATGCTTGTGATTAGTTCTGTGGCATCAGACTTAGCAAACCATAATGATTTTGTGGTGCTCTCGGTCGTGACACAGAATGATGGGAAGAACTGGCGAACAGGCGAGGGCGAGGGCGAGTAAGCACCTTTTTTTTTTGGGATGTGGTCGAATGCGGCGCGTTGACGATGGGAATTGGACGAAATTGGCGATTCACGAGACGAGTGCGTACGTACGTGATGGAGCCGGTCGACCAGGTAAGACAAATGCTATTTATCGAAGTTGAAAATTGAAGAATCAGTTAAGGAGCGGACGGTACAAGACCAGAAGCAAATCTGCAAGATTCACAACGGGAATTGGACCACGAAGCTGAAGTCAAAAAATCGACGACGGCGTCGAAAGGGTTTTGGGGGGAAGAGAGTTGATAGGAAGAAGAGGGGGGTTGCGACGCGGAAGACTAAGAGAAGGAGGATGGGATGGATGGGTGGATTTGGGATTAGAATTGGGGACAGACACCACACAGAGAGGCACCAAGAGACCAGTGGTGTCCACACACACACCAACACACTACGAGCGCGAGAGAGGAAGCGACGAGTCGGGTGCAGCGGTCGGGGTGTGGGAGGTGGAAAAGAAGGGGTGGGGTGTAGAAGGGAGGGCTTCAGGGAGGGTGTGGAGGGAAAATCTGAGTTGGGTTTGAACCGGGGGTGAAGGCAGGCAGGCACTGGCAACTGGCACTGCAGGCACTCGCACTCTCTCTCTCCAAAGAGGGAGAAGGAGGAGGAGGGACGACAGGGACAGCGACCAGGAACCAGAACAGGAACAGACAAAGCAAGGCAGGGGACGAGGGACGAGGGACGGTCCTGCTGGTCCTGTAAGGTACCGCCTGAGGAGAGGCAGGGGGCCCAGTTAGCCATCGCGCGCACTTACCACGCAAGTTCTCTATTGAGGACAGACGAGTACCACACTCTGCAGGAGCGAAACACTGCAGAAAGGTACCTTCCGGTTACTTTGTGCTCTCCAGCTGCAGGCAGGTCCGACACGCCAGAGAATAAGGTGCGTACCTTACAGACAGTCTGTCGTCTGTACAGAGTAAGGCAAGTGCAGGCACATCGCGACCTCAGGCATAGGCACAGATGCTTCCACTAAGATTTCATTGCAAACTGAAATCTGGAAACTGGACTTGCGCAGCGCAAAGCGGCTCTTGTGACCTTGCTTGTGCCATGATTTCAGAATCTTAGAATTGGAATTGCTATTGCAATGAATTGCACACTGGTAACCTACGCTTAGAGGAGCCCAAACCAACAACACCTTCCGTTGTTTCTCAGAGTACGCGCTCGCTCCTGTCTTTCTCACCCGACACATACTCTCAAGGCCAGCTACCTAGTACCTTACTCTCAGACTCGAATCACTGCGCGAAGCTTCTAAAGCCTTTCCTTGCTGAGGTAGCGGACAATTCGACAGTCCTCTCTCCGCTGCTTTGCGCATCGCTTCCTGCGCTTTGCTTCAAATGCAAATTCAATCAAAATTTTCTGTCATTCCCATAATGTTATCCCTTCCAGTTAGGTACTTGCGGAGTATTCATGCCCGTCTCGCCGCGCTGTCACCACTCTGCGTTCACACGCATGCGCCACTACTCAACGGGCCCTGGCAGATACTTGTGCGGCTTGCAGCCTGTACCTCTCTGTACCTGCGCTGGGCAGCTGGCGTCTCAGCAAACCGACCACTCAAAACCATCCTGTGCCTGGCAACCTAGGCGGTCGCTGAGGTGAAGTGAGCTGGTGAGCAAGGCGGTGTTGGCGCCAGCAACTGCCAGCAAACTAACCAGCTCTAGTACATCAGCAGTTCGCACTAAGACGCGGCCGTCTCTACGCGGCCACAGCCCAGGCCACAAGCTGTTCTCATCCCTCGAAAATCAATGGCTCAATGGCTGCTGTCGGTACCTTAACTTTGGAGTGAGGGACCGCTAGCCGTTGAACCGGCGAGCTCCTGTCCACTGGCCGTTGCGTCGTGTCGCGTTGCGTTGCTACCTAGGCAGAGAACCCCCTTTGCCATTTGGCGTCGATGGCGACGTCTACAATGTTTCCCTCGCCATCAACAACGCGCCGTTTGATTGTTTGCCGCTCTTTGTCTCATGCCACGCTGCCAGATTCATACTTTGCCAAAGGGAATCTGACTTTATCGAAATGGTTTTGCCATAGTCTGAGACCGTTGCGGGTGGATCTGACAATGATTCGCCTGCAAGTCAAAGGAAACGGGAACAGGGGCTAGAGAAAGTCCAAGTCCTGTGCACCCTCAAGGTAAATAGTGTGTCGTGCATTCGACCTCCAGTATTCCTCATGAGAAACTGGAGTACAATCGCCGAGTACGTACCACGTACGTACCTCGAGATTCCATCTTCAAGTGCAATCAAATACCTACCTCCAGCTCTACACGACGACGGCAAGGCACCACAAGCGCATCCATGAAAGCCATTGAAGCCATGAAGCCATGAAGCCGAACGGCGCGCACGGCCGGCGCAAGAAACTTCCCTTCAGAATAGAAGCCGCTGGATGAACAGCTAGCGCCTGCCCGAATATACCACCTGCCTCAGCTAACCCATAACTCTACCAGACATGGCGCAAATCCCGCACAAGCAGCAGAAACAACAACAAAAACACGACCTCGACTTGGACATGGCCGGCAGACCAGCTACGCAGATAGCGAGCTTCCGTTACCTTAGCTTGCCTTACCTAAGGGTAGCTCAGTTCAGCTCAACCAACGGCAACTCCGCCCTTGGTGCCGATACCAACCGGAGAAATCAATCTGACCTGATGCTAAGAACAACGACCAGACGACCAACACATGGCACACGCAAACCAGACGAATCATCACGTCGCCGAACTGCCCAATGGAGACTTGTCCTGACAGACAATTACCTCTCCAGGCACAGAAACGGCCTATCCTCCTTCGCCCACGCCCCCTCCATCATCGTTCCCCCCTTGCGGCAGCAGAGAAAGCAAGAGGCAGAGCCTCGACGTCGTCGAAAGAAGAGAAGAGACGAAAGACCGCAAAATCGAGTCCGGCCAAGTCAAGTCATGTCATGTCATGTCGTCCTGTTCACTCTTCACAAATACCTTGGACGGCACAAGCAAAGCACAGCACGGCTCCCAGCGCTCACTTACACTTTCGCTTCGCACTCTAACCTAGCTCCGAGCATATCGTCCTCGTCCTCTTATCCTCCTGCTCCCCGACCCGGGCGACCCGGCAAGTTTCAACTTTCCAGAAAAGAGCCTCCACCGAATTCTATCACATCGCATCTGCTCGAGTTCGGTTCTATTCCACAGCCACGCCGCACCTCGAGTGGTCTATTACCAACGCCTCGGGTTCTGGCTTGATTCCGAGACCACAAACAAAGCGGTCAAGCAGCGCATGTGCGTGTGTATGTGTGTGGGTGGGCACAGTCATCAATGGAAGTCAGAATGTGGCTGCTTCATCGGCGCTGAGGCTGGCACCTCAGCCGAATACCTCACTCTACGTGCAGAATACTATCTCTGCACAGATGCAACGGTCGCTTGTGACTGGCTCTGCGTCTCGAACCGGGGACGGTCAACGACACAAAACGAAGGGCGCCAAGTCTTCTTCGTCACTTTTGCTCGCTCCCACTCGGCTGCTGGGCCTCACAGCGCCCGCACGCCCCTAGGCCTTGAGGAACGGCGGACGAGGACCACCCCAAGCCTCATAGACCCCTCCCATCTCCATATTAAATCAATCGGCCAGATGACCGATAGCACCTGGCAGATCTGCTTGCTTTTTTTTCTTAGTCTGGCAAAGCCCTGGAGGAACACCTGCGGTGACAAGCCGTCAGACGCCAGCATGGGGCCAGAGCATCGCGCGCTGAACTACATGCAAGTCACCGGCGTCGACCTCGACTTCACGTTTGTGTTCTGGGACGATCTTTTACTTTCGTTCGTCTCCCGAGTGAGTGCCACCGAGATATCGTCTGTCACTTTCGACCTGGCCACCTTGCACCCAGGTACCTTTGTGAAGAGCGATTGGCCTCCTACAAGCACACCAGACGATGGGATGGGGTTATTACCTTATTTCTCCCAAGTTTCCCGTATTTGACGCCCCCCGATTCTCGAGCCCCGGCCAATTAGTGGGGGAGCATGTCACAGTTGGAGCTGGATGGAGGCAACACGACGCGACCCCAGATGGACCTGTGCCTCTTTCTATCTGGCAGACCAGGTTGCTCTGCAGTCTGCACAGAGCGCCCGTTGCCGAACTCACCCGGTTGCAGGGCTTGACGGGTACGCTGGGTTGTGTCAATTCACGGGCATATTGCCGGCAGCTGGTTCGAACAAGCCACGGCGGTTCTTGAGACTCATCTATCGAAGCTACGGCGGAACAAAGAGATCATCACGCGGCATAAAGTCTAAAGTTTGTTTTCCTATCGCGTTGCCACGGCTTGGAGCCTCAACTTGACTCAGTCGCCTACGTAGTAGGGCTTCGGAGCCGATCAACTGGCGGCTGCGGGTGCCAGTTGCAACGAACGACTCGGTCCGCCGCCGTCACGATGATGCCAGCCAACGCTTACCGGTCGATAGACAGCGGGAAGGTTCTTTGTGCAACAGCGCCGTTTCCACGCGGCTCCAGAGCGAAGGACAAAGAGGCGAAGCTCTTCAAACGCATACCTAGCCTGTTCTCGGCTCAGCACCCTTCAATTGTTTCGAGTCGTCCATCGCAACCAGCATCAACAAACAGACGACTCCATCCTGTTGCCGGTCGACCCTGCCATGCATGCATCAAGAGTTGTCCAAAGCCGCCGTCTCCTTCACCCTGAGAGTTGCAGCTGCAGCTGCAACCGATAACCTCCGCGCCTCCGTCTGGCTCCAACCAGCTGGCCTGTCAATCACTTGTGTCGCATCCAACCCACCCACGCGAATGCAGGTTAGAGGGAGTGCACAGACGGACCTGCATGACGCCACGTACCAATCGACACTGAATTGAGATTCAGCGGCCTGATAACAACACGAACGAAGTTGCGGTCATGAGTCGGCAGATTTTACGACGGTGCAATAGCTCGACATGGCATGCCGTAGTACGGGCAATGGCAGCCTTCAACCCGCGCCCGACTGCTCGGAAACTTTGGACCGGTAATACGTCGAAAGTTGGGATTATCTGGTCGGTGCCTACCGCGAAGTACGACACCGCGGATTCCATCAGACGCACTTGCATGGGGAGATCAGGACCTGTTTCCCCTTGCGAGCCCTCTCATCTCCTGGCAAGGGACAAAAATCCTCCTCGTGATGATGCTTTGCCTCCTTGGCTGGCAATTATCCCCACCAGACCGGGGTGGCTCAGTCCTCAATGAGACCCTATTTCGTCCTGTTCCCTTGTCCTGTTTCCCTTCCCCAACCTCTCGTCTGTCTCGCGAGCGCGGCTCCAGTCCAAAACATCCTGACTTGCATCATTTCATATCCGATCCGATCTGCCAAATTGTTCTAAGAATACCCATCTTTCCCGCGCCAGCCTCCGACCCTCAGTCGATGTTTGCTGGCGGCAAATCAGAGCGCACCGCACCGGGTCCTGTCGAATTGCGGATGACCCAAGGTAATCTCGCCTGGCAGATGACTAGCAGCCTCTTTCAGCAAACCCCACGCCGCCCACGCCTCGGTAATGAAATGAAGCGGTGGCCAAGTCATCATAAAATTTCTCGACGCCGGCTATTGTTCAAATTTTGTGCCAGCTGTCTTTACCTAATCTCAATCTCACTCGTCGAGATCAAACGACGCCGGTGATCCCTGCTTCAGGTGGCCAAGCACCCATCGTCTTGAGGATCAGTCGGGGCCCTCACAACGGGAACCTGGGGTCGGAGTCTGGGATAACCAAGTTTAACACGACCCGGAACGCGTACGGGACTTCTCGATTGGTCCAACGCGCAGGGATGGCGAGTCCAAATTCTGACATTGGGTGACCAAGTTGGCAACTTGAGACTGAAAAGGTCTGCCTCGCTCATCTCGGCAGCCTCACGAGCCACCACGGCACCGGACATCAGCCGTCATCTGCTGGCCGGTGCGAGTTGGTGTATCCGTAATTCTATCGAAATCTGTCTGATTACCTTGTCCCGCTGGCTGTCCAACTGCCTGCGCCTCCCGCTCTTCTGTCATCCCAACAACCATGCCAGCGGCGGGCTGAGGAGAATCGCTCCGAGGCACAAAACGACGTAATGTCTCAAGGCCAGGTCCAGCCCTAAGCCATGACCGTTTGATGAAAGTTGGTGACCGCCCGAAGTGTGACCAACAATTTCTTGGAAACGAATCTCGGGCGTTATTTCAAACAATCCGGGAGGTCGAATCAATGTCGGTGTGCGGCGGGAAAAGCCTCTCCCGAAGGCAGCGATGGACCTTCTGAGAATGCAAAGCACTAGGCGTCGGTTTGAGACCTGTTCAGTCAACGGTTGGGCATCGTTCTACTGTCTTTGACGATCAGAATCGTCAGGACAAACCCCAGCAATGACCGTTCCTGGTCTCATCGCGCATTTCTCACGCGCCCCCTTGGCTTAAATTGAGGACCCTGAGTGAAGCACCAGCCACACGATATGCACGTCCTTTAATTTATGGGCCGTAACGCCACAGCTGCATTTTCACTGGCTCGATTCGTCCCACGCTTGTCTCTGCAGCCTTGCGCCCCACCGAATTTTTTCTGTTCGACATGGCAAACTTTCCAGCCGTCCGCCCGACTACGAATTTCGACTGCGCAAATTAACGTTCCTCCGTCTCGGACTCTGCTAGTTCTTCAACACTGCCATCATGTCTGCAGAGACTACCCAAATTACGACCGCTGCTGCCGACAAGCCGCTTGGCATGCGCAAGAATGGTATTTCATCTGCTCCATTCTCCGGTGCGTCGAGCGCAACTAACTCCCTCCGATAGGCAAGCAGTGGCACGCCCCCAAAAAGGCGTTCAGGCCGACGGCAGGCTTGAAGTCCTACGAGAAACGCGCCAAGGACCGCGTTGCAATGGCGGCGATGAAGGCCAAGGAGAAGGAGATGAAGGACGAGAAGGAGGCAGAACGCAAGGTACGCTGCCCCCAGGCGCATTCACCGTAGTCCGACGTGACCATAACCAATCGTGATGCTGACGAGATGTACAGGAACGCATTCAGAAACTCAAGGACAAGAGGGCCGCCAAGGAGGAGAAGGAACGTTACGAGAAGATGGCCGAGAAGATGCACAAGAAGCGGGTAGAAAGATTGAAGAGGAAGGAGAAGCGCAACAAGCTTATCAACTCATGAGCGGGTGCGGCGAGTCGAACAACCACTTGGGCGGGCAAAACGAACGACTTTCGGCGCCGACAACTTCTCTGGAGCAACGCCGGTGCCGTTGACAAATACCGAAACACTATCGGGGAGGACAGAGGAGGATTCGGGCCTGCCGTACTCGGGGTTTGCGCATCTCGGCGAACAAACAACGTGTCACAGGGGCCTCATGCGACAGTGAACGTTATGTGAGGGAGGAGGGAACGGCTTCGGGGAGGAATGCGACGAGACCGGGGCCAGTGGAGGAGACGTCTCGGAGGCGGACTCGGAGCCGGCGGGAGAGAGGATGAGCTAATCCAGCAATCGACGGGGGAAAAGTCCATATGTTTGTACCAACAGAAGCCCATATGAGGTTAGCCATCCGAAGCTCCGCCTCGTGTGGCGATCGGAAAGATAGGCCAGACGATGGAGATGGAACCGAGCTCAGCACTTGCTCGAATCATTTCACTTTTGACAAAAGAAACGGCAAACGTCTGAAGTGAAGCCCTTTTCTCGGTGGCCATCCTTCTCTACCCGACAAGCTTCAGCGCAGGGAGATTGCCGGCCGCGAGGTTCAGACAACGTTTCAGACGATGCATGCAATAAAGGAGGAACCTGGGGAAGGGGGGCATGTGAAAGTGCGTCATTGGCCGAGGAGGCACCACACCAGCTGATTGAGCTTCTGCGCCGCGAAACCGTGCACCGTCCACCTCCACATTTCCTTGCACTGCTGCTGCTGCGACCACAACCGCGTCGACCACACACGCAACGGTAACCCGCCTCGCCCTTTTCCTTTTCCAGGGAACAAGCCACATTTCTTTTCCCATCCAAAGCACCGACCGTCCCAAAGGCAAGCTCGCAAAAAGTCTAACCGGGCCCATCCCAAAAGTCGTCTGGAACGGGTGCCCGCGGCGGCGAACGCGGTAGCGGCGGCCGGCGGTCCCCCCGAGCGCCCCAGCCCAAAAAATAGGCCGATCCAAAGAGTAGGGAAAAAAAGAGACGAAAGGGCGGAAACAAGGTGAAACCATGTCCGCCCACGGCTTCGAGCTGCCGACGACGCCAATGGCGACGTTGTCGACGGCAGCTGCCGTTAGCAACTCGTCTGGCGACATCAACGGTCACCACAGCCACGGCGGCAACTTCAACAACAACAAGGCGTCTGCGCCCGCGAATGCTGCCACCGCAACTGCGACTGCCACCGCGACATCGACCGCCACAGCAGCTGCCGCCGCGCTCCTCCCCGCACGACGGCCGCGGCACCAGATCACCCGCTCCATCACCGAGTTCTCGCCGCCCCTGAAGATGCATCGTCATCGACACAGTCACCATCACCACCATCGAAGGGACAACAGCAAGCTGCTCTTCCCGGACGAGAGGTCGCCGGGGCTGTCGGTGACGGATAGGAATCTCGTGCTGGGACGGAGCTCGCTGGACATGACGAGGTCGGAGTTTGCGACGCCCAGCAGGAGTCCGGATTCGAGCAGGCGGACGAGCGCGCTCGTCGGGCCAATGATTGGCGGCGGGGAGAACCCTTTGGCTGTCTCGCCGCCCAGGGGAAAGGGAAAGAAGGGGAATAATGCGGCTACATTGGTGGAGGAGAAGGAGAGGGCTGCGAGTCGGATAACGTATGTCGTCCTCGTTCAATACGGAAAAGGGGCTAGAAGCTGACGATGTGGACGTACAGGGGCTTGAAGAAATCACTTGTGGATCTGAGCAGTTTCTCGACTTCGACGACACGGCGGCTCGACGAGACGTACTACTCCGTACTCGAGAAGAAGACGCTGCTACACAATACCATTTCGGCGATCAAGGAGCTGGCGGTGGCCTCGCGGCGGCTGACGGGCGAGTTCGAGCGCGAGGCGGAGGAGATGGCGAAGGATGTCGACGGCCAGCTGGCCACGTTCGGACGGTTCAACGAGCAGGAGCAGAGAATCGAGGCGTTGCAGGGCAGGATTGAGAAGGGGCGCACGCGCATCCAGGGTCTCGGGGAACGGGTTGACCTCGTCAGGAGGCGCATCGAGGGGTGGGAGAGGGCGGATCGGGAGTGGCAGGAGAAGACGCGCAAGAGGTTGAGGATCGTCTGGATCGTCATGTCGGTTGTTTTTGCCGTTCTGATACTGCTGTTCATCGGCGTGCAGTATGCGCACCAGGTCGGCGGCGTTGATCTGAAGGAAGCTGCGGAGAAGATTGTCGAGAAGGGGATCAATCAGAGCGCGGGCAGCTTGGGAGCTGGCGAGGGCGGGAGCAAGGAGGCTGCGGTGCCGCCGTTATGGGGTGATCGGCCGGGGAGGGAGCAAGATGATCAGTTGAGGGTGTTCGATGAGTTGTGAGGGTGGGTTGCGAGGGCTCGGAGTTCACCGTTTTGGAAACTAGCATTATAGGCATTGCGTAGTAATATTTGATACCCGGAAATACAGGCATATTTGGTTACAGCTTCTGCTACTTTTCGCCTTTGGTAGGACTATCCTGCGTCATTATGATGTTCTGATCTCGGCCCTTGCTCCTCGCGATCTCGGGCTTTCAGTCTGGCAAAGCAGGTTCGACGTCTAGGAAGCTGTCATGCATGGGCACATCGCTTGGAACGCATAGTATGAGATATCTCCAGGCTGGTATGATCCTTTTCAAGAACAACGGGTTTACACCGCATTAGGAGGGACGTGGTGAGCTCGTAGAAAAGCCTCACACTTCTGGAGCCCGATAACCTCACTCGGAAGTCAAGACCTGACCGACCGTCTTCAGCGTGTTGTTTGTGGTATCTGAAAGAAGCTCTGAAATTTGTCTCGCCATCGATAAATATTAAGCAAAACAAATAATATACCAAATATATCATCAAAAAGGAAAAAGAGGCAAAAAAAAAAGTGTATCCGAGGCGCTCGAACTGAGCGCCTCCAGCAACGGATAGTGCGGGCCACCGTTTGAGAGGGCTACTATGTACCACTCTGCCAGCTTATACCGTGTCGGTGTCACCGACTGCTGTTGATGCTGAGGCTGGTCGAGGAACCTCCCTAAGTAGGCTCTCTCGCTGGTGTGGCGGGCAGCTTCACATTTGGCCTTCCTCATTCACCAGTCTGGGGCAGGCGCGATATAAGGCTGCCACAAGCTACCACCTAAGGTACCTATCTAGGCGGCTACAAGCCTCGAGATGAAAGAACTACCTGTATCATCGATGACCTCGTTTCATCGTCTGCGGCATGCCCGTGTAAAATTTTGGTCTGACAGTCTTGGGCGGTTGGCTTACCCACATGATGTTTCCATATCGTCTTTGATCTTTGCCATGGCTTCTGAAGTGCTGGTTCTTGTCAGGTGCCTCCTTCCGACCCCAACATTTCATTTAGACTCTTAACCTAGCCTGCCGATGTGAGTGTTTATGATTTCAATCTTTGAGTACCTGAGCACGAACGGGTTAAACAGGATGGACCTCGACCCGAGAACTTGCTCTGGACAGCATATGGCCGCATGCAAATAGATGACTTTAGGACTTGGGACAGGGACACAGAATGACTACACTGCATGTTCGTTCCGCTTGTGGTTAGGGATGCTGAACACGCACAGAAATGAGAAACTTCCAGTTTTATTGATGCCAGCTCCATTTGATATGTCGTTCAAGGTGTGGGTGGGGTGTTGGTCTGGCTGACGATAAACTCGCATCTACTTGGCAGGATGGAGTACTTGGAAGTATTTGAGAGCTCTGCGGTCAAGTGGAAGGTCTGGGATGGGTGTTATGAGTGTGCTGTTGTTCGCTTGGTTCATGTCTGTATTCGTGACGAACCTCTGATAATAGCTCTGACAACTAGTTCATCAATTTATCAACCTTATGTCTCATCCTCGGCTTTTCATACCTCAGAAGACAACTATTGCGGATAGCTATAGAGAACATTTATGGTAGACGGTTTCATTGGAAATTGGGTATACTGCATAATGGAGCTGAGATGTTCCCCAAGTTGGAAATCTCATAGCCCCATAACATGTGAGACTGTAGTTCAAAGGTGTCCGTATGTACGTTTCGGAAAGTTTTCTTTATGAAATTGTCAAATACCCCGCCTTGTGGTCTATTAGGCGATGAGGTGACATGGGTGTTGCTATATTTTCCTGGGTCCTATCAAAGGAATCAGTTGTCGTTGAGTAGTTCGAGGTCCCGAAGTGGTCAGGAGTTGATTTTGCTCTGCGGGAAGGCTATTCGGTCTGAGGTCAAACATCGTAGCTCATGGGAGAAGGCATGCGAGTGAATGCAAGGAGACTCGGACGAAGAAGAGATAGGCAGCTACTGAGAATGTCTATGTAGGAAACAGTTTGATAGGCATAGTCCAGAGGTGAGACGGACCTCGAAGATACAACGGAAAAGACATCCTACCGACACCCTTCACGATACCAAGTACGCCGGTGCATCTGGTCACTTATAAGCCAGCCGACGTCCATCTCCTTCATATTTGGATCATTGACATCGTCCTGAGAGTTGGAGGAGTTGAATTACAAAATGAGTTCAGCAGACGAAGTCGTGCTTTTTGATATCGCAAGTACTCATTGCATGGTGAGCCCAAACTCACCGCCTAGCCGGTATTCTTGACCCGATACATGAGAATTTCATTAGATCTCATGTCGAGCATCGTCTCTGATTTGACTCGCGAGGCCGGAGATCGTGAGCATCATGTGCTGTCGTACATGGCAAACTTTCAGCACCAGCTACAAGCCACGACGTCATAGTCATAAAGCAAGACACCATAGGACATTGTAACAGTCAATCATCAACTGGAAAATTCGAACACGATGTCGTGTTCGGGACTTAAAGTGAGTCCCAACACTGTAAGCAGTAGTGACTTCGCCGGACCCGATGCCCCGTAAATCTATCGATTTGAGGTCGAAAATGAGACTTACTTGTGAGTCCACACCTGTCATCATTCTCGGACTTAGCTTCAAGCTAGCCGCCGGAGAAAACAAGCGGCAAACAGCCCTACGCGTCGGGATGGCCGAAGAGCTACTCAAATGAGAGTGATGCATATGTCGTGATCATTAACGAAGAAAAAAAAAAGGACCCGCTCCGAAGAAAACGACTACGATCCCGTGCGTCTTGGGTCCGGCACCGTATCCGCGTAGGCGCAGGGATGAAGCGTGCACGGAACGGGTCCTTTTTTGACTCTGATCTCTTCTTTCCGCAGAGTTTTGTGGCTTTGACGCTGGAAACGTCCCGCAAGCCGCGGGTTCCAGAAGCTGGTCTGAATCCTCACCAGCCTTTCTCATCGTGGCGCCGTTCGAAGACTATCGGTTTTTAGCAACCATATCCTTACAAATACCCAGCACTAAGAGTCAAACGGCCCAGCAAAGATTGACCTGATCGCTGTGCAAGTGGATACGGCGGGGAGATGTAAGAGAAGGGCCGCAGAATGTCATTGAAAGATTTGTACGTACAACGGGTGATTTGCGGATGCTACCATTTGATCTCACTGGCTCCAAGGAATCGGGGCGCTAGCCGTAAATGCCCCATTTGGAGCACTCGGTCTCGTCCGGGCCAAGGAGCTGATGGCGACAATGATTGCGCGTCTGTGTCCTTGGCCAGCAAGGCTGACTGACAACAAACGGTGCGGATCTCCATCCCAAAGTGTCGTTGGTTGCTGGCTGTGGACTGCATCCTGTGACTCAACGAGCGAATGAGGAGAGAACTTGGCTCCAGCTTCAAGAGGCAAAAGGAAGTTGCTGCATGGCTCACGTTACCCTACCCCAAGAAGGCAACCTGTGAGCCTGGGATGATGGGAAACAGTGAAGCGAAGCGAAGCCAGCCAAGGCCTCTTGCAGTGCCCATCTCGCGACGGGACGGGATTGTGGCCTCGAGGTCAAATCGTGGCTGAAATGTCAAGTGTGTGAGGTATGTCATTCGGTGTTGAGGTTGGAGGAGCTCAGTGGACGTCCCGTCTGTCTTGTGTGTCTTGGAGTGAGACTTGACTGGTCTTGCTCGGCATTCGGTAAAGGCTGCGACGTCATGCATCCCATGGCCAGAAATTCGCAACAGGCAAGCAGCAAGTGGTCACCGCCACCCCTTCTGAGCGTAACTCCAGCCCCAGGTTCGATTAGAGTAGCCGCATGGTGAAGAGGAACCGCGTAATTGAGAAGGGCTTGGTGGTTAGACACCTTAGAAGGCGCAGTCGGGGAAAAAGAAGGTGGATCATCCCTCTCAGGAAGGCACGCGGGAAAGGCTTGGCATTCTGATTTTGAGATGCTATGTGACAGTCGAACAGGTTGGTGGATGAGGGGCAGCAGTCAAGATACCCAACCCAAATGTGCCGTGTCAGTGGAAGAATCCCTGCCCATTTTCCTGATCTTTTTAGCCTTTTGGTTCGGACTCCCGAAGGAGAGCATCAACCTGGCGTCACCTTCGCATCAACGTCAGAGCAGGACCCTGAAGGGCTGAAGACCGAGCACACAACAAAGTCAAAAAAACAACGTGTGTTTTCATCCGTCCCGAGGTCGTCTGGTGGCTTCGTCGTGGAGGCAACGGTTAGTAACCGGACCTTACCTTGCCTTTCTGCTGTGCCTTGCTTGTTTTGTCTGCCGTTTCCCATCGTCAAACCCCGCCAAACGACGCTTGGTGTGCCGTCTCTCCGAGCTACCTTAAGATACCTATCCGAGATCCGTCGTACTGAGCTGTTTTGCGAGACTGGAAGGGGAATAACCATCCCGATCTATCCCCCCCTACCGCCTCTGCGCAGCTGACCGTACGTACTGCTTCACACCCTCGACAACACGTCCACTCCGGCACAGCTCTGAGCTCATTTTGTCTCCCCGAGCCGTCACCGAACGACGTTCTGTTGCCCCCTCCACCAACCCCTAGCTTCGCCCAGGAGTTTAAGGTCTATTAAAAACCGGGAAGCGAAGCGTACTGTTGCAGTCGCGGACCCTGACAAAGACGACTCGAAAGAAGGTTAAGCGGTTTGAGACTTCACCTAAAAAAAGGCCCGCGGCCAGGCTCCCCTTACTCGAACTCGAATCCAGGCCCCGCGCGATCAGCATTGACTTTCAGCCATCGTTTTCACTGCAAATAAACGACTCCAAGACTCCAAGACCCCAAGACTCCAAGGGGAGCTGTTGTCGGCACGCTGAGGTGCGGCAGAGCAGCCTGTGACTTACCACCTACCCCGCCATACGCGCGTTACGACCAGCGCAGCGGCCCTACCTTACAAGCCTGCGCCCGCCCCCACTGGAATCTGGGTCTGTACCCTGCAACCTAGCCATTGGATCTGCTCTGACCCATCCCAGCCCAGCCCAGGGTAAATTGATTATTACGTCGGGCCCCTCCCAGCTACTGTTGCCGCGCCGCCGCTATTCTGTACCTTGTGCGCTACCGAGATACCTACCACCTACCGTGCCTTACTCGCTCCAGGTCTGACGCCAGTCAGCTTCGTCCATCGCCTAGGTCTCTTCGACGACGTCCACCTTCTTCCCCCCGAAACCCGCGAACTTCTCTCCTTCTCCTACAAGCTTGGCATCGACAAGAAGTACTCTTACGACACATCGTCCGCTCCGTGGGCAGCTCGAAACCCCAGCAAACACATCGCCGATGGCTTCGACAACCTCAGAACAACCGCAGAATGGTGCTGCTTTAGACCCGGCTCAGGTCCCTGCTCCGGCCAGCAGGTCTGACCTACAGCTTCCCGTCCGCACAAAGAGCACCGCCTCTATCCCTCCACCGGGTCAATCTTTGACGGGAAAGCAAGAGCACTGTGAGATGGTTCATCTCTCGATGTTGAGGATGTTGCTGACGTGTTCTGCTGCCAGACCTCAAGCGGGAGCTGATTTCCGAGCAAGTCAAGTATGAAATCTCGGAGCTCAACTCCCCCACGGCCCTCAAGCGCTTCGGCGCCCCCTTCAAATCTGACATGGGAGAGGTGTCCCCCTTGGATTCGGAGCTCCCCATCCTGCGCTACATCTTCGTTCACCATGTCCGCGATTTCCCTTTTCTCGACAAGGCCAAGGAGAAGGAGTTTTGGCAAGACAAGCTGCAAGTGGTGAGTTCAATAGCTCCCCCTCCATATGCAACGCGAATCCCCGCCGGAACAGCTTGCGCTGACTCGTTACGCCCCCAACCACAGTTCCTAGAATCCTTTGCGACCAAGAACATCTCCTCCTCCGAAGATAGACTTGAAGAGACCAAGAGACGCAAGTTGGCCATAAAATGTCAGAAGCTAGTCGAGTTGATGATGGTGTCGGGTTGCAAGACCTCCTCCGGCTTCGAGGAGAGGATACGCTTTTCCGAGATTGAGGTCGTCGACAGCAATGCCATCGACACGGGAGTCATGCATACGATGCCCGAGGGCAACTACATCAATGGCTGGGATATTAATATTGCTGCTGTGCGCATCACTTCGGAGAGAAAGAAGATCAGAACCCACAAGCACGCGGTGAGTCTACTTGAGAGACCAGTTTGCGGCATCTCACTAACACGGCGACTAGGAATTCATCATGCGCATTCATCGCAAGGGCGAGCTCGAGTTCTTCATTGGCAGACGGTATGGCGACTTTCTGAGACTGCACAGGAGGCTGCGCTTGGAGCTCCCAGGAAAGGTCCTCCCCACCTTGCCCAAGAAGAATAAGTCGGACACGACAGCTTCAGGCTTGTTCTCCTCCCTCACTGGCGGCGGAACGCCTGATTCATCTGCATCGTCTATTTCCTCGGTGTCGACTCAAATGACTGGTTTCCACCAACCCAACGAACCCTCTAAGCTCTCTGTGCTAGGTGAGTTCGCTTTCACCCAGCTGCCTTCTCTGAATACTAACTTGGGCAGGACACAAACGCGCGGGCTCCACGACCTCTGGCCGCAACTCCCCCCGAGTGTCCACCGACAGTAGACCGAAGAGCCCTCTCCCCTTCCTGAGCAAGAAGAACAACGAGCCGGTCACGTTGTGGCGTGAGAGCCAGCGAGTCTCACTTAGGGCGTTCATTCGCTCCCTCTTATCGAACCCTCAGATCGCTCAGACCAAGGCAATGGAGGAGTTCCTCACGAAAGACCCCATCACCCCGACCGACGCCGATATCGATGACATCGAGAGGAGAAAGGCGGTGGATGAGTTGCGCATGGAAGAGCAAAAGAGGTTCTACGAGATTGCACGGAAGCGCGCGGCGGAGCTCGACATTTATATGGAAGAGTGGGTATTTTGCAACGTCCTCATGCTACAGGTCACTGACACTACTGCACAGGTTCCGCCAGGAAATCGTTGAGCGCAACGGTCTCACGTCACTGTTCAAGGAGATCAAGGACAAGGAGACCATCCAGGATCTCAGCATCCAGTACCGGAAGTTTGCTGAGTGGTTACGCATAGAGGTTGCGGCAACGATCTACCACTTGTTCCTTGCGGAAGACAACTCGCCCGAGCTGTTTGCCCAGGCCAAGAGGATACACTCTCTCATCCCATACACTGTGATGAAGAACGTCATCAGAATCGCAAACCCCGCAGCCGTTATGTCCGGCGTTTTGGATATCTTCCTGGCGCAACCATTCGGCACTCGCTCGCTTCTCCAGCGTATCTTCTCGCTTACCTTGAATGACGGCATCCGGAGTTTCCAGAAATCCATCGATACGCTTGCTGATAAGATTGGCGACGAAGTTTTGACCAAGAAGCTGAAGCTGTACACAGAGTCAGAGGAGCAAATCAAGGTGGCCATTCGGGAGGAGGCTGCAGCCGAGGATATCGACTTGATTGTCGTCATCCTGCGCTCAGAATACCTCGAGCCTGCCCTGACGTCCGAGCAGATCGGCCGACTTTACAACGCTTATGTTGCTTTCAACAATGCTGTCGAAAACGTGGACGAGGAACTGAAACAGGGTGCCCAGCTCTTCTCGTACCTGAAGCAGTTCTTGAAGCTATGCACGAGACAGCACGACAAGGCACTGATGTTGCAATTGGTGGAGGAGCCAGTCACACTCCAGCTCTTCAGGGATCTGTTCACGATCTTCTACGAACCGCTTGTTAGGGTTTACAAGTCGGCCAACGTGTACAACAGCGTTACTGACTTTGCCGTCTTCATTGACGACATGATCCAGGTAGGCACTATCCCTTCGCGCAGATAACAAACGCTAACGCCACTCGCAGGTCGTTGAGAAATGCCAGGAGCAGGACGCTTCGGCCGATCCTAACCAGACAGTACAAGCTTTCATCGACTTGTGCCAGAGACACGAGCATAATTTCTACAAATTCGTCCACGAGGTCCACACGCATGACAATGGACTCTTCGACCAGTTGATGGGTTGGATAGAAGACATCCTCGAGTTCCTCCGGAAGGGTCCCAAGAACGGTACATTGAACATCAACGCCTTGTTCGAGGGAGGCATTAGTTCTGGTGCAATCAACAAGGAGAAGGTTATCGAAGAGGTCAACGCACTCATTTCTTGGCAAGAAGCCAGGAAGAAGTGGCACCACGACAAGACCCGGCAGAAGATGGCTGCGGAGGGCAATGGTGGTCCGGATCTTGTCCCTACGGGCTTTTCATCTTCAGACTTCGGTCTTGATCAGCAAGATCTTCAAGACATGGCATACGATGATGACGCTGAGGATGAAGAAGAGGCGGAGGAGGAAGATCAGCTCGACCCTATCGAGGCCGAGCGCCGCCGTCGCGCTAAGAGACGTGATAGGCTTCGCCGGAGCGCTGGCGAACCGGTCAAGCCACCAGTCTCCGAGGTTCACAAGCTCAAGGAGAATTTCCTTGTCATGTTGCGTGAGGTTCTGGCCGAGTAGAGTTAGAAAAAGAAGTACGGTCTCTCGGGCGACGGGACTTTTGGGTCATACATGGGAGGTAAAGGGTCGGGCAACTGGGGGTATCAAGCCCAAACACGGCGTATGTATGGTTGTTTATTACTATACCTCTATTATTGCAATTGCTTCCTTCGTCAGTATGAGTTTGCCTTCAGTCTTTGCTGTGCTGTTTCGAGAGTCGAGCTCGTGCGATGTAATGAGCAATCGACGAGCTGAACGCTCAACGGAAGTTGTCTGAGTCCACTGCATCCCATGATCAGCCAAGCCAGAGAATTCCGATAGCACAGCCGAGAAGACTTGATGACTAAAAACGTGCCCTGCCGTGTTGAAATGAACATGGATATGGTCGCCGATGAGAACAGGTCTCTCGCGAGAGGAGCAACCATGCCCTTCTCCCAACCGTTATGCACAATCACATCTAAATAGCGTCCTGTGTCAATGGCGTACGACGCCAAGTCCTATTTAATTCCGTTGTAGCTAGTTGCTAATTACATGACAGCCCACGAAATAGGATCGTGAACCAGAAAAGGGAGAGGGTATCCATCAAAATCCAGTCGCCCTACTAACAAACCCAAGCCCAAACCCCTCCTTTATCAATGCTTCGAGTACAAATCCATAATACTCGCCTTGAAATCCGCAATCTCATCCCTCCCTCTGAACCCGGTTCCGGGTCTCCAGACTCGCGACCCGTTCCTGCAAGCCCGCGATCTTCTCATCCTTGCTCTTCAGCGCCGTCCGCACGCTGTCTCTACCCCTGGCCACGCCCTTGGCCTTCATCGCGAACCGCCGGAGAACGTCCCTGACCTCGCCCATCGTCGCCTCGTCCACATTCTTCCCCCTCAGCAGTCCCATGACCTCGTCCGTCGGGTCCAGCGCCCGCGCCTCCTCCTCCGCCCGGGCCTGCGACCCCGGCGGCGACGAGGACGGTCCCCCGGCGGTGATGGTCGACGAGGTGCTCGTGCTCGCGCCCGAGAACGAAAAGCCGCTCGTCTCGGCTCCGGTGTTCCTCCTCTTGGCGTCGGGGAAGAGCGTCCTCGTCACGGTTCCAGGCGTGCTGACTTGCTCGTCCGACGTCCGTCTGGCCGAGGGAGTCACCGGCGGCGCGTTCGTGAGCTTCTTGGCGCTCCGCTCCATGGCCTCGTTCATCTGCCGCTCCTCGTCCTCCGACACGTCGTCCATCCCGTACTCGTCCTCCCCTTCCTCATCGCTGAACTCGAAGAGAACCCTCTTCCTCTTCGCGGCCGTCCGCGAAGGCGTCTCCGCGGCTGCGGCTGGCTTGGTGAGGTAATCGCCCATGGACCTCTGTCGAGGCGTGGCCGTCACCGGCGTGGGAAGCGCAGCCGCGGCGGAAGTAGTCGTAGCCAACGGCCCAGGCGTGGCCGTCTTGCTGCTCTTGGCCGCATCCTCGTCGTCGTTGTCGTCGTCCTCGGGCATGGGCGGCAGTGTCATCGTGTTCCCGCCCGAGCGGTTCTTGGCGTCGTCCTCCCAGAGAAAGAAGTTGCAATTCCTCGAACCCCCGCAGGTGAAGAACCACCGCCCGTGGTTGGGGCCCTTCTTCTTGGTCTCGAGGTACTTTGCCTGGAGTCGCGGCTCGCAGTTGCAGTACCAGTTCCCCTCCAGATACAGGCCGTCCAGGCGCTTCTTCTGGGATGACGGGGTGCCGGCGCCGGCGCCGTATCCGGAGGACCGCCAGTTGCCGCTGGACTTGCCGTACGACGACGACTTGTTGTATGTCACCCCTCCTCTCCTCCCGCCGCTGCGCGGAGTCCGGGTGAAGACCATGCTGTTCGTCGTCGTCGGCGTCGTCGTCTTTTTGTTGTAGTCGACTTTAAGGTGCGGATGGGTCCACGGGAGACGGCGGACCATGTGCGTCTTGGTGGGCGGGAGCGAAGGTTTGTGGTTTCGTAGGTTTCAGCGAAATGGTTGGCTGGGTGAAAGGTCCGGGCGTGATGTCATAATCCTCGAACCCTTATTCTTGCTCTGAAAGAGAAAACGAACATTCGGTTGCAAGAAGTTGATATATTGGTTTTGTAAAATGGGAGAATAGTCATTGAAGAACAACCCCTCCTTTCGCCGTCGACATGAGAGACCCAACTTCTCCGATTGAGCTCGATTAAGCGCTGGCGAGAGGGGCAGCTGGAGCTGCGGGTTGTCGGGGGGAGGGGCTGGGAGAGCTAACGTTGCGGCCCCACTCAAGCTGTAAACCCCGGGAGAGCCAAGAAGGGCTTTATTTTGAATATACTGACATCGCGCCATCTCGCCTTGCAACTATGCCTCAAACAGCTCTCAGCTCCATGTATAAGACGCCACTCAATTCAATATCACACAGCTGAACGCATTCAACATCACACATGCAGTCTCTGCTAATTACTTGGTATTAGAAATGTACTCGAGCAGGTCCTCAGGACTCGCTCTCGGGGGGGTTATGATCATACAACAGCCCGCCAGCGGCATACCTCTGAACACCCAACCACTCATCCATCCGCCCGTATATGCAGTCTCCTCAACCACCCTGCTCCTCCCAAGAGGGGGGAATATGCCCACCAAATCCAAATCCTCGTATCTAACGACGCAACTTAACCGCTCGCTATGCACGTAGTAGCTAGCCGGGGAAAGGCTGCGAAACTGTTCTCAGCTCCATTCGTTACATCCCCAGCTCGAACGCAGGAGAGAACGCGGGTATATGTAAGCCAAAGAAACCATCACAAAGGAAATAAAGTCAGAAAATAAAGACAAGAAGCGAATCTTTTGACAAAAATCCCCGCCTGAAGCTCTTACACCTCGTAGAAGTAGTCCTCGTCCAACCCTTCCCGGCTGGGAATCATCCCCGCCCCTGGCAGTGGGCCGGTATATGCGGCCTCTATCCTCACGTTCAGCAGCCTGATCTTGAGACCAAAGTCGCTGACGAGGTTGACGAGCTTGTTCGTCTCCGCAGTGATGGGCGCCTGATTGAGCAGCATCAAGAGGCCGTCAAGCCACTCCGATGCAAGACTGTGCGTTGTGGGGTGAAGCGTCAGGATAGCCTGCTCCTTCGCGTCGCCACCCTTGGCTGCCTCCACGGCATCGACGTAGCTGAAGATGGTGATCTTTGTTGTCGACTTGACCGTTACGTTGTTCTTGAGCGTCGAACTACTAGTCGCGCTGCGAGCTTCTTCGTTGGATGCCGAGACATTAGACACCACTGAGCTAATGGTGCTGAGGTCCACCTTCTCGGTCAAAATATCCAGTCCGGGCTCTTGCGATGTCTTCGTCTCGAAGTCGGCGTAATGGAGATACCTCCTGTTGTGTGATAGTTTAGCAAAGCGCCACGGCCGCGGCGTATACAGCCGGCGCTTGGTCTCGTCTCGAGGATTGGTGTCCCGTCGGGGAAGGGGCTTAGAGAACCACGAGCCCTGAAGCAGGCACCTGATACGTTGCTCCTTGACGAATTGGAGAGCCTCCTGTCTCAACTCCTCTCGGACTTGATACAGGTGCTGGCCCCATTGATCCTCGAAAGACAGCTCGAGAAGTTCCATCTGAAGCTCCCGCAACCTGGTGCAGTCGTACTCCAAAAGCTCCTCTTCGACCTCCACCACATCTTTGGTTCTGGTGGCTTGTCCGATAACCTGTTCGATGAGGATGCGAACAAGCTCTGCCACCTTCTCAAAGTCCAGTTGCTCTGCTACTGTGGATTTCCACACGCGGAAGAAAGCCTGCAGACCGGCGGTGTGTAGCCTTGACCACTGCAGAAGAAGAGGGCGGAAGAGCTTCTCGTTATTCTTAATACCGTCCAAGCCTTGGTAGCCCTTCATCGTGTCCTCGATTTCCGACTTGTCCACCTCGAAGTGGTCGTAAAGAATCATGGTAACAGCCAAACTTGCTCGTGCGACTGGGCACCGCTCACTCCTGTGTTTTGTCGATTGTTCCAGCAATAACTTCTGAAAGCTGTCCTCATTCTTCCGCACGTAGTCGGTCAAGTCCATCATGCCCAGGAAACCGGGAATCTCGAATTCTTGCGCGGGGCTCTCCGTCTCGAAGCCAAGTCTCCTCCACTTCTCGGGGTTGTGTCGTCGGCTTCCTTTCTTGCCTTCGTTCAACTCATCCAGCTTCGAATGGCCATTGACCTGCTTCTCAGGGTTACTTGCGAGGTGCAGACCCTTGAGGCCGCGTCGATGCTCAGGCCTCTCAAGATCGACCCTCACCTCGCGCCATTTTCTCAGAAGGACCTTGGTCAGTGACTGAAATTCGAGCAGAGGGTGCGCGAGATCCTGCAGTGCGGAGCTCTGCATCAGGTTGTAAACCGCCTTGATCAGTCCCAGGTCCTGCAGACGCTTGATGAACTTGGACCACTCCTCCATGGCTGGCGCCCCCGGCTTCGTATTTCCATCATTCGAGACGGCATCCCTGATCATGGCGTTGATGAGCATGAGCGCATTGGCGCACAGCGCGTGGTCGGCGGACTGCAATTGTGCGATGACAAGCTCGAAGAACTGAGGATAAACGGCGACGGCGGGTTTCAGGGCCCTGAAACCAAAAGATCCTGGTGCGCGCGGGGTGGTGGGCCGGCCGGAGGACTGAGAGTGTGCGACGAGAGCTACCAAGATCGACATGGCGCCGCGGAGGATGTTGACGAGGGGGTTCGTGACGATTAATTCGACGATGCGCTCAACGAGGTCGCCGGCCGACGAACCCTCGAATATTTCCCAGCCCATGTCCACCTCCAGCAGGCGCGTCAGACTCTGCAGCGAGTATGCCAAAGTGTTTCCTCCCGCGCTCATGATCAGGCGGCGCAGCACCACTAATCCGCCGGAAGATATGAATACGTCTGCGAAGGCGGGATCGTTGATCGAGGACTGGAGCTTGAAGACGGCCATTTTCCTGGCGGCGTCCTCGTCACTGGCGAGGCGCGACAGGAGCGCCGGGATGTCTGCCTGATCCATGGCGGCGGCGGCAACGACGACGTCGAGGAGAAGAGTATGTACGGGTTCGAGGAGGGTGTGAAGAGCGTCGGCGCGTGGACCGGTTGTCGAAGGTGGGAGGGTCGTCAGCAGGAGAGGGGAAAGGTCGCAATAAAATTCATGGCCCGCGGGTGTTGTGGTGTTAAGAGAGTCTGATATATAAACAGAAGAAAGGCGTCCGGGATAATATGTCGAGGGTTACCGGCGGAAGAAGGTCCGTGTCAGGAAAATCGAACACGGGCAGAAGCTTCTCTCGCGATCCTCCGCGAATAGAGTGAAGGAAGCGGCGTCGATCAAGAATACAAAAAAAGAACTGGGAGTGAATCACAGGCAAGGGGCAGGAAGAGATAGGTTAAGGAAGGACTGGACTGAGTAAGGGACCAGAAAAGGAGAGTGTGAGTGGTCGAGGGCTGTCTAAGCAACAGACCAGATGTTGGCTTGCTTTCTGGATGCGCGCACGGCCAGCAGGTTTGCGCATGTCCTGCAGGAGGTGGGAAAGCACAGGTGCAGCATCGACGGGGACGCCCCCAGCAAGCCTGCAACTGATTTGGTAGCCCCCGTTGGAGCTGTTTCACCAATCACGACTCAACATAGGTGTGAGTCCCCCGCTTTAATCTTGGGGTGGCTTCCAATGGTGGGCACTTTGGGGTGTTTCTTGGCTTCGAGTCCGAGAAGAACGGCGGAACTGCGGTGGCGTATCTACTGGTCAGGGTCTCGCGAAGCCAACGGTTTCACCATCCGTTCCCACCGGAAGCCGTTGATATTTCCACAGCGTCTGGAAAAAAGGCTAAACAAGATTGTCGAGACATCGGTCCATTTTGGCCACACTTCGGCGCTCATTTCTGAGGAGGAGTGAAGGAGTCTCGTGACCTCGAGCTTTGGCCTCGTGGCTCGGTCTATTTTCGACAACAATCATCATCAGATGAGCGAAGTCTAGGTTTATATCGACGGAGATCAAGTTCGAGGAAATTCGCACGTCCCAGTCTAGAAGCCTTCGTCTGAGTGATCCATGACCATCAGATTGATCCGCTCGGCGTCATCTGCGTTTGAGTTCAGCCTCATAATGGAGTTCCCGTTAGGCCAGAATCCAGTGTTTCAAACACCCGAAGCAATGGGATGCTGGTGTTTGCAGCTGGTGCTTGCTATATTTAATGTGTTTCCCGCAAGAACCCTTTGGAGAGTCAAAGACAAAGTGACAATGTAAGAGACACATGATGCAAACTCATAAGGCTGGTTGGAATGTTTGCCTACCTTAGTTGGGTATTCAACGGCAAGCATCTCGGGAACATGTCGGCCGCATGTTCTAGACCTGAACGAGATACGTACCGTTGTGGAACCAAGAATTGAGTGCCCTGGAGACCTCCCGTCGGGTCGGACCCACCAGAAACAAATCGAAGCACCGCCACATATAGCTCCAGCCTCGTAATTAGTAATCCCCGTGGCGCAACAAGGCTATCTGAAATATTTCATCCAACCGTCGCATTCCGCGACAAGGATTCCAAACGCATCACCAACGCGGCGCGCGAAAAGGAAGAACAAAAAGAAAACCGGCCAATTCTCTTTCCACCCATCAACGCCCGACGTCCAAACCACAAAACCATATTCACAACCATCTCTTAATATCGAAAACAACCCACGAAAATGGCCAACTTCCTCGCCTCCATCTTCGGTACCGAGCTCGACAAGGTCAACTGCTCCTTCTACTTCAAGATCGGCGCCTGCCGCCACGGCGACCGCTGCTCGCGCAAGCACGTCAAGCCCAGCTACTCCCAGACCATCCTCATGCCCAACCTGTACCAGAACCCGGCCTACGACCCCAAGAACCGCATGAACCCGTCCCAGCTGCAGAACCACTTCGACGCCTTCTACGAGGACATCTGGTGCGAGCTCTGCAAGTACGGCGAGCTCGAGGAGCTCGTCGTGTGTGACAACAACAACGATCGTGAGTTTTGTTTCCCGCTCAATTCGCTTAGTACGTGATTCGAATTGAAATGCTGACAAATCGCCATCCGTCCAGATCTCATCGGAAACGTCTACGCCCGCTTCAAATACGAAGACTCGGCCCAGAAGGCCTGCGACGACCTCAACTCGCGCTGGTACGCCGCGCGACCCATATACTGCGAGCTCTCGCCCGTCACGGACTTTCGAGAGGCCTGTTGTCGCCTGAATTCGGGGGAGGGCTGTGTTCGCGGCGGCTTCTGCAACTTCATCCACCGCAAGAACCCCTCCGAGGACCTCGACCGCGACCTGACGCTCAGCACCAAGAAGTGGCTCAAGGAACGCGGCCGCGACGAGAGGTCCCCCTCCCGCTCGCCCACCCCGGAGCCCACGCGGCGCCGTTACTAGGAGGACGGCGACGGCGGCGATGTCCGGGTGAATGGGAGCGGCGGTGGTGGTGATGGTGGTCCCCGTGGACGAGACCGACGCGATACCAACGGACACAAATCGGACCCGCGGAACCGCGTCAGTCCTGTCGATTCCGACCGGCCAGACGGCAGAGCGTGGAATAGTCCTGGTGGTAGCCCACCCAATGGCAACGCCCGCAGCCATGCCCACCAGGCCCAGCGCCATCACAGACGAGGACGTGATACTCGTCCTCGGGGTAGAAGCAGCAGCAACGCCGGTCGCGCTCGCAGCAGAAGCCGCAACCGCGAGCTGCTGCGTAACATGATCCGGGACGAACCACCGAGAGCGGCCGGTCGTGGCGCGGGTCTCCAGGATTCACTTTGATACCCCAGTTTCCACGGGTGACAACATACGGCCGGGAGGGGCCGGCCAAAAAAAGAGATGGCGTTCAACGGCGTTTGGGAATGGTCACTGCTGCTCTGTACGCGGGACCCTGTTAGGCGGAGCATCATGTAAACTTAGTTTTGTCACAGTAGGCTTCAATGACGAGCCGCGATTTATTTCCTTCCAGCCAAACGACTTGATATGTCTTCCATTGAAATTAAACGTTACTGTCCGCAGTTGAATGCCGTTATTGCTAATCCGTAAACAATGCTACATATCTACAAAGGTATCCCTTTTCTACCGAAACCCCGTTTTTCGCCAGTGCACTGAATGGATCTTCTTCCCCTCTAGCCAGAGGTTTACCTCGGATGATGAATGAAAGTGACGACAAGTCTGTCGGACGTATGCTACGAAACCTTGTCTAGTTTACTCCAGGGCGTCGTGGAAGCTGTCCTCGCTAGTGTCGGCTCTCTTCAACGGCGGGACGGCCTTCTTCATATCCGCAGTGAAATCGATCAATGGGCCCTCGCCGGCTTGTGTTCCCGTCTTGTTGAGCATACCCTGGATATCCTTGGAGTCGCTTCGTGTCTCATGGGCGGCCACGGCCGGCGGCGGCGGTTGGATTGCAGGTGCGGATGCCGTCGGAGTCTTGCTGGTGGTGGTGTCGTCGCCAAAGTCAATCAGATCGTTTGCGCCTGTTTGTGGCTTGGGCGCAGGCGCCTCCGCCCGTCGCGCCGGGATAGCATTCGCAGCGTGGGGCTTCTGTCCTTGGACAATGGGGTAGATAGCCAAGATCTGCTCAGTCTGCTTCGCGGGTGTCGGTCCGTCACTGCTACATCGTTAGCTCAGATAGTCTAGTCGACCTTCTTCTCGGTGCCACTCACATCTCGGCGTTGATGATCCACTCCAAGTCTTCCTCCCCTTCTTCAACTTGACCTGGACCACCATTGACCTTTCTGAAGAGCCTCGGTTGCCATTCAACACCGTCTCGTGTTCTGGCCTCCCGCTCCTCGCGCTGGCGGTCCTCAACCTTGGTCTTCTCATCCGTAGCGAGTTCATGGTTGCTGGCCTTCACAGCCTGGGCGGTTGCTTGCCAGAGTCTCTGAGATTCGCGTTCATCCTGCTCTTCGATAGGTCGAACCAGAGGCGTGCTCGGTTTTGACCTTCTAGCGTTGAAAAACATTTCTTTGTGACCAGTCTGTCGGGTTGTGAGTAATCGCTCAACACAAAGTCCGTAGAAACTTACCTTAACATCCTTGACGAACATTTCCTCGCTCCAGAGTCCCGAGAGCTCGAACAGCACTTCACCGGTGCTCTCTCTTTTGATGAAGCCTCCGATCGCGTTGTAAGTGCCGCCGACCCAGCCCTTGGTCTTGAAATCGACATCGGCAACCAAATCAAGCTCTGGGCAGCGGACAAAGCTGTGGTCTCCCAACTCGTACTTCATCTTCCCGAACAAGATCCCGCGGGCGTACATATTGGGCTGTGTCAAAATGCTGCGCTGTAGTCAGCATCCGCTTCTATGAGCTGGCTTCTGAGCAACCTACTATCTTTCACCCTTGGTCTTGTCCTGTCCCCGGTTCAGCAGGGATAGTATAGCGGTTCCCTCCATCATGCTTGCAGCGGAGTTTCCAAGGAACTTCGATCTCGGCTTCAAGGTGCCGTCAACTCGGATGTGGTGGTCAGGGACCATGTAGAAGTAGCTCGACTTGGGAGGATGATGCGACGTTTGCTCTGAAATGTAGTAGGCTCTCGTGTTGTCGGGCAGGTCCCAGTAGCAGGTGAAGATCTCGCCGAGGATCGGGTTGAGAGGCTTCTTGACTCCCCTACACCTATGTCAGCTACGTGCCTCTCCTCGGACAGCTCGGGAATGGGAAAGACGTACGGTGGCCGAATATGCCAACCGCTTAGGTAGAACTTGACAACGGACACGAATCGCAGGACTGGATCGTCGATCTCGGGTATCGGAAGAAGCATTTCGGGGTGGCACATGAAGCTACGGCACGCAGTCAGCTATGGAAGCTCCGGAAGGCGCATCAGCATCTAAGTCACTGACTTGGTGATTCTCTCGAGCATGCTACGAGGCTCGAGAATAAAGGTCGGCAGAACAACGCGACTCAGATCGGCACCCGGCCGAAGCTGGGAGATGATGTGCATGAGCACTAAGCTCTATGTTAGCCAAATATACATAGGCCAGGCCGCAGAGGAGAGACGGGAGGCGCGGCGTCTCTCGTGAGGATTCACTGACCATTGCCCTGATCAGGCTCGACCACAAGGGTGTCGTCATCTTCGGCGTTGCTCCTGCTCTCGTCGACGCTGGAGCGGTTGCTAGCTGTGGGATTCCCGAGCCAGGTCAGCATTGTTGGCGGCAACTTTTTTTGAGGCTCGCGCACGATGGGAGGTTCGGCAAGATGGTGGGGTGCAGGAGGAGAGGGTGTTTTTGGGTTCCCAGCAGAGAGACTCTAAAGCCGGACAGCTTAGATAACAGGAGGGGCGGGAAGTGAAAAAGGGCAGAAAGCAAGAAAAAAAAGCTGTCACAGTGGGCGCCGAAGACATTTGTCAAAAGCAGCGCCAGCAAAGACGAGAAATTGATTGCCATTACATCGGATTTGGTAGGTAACGCTAGGGCTGGTAAGACTCACTGAGGCTGGACGCTCTGGAGCGTCTTCCTGGCACATGGACCAAACCCATGACTGCGACTGGCTCGGTGGGTGCAGGCTGCAGCGATGCCCCTCAGTCTCACACTGCTCGTGGTGATTTCTCTCTGGCCGCTATCGGTCTTATCGGGGCGCCGTCCGGGATGTTCCTTTTCGGCGGGAGGAGGGGCAGTGCTCACAAGGCGGCACGAAGGGCGTTGCTGATGCTGCAAGTAGGGGTAGAGTCGGTAAATGATGGGTCTGGCAACCCTCTTTCGCTGTTGCTGTTGAGAGCTGGCGGTATGATAGTGGGTTCTTGGTGGGGACTTGTCGTGGTATTGTACTTGAAAGGTCGGGCAGGAAAGCGATTTAGTTCAGTCAGTACAAGGAGATGCCGGCAGAGAAACCGTTCGCAGGAATGGCTAACGATATAGCAGTGAGATGCGGATAGGAAGGGAAACCGGAGGAGGGCGAGTTGAGCCGGGCGGAAAAGGCTTGCTTTGCAGAAGTAGATGACATATGCTTGTCTCACTACTTGTGCTCCGGTGATTATTGCCGCTCAACAGCTGTCGGGTTGGTGTTGATGATGCTGTTGCTGCCTCTAACAGCGGAAAGCAGGATACCGGTAGAACTGGACAGGATAGGTGAGGGAAACGGGATGAGGATGAGGAGACAGGGCGCTCGTTAAGAGTCAATCTGAGGCTGGTGTTGGTTCACTGAGGAACGACAGGAACTTGGGATGATTCAGATGGCGAAGATGACCTCGAGAGTAGGTAAGATCAGAAAGAGAGATTGAGACCTAACCTATGCCTCTCTTGGAGCTGATCTAGAATCTGGTAGATTCCTTAGCAATTAACTGGTCTGCCCTACTTCCCGTGGCCCCCTACGTAGATAGGCAACAGCAGATCACACATAGCTCCTGCTCAGCAGGTCTACGGACGGCCTGGCCCATGCAAGAGTTACGTCGATGGTGTTTTTTCCCTTTTGCTGGTGCTGGGGATGGACCCCACCCTAAAGATGGCCGAGGGGTGATGACGTCGCGTCGTTTGCTAGAAACCTTTTTTTTTTCTCCAATAGCTTACCCCTCGCGGCCGTCGCCTCTGCTTTCCATGCACTAATAGCTACCCAACTCACCTACTAGTCATGACAGTAAGGTATCTTACTTCCAGGTCATCATCATCCTTCACGTACCAATTCCTACACACCACTTACCAGCGAGAAGGTCGAGCATCCCGCGGTCAGCTGTCTCTACTGAGCACTTCCCGGCTGCCATGACATGGGGCATCTTTCCCATCTCCGGGACTGTCACCCCAGCTTCCCCTCTCCGTCTCATCCACACACCAAGCCAGCGAGCAGATGCTGTAATACCCTGCATCCAATCACCTGCGGCCAAGCTCCTGCCCACGGCCAATCAGGAAACGAACGGCTCCCCCTTCTGTTCATTTATTCGCCCGCTCGCTGCACTCAAGTTCCCTATAGAATGCCTCATGCTCTGTTTATGTAGAGCAGCGAGGTATCCCACCTCCTTTCATGCAGGTGTTTGTGGCAGTGCTCATTAAATCCAAGAATATTGACCGCTGCCATATGCAGCTCATGACTGCGAAGACAACCTGGAAGTCCAGCTGTTTTAGAGGGGAAACCCGCAGAAGGTGGGGAGTTGTATGGGGTTCAAGCCCATCTTGGCTCCGGGGCTAGCTCTCGCATTGAGGTACAGAACGCGCTTGTCGGCACAGCACTCTCATATGCATCGTATCCCGTCTGATACGCGTATCATTGACAAGTTACTGTCCTGTCTACCTAGACCTGCTTTGTGTGCGTAGCATGCTCTTTGCTGCTTATTCGCCTGTCTTTTCGTTTTACTATCAACATTTATCCTGCCATTGCAGAACTATACCAACATCAACCCGAGGTTTTTGACCAGCGATGTGCTATTACATGGCGCCTCTCGGCAATGCTTAGCTTCCCAGAAATCATCTCGTATCAGACCCGAGTGTTCCGGCCAAAACTGCCACATCATCCAATCCGCCAGTCCATCGTCATCTCGGTATAAACCAATGCTATTCCCAGTAAACGACCCTTGCCGTTTCCGTCCTCGGGCTTCATCCACACACTATAATCCGTCTCGTCGTCCGTTGTTCGCGAAGCAATGTGATGAACCGACTGATGGGTATCTCATACTTTGAATGTTCATTTTGTTGCTTCTTGCTGAAATGCTTTCGATGTTTTCACTTCCACCCTACTCGTACGATTAATTCGGTTGGTCCACGTGGACTCATTTGCCTCTCAGCGATCTTGAGCCCCTGACAGATGCCGGAAGACACTTGCAAAGACGGTCACGCTCTGTTCGGATGTTAGCACGCACCCGACTTCATTCAGCTCCAGGAAACTTACCCGCTTCGTTCTCGAAGAGGAGGGAGATGTCATCGTGCTCTCCCGGCAGATCCGGCATGTCGATGCAGATGAATCCCATGTCATCCGACGGTCCATCGGTGCCGTTGGACATCCGCGGCAAGGGGAACTTGGCGTCGACAAACTTAATACCAGCCTTGCTGCTGCGAGTGAATGTCTCGAAGACATCAGTGCCTTTGAGAACGAAGTTCATGCATTGACCGTGGTGGAAGTCAGGGAAGAAGGCCAGTAGCTGGATGATCGAATTCTGTTGGATCACCTGAACTCTGGTCCAACCCGCCTCCCACTTCTTGTGGATAGGCACCACCATTCGCCGACGAGAAATGGCAAACGCCGCGGCGAGTCCGTCGAAGAGAACAGTGAAACCAGTCAGAGCGGCCTGGAAGTTGTGAAGTTCCTTGAGAGTGGGGAAACTGTATGTGCGGATGGTCTGCGAAGTCTGCAGTATCTGGAGCATATCCGTCAACTCCTTGTGCACCTCCTTGCCAACAGAGCCGTCCGATACTGCTGCCGTCATGTCGAATTGGGGCTGTCGCATCACAATCAAGCTCTTTGCATCCTTGACTTCCAGTCTGACTCGCAATTCGCCAGGCGAGACATTGATACGGTCGGTAAGGTAACCTTGCTTGGACTCAACGACGACCCTCAACTTGTCGGACAGAACTGTGCGGGGGACTTCGTCATCCGCGTCCTCGTTGATCACACGAACCGCCGTCCACGGGATCTTGCTAATACCCGGCAGATACTTGCTGTCGTTCAGAGATGTTGAGATGGAGAATCCGAGGAGGGGGACGTCTGCAAAGATGCTCTCGTCCTTCTGGACATTTGTGCCAACTATCAATGTATGGAAGTAAGATCTTTCCCTCTCATCGCTGAAAGAGAGCACCATGGTGACTTTCTGTCGGCCATTGTCGTACTTGAGTAGCACAGCTGGGTCACCGTTATCTGAGCGCAGGAAACCAAACGGTATCGGTTGTTGAGGTGAGTAGCTGTGGTTGATGCCACTGAGCGTTCTGGTGCGAGGGCCGGTGACCACAGTAATTCTGAAGCCCCGATGGTAAGCTCGAGGGCCGGTGGGTGAGTTCTCCTTCTGAATCTTCTCGAACAGCGCGACGTCGCAACCTTGGATAGCTTCTTTGGGGAAGGCGCGAGCCTGCGGGTCAGAATCGAAGTACTGGAAAGATCGCAGGTTGGCACGGAACGCGCAGTGTTCATCTGATCGGGGATAGAGCGTAGACTGGACCTTGGCACCAAAGTCGTACATGCTCCACAACATTCGGTAGTCGGACTGCGAGCACTGAGCAACGACCATGAAACCTCGAGGCAGTTTGACTTCAAGTGAGCAGGTCTCGTTGCGCCAACGCACGTCATCCCAGGTGGGTCCGATTTGCTTGTTGCCCTGGATTCGCAGGTTGACCTCTCCGTGCTGACTGGAGATGACGAACACGAGGTTAGGCTGCTTCTGAGGTCGAACCATTGATAAGAGACAGGGAAAGTAGAATCTCTGTGATTCCATACCCTGCTCCATCAAGAACACGTCCGTGCTGATTCTGCCGAACGTGAAGTTGTCACCCGTGTCACCAGGGGGAAGAGCATCGAGGATCTCAGGGGGCGAAGGAACCTTGACCTGGCCAGTGATGGCTGCTTGCGAGTCTGCGGTGAGTAGAGCAACCATGTCAACGCTGAGTCTGGGGTATTCGACCCAAATCGACTTGTCAATGGTCTGAGGCAGGAAAGCCTCCTCAGGAGGAAGGAAACCGTTCCGCTTCATCGAAACAGTGAGTTTTTTGAGTGTAGAAACCAGTGTCGAGCGAATCTCATTGATTCCAGCATCCTGTGGGAGACCCTTGGCAGCCATAAGCTCAGGGATTGCCTCCTCAGCGAGCCAGTAGCCCTTGGCCAGGTTTGCATAAGCCTGCTGACGGTCCACGTCGTTTTGCATCTGATCTTGAGGACTGCCAGGGCGGGCGCGCACAGCTGCCTCAAGGGCCATGCGTCCTTTGAGGAACCACCACAGACCAGCACGCGCCAGCTCATAGGGTTGACAAGCTGAAAGGGGCTTGATTGTCTCAGCGTGCAGTCTGAAAAGCTCATTCAGATGGCGTGTGCGTGCAACAAATGTGTTCAGGGCGTCATCCCCAACTGCAAGGACCGCGTCGTGCAGGTTGAAGGAGGGCTGTCTGGAAGTCATGGAAGCGGGAGGGGCCATATTGTGCTGAGAGCTGACAGATGTTTGTCTCGAGAAGCTGGCACCACCACCTGCAGTGCTTTGCTGGCCAAAGCTGCTACCAGCAGAGTAAACGGAAGAGGGACTTTGGTCGGGAGGGTTCTTGTGGAGGTCGGGAGACTTTGTTGGTGACTCGATTATTTGAGGTGTGACAGGTGTGTAGCCAGCACGCTCATCGCCCTGAGGTTGAGAAGACTGGCTTGCTGAGCGTGCGGCCTCAGCGAAAGCTCTGCCCTCTGCCTGTCGCATCTCCGCCTGGTGAGACTCGATGAAGGATTTCCGGTTCTCATCCTTGGCGCTGGTAGGAGTGTCCAGGAACGGCGCTGAGGCATTGTGACCTGGTGCAACCTCCCTGGGACCTGGAGGAGGAGGAAGAGGCTCTCTAGGCTCGGGCTCATGGATGGAAGAAAATCCAGTCTGGGTGCGACGCAGACGGCCTGGGGCGAAGTCGGCGTCGTTCTTCGGTGCAGAGGGGGCTCTCGGCGGGGAATCGTGGACTTCGGCTATGGGCTTTTGGCGTTGGGTGTCGATGGGTGGACGTTGCTTCTTATTTCTCGAAACCTCAATAGCGGGGATTTCCGACTCGTCACCTCCCTCGCCGATAATCTCGGGGTATGAGTCTACAAAGCGAACATTCAGGTTCCTCCTGTTGATGCGACGCGGGCTCCGAGGGGGTGGCAGACCGGGGCTTTGCGCGGGACTGCGAGCAGAGTGAATCGGGAGAGTCAGGCTCTGCTGGGAGTGACTGGCGACATTGAGAGCCTGGGGGTAGCGGGTTGCTGAGCTGGTGTCGAGCTTCGTGAGCTGGGGAAGGGCGCTCTGCGGTGTCGCGTGGGAAACCTGCAGGGTATCGGAGGGCCCATTGAGGAAGTCGTTGATGTTGTTTCCCGTCTCTTCGGCGGTCGGCTTGCGATCCTTCTCCTTGAGAGCAAACAGCTTCCCCATCAGACGACCCCGCCTCGAGGAGGTGGCGGACTGCGGTTCGTTCTCCATATCTTGAGGCCGTTATCGTCGTGCAGCAATTGCGAAACCATAGGAAATTCTGAGGGAAGCGGCGGTGTTAGCAGCAGTCGGCCAGCGAAGGGTCGCCTTCCCGGTGGGATGTGGTGTTGTTGGTGGGCGTGGTGTTGGAGGTTTGGGAAAGAAGGAGCGTACTTGCCTCGAGGAATTGGAGGTCGAGAAGCTGCCCAAAGGCACTCACGCTCGCACGTGGAAGACGATGCGTGAGACGGCAAATGGGGAAAAGAGCAAGTGCGAAGAAGGAAAAGGGAAGTTGGAGGTGAGGAAGTCAGACGAATGTATACCCTTGGTCGCCTAAGTACAGTGTGACGGTTGGCGGCCGTCGTCGGTCGTCCAGACGGGAGTGGTAGCGGAGGTGAGGAAGGAAGGATAGAAAGATGTGAGGTTGCCAGGTTTCTGTATTCGGCGAAACAAATCGGCAGCGTTGCCCTGCAGCTTGGTGCCGGTGGTGCTCGCCTCGATAGACAAGACAAGATGGTGGACTGTGAAAAGCGGTCGGTGGCTTCAGCCCGAATGGGGTGAGATTCGTCGTTGGGTTATTCAAGAGGAAGCAAGGGGTTTCAGGTTCGGAGAGATCACAGGTACGGTGCGGTGCGGGTGCGGAGCGTCGCTGCTGCTGCTGTCGGGGCCCAGGGACGATGAGGAGACGGCACTAGTTCCACCTCCAGAGAAGCACTCCAAGGTACTTTATCTCACTGCAGTTGGTATCAGTGGTTGGAAGTATCCTTGTAGAGGCATGCAAGCTGTAATTAATGAGTGAGTGCTCTCGCTCTCAGTGCTCTCGACGTGCAATTGCAAGTGACGAGAGGTGGAGTGGGTAAGTACGTGGGAGGCGTGGTGGAGGTAGGTACATCGTACCTGACCTCTCTTCCTCGTGCGTGGACCCTTGAAGACATGAAGCCCGCCTTATCACTGGCCAGGGGCATCGCTGACACTGCAGCAAAACCCCCCTTACGGCCCCCCGCTTCAGCAGTTGTACGACAAGCAAAGTACCACGATGTACACTGCGGGCTGCGGGCTCCAGCGGTACGTACCCGTGATATCTCGAGGGCAACCGCGCTGTTCTTTTCGAAGTGCAAGAGTCGTGGCTTCCTCAGCTTTAGCTCCAGTCTGGTTCCACGCCAGACCTCGCGGACGGAGCATGTTGCTGGGGAAGATATTCGAGCCATGTGTTGGAAACTTTTCAACCGGCAGACAAACCCCAAAACTCGGAAAGGCAGTCGTTCGCCTAAGGTACGTGGACATGCTCAATTCGACATCGCCCGTCGGAGACTGTTCTAGGTAAGGCATTCGCGAAGTGCGGCGACATAAGATTTGATAACTCTGGACACCACTAACAATACGACAGGGAGGGCGGCGCAGGCATCTGTCAGTGTCACTTTCGGATCAGTGAACCTACCTAACCTAACCCGCGTCCACTCACATTCGCGATCCGCTACGCTCTCCAGATGGAAAGATGGAACACCAAAAGGCACATGGTTGGGACGGGATGCGGGCGGTGGGATGCGATTGGCATATGCTGCCCAGACACCCGCGCCTGCCATCCGTCATCCGCCATCCATCACTCAACCTTCCATCCCGTCTGCCATCGTGAGCACAGGCTCTGCAAAGCAATGCATTCTTCACCTGTTGGTTCAAACCATCGCACAGAATCGTCAGCCACGGCATGGCACGGCAGCGCAGGGCAGCGCAGCGTCGCAGCGCCCTCGAACTCTTCTTCAAGGCACCTCACGCAACAATCCAACAATCGGGCCTCGCTGGGCTGTAGGGCGGCCATTCCGGGCTAAGGGTACGGGGAGGATTGGAATCCCATCCCCAAAAGCTCGGGACCGCCAAAGTCCCTTGTCCCTACCTTTTAAAGTGCCTTAGGCGCCGGCCGAACCAATTTCGCACTATTTTTGGGGTCCCATTCCCATTCCCCAAGTCCAGGGTGCACTTGCACTGCTGACTCTGAGGTTGGGGGCCTCTTGAGCCTTTTACTGACAGAGTACAGGCCGTACTGGCGGGGACCGGCGTGGACAGGCGTTGCCGTTATTGGGTCGCATTTTAAAATAAGAGGACTGGTTTGGAGGGGACGGAGATGGATACGGGGTTGGGACTGGAGGGTCCCGAGGAGACAAGAGGGGACATCTCGGTCACGACACGAGTTTCGTTCGTAACTTCGTCTTTGCTATTCTGTCCGAATCAAAGTACTGAGGCAGCCAATCCTTCTTATCCGTCAAGGTCCGGAGCCTCGTCCTGTTATAATTATGTACATATACTATTTTTCTTTACTCGTGTTTCTCGCCTTTCCCGTGTCTCAATTTCGTATTACCCACTGAACCACCACAGCCAATACGGGTTCACCGGCCCCACGACGACGTGCAGATGTCTCTGCGCCCAACCATCCTATTCTCTCATTCTAGTTTCTTTGGTCTCGCTTATCTTTTTTTCCGTTTGCTTATCTCAAGCCTGTTGTTCATCGTAACACCATATCGACCGTGATCAGTCATCCTAACGGGGAGATCTTACCAAACTCAGCAGTCAGCACGATAGCTTGAGGAGAGAGGACTGTGCTGTCCCGTGTTCGTATCCTTTCTTATCCTGGCAGCTAGCTTGCTAGCTTGATACTTTCGTAGGAAAAACAGCGATCAATATTGCATCTCATATGTCCTGCTGCTATGCCCACATCGCAGTTGCAATTGTTGAGGCTGAAAATAAACCGACTTCTTCTAGACAGAATCATGGGCAATTGTAGTACTGTGACAGAACTATCAGAATCCCCAAATCGGCAACACGGAACACAACTCTCACCTGGAGTCCGGTAACCTTTTCCGATGCCACCCAAGGTTTTCATCGGACAACACAAGGTTCGAAGTTCAGACGCTACTAACATGATGATGTGCAGCGCTGGGTTTCAGACTTGGGACGAATCTGTTGTCTGGTCCGAACCTTGGCCCAGCAGCAGCAGCGGGCTGCGGCGGCCCTTCTTCTTGGCCCGTCTGCACGCCCTAATGAACCTCGACTAATGTACCCTGTCCGCGTAGTAATGTCGCGTGAGCAACACCCGAAGAGGAGAGAAAAAATAGCTGTTCCCTGCCGAAAGCTTCTCTATTAGCATTCAAGAAAAAAAAGGCAAAATCAGATGCAAGATCCCGAAGCCCAATATGCAGCAGGATGCAATTCCATCGCCAAGATGATGGTCAACGGACCCTTCCTGCTCGACATCTTCAGCTCTGTTCTATTTCAGCAACTGCAACTGCAACTGCAACATTGCGTTGCTGGGAAACACCCAAGTCAAAATAATGACGACATAGCCTGTCTCGTCCAAACAGCCGCCTCTGCTACGGTCAATGCAAGCCACCCGTCGAAGCCGCTAGAGAAGGCGCATAACGGCACACTGCCACATTCTGCGAGTCAAGTCACGAATACCCATCAAGAGAAACCGATAATGCGAACAATCATAACTAGTATTCACGGTTCCCAAGGCTGTGTATGCAAAACATCCCACCATATCGCCGATTATCGCGCCCGCAGCCGCAGCCGCAGTCGCAGCATGTCCCAGATACCCGTCAAAGTTCCGACCAACCAACCGTATGCAAATTATTGCCCAACATGCAGAATTTCATCCAACCAACGAAACCTGAACAACAATGTCATTGTACAGCCGCATGCACACCCTGTCTCCGAGCTTATTTCAGTCTCTCCTAAGCGTGAACCAACTGACGGAGCCTCTTCTCGATCTTCTCCCGCCCGTCGAACGTCTCCCAGACGTTGTGGGGGGCGTCGTCGACGATGTCCCAATGCTTCAGGTTTCTCGTCAGGTGGCTGAGGTCTCTCTGCTTCTCCTCCCAAACGCTGTCCTTGCGGAGGTTGACACCAGAGCTGATGAGCACCAGGGGGGTATCTGGGTACTGAATCGCCTTGCCGCTGATGACCTCTCGCTTCGTGAGGGTTGCGGCCACCAAGCTCTCTTGCAGCTTCGAGAAGAGCAGCTTACCGCTCTGCCATGCTGAGCGACCCCAGATGCGGTCGGCGCTGGTGCGTCCCTTGAACAGGGCACCGGGCAGCCGTTCAAATCCGAGAGGCGACAAGATTCCGCGCAACCAGTACACGAAGCCCCTCCCGGGATCCGAAACACGGTACAGGAGATCTTCGTGAAGAGGGTCAATCATGAGGATCCCGTTGACCTCGTGGCCGTGCCTAGAGGAGAAGATCCGGGAGTACACGGAGCCGATGCCAGCGCTGGCCAAAACCCAAGGGCCATTCTCACCAGCCCGGGCAAGAGCCTCGCTGAGAGCGTCCGTCGCCATACCGGCAGAGAGAGGGCTTGGCGCAGTGTCACTCCAAGCATACCCAGGGCGGTCGGCGAAGCAATACCTCGAGATCGAGCCATTCTTCAGCGCACCCTGAGCGAGCTGCCAAAGTCCGTTCTCCACTGGCATATCGCCGCCTTCAAGGAGGACGCTCGGCAGCTTGTTGCCCGCGGCGTCGGTGCCGTTGCCCTCGCAATAAACGTGGATGCGGTATTGATCGTTGTCAACCCAGTACTGCTCGCCCGGCGGTCCGTATCCTGCATCCAGGCTTCTCAGGATCAGGCTGCATGTGATCAGAATGATGACAATCGAGAGGACCACGTATGCAATGGTCGAGAAGAGCACCTCGATCCACTCCTTGATCGTTCTTCTCGTCTCGACCCTTCCCGTCAGTCGCTCTTCCTCTTCGGCCTTGCCCCATTTCACGGTTCGGTCCGCAAGCAAAGCCCACAAACTCATAAGGAAAGCCCCTGTTATGGCATTGTTAGCAGCAGGTTGTGAACCGCCGAATCCAGGTGTAACTCACAAACAACACTAGCAACTCCCACGCCGCCCTCCTCGTACCGGTTCTTCTGAACAGCAAGAATAAGGATGGCATCAGCAAGCAACATGACAGCCATGAAGACGGACAGCACGCGCACGGCAGCCGACGGCGCCCCGAAGAAGACGAGCGTGAACAGGAGCGTAAAGAGCGACAGGCTGGAGTAGCTAAAGGCGAAGAAGCCCGAGCCGCGCGTGTGCAGCCCGGGCGGCGTGACGAATATGGATATTAGGTTGATCGTCCACCACAGGAAGGTAATGATCGCGAAGAAGACGGTGAACCATCGCATCACCCGCACAGTCCACAGGTTATACGGCGACACGGCCGGGTCGTCGGGCGTCAGAAACTGCCGGTTGTCGCTGTCGAGCCGGTTCGGCAGCAGGCGCGTGTGCTCATCGGGCTCCCGCTCGACCTCCTCGTCCGACCTTCTACCCCTCTCCCCCGGCGGCCCGTCGGCGGCGGCGTCATCGTCCTTTTTGTTCTTCGAGCCAAAGAGCGAGGACATTGTGGCTTTTGCTGCTGCGGCTGGCAGTGCAGGACTCTTGTCGGGTCCCGAGTCCTTCTTATTGTGTGAGTGGTTGACAGAAACGATATATCAAACCGGGTAGATCTTCGAAGCGATGCTACCTCAAAAGTCAAATAGGAGGGACAAAACCAAAATGAGATGGGAAAGGGGATTCAACCCCGCCGAGCGGGAAACAGACTCTCAAATCCCCTAACGCCAACCAAAACCGCTAACATCCCGTCTTCAGACGTGTCAATGACGGCAGGGTGTCGCCAAAGCGGCTGCTGCTGTACCAGAAATGGCCATGCCCAGGCACCTTAGCTGCCAGAAGTGAAGGGGCCAGAGCTCCCGGTCATGTCGTCATTGGGGTGCGTTGCATGCGGCAGATGTGGGACTCCCGCCGCCGATTGGCACGGGGGTCGGACGTGGAGCTAACACTCCGGGTTTGGCGTGGGGGGATCGCAGCTGCACATGCACCAGTGACATTTCTGCAAGAAAAGCAGGATATTCGTTTGCTTTCTTCTGCTGTTCATTAGCGTCTTTGCAAGATGCTGCGCACCGAGGATAATCATCTTCACCTCGATCCTGTGGAGGTCGTGCCACACGGAGTAGCCATAAGTGGCGTTTATTTGACGTCGTGGTGTCCGTCATGTCTCTCCCACCCTCTCTCTCCACAACACTGACCCGATCCCGATCCCACTCTTCTCCGCCGCAGAACCCATCATTTGAGAGAGAACAGCATCTTGAGCGTGTCAGATCTATCAACCCCGATAGTTTCGACCCATTCTCCATACTCTCAATAAGGCGGGTCATCAATGCGCGGTGAGTTCCAGATTCTAGCCTATGGATCGGAGTAGACCCATAGACGTCATGGTCTATTCATTGTTAACGGCCGACCGATGGGATGCCTCGTATTCATACCATAATTGCAGTAACACGTTGGATGGCGCAGACGGACAATTGTGTAGCGTAAAAAGTCTTCCGTTTTCATCTAATGATAATTCTCATATAAGCAAGCCCTTCGAGCTCTTCTCAACGCGCGAGTCGCAATGCTATCTCTCCGCCTGGATGAACCAAGGCGTTGAGAAAGGGGTATAGTGCAAAAGCAAATTTGGCTACATGCAAATCGCCAATCTCTTCGTAACTCCATCTCTCGTACGAGGCAAAACCCAACAATTCATCCACCCGCTCTTTTTATGTATGCCTTGCCTAAGACGCCTATGCCCAAGGAGCGATGGGGTTCGCCTCGCGACTGCTCGAGGATGACTCGGAAGAGATGGAACTCGACGCCCTCTGAGAGCCGCCGTGTGTGCGAATCCTCTTCCGGTTGGCGGCCCTCTTTTTGGCAAGCTCCTCAGGATCAGGACCGCTGGATGGCTTGATGGCCTCCTCAGGAATTGCGCCAATAGGCGCATGAAGCTTCGCACTAGCCTCGGGATCCCTCATGGAGATGCCGTGCTTTCGGTACTCCCTCTGCTTGAACTGCTTCCAGTCCTGAGCAGACGGCTCGCCAGTACTGAACCAGTCTTTGACTTGGTCGAAGAAGCCATTCTTGCCCTTCTTGGGCTTGGAGCTGCTCTTGGGCTTCTTCGTAGGGCTTCCGCTGACACTAGGAGTGGGAAGGCTGAAGTCAGACTCCTCTGACTGGTGGGAGAACATGCGTTTCGGAGGAGACATTCTCAGGCTCATCTCCGAGGCCACACGTCTGAGACCCTTGGGATTCATCGTGGAGTCTTCAAAATCAAGTAAGGTGCCTGGGTGATTATCGTCTTCGTCAACGGTTAACCCAATGTCTTGTAGGGTTGTTGTTTTTGTGTCCACAGCGGTGACTCCGGAACTGGAGGCTGGCCGAGTAGGACTAGGCGGGTGAAAGCGGGCGAAAGAGAGATCGACCGATTTCGCAATCTTGTGCCGAAAGGGAGCTGAGCGCTTTGGCTGAGCAGTCTCTCTAAACGGTATTTCAGGACCTGTGGCAAGGAGTAGTTGGTTGTTGGGTGGCTTTTTGTTTCTTCGAGGAGTAGGTATTCCGAGTAGACTTCTCCGTTTCTTGTTCACCAGTACCGGCCCCTAGCCGTAGGCAAATGCCTCTGGTTGAGAAACAGGTGAGAAGGAATCGAGTGATGCTCGCTCTTCACCTCGGAGAGGTACGTAGGAAGATGCCCAGTAGAAGGGGGAAACTTCTTCGACCTCGAGTTGTATTCGAGGCTCTGTTGTTGTATTCGCGGTAGTAGATGGCGAAATCGATGCTGGGTATAATGCAGTTGGGTACGAAAAGTTCCGGATTGGAGTCTGAGACGCTGGAGTATTCTGAGGAGTGTGCTCTGGTCGATGGAGAAGAGAAGGTGTGTCTTTTTGCTGTTTCTGATGCCGAAGGAAAAGAGGCATTGTTCGGTTAAAGTGACTGTGGAAGCGTCTCTGCTTTTCAAACACAAGAGTGAATGAAGGATGTGAAGACGGTAGCGACGACGCAGGATACGATGTAGTGGCAGATGCCTTGTATTAGACGATGCCGTGTGACGTGACACGACGTTGGGTATTGGATTTTAGACCTGGTGGGTTGATGTCGACAAGATATTGTGTTCGGCGCGCCAAGTTGGAGCTGAGATTGGAAGAATGACGGATTGAAAGGCGATGACAGTGATCAGATGAAGCTGATGTCTTGACGGTGAGATGGCGAAGTGGATAGAGGGCTGGATCAAGAGGTCTTATGGAGAAAGCGGGAAGTGTGGTTGTATATGTGATCAGGTGGTGGTGGTGAGGTTTGAGGGAAGAGAAAGTTGTAGGCGATGGGTGACGAAAGGCAGAAGAGGAGAAGATCGACGAGCTGAAAAGAACCACACCTCGTGGCAGGAACGTGCAGTACCGCGCCTGACCAAGAGGCAGAAAAAGAAAGCTGGCTAAGAAAAGCATGGGAAAGTCTCAAAAGTCCACACACACCTGCCTCGTGCCCACTGGACCAAGGCAGACAAGAGGCAGGGCGTTCTAGCTAAGGTAGGTAGTCAGCACTTTCCTTGATTTCCTGCCATGCCTTTACCACGCCCGAAGCTCGTGTCGTTGGCTCTCGTCGCGATCGCACAAAAAGAGCGACGAGATAGCCGGGCTGTTGGATGGCTCATCTCTTGATTGGACGTCACGATTGTGACCAAACCGCTAGATCGTGCGCTAATGCTAACGTTGGGAGGGATCCTGCCGTAACCTGCCATTCATTGTCCGTTTGATGTGCTTGCTGCGGTTCGCGAGACTCGGTGCTTGCTTGTTTATTTGGGTGTCTGGAAGGCAAGGCCGGCATAACAATCCACGAATCGAGGGAGACAGGCTGTCCGGGTGATATGATTACATCCCTACATTCAATGTCTCCAAGACAAGCGGGAGCATGTCTCAGCTGTGCCGAATCTCCCAAGGCGCTGTCAGCACTGTTAGCCCGCCGACGGCGTTGCGTTTCGTGCTTTGTTATCCGTTCAGTTTGGAAACCGGTCCTCCCGGGTCCCTGGAACCCAGATCCAAGTTCCCAAATCTGGCATCGAGGCATACCGTAACGAGGCGCAGTATCCTTTGTTGCCTTTGCAAGAGAGAGTGCATCGTCAACATCTGTACCGTGCCCCTAGAACACCGCTAGAATACCGCCAGAACTCTTCATTCTTTGATATTCTCAACTGCCTTAATTCAAACTTCGAGCGACTGCCAGGGCCAGGAAAGCAGTAGCGACGAGACTAACACGAACGGTCCCAGACGACGTAATTGCTCGATGTGAACAGAGCGAAGACTCAAAAGATGGCCAAAGGAGGAACCAAGAGACAGTAACAGCCAGAGGGAGCTGGGTAAGACCAATACTTGGATGGCGCAAGAGAGTGAAAAGCAAAATCCATACCAATCAGAGCCCGCTGCAGCCACAATATTGCAGGAGCCAAGATCTGATCTAAGTCTGCTGTGCTCAATTGCCGTCTCTCGTTGGCTGAAGCATCAAAACGTCCTGTTAGCACCAATGTGTTCGGCGCTGGGCATCGCAGTTCGGCGAGACTAACCAGTATAGAGGTAGTCTTCCGGCGAGAATACGGACGTACAACCACAAGACATTGGTATGGAGTCACAGAAAAACCCGCACGCGATAATGTAATCCCACACTGGGCTGAGTAAACGTCAGTGAGACACTGAGGTTCCCGGAAGGCACTTTCCCTCGCATGGGAATTGCAAGAGGCGTGCGTTGGCCGATACGCTGCCTCGGCTTCGCCTTTACGTGGATGGATGACTGAAAACTCGAGATGGACAACGACGTCTTGATATCGCGGCATGTCAAACCAGCAGTTCGGGTCCCAGTGGGGTCAGAGGCACGTGCTGACGCAGGCTTGCCCAGACAAGGATGGCCGTGCACTGCCCGCCTGGGCGCCCTCTTGAACCTGGATCTTGATGCTGCAGCCGCCATGCCAGAATAGCACTAGCCAGTGGCAAGAGCTCATTTGAACGTCCACCACAAGTCGGATGTCTTTCATCCAACATCAAACAATGCGAGTAAAACAGTTGGCCCGAAACTGTGTGTGACTCGGCCAAAGAGGAAAGAAACAAAACAACAGCAACAACAACAAACTACGTCATTCAGCACCGGTCAGGCTTCCCGCGGCTTTTACGTCCGTTGGCTCGTTGAATCCAACCGCCTGAACTCTCGCAACCTACACGCGCCTGCCTTTCCCACCCGAAGCACCCGAATGCCTGCCTTCAGCTGAAAACGGACGTTCCCTGCACGCGCTAACGATTCGCCAAAAGCTGACAAAGTTCCCGAGTTCCCATATCGCCGCGCCGCGCAAGCGCACGGTGCACCTTCAGCCTACAGCTCCGATTTCCCTCCCGTCCCTTGCTTGGTTTTCCCCTCTCCAGGTACCTTACTCTTGGCCGGTGCTCCTGTTAGGCCCGAACCCCACCAAAGAACCAGTGGACGTGAAGGCACCGTCCAACCTCCAACCTTCAATCTTCAACACCAAACCACCACCAACAAACGAATCAGCGCAATCCGCCGCGAGCCACGACCAGCCTCGCCCACCATGCCAGGCCTCACGATACAAACGGATTCCATCTCTCCCCGCACATCGAACGCTCCCGCGCCCGCGCCATCTACGTCTGCGGCACCCCCTGGCGCCGCGGCTGCTGGTTCAGCAGCTCCCTCGTCCTCCTCCGCTGCCGGCGCGTCACACCCCCCAGCGCAGACCCCTCCGCGCTCCTCCCGCTCAGCATCCCCCGCCCGGCCCCCCATCAGCCCCATCACCCCGACTCTGTCCCCCGCTCGGCTCCCGGAACCCCCCGCTCCCTTCGCCGCCGGCCGTCCAGTCCTCACTCACTCCACGCAGCCGCCCGCCGCCGCCGCCTCGGCCATCCCTCCTCCGCGACCGGAGCCCATCGACTTCGACTCCAACCCCGACGTCCTCGCTCTCAAGTCGGCCATCTCCATTCTCCAAATGCAGCAGAAAAAGGCCACCGCCGACATCCAAGCCCTCAGCCAGGCCAAGAACGCCGCCGTCGACGACCCGAGCGCGTTCCTCGCCGATCTCGGCACGGGCAAGGTGCACACGCAGGGCGACAAGCTCTTTCTCGACGAGGACTCGGACTCAGATGACGAGATGGAAGGCAACGAGGGCAAGAGTGCGTCGGGAGTGAAAGAAGAGAGCGCAGCTGGACAGGGCAAGGCACCGGAACCGCGGCCATGGGAGTCCCTGCCGAAGCCTCAGAATGTGCTTCGCTGCCCGCCCATCAACTGGTCTCAGTACGCGGTCGTCGGGGACTCTCTGGACAAGTTACACGCGGATCAAATATCGAGGCCGAGCCAGGGTACTCCGGCGACGTTAGGCCCAAGCGGAACGTATGAGTTTACGGGTGTCCCTGGGGGAAACCAGAAACCGTTCATCGGCGTCGCAGCCCCCTATAACCCTGGCAGGGACAGGATCGACAAGAAATCAAAAGGTGGAAAGCGGTGAATGTTGATGATGAGCGAGGACCTACCGGCCAGTGTGTCCTCCGAGGTTAGGCATCGGCTTATGAATTATGGTTATTTACGTACGGGTGGTCACGAGATCATGAGGCGTCACATGGTTTGCATTGGTTAGGCAGGTGTTATGGGTTCGGGCATGGTTTAGAGCAGTTGAATACAAAACAAAACGAGAAAGGGAATCACAAAATTCGTAAGCAAAGCTACTTCGTTGCATCATTACTTGAGGTATCTACTTGAGTCTAACGGGGCAATCCCAAACCCGTTCCTGATATGCATGAATCCGATGCCTTGAACGCCGTCCAGTCCTGTGCAGGACTCGATGAACCAAAATACCTCATTGCATTAATTGCAGACCTGAAAATGTGATGTGTGTACATCGGGAGAATGCCTGGTCTGTTGATAACTTGTCTTTCGAAGCTTCCCATCACTCGCTCAAACGCCTCTTCGCACAGCGCCGAGAACGCAAGCGAAACTTGGTTAGAAGTCACTGCCAGCTTGTTAGCCACAGGGATCTCGATGAAGGGATGGGTTTGACCTACTCCATGCTCTGTTGAACCGACCTACGGAGACGACGGTTGTAGTTCTTGCGCTCGTCGCCACCGCCCCAGTAGAGCTTGTGAGCCTCTGGGTTCACCAAAGTACGAGGGTCGTAAGCCGGATCCTCCTCCTCTAAAGCAGTAAAGACCGCCTCAATATGCGAGCGCACGTCGTCCTTCTTCAGAGGGTTGGGAAAGTAGCAGGCCGTTCCGTCTTCTGCGATGCGATGATGGAAGATGCGCGTGACAAACTTGACACGAGGTTGCTCCTCCGGGAATCGGGGGCTGAAGTGGATCTTGATACGGAAGAGACCACCATCAAGGTTAGTCATGGGCCGTCCGAAGTACGTAATGTTCCAGACGAAAGGATTGTTGTCCTCAAGCTGGAAGTCGTGGGGAACCTCTTGACGCTTGAATGCTTGCACAACCTGCTCGTATTGATGGCGTAGGTTGACCGACACCGTCATCTCCTTATCGTTCGCGACCTGGCCCTCCTTTGCCCACTTCACAAGCTCGTTATCAAGTGCGGCTTTGATGTTGCGCAGACGTCTCTCCAGCTCAGTGTAGTTGAACTTGCCATCCATCGAGTTGTTCGCGCCCTCGAAAGGCATGCGGGCGAAATTCTGGTGGTCCTTGACTTCGGTCTTGGCCTTCTGGATGGCGGCCAGATAGTTGTCGTAGTACCAGAGGAATCTGCGCTTGCACAAATCCTTGAACGGCTCAAAGGGAATGCTGGTGTCGTCCATGTCCTCGTGGTCCATATCGAGGTCTTGCTCGGCTGCGGACTGCTGGGCGATAGAAACGCCCTCCGGGGTCAATCCCAGATACTCCTCCATACGCTGGATGACGGAAATGCGCAGAGACTCATGACGAATCTTGCCAGTATCATTAGCGCCAGATTTCCCTGCGCCGTGGGAAATGACGTCGCACGTACCTTCTGCACGTAATCCTTCTGGTTCTTCTTGTCCGAAGCTTCGTTGGCGTCCTCGAAACCGGGCTCGTTCTCGTAAGGGTTGCCGGACATGAGACTCTGGATGGAAATGAGAATCGACTCGAGGCCTTGGGCGGCCGACCATTCTTCACCACGTTCGCCACGCCAGGTTCTGTACACCGTCAGCAAGGGGCTTATTAGGAAGAACTTGTCGCTTCGTACCCCAAGATTGACCTAAAAAAACGTCAGTATTTCCCCATAGGGAACGTGCGCCTACTTCATCGAGTGGTAGACATACAAGCAAACCTTGCCAGAGGCATAGATGTTGGGATTGAAGCGGCATCGACCGCCATTTGTCGTGATGCCGTTGACGTTCGGGGACTTTCGAGGGTAGTCTGGATATTGATTAGCCACAGGATTGCGCCGCTTCTTGCGCTTCAAAAAACCTTTGTTAAACCTAATGGCAAACTGAGAAAAGGGTCAGCACAATTGCCAGCGTGAAGCGAAGCTAGGCTGAATGTACCTCGAAAAAGCCGAACTCGTAGGGTGTGTCGTGAGGGCCGATAATCAGGGCCTTGACATTGCGCACATCGACATCGCGGCAAGCGACAGCCAGAGCTGTCAGCAAAGTCAGCTAAAGTCATGTTTGATCCAGTATCTGCAAAGTTGGTTCGCACAAAGATCTGAGGTGCGCTGAATGTCGCTCAACTCCTGTACGACGCGATCGTCAGCCTTGTGAATTCAACCCCTCATTCCCATGTGTCGAGGAGAGGCGAGGGAGGCGAAGGTGGGACCCAACTGTGGCTACCTTGGTGATGCGAATGATGGATTGATCCGCCATGTTGACGGCTCGACTAGGCGCTCCGCGGCTCCCTTACTGAACGTTGCTGGGTCGTCTTTGGGGAAATGATGGTTGGGAGAGGTAATGGCTCTTCTCGCGGTGGCAGGTGCGGGACGTGAGAGGACGGAACGAGAACGAGAGACGGCGGCCCGAGAGCCTGAGAGATGAGCTCGGGAAGTAAGGAAAATGGTTTATGCAGACGGTCAAGTGCGTTGGCTGGCAGCGCCTCTTTTTTTTTTTTTTTTCCCTTTGGGACAGGCTACCTCTTTGGTTGAAGCAGGTAGGTAGGCAGGTAAGTTGGTAAGTAGGCAACCAGGTCACGGAGTGGAAGTCCTGGGTCGGAGTACGCTGGGACAAGGCAGCTGCTCTACCTTAAATCGGCAGTTTGGCGGGGCATGAGGGGTAATTTTTAGCGTCTATCTGATGCAGGTGTATCGCTGTGGTGTGGTGCATGGAATGGCTGCCTCTGCCTCTCTAAATTCCGTTTGCTCCCACCACGGGACGGAAGCCCCACCTTGCCCGACGGAACCTCTACCCGGATGCGATCCTGCTTGAGACGAGTAGGCAATACTGGACGCTAACTACCTTCCTTACGTTACCTTCCATTACCTATCTTACCTAGGTAGGCCATGAAGACGTACTCCTGCGGGTGCTGGCCCTGCTGCCTTCAAGTGTCTACAAAGTCAAACCAACTCTTACAGAACTATGATTTTGCTGCCTGGAAATGGTATCACGTCCAAGACAGTACGGACTACGATACGGCAGCGACGGGCCATGCATGTGAGTTATTTGTCAAAGTCATCCGCGTCTAACCACGTGCATGGCCTCTTATCGTCTGATTTTCAGCGGGAGAATCTAGTTCTTCAGACCTGTCTGTGTAAACTTTCCCCCAGTATTGGTTGAGTGATTTGAGATTCCTTTGACTCATCTTCATTTTCTATCTACAACAATCCGCAGATTAACGAAGACTTTATGGAAGAGGCTGATATACAACCGAAATCCTTTCCTGAGAGTCTTATAGAATTGTTGCAGAGGTTCAAGTACCTGAGTGTCAATAATCTTCACTTATATTCAAATTCATAGTATGAGAAGACCAGCTCTTCACAATTCGCGGGGTGCATCTACAAAGCGTCCTTGATGAAATGATATCCCCCCGGAACTGGTATCCTGAAGTAACATTCAGGTAAATTGAAGGTGCCTCGTCGGTGTACCGTTGAGTGGGGCATGAGTCCGCGGGGTCCTGAACGCGACATACCTAGTCTAGACCCCTGTCAGCTCAAGCCTGAGCACGCGTCAACTACGGCGCGAGCAGCGCGTCTGCCACTTTAATTGATTTCCAAGTTCTCAGTCGTCACCACCGTGATCTTTCGAGCATCCTGCCGCGGCCAACCAACAACTTGCAATTCGAACCACCGGGGATACACCCAAATATTGGAACAAGCAACAGACCACATGGCGAGTTTCTTCGACCTCAAGGCCAGAAAGCAGGCCGCTGCAAACGGGACGTCCCAGAAGCCCGACAAATCTTCACAGCCTCCTAGGGCGCAACCTTGGGTTGAGAAATAGTACGCTTACATTACGCCGTCTCCCTCGCCCACTCAATCGCATGCTGATAGCCTGTAACAGTCGCCCGAAGACCCTCAACGATGTTACCGCTCAAGATCACACCGTCACAGTCCTGCAGCGGACCCTGCAGGCGTCTAATGTACGCCCATCCAAGATGCGATAGATGTCCCAACAAGCCGTGATATGCTGACCACTCGCTCAGCTGCCACACATGCTGTTCTACGGACCTCCCGGTACCGGAAAGACGTCAACCGTCCTGGCCCTCGCCAAGGAGCTGTACGGCCCCGAGATGATGAAGTCGCGAGTGCTCGAGCTCAACGCCTCGGACGAGCGAGGAATCTCCATCGTTCGAGAGAAGGTCAAGGATTTCGCCCGCATGCAGTTGACCAACCCCACGGCCGAATACAAGACGAGATACCCCTGCCCGCCCTTCAAGATCATCATCCTCGACGAGGCCGATTCCATGACGCAGGACGCCCAGAGCGCCCTTCGCCGAACCATGGAGACATACAGCAAGATCACGCGATTCTGCCTGATTTGCAACTACGTCACTCGCATCATCGACCCGCTCGCCAGTCGTTGCAGCAAGTTTCGCTTCAAGAGCTTAGACCAGGGCAACGCCAAGAGGAGACTCGAGGTTATTGCCGAGAACGAGGGCGTGCAATTGGAGGATGGTGCTGTTGATGCGCTCATCAAGTGCAGCGAGGGTGATTTGCGGAAGGCCATCACTTTCTTGCAAAGTGCGGCCCGTTTAGTTGGTGCCGGCTCTGAAGAGAAATCAGCAGATGACGCCATGGATGTCGACAAGAAGCCAGTGACCGTCAAGATCGTCGAGGACATTGCTGGCGTTATCCCCGAGAACACGATTGACAGACTGGTCACCGCCATTCGCCCGCAACGAGGTGGCGAGACATATGAGAGTGTGGCAAAGGTTGTTGAAGACATGGTCGCGGATGGTTGGAGTGCTGGACAGGTCGTTTCTCAGGTATGCCGACTGGAACAGTCTGCGCGAAGCTTTTTGCTAACATTGGATAGCTGTACCAAGCCATCGTCTTCGACGAAACGATTCCCGACATACAGAAGAACAAGATCGTTCTTGTTTTCTCCGAGGTTGATAAGAGACTAGTTGACGGTGCAGATGAGCACCTTTCCATCCTCGATCTTGCATTGAGAATATCGGGTATCATGAGCGGCCGCAACTAGGGCGAGAAATGGGTGGGAAGTAGGTTTTATGAAGACAATTGGCGTCCGGACTGGACATATTAAAGGCGTTTACACTGGTAAAAAACATGTGTTTAGGGAGGGTATATACCACTCTTCAGAAATGATCTTCATGACCGATGAGACCAAGTTTCCCGTCAATGGCAGACCAAATATCACCGGGCTTGGATGCTGAACCTTTCCTTTGGTGTGCATGTCTCCGCGCCCCCGCCTTATTGCCTGACCCTTGCGTAAGCCAGATGTCCTCCTCTGTGGTATCTCCACCCGCGTCCTTCTGGGCTTCTGGGGGCTCCTGTCCCAAAAGCTTGTCGACCTCCTGCAGAGCCGTCATAGAGCCTTCCAACGCCACCTGGCCCTCCTCGATCTTCTCAGCCACCGCCTCCAGCGTCGCAATCTTAGCCGAGTCCGCTGCAAAGACCCATGGCTTTACCCTCTCAGACATGGCTTGCTTTTCTGATACAGCAGAAGCGAAGTCCTCAGCAAATCCCGACCTCGGCCTAGGCTTTGGCATGGGATGTCCAGGCAGAAGCTGGCTTTCCTCAGCAAGATGATCCAACGCCTGCCGGGTCTCTTTGCTTTGCTTTGCCAGCACGTTGTTGATGTGCGACTTCTGCGTAATCATGCCCTTTTGCTCGCGGGAGAGGGCCAACATCTTCTCGAGATACGGAATGAGCAGGTGGGACGTCGGCGCTGGCGGTATCTCTTGCCCTTGAGAAGGCCCGGCGGCCTCCCCTCCTGGTTTCAGGACGGGCTGGGTCTGCTCCGAGACCACTTGAAGCAGTGACTTCCGCGCTGCTGTGTACTTTGCGTATTTCGCTTTGATCTCCACCAGTTGCTCATCGATGTTCGTCTTACTCGCATCGGAGCTTTGCCCATTCCGCTGCGAGGGGTCATCGTCTTCTGTATCTCCTGAAGCCTTACTAAGCTCAGTTTCGATCCAATTGATCAACTCCGCCCGGGTTGTGTCCAGTGCATGTGCTTTTGCTTCGTCACTGACTTGACCAGCCAAATCCCCTGTCCTTTGGCGTAGGTCTTGCAACAGCTGCTCTTCGCGCTGAAGAAGTAGTTTGGCTCTGAGAACCACCTTCTCCAGTTGGCTGGCCAGCCCGCTCAGGTCCTTTTTCGTTGTGGCATTGCTGACTGTGAAGCTGTCGACAACGGCAGTTGGGACGTCGGGAAGAGGCGGGGAGTCCCTGAAAACATCCTCCAAGTCGAGAAAGTCTGGCGCCGCTGCTGGCTGGCGTACTAATAAGTCGAGATACTTTTGCACCGTTTGAAGTCGCTGTTGCTTTTGTCGTAGCTTGACAAGGGCTATATGATCTTCCAGCTGATCGCTTGGATTGACCGTGTTCGAACGAGCAGGAGGCGCTTCTGCTGTATCGTTCCTCGTGTTCTCATACTCATTCCTAGCTTTGAGGTTTGCGTCCAAGGCCCTGAGATACTCTCGTTGAAGACCTCTAGCTTCTTTGGTGGGAGTAACGGTGCAAGATGCATCGATCAGAGACAGCGGGCTCTGAATAGGCCCTGGTTGCCCGCATGCCTGGAGGTGAAGAGCTAGGGCGCGTCGGATGTAAGCGACCTGCTCCCGCGGTTTGATGTACGGGTCGAGTGATGTCTGAACCTTCTGGATAGCTTTAGGTACAGTATCCATGCTGGCGAATGGCGTATGAGAAGGCCATGTAGAAGTATAGAAAGGCCGGTGGAGCGATATTCTCCCTCCCGTATAAGTGAGGCCAAACGTTAGAATAGTTGCTTGTTTCGACAGTTGACCGGGAACTTTGGCGGAAGCTTCAGGGGTGGTGTGGATTTGTTTGGCCTCAGAGGCGCACCCTGTGTCGATGTCGCGGTGACAACATGCGGAGCGTCACGTGAAGCTTGCTGTCTGGTGGAGACGACACCGCTAGCTGATTACGGCTTAGCGCCACCTCCGGATTCTGGCGACGGCGAGCAGAGGAAATTTGTTCGCGACTGGAAGACGTCGTTGTCGCCGCACGCCTTCGCGCATCCGAACCGCGATACATATTCCCATTGCGATTACCAAGAACATCGATCAAGTTCATATAGCCTACTTTCGGACGAATGATCTAATTTTCAAGTTGGGCATACGGCGTTTTCACGGATACAATCTCGGCGGAAGCCGCCCGGCGCTGTCGTTGTCGTCGTCGAGCTCCAACACCTCTATCATCCCCAATCAATACCATCACCTGTGTACTCTAGCGACGATACCAACGACACCAACGATACCCAGCCAAGATGTCGGACCAACACCGCGATGTTTCCCAATACAAATACTCGGCCATGTCCAACCTGGTTCTCCAGGCGGACCGTCGTTTCGTTTCGCGACGAAACGATGAGGCCACTGGCGACCCCGAGTCTCTCGCCGGCAAGCTGAGTATTCGCGACATGGGAGCACGCGTGGCACGCGACACGGCGCCGAAACAGAAGAAGCCGACTGGCCTCCCCGAAGTCGAACGTGGAAGATTACAAGAGGGCGAGGACGTGCTCCTGCGCGAGCAGCGCAAGAAGAAGAACGAGGCGGCGCAAGCGAGGGGCGCTGGTGTTCTGGGAACAGGAGACCTGCTCGTCGAAGGCATCACCTACCGCCCACGGACGACAGCGACTCGGGCAACCTACGAATTGATCTTGAAGATCGTTTCCGACAACCTCGGTGACGTGCCTCAGTCGACAGTGCTCAGTGCCGCCGACGTCGTGCTGGAGTACCTCAAGGACGACGATCTCAAGGATACCGAGAGGAAGAACGAGATCGACGACATACTGGGTGTTTCCATGAGTGCGAAGGAATTCAACGAGCTCATGAACTTGGGAAAGAAAATCACCGACTACGACGCGCAAGACGACGAAGACATGGATGCCAACGCGGCCGACGATGCTGATGGTGCCGAATTGGACGAACGACAGGGTGTCGCCGTTGTCTTCGAGGATTCCGAGGATGAAGAGGGCGGCATCGTCAATGAGGTGCGGGAGGAGTCTTCGGAAGATGAGGCGGATGACCAAGACGAGGATCAGGCTGCCCAGGACGGTGCCGATAAGGAGGGCATGGACGACGAGGACGCCATGATCATCGATTCAGCACCGAAAAAGCAAGCGCAAGACGAAAAACAGACGAAGGCAGTCCCCGCGAGAGATATAGATCCTTTCTGGCTCCAGAGACAAATAGGAAAGCTCTACGCGGATTCTCACGAACAACACGATAAGGCGACGGAAGCTCTGCGCATTCTGTCCGGCGAGCCTGACGAGCAGGGAGGCGAGGAGAAATCGCTCCGAGAAATCGAGAACGATCTCATGGAGCTATTCGATTACGAGCACCACGAGTTGGTCCAACTGCTCATTGAAAACAGAGAAAAGGTCGTATGGCTCACTCGCCACTCAAGAGCTGAGACGGACGAGGAAAGGGCTGTTGTGGAGCGCGAAATGGCGTCCGAGGGCCTTCAATGGATTCTCAATGAGAAGTTCGGCAAGAAGACGGACGATCAGAAACGGAAGATGGAGATTAAGATGGACATCGACAACCCCGCGTCGCTGGCAGCCGCAGCCCCTGCTGAACCAGAGCGCCCTCAGGGCTTAGTTGGAGGACTTCAGCCGCGGAAGCTCATAAACCTGGAGAACCTAGTGTTTGACCAGGGCAACCATCTGATGAGTAACCCCAAGGTCAGACTTCCTGAAGGATCGACGAAGCGCACATTCAAGGGCTACGAAGAAATTCACGTCCCTGCGCCCAAGAAACGCAACGAACCCGGCGAAAACCTCATCCCAATTACTGAGATGCCTGAGTGGTCTCGGGGGCCCTTCAGCACTGCCAAGTCCCTCAACAAGATTCAATCCAAGTGTTACCCCACGGCCTTTGGGGACGATGGCAACATGCTTATCTGTGCTCCCACTGGTAGTGGAAAGACGAATGTTGCCATGCTTACCATCCTCCGGGAGATTGGCAAGAACCGCAACCCAGAGACCGGAGACATCGATCTGGATGCCTTCAAGATCGTGTACATTGCCCCGTTGAAGGCGCTGGTCCAAGAACAGGTCGGAAACTTCGGCAAGCGTCTTGAACCTTACGGGATCAAGGTTTCTGAATTAACTGGTGATCGACAGCTCACCAAGCAACAAATCGCGGAGACCCAGATCATTGTCACTACTCCTGAGAAGTGGGACGTCATCACAAGGAAGGCCACCGACCTCACGTACACGAACCTTGTCCGCCTTGTAATCATCGACGAAATCCACTTGCTTCACGATGACCGTGGCCCTGTTATCGAGAGCATCGTCAGCAGAACCATCCGCAAGACAGAGCAAACGGGCGAGCCGGTCCGTCTGATCGGCTTGTCCGCCACACTGCCCAACTACAAGGACGTCGCCAGTTTCCTCCGCGTAGACATTAACACTGGCCTCTTCCACTTTGACGGCAGTTTCCGTCCCTGCCCTCTGCGCCAGGAATTCATCGGTGTTACAGACCGCAAGGCCATTAAGCAACTGAAGACGATGAACGATGTCACATACAACAAGGTCATTGAGCATGTCGGTCAAAATAGGAACCAAATGCTCATCTTCGTTCACTCAAGAAAGGAAACTGCGAAGACTGCCCGCTACATCAGAGACAAGGCCCTCGAGATGGACACGATCAACCAGATCCTGCGCCATGACGCGGGTAGTCGCGAGGTTCTCAACGAGGCAGCCAGTCAAGCCACCGATCAGGATCTGAAGGACATTCTCCCCTATGGTTTCGGCATTCACCACGCTGGTATGAACCGTATCGATCGTACCGATGTGGAGGACCTGTTTGCTAGAGGTGCTATTCAAGTTCTGGTATGCACGGCAACTCTTGCCTGGGGTGTCAACTTGCCGGCCCATACTGTCATCATCAAGGGTACCTCAGTCTACTCCCCGGAGAAGGGCAGCTGGGTCGAGCTTAGCCCGCAGGACGTCTTGCAGATGCTTGGTCGTGCTGGTCGCCCACAATTCGACACCTACGGCGAGGGCATTATCATTACGACGCAGAACGAGATACAGTACTACCTGTCGCTACTCAATCAACAACTACCAATTGAGAGTCAGTTCGTCAGTCGTCTAGTAGATAACCTGAATGCCGAGATCGTTCTTGGAAACGTCAGAAGCAGAGACGAGGGTGTCGAGTGGCTTGGCTACACGTACCTCTTCGTCCGGATGCTGCGGTCTCCTGGTCTATACCAAGTTGGCGCGGAGTACGAAGATGATGAAGCTTTGGAACAAAAGCGTGTCGACCTTATTCACTCCGCTGCAATGGTGCTCAGGAAATCAAACCTAGTCAAGTACGATGATAAGACCGGAAAGCTGCAGTCCACGGAGCTCGGCCGCATCGCTTCGCACTACTACATTACCCACGGCTCCATGGATACCTACAACAACCTCATTCAGCCATCCATTACGACCATCGAGCTGTTCCGGGTCTTCTCTCTCAGTGCAGAGTTCAAGTACATCCCGGTCCGCCAGGACGAGAAGCTCGAATTGGCCAAGCTGCTGGGCAGAGTTCCCATCCCAGTCAAGGAGAGCATCGAGGAGCCACACGCCAAGATCAATGTACTGTTGCAAGCCTACATTTCCAGACTCAAGCTCGACGGCCTTGCCCTCATGGCCGATATGGTTTATGTCACCCAATCCGCAGGCCGTATCTTGCGTGCCATCTTCGAAATCACCATGAAGAAGGGTTGGGCTTCTGTGGCGAAGACGGCATTGGATCTGTGTAAAATGGCTGAGAAGAGGATGTGGCCCACCATGTCCCCTCTCCGCCAGTTTCCCAGTTGCCCGAGAGACATCGTACAGAAGTCAGAGAGGATCGAGGTGTCTTGGAGCAGCTATTTCGATCTCGACCCTCCGCGCATGGGCGAGCTCCTCGGCATGCCCAAAGCCGGCAGGACAGTTTGTGGTCTGGTAGCAAAGTTCCCTAGAGTCGAGGTTCAGGCTCAAGTTCAGCCCCTGACAAGGTCTATGCTTCGAGTCGAGCTCGGCATCACTCCCAACTTCGAGTGGGACGTTGAAGTTCACGGCCCCTCCGAGAGCTTCTGGATTTTCGTCGAAGACTGCGACGGTGAAGACATCCTCTTCAGCGACCAATTTTTGCTCCGCAAGGAGTATGCCGAGTCCGAGTCGAACGAACACATCGTTGATTTCACCGTTCCCATCACTGAGCCTATGCCCCCCAACTATTTCATTTCTGTCGTCTCGGACCGCTGGATGCACTCCGAAACGAGGGTGCCAGTATCCTTCCGCAAGCTGATTCTTCCCGAGCGTTTCCCTCCGCACACGGAGCTTCTCGAGCTTCAGCCGCTCCCCGTCTCCGCCCTGAAGGTTAAAGAGTACACCAAGCTGTATCCTAGCTGGGATCACTTCAACCGCATTCAGACACAAACATTCAACTCTCTGTACAACACAGATCAGAACGTCTTTGTTGGGGCTCCGACTGGCAGCGGCAAGACGGTGTGCGCTGAGTTTTCGCTTCTCCGCCACTGGTCCAAGCCTGATGCCGGACGCGCTGTGTACATCGCGCCCTTCCAAGAACTCGTCGATCTGCGCCTGGATGACTGGCAGAAGAGGCTCAGTGGTCTTCGTGGCGGCAAGACCATTGAGAAGTTGACAGGCGAAACCACTACGGACCTGAAGATCCTGGAACGAAGCGATTTGGTCCTCGCTACTCCTATTCAATGGGATGTGCTTTCTCGTCAATGGAAACGCAGGAAGAACGTCTCTACCGTTGAGCTTTTCATCGCCGACGAAATCCATCTGCTGGGTAACAACATGGGCTATGTCTACGAAATTATTGTTTCCAGGATGCACTATATCAGGACACAGACGGAGCTACCGATGAGAATCATTGCCTTGGGAGTATCTCTCGCAAACGCCCGCGATCTCGGAGAGTGGATCGATGCAAAGAAGCACGACATCTACAACTTCAGCCCTCACGTCCGCCCCGTTCCCCTGGAGCTGCATATTCAGTCCTACACCAACCCTCACTTCCCGTCGCTCATGCTTTCGATGGCGAAGCCTACATACTTAGCAATTACCCAAATGTCTGCCGACAAGCCGGCTATTGTATTTGTGCCCAGCCGAAAGCAAACACGAGCTACTACGCGCGACTTGCTGACCGCAGCGTTCATGGACGACGACGAAGATCGCTTCCTGCACGCTGAGCTCGACCAGCTGAAGCCTCTCCTAGAGCGCATCAACGAAGACGCGTTGGCAGAAGCTCTCTCTCACGGTGTTGGTTACTACCACGAAGCCTTGAGCCAGAGCGACAAGCGCATCGTCAAGCACTTGTATGAGCACGGAGCTATCCAGGTTTTGGTTGCTTCCCGGGACGTGTGCTGGGAACTGGACAGCACAGCTCACCTAGTTGTTGTGATGGGTACTCAATACTTCGAGGGACGCGAGCACCGCTACGTCGACTATTCGCTGAGCGAGGTCCTGCATATGTTTGGCAAGGCTCTCCGGCCGTCTAAGGATGGCAGAGGCCGCGGTGTTCTCATGCTCCCGGCTGCGAAGAGAGACTTCTACAAGAAGTTTTTGAACGAGGCTCTTCCCGTCGAGTCGCACCTGCACAACTACCTTCACGATGCCTTCGTGACGGAGATCAGCACAAAGATGATCGAGTCTGGTGACGACGCCATTAACTGGACAACATTCACGTACTTCTACAGACGTCTTCTTGCCAACCCCAGCTTCTACAGTCTCACCAGCACAACGCAGGATGGTCTCAGCGACTACATGTCAGACCTCATTCAGACAACCCTGCAGGAGCTGACTGATTCGAAGATCATCGACCTTGACGAAGATGATGGCTCTGTGGCTCCTCAGAACGCGGCCATGATCGCGGCCTACTACAACATCTCCTACATCACCATGCAGACCTTCCTCCTCTCACTTAGTGCGAAGACGAAGCTCAAGGGTGTCTTGGAAATCATCACCTCGGCTACCGAGTTTGAAGCAATTCAGATTAGGAGACACGAGGAGGGCATTCTTCGCCGCATTTACGACCGTATTCCCGTCAAAATGTCAGATCCGGTCTACGACTCGGCACACTTCAAGGCCTTCGTTCTCCTCCAAGCACACTTCTCCAGAATGCAGCTGCCGATTGATCTCGCTAAGGACCAAGAGGTTATCATCTCCAAGGTGCTCAGTCTCCTGAGCGCCACTGTTGACATTCTCTCTTCCGACGGCCATCTCAACGCCATGAACGCCATGGAGATGTCCCAAATGGTCGTCCAGGCCATGTGGGACCGCGACAGCCCCTTGAAGCAGATTCCTCACTTCACACCCGAGGTTGTCAAGGTGGCAAACGAGTTCGGGTATGTACTTACATCCTCAACGTCACTGTGCAATACTAACTTTCATTCCCTTCGCAGCATCAAGGACATCTTCGACTTCATGGAGGCCATGAACCCCGAGGAGAACCCCGACTACGCTAAGTTGATCAAACGTCTCGGGCTTAACCAGAACCAGCTGGCTCAAGCTGCAGCATTTACCAACGACAAGTATCCCGACATTGAGCTTGAACACAGCATTGTGGACGAGGAGGACATCAGAGCCAATGAGCCTGCTTACCTCAGTGTGCATATCCAACGCCAGATCGACGAGGAAGACGAGTTCGACCCGACTGTGCACGCGCCGTTCTACCCGGCCAAGAAACTGGAGAACTGGTGGCTTGTTGTGGGTGAAGAGGGAACGAAGAATCTGCTCGCAATCAAGCGTGTCACAATTGGCCGCGAGCTCAAGGTCAAATTGGAGTTTACGGTTCCGACGGCTGGTAAGCATAACCTGAAGCTGTTCCTAATGAGCGACAGCTATGTTGGAGTGGATCAAGAACGCGAGTTCTCAGTCGAGGCCGCAGAAGGCATGGACGTGGACGACAGTGATGAGGAAGAGGACGACGAGTAGATGCCCTCGAGGCCGCGGGGACAAGCGCGTCCGTACGATATTTCTGCGTGTACAATACCGATCGAAAGGAGTTGGAGGATAATAGACAAATATTCGGTCAAAGTCAGTTCTTGTTCATTTCGCTGGCAACCTGGATGCGTCTTTCGCCGTCTTTCGACAGGGTTGAGTCGCCTGAAGGCCGGTTTTGCAGACTCTGTGCAGTGCGACAGTGGTTTCGGAGGGGGGTTTGCCTCAGCGGCCGAGTCTGCGGGCGGATCCCGGGCTCAGTTGCTGGAACTAGGCTATCACGCGGGCAAAGGCATCAACGATCCGGAGAGCGTGAAGAAAGTCAAAAATGATGGATGAGGTTTCGCTTGTGTGGTTGATGTATGGGCAACCTAAGTGCTATGGCGATTCGTGTCTACGTGAATGGAAGGGGCACGGGTGGCTATGTCCCAGGGCCGGGCACGTCCACCGTCACGTCTCTCACCGCAGGCAGCGCTTGCAACTAATGAGACTCCGCGATTTCACTCGTTCCCTTGTGGATCAGCAGAGGTCACGTGTTCGCCGTCATCCGCGTCCAACCTCCAAGAGTTTCTGCGTTCATCTTTTTCCAGCCCGTCGCCTTTTTCTGCCACCACAACACGGGAAGCTATCAATTGCGCCCATCATCTTTCTATCAGCCAGCTTATCCCGCACCATCGTCGCGATTGCCAAAGTCACGAATCGCGCGAACCAGAACGCGTCTTATCCCCTTTGACCCGTCGCAACCAATCTTTGGCGTCGCGACTCCCCTGTCAACCCCGGTCCATACATCACTATCGGTAGCTATTGCCACATCGCCCGCAATGTCTGACGAGCCGACCACCAGCGGCCAATCTGCGCCCAACGCGAACGAGGAGGTGGATAAGAAGGTTGACGAGACCTCAACCGAAGCTGGAGCTTCTGAGGCGCCCGCTGCCACTGCTGACGACGCGAAACCTTCCGAGTCTGAGGCAGCTGCCAAGGATACCGCCGAAGAGGAGAAGAAGGAAGAGTCCAAGTCTGCCGATTGTACGCGCTACCCATTCGCGATCCCAAATCAACATCACGCAATTGAATAGCTTGCTAACTGCATGTCGTCCAACAGCTGAGACCAAAGACGCGGAATCTGGGGACAAGCCCGACGAGTCTTCCAAAGCCGAAGACGCAGACGTCGAGATGAAGGACGCGACCGAGACAAAGGAGGCCTCTGAGCCTGGCGCCGACGCTGAGAAAGAGCCCGCGGCTGATGCTGCTGACGCCGCTGATGCGACAGGTGACAAGGGCAAGTCGCGTCGCAGGTCGTCGGGAGTCCCGGAGCACAAGGGCAAGAAGCTAAGCAAGAAGGCTTCCAAGGCTAAGCTCTCACACAAGGACGCGAAGCCGGGTGACCATTTCCTCGTAAAGCTCAAGGGATACCCCCAATGGCCCGTCATCATCTGCGACGAGGAGATGCTCCCCGAGACACTCCTTAAGACCCGTCCTGTCACTGCCAAGCGTGCAGACGGCACGTATCGCGAAGACTTTGCGGATGGCGGCAAGAGACAGAATGATCGCTCCTTCCCCGTCATGTATCTCCGCACGAATGAGTTGTACGTTTGTCATTTTATCCTTCTGTTAAATATTCTTTTCTTGGCATTGCTAACACTTCACTAGCGGCTGGGTTCCCAACTCTGCTCTTCAGGAGCTTACTGCCGAGAGGGCCACCGAGTTGCTCACCGACAAGGTCAAGAAGGTTGAGCTGAGGGATGCCTTTGAGCTTGCCATTGAGCAGAACCCGCTCGAGCACTACAAGGAAGAACTGCAAAAGTACCAGGAGGAACTTGCTCAGAAGCAGGCTGCCAAGGAAGCCAGAGAAGCAGCGAAGAAGACGAAGAAGAAGGCCCCAGCGATCATCGAGGATGAAGATGACGACGTCGACATGGCTGACGCTGCCGATGAGGAGGTCGCACCCACCCCAAAGGAGAAGTCCAAATCTAAGAAGCGTAAGGCCGAAGATGAGGCCGCCAGCGTAAGTTTCGATCCCCGATCTTCTACAGCAAGTTCCTTACACGTACGCACAGACCCCGGCACGAACGGAGTCCGCGAAGAAGCCCAAGATCAAGCTCAACACCTCCTCTACCCCGAAGACGACAAACGGAACTGCCACTCCGAAGTCCGCCAAAGAGTCAGCCGCGAAACCTGCAAAGACCAAGTCTTCGAAGAAGGAAGGCGAGAAGAAGGAGAAGGAGGCTCCCAAGGAGCCTGAGTTGACTGTCGAAGAGAAGCGCGCGCGCAAAGAGGCAAGTTCTCATATTGGCATATTCTGCTTCAGCATCTAACACATAGAACAGAAGGAGGTTCTTTTCCTTCGCCACAAGCTTCAGAAGGGCCTCCTTACCAGAGATCAAGAGCCGAAGGAAGAGGAGATGAAGATGATGTCGGACTACATCACAAAGCTCGAGAGCTTCCCCGATCTCGAAGTCGCCATAATCCGGGTCACGAAGATCAACAAGGTTTTGAAGGCCATCATGAAGCTCGACTCTATTCCCAAGGAAGAGGAGTTCAACTTCAAGACCCGATCCCAGGTCTTGTTGGACAAGTGGAACAAGATCCTGAGCGGTGGTGAGTCGACAGCAGCTCCTGCGGCATCTGCGACGCCAGCTCCTACCAACGGTGTCAACGGCACTTCTGGAAAGGCCGCTGCAGAGACTAAGGAGAAAGATACCCCTGCTGCCTCCAACGGTGTTAAGGAAGAGACCAAGGACGCCGGCAAGGCTGAGGATGCCGAGAAGGAAACGAAGGACGAGAAAAAATCCGACGACGAGAAGAAATCCGATGATGAGAAGAAGTCCGAGGAGCCAGAGAAGGCGGAAGAAAAGGCCGAGAAGGCCGACGAGGATGCCGAGAAGCCTGCTGAGGAGGTAAGGGGCAATGTCTCAGTAAACGTGCCGGCGGAAGCTAACTGAAATCATAGTCGGCACCTGCGGCCCCGGAACCGGTCGAAGCTAAGGCCTAGAGATCCCGTTCACGTCGCACACGTGTTAAAAAGTAAAGACACAGGCTCAGTTTTAAATCTGGGCGATCCGGGCTATCAAGGCCTGGCCACTTGCGTTTCCTGGCGTATACGGTTTTCCTCAAATCGCAAAAGCGGTGTCTTGTCTTGGTTATGATGTAAAATTACTCGTCTCTTTTTGCGGTGCTGTTGGGAGCGTTAGATGACACGCACAGCGGCATTCCCGCCGACAGCTTGCGGTTTCGTCCGAGGAAGGGCTTAGTGTACAAAGGGGCCAATGGCCACCTAGCAAGGACGGACTCCACCTGACGGAGGACGTTCCAGAGGATGCATGGATCGCAGAGGCCGCTTTTCAGGTTATGATGATGTAGGATGCAAAGGCCTTGGTTATGGAGGAGGAGGAGGAATAGTGTTCGTCACGTCCTTGGTTGATGCGAACGAAGGGGAGACGAGACTGGCAGTCGTTATTTCCATCCGGCCTGGGGGAATTGTTTTAATGTTAGTCTTTAGGAAAATTTGAACATAAGCATTCATCAGATTATGCCATGATTTTGCTGTGGTAACATTTTCATTCCTTGACGAAGACTTAGGCTGTAGTCTCCATCTGCCACACTGTAAGATCAGGTCTCAAAAGGTGCATTACTTACAGTGCGAAAGTTGTCTAAAACACGGTATACGTCCGTGCAGCGTTACCGACGCGTGTTACGACAAGCGCGTCTTGACTTCATACAGCGCGACATGCTGCATCGATGAAGAGAGATACCCAATGTCCAACAAAATGAGTACAGAAGACGTTCAAGAACACCAATTTGGTCAAGAAGAACACCAGGTGGTTCAATTCTTTAATTCAGCACTGCTGCGCGCTAATGCTCTTCTCCAGGCAGCCTATATCTTCCGCCCACAGGGCGAAGTAGCCAGGGCCGATCGGCCAGCTAAGCGACGACGTGTATCAAAAAATGCCATCACTGAAAGCGCCAAGGCCGCGCCTTCAACGACCTTCGTGCCGTCGCTGAACGGTGGCGAACTCGCTGAGTGTGTACAATTGCGAGAAAAGCTGTTTGAGACGAGTTGGGCCCGAATAGAGTCCAAGGTTCAGGTAAGCTAATCCAGACATGCACTTAGAACTATGAATTGATCAAATGTTCCAGGGAATTTTGCGTGAAGCAAATTCGGCAACGTTAGACCAGGTGACTGCTTTCATCCAGGATCAAACTGGATCACAGTGAGTTTCGTCCAATCTGGCACACGGAAGACTTGAAGATTTAACGCCGCAGTAGGAATAAGATTCCAGCCGCTTTCGTGATCACGGGACCCAACATTGCTTCCCAAGACCTCCTCTTCGAACAGTTATCAGATGCGCTTCAGGAGAGCACGCGGAGCAAGTTCGTAAGACTCAAGTCATCCGAAGCATCCAATATCAAGGCCGCTCTCAAGAAGATTATCGGGGATGCCACGTCGCACGGGTCTCTTGATGATGAGGATGGTGAAGTAGCATTCGGCCAAGATGTAGGTTCTAGCGCCTCGGTCCGATGATGAGAAGCTCACCGAACTCAGGGCCGCAAATTCCTGAACTACGATTTAGAGGCCTTGTATGCCTTCTGCAAAGCGCAACGGTGCGATCATATCTTTGTCGCCTTCCAGGACAGTGAAGGATTTGACAGCGCTCTCCTCTCAGATCTGGTCACCCTCTTCAAGTAGGATGCCACTTGGTGGGATCTCCAAACAGCTACTGACTGTCGTAATAGTTCGTGGCGACCCAAAATCCCTTTCACGTTGGTATTTGGCATCGCTACGTCGGTAGAGCTTCTTCAAGCTCGTCTACTCAAATCCGCATGCCAGTATCTGTATGGTGCCCAGTTTGATGTTGTACAGACCAGCACCATCCTCGAGCAGGTTTTCAAGCCGGCCATAGCGGCAACGGATGCAGCCCTGGCTCTTGGTCCGACATTACTGCAAAGCTTAGTCGACCGACAACAAGACCAGGTCGCCAGCAGTCAGACCTTTATTGCATCCATCAAGGTAAGGGTTCCTGCGTTTCATTAAGTAGCATTGCTAACAAACTGCAGTACGCATACATGTGCCATTTCTACGCCAACCCGTTGAGTGTTTTTTCCTTGGAAGACGACGAGATGAACAGCGAGCTTGTTCAGGACGGCCACTTGGAAGCGTTCCGCTCGCTCCCTTCGTTCCGACGCGAAGTTGAAAACGCCGTTGAGGCCAAGGATCTCAGATTAGCGAGGTCGTTACTAGAAGACGACGATCTATTGCGGGAAAGGATCTTTGACGTTCCTGGCAAGAAACGGGAGTGGTCTACCGGTCTCCTTCGCTCGCTTAAGCTGGTCCAGGCCACCGGTATACTTCAAGACGACTTCTCTTCAATGTATATGAAAGCGGTAGCCGAGGGCATCACCCTTTCGTCCGAGGGCTGGGATATCGTTGAAAGCATCAAGCGGATGCAAGCGGATGACTTTGTCTCGATGCTGCAACGTGTTCAAACGACCGTAGCCAGCGGCGACAGCCAACTGTGTCTTGCCGCATGGGCATCCGAGGCCGGGGACCTGCCGGCTGTTGTACAGACTTGTCTAGCCGATTCAAAGGAGCTTCTCGGCAGGGCCCAGGAGAACGTCACTACATTGCGGAGCGCGTACAGCGGCCATAGCAGGGTGCTCCGCACAACGGTTGTCGCTCAAAAGGTGCAGCTAAGCCACGACTCGGCCGCCCTCTCCGATGACGACAAAGCCTTCACCAGTATCGTCGACCGCGTTGCAGGGCTCTTCCAAGACGTCATTCAATGCGAGCCCGCCGCAAATGTTTTCCTACACGAGACATGGCTGTACGATTCCAAGACACCCCACCGGGATGTTTTCATCCCACGCCCTCAAGACGTTTTTGAGCGCAGCCTCACTCGGCCGCAGGACTACCTTGCCTGCTCTTGCTGCACTACCCAGGAGGGTCTTTCAACGACACTTCCCGCGACGTCCCTACTTTATCACCTCTACTTGGAAACGGGCAACCTCATCAACGTTGCAGATTTGTGGTCCGCCTTCTACGCCATGGTGGGCAGCGGGGGAGGCAGCGATGGTGATGTGGACAGCGATGGAAACGCCGATGAGCGTGCGGCGTTGGTACTCTTTTATCGGGGCCTGGCCGAGCTAAAGGCCCTTGGCTTTGTCAAGATGAGCAAAAAGAAGACGGACCACATCGCCAAGCTCAAGTGGCTGTAGAGGCTGAAAGGGGCCCGCGACGACGGCCGAGAAGCGTGAAACGAGGCCGGGGCGCAGGAAGGCACGTCAGTCGCGTGCGCAGGGAGAAAAAGAAGCAAAAAAAGTAAAGGTCACAGCTGGCAATAGATGTTTTTGTCAAGAACAAGCAGGCAGTTCTTACAGATGTGTGGGTAAAATATTCTTAATCAAATCATTCGGGGTGTACGATGCAAGTTTGCCTCCCCGGAAAACTTCCAGCTTTTGAATGATTGACAACGACTCAGGTGACTCAGATTGATGCCGACATTCTTCAGTGTTGGTCTGCTGTTCTCAAACAAGGCCATTGTTAACCTGAACGCTTCTTTGTTCCGTTGGCCAGACCACTACGGAAGCGGGAGCACCTAGCCTAGGTTTCCTTTGGCCGAATTCCGCTGTTCGTCCGCGGGCTGCCGAAAGCACAATTTGCCCAGCTGCCGTCACCAAAGAGAAAAGGAGCAGGGAGGAGAGGAGACGGAGGAGGGAGGGAAGAGCGGAACACGGTAGAGGAATACTGTCTCGGAGGCTCCACGTTGGGGCCGGAGGCGTATTCTTGTTGCGTCCGGCGCGATTCGTCTCTAGGCTACCCGAACCTCTCACTCGTAATGTTGTCCATAGAGGATTCGTCGTCCTCCCCGCTCCGCGCCATGTCTCAAGTTACTCTGGCGCATCGGGTCAGATAAAGAGAGACATGGGGGGGAGGAATCCGGATCTCTGGGTCCTTCCGGGTAGGGGAGACGCACGAAACTGGCATACTTTACCCAAGAGAACTGCTGGGCTCCGACGGGACAAAGCATCTATGTCTTTCCTGACGTATTAGTCCTGCCGCAGCCTCACTTCGGGTCCCAGTCAGTCGGGTCGCGCTTCGCTCGAACGAGAGATGGGGGTCTGGATCTCTGATCGATTGACGGTATTCCCCCCTCCTCCACTCTGTTTCTGATACCCTCCTTTTTTCATCGTCCCTTTGGGGTTATTTGTTTTGTCTCGAAAAGGTTTGTTGAGTCAAAGAAAGGTGAACGGCAGTGGTGGTCCTGGTGGAAATGGGCGTTTCCATCCCTATACAAGAAGCAGAGTTTCGCCGTTGTCGTTGATCGTGAACCGTCTCATTCATCCCGCCATCCAGTCAAACATTTCTTCGCTCTAATAACACTGTCACTTCCCTACTGATTCAAGTCCATTCGCGCTTCTTCACTCTGTGCAGGCATTGACCACTCCCACCTGAAGCACAGAAGTCTCTTCGTCCTGAAAACCAGATCCCGTAGCAACGGAATCAAAGCTGAAATACGCCAGTCTGTTCTCGCGGAGATCCTAATCACACGAGAAGCGCCTCATTTCTCCTCCATATTCTGACTATTTTGGACTATCTCTGGAAGCCTCATAACACTTTCTTCCATCTTTACGATTTGCAACTCTTCCGCGCCTTTGTCGATCCTACGTCGCGAAGTCGAGAGCCTCGAGAATACATCTTTGATAAACCAAACACTCTCGAAGACAGCAAGCAAGACCTTGTCTCGAACAGGTCTGAGGGAAGATAGCATAAGGGGCGCAACACACACAAATACCAACACGATGGCAACCAGACACCACCACACAACCAGCGGCGGCATCGGCAGCCGTCGCGCGGCTCGGAACGCAGCCTTCCAGGAGAAGATGCGCCAGATGCGACTTCCCCTCGCCCCTCTCGTGCAGATGTCGACAGGAGCAGTCCACCCAGCCTTCCCCGCGACGCTGCTCAACTTTTGGCTTCTTACCGAGGCGCAGCTGGACGACCTGGCTCGCTTCTACCACCAGAAGTCCCCCGGGCCTTGGTCCGCATCGTACCCCTGCCCCATCACTTGGAAATCCGGCTTGACGCTCGAAGAGAAGAGGAGAAAGATTGGAAAGTTCATCGGACTTAGGTACGTCATGCAGGCGTGGCCGCCCCCATCCCTCGAAGAAGATATGCTAATTGACGATGACAGGGGATGCGATACACCGATCCGGATACGTATCAAGACCGAGGAACAGATTATGGAGGAGGCGAGACAGGCGAGGTTAGCCGAAGACGATGAGGCTTTGAGGAGGAAGATGCCGTGGTACTTGTAAGACCGCATCCCTTTGAGGTTCTTGGGAGGGGGTGGTCGGTTTTGCTTTGTACTGCTTTTGTTGCTTTTCCCCTGCATAGCATCGCGTTGATATCACACATCACAACAGGCGTTGGAATTGGATACCACATAGAGATAGACGTGCATGAGCCACCACTGGTTCAGTCAGGAAGGCGTCATATTACGAAAGATAATTTTAGACTTTCAAAAATCAATTCATGATGCAAAGTAGACTGTCCCCTGTGCGACTAACCCTGAACGCCGAACTCAACCCGACAACCGTTGTATGCTTCAATCCTCGCCGCTTTGTTGTATGATACACGGTGATTGGAGACGAGGTATCTAGTGATGTGGATGTGCGCGAGAACCCTTGGACCCGCAAAGGATGTGGGATTAATGGTGGATGGTGACAAGTGCACATTTTCTCTATTTCTTGCCCTTCTTCTTCTTGGAGGGCGTGCTGGTGGTCGAGTCAACGAGAACAGCGTCGCCGTCGACACTGGGCGGTGCGGTCGAGCTCTTCTCGGACTCGTCAAGCTCCTTCATGAATTCGGTCTGAATGGTCGCCCTGCGCTTCTCCCACCACTCCTTTTCCTGGTCGACGGTGTTGGCGACCTCTTCGAGGCGGTTGCGCACAATGGTGTTGGCGGCGATCTCGTTGGCGGACTGGAAGATCGACTGGCCCCAGTTGGGAGCGAGAGCGTTGGCCTAATTGGAAGAGTTAGTCGCGTAGACTTCGTGTGTAGGTTCACAAGCGTTTACTGACCTCCATCACGACGTCGCGCAGCTCGTCCTCCATCTCCTTCTCGGCGCGCTGGAAGCGTTGCCACAAGTCATCGCCGACGCTTCCCCGTTGCAGCAACGTGCTGCAGGCCTGCTTCGCAGAGCGGATCTGAACCAGACGGTGGATGTCCTCGACAGCGCGGCGGAGGAGAGCGGCGCGGATGACGGTGTCGGGGATCTTGGGCGTCTTGTCTTTCTGGCCTTCTTCGGGAGATCCGATGTGCAGGAGGGACAGGTAGATGTTGCGCTGCAGATGAGGGCCGAACCAAGGAGCGAGGTTAGCGCTTTGGGCTAGAAAGTAAACATCCGTCAGTAACTATTGTCCCGGTCTTGCGCCATTGATCTCGCGCGCGCGTCGTTGGGGAGTTGCGAAGCAGGCCTCGTCGGAAACACATACTGGCTTTCCGTTGTCTGTAGATTTTGGAGAAGGTCATGAAAACGCCGCCGAGAACCAAGAGGTAGGCGAAAGGGAGCACGAGGCCCATCCAGTCTATGTCGAACATGGCTGCAGAATATGTGCGCTCGTAAGGATCGTGGTGGAAAAGGGAAGAAGGCGAACGAGAGACAAAGAAATTGGTGGTGTTGAAGCGGATGTGCAGCCAGTCAGTCGTTGAGGCAGCGTGTCCAGTTACAATATGACAGCTTGGTCGCAATGGACACTTTTTTGGCTGCCCACCAGGGTCAAAGATGACCCGCTGCTTTTACACTAAGAAGCTGTTCCCTCTCCTTGTCGCCTGCTCCAAATCTGCCCTCGTTATTCAATACGTTCAATTGTCTTTCTATTGTTTCCTCTTTTGTAAGAAATGAAACTACAAAGCCTTTGCATCCCATACTCGATTATCTTTTGATTGCTGCATTTCTCCAGAACATGTCTTTCATGCGGTCGACGGATGCATCTGTAAAGCAGCGCTGGAATCTTTGACCCCGGTCTTGAGGTGGCACAAGGGTACAAGGGTACTTATGTTGGTCGAAGCCATGGAGGAAAGTGTGGCTGCATCACCGTCGGGCGGTGAATAAGCTCTGCCAGGGGCAAGGTGCGCTGAAGGTGTGCCCCTCCCCTCCCGTCGTTTTGCCGGGCCCACTGTTAAGGCACCACCTTTGATGACGATGTTGCTGGCAGCGTTCAGTCAGTCAGTGGCACGTCAAGTTCCAGAGCTTCTTCATCCCACTAAAGCAACAGCTACCTTGGCCGTCTTTCCACAACTTTCCCTCGACCACACCTTCCAGCTGCGGTCAAAGCCACAAAACAGCAGGAGTAAAGGCCATGGGCTCTTTCTAGAGAGGACGAGCTTTATTTTATTTTTTCTATATAATCTCACTTACCAATCCTCATCCATCTTTGAACCTTGACTCCAAATCCAACACACAACCTGCAAAGCTTCGTCCTCGATACCCCCGTCGTCGCCCAAGATGCTTCTGAGACTCCGAGGGCCCGACGGCATGAGCCGTCTAACTATCGACAAGGACGAGACATTTGGTGAGCTTGGGCGTCAGGTATGGAAATTATGCTGCGCTGCCGACTTCAAATCTAACCGATCCAGCTGCTTCCGAGCCTTCCCAAGACTGTCGACCCAAACACCATTACCCTTTCGAATGCTCCGACCGGTGGCGATGCTAAGAAACTCGTCGAGATTTCTTCCTTTAAGGTTGGGCAAATCGGTTTGAAGTAAGGCGATGCAGGCTATTCGAAGGCGAGGGCGCATACTGACAAATCTAGGCACGGCGACCTCATCTTCATCAACTACCAACACCAGGACAGCCTCTCGAACGGCGCCACAAATGGCGCTCCGCAAGCCGACCATCCACTTTCGTCCTCGAACCGTCTGAACGGCAAGCCTATCCTTCCTACCGAAGATCTTCCCATCGATCCTCTCCCAGTGACATCGCCGTCCGAAAAGATCAAGAATCCCTGGGAGGTCGTAAAGCAGCACCCGCTCGACGACCGGTTAGACAAGAAGGATGGCAAGATCCCTAGAAAGCGGGATAAGATGTGCCGTCACGGCGAGAAGGGCATGTGCGACTACTGCATGCCTATGGACCCATTTAACGCCAAGTATTTGGAGGAGAAGAAGATCAAGTACCTGTCGTTCCATTCGCACCTACGCAAGATCAACTCTGCTACCAACAAGCCTGAGCTTGGAAGCTCGTTTATTCCGCCTCTCGTGGAGCCCTACTTCAGAGTCAAGCGAGACTGCCCCTCCGGTCATCCCCAGTGGCCCGAAGGCATCTGCACCAAGTGTCAGCCCAGCGCCATTACGCTTCAACCTCAGCCTTTCCGCATGGTCGATCACGTTGAGTTCTCGTCACCCGATATCATCAACACCTTTATCGATGCTTGGAGAAAAACGGGAGGTCAGCGACTGGGCTACATGTACGGACGCTACGCAGAGTACGAAGTTGTGCCTCTTGGTATCAAGGCTGTTGTGGAGGCCATTTACGAGCCACCTCAAGTCGACGAGGTCGACGGAATTTCTTTGAATGACTGGGAAAACCAAAAAGATATCGACGAGGTCGCGAGAATGTGTGGTCTGCAGAAGATTGGTGTGATTTGGACTGATCTGCTGGATGCCGGCGCCGGCGATGGATCAGTCGTGTGCAAGCGACACGCTGATTCCTATTTCTTGTCTTCCCAAGAAATCTGCTTCATCTCACGTTTACAGGCTCAACATCCAAAGCCCACCAAGTGGAGTGACAGTGGAAAATTCGGCTCCAACTTCGTCTCATGCATTATTTCAGGCAACGAGTCTGGAGAAATCTCCATTTCGTCGTATCAGTCGTCCAACGATGCCGTTGAAATGGTACGCGCCGATATCATTGAGCCTTCGGCTGACCCCAACGTCATGCTTGTTCGTGAAGAGGAGGAGGACGACGGATCCGTCAGCCGTACAAGATACATCCCCGAGGTTTTCTACCGCAGAATCAACGAGTACGGAGCCAACGTCCAGGAGAACGCCAAGCCGTCTTTCCCGGTTGAGTATCTCTTCGTGACACTGACCCACGGCTTCCCGGACGACGCCAAACCCACGTTCACGCAGTCGGGTTTCCCGATCGAGAACCGCGAATACATGGGCGAGAGCCAAGAACACTCCGCGGTCGCGAGGATCCTCAAGTTCACAGGAGGCCAGAAGCCAGCAGAGGGTGGACTCGAGATGTCCAACTTCCACCTGCTTTGCTTCATCCACCAAATGTCCATTCTCTCAAAGGTTAGTTGTTCTAGCTTCTTATCGGTGGCATTTTTTAACAGCCAACCAGGACGAGGAGTCACTTCTTTGCCGAGTTGCAACTCAGCACGATCTGGCTGACACATATCAACTGCGATCTACCGAGGGCTGGCAAACTTTGCAGGTTATCCTGCAATCGACCGGTGAGCGAATCCCCAAGCGCCCACGGCAGTCCGAGGGCCTTCCCACTTCTAATTCCATGCATGCTGCTGCTTCTCCGGGACAACCTGGCACCACGGAAGAACCACTGGCTAAACGATTTGCTGCCTTCAGGCTGAACGAGCGCCGACCTCTAGGTTGAATCTATATATGCGTTTCATCTGTGTATTCCCATGGCTGGTTGCCATCAACGCGTGAGCATGGCTCCGGCGCATCAACACGGTCTTCACGGAGTCGTTGGTCTTCACTGCCGCAGGAACATGGCTAGGGTGATTTGGTTGCTCATTTCAAGAACCAACTTGTTTGGTAGGCTTGGTGTTGGGAGGCGGAGGTAGCATTTCGGCCTGAGGGGGTTAGTCCGCAAGGCGATGGCTTGAGCCTTCAAACAACAGATATTCCTTATTAGAACCCCCAGCGGAATACAAGCTTCTTGGAAGAGAGAAACAGTCCTTTTAGTATGCGGCTTTGCGCCTGGATTGTCCTACCACAAAGTCCACACAATCGTCACTGTAACGTCAGCCAACCTCGCTTTGCATCCTGCCCTGTTGCTTTCACACAACAATCTCGACGATCAGCTCCAACGATCACGGCGCAGAGGAGTGCATAAGTTTTCAGATCTTGATTCCGCGCCGAGTACTCCAGGCTATCTACAAGCATCACACACAACACAAGTTACAGCAAAAAACACGCAAGTATTTGAACAAGATTTTTGTTTACCCTAAAAAAGCAGGCTTGTTTTTTTTATATCACCCTCCGATACCACACCATCGCCTCGTCGCCGATGAGTTTTTTCTTTTGACAAAAAAACAACTTTAGAAAGACGAGTAGATTTCCGGCTAGCCATTAACTCCTTTTTTTGTGTGTGAAAATGAAACAGAGGCAAAAGAAGGGGAGAAGGTCTCTTTTGGTTTTCCTCTAACAGGGTGGGGGTGGGTGTATTTACAACGGCTTGCCGCCGATGAAGTCGGACCAGCGGCGGACTTCGGAAGGGATGCCCTCCTTGCGGGGCAGCTTCTCGCTCATGCACTGAGCGAAGAGCATGGCGGTCTACAAACGAGTTAGCTTGTGCGTGTTCGGATAAGGGGCAAAAGAAAGGTAAACTCACCTGGGGCTCCATGAACAGGGGAACGCCAAAGTCGACGGCGTTGCGGCGCATGACGTAGTCGACGTCCATGATGGTCTTGCCACGGGCCTGGGCCAGGTTGAAGACACCGCGGATGTCGTACTTCTGGAAGACCTCACGCAGGGCGCGCTTGTCCTCCTTGGGGAACTCGATGACCTCGACGGCGACGTTGCCCTTGGCGTTCTTCTCGATGAACTCCTTGACCTCGTTGTCGGCGGCGTACAGCTTGTAGCCGAGGGGCTGGAGGTAGTCGACGACGGTGGTGAGCCAGTTCTTGTTGAGCTCACCGCCGAAGAGCAGACCTTCGCCGGGCTCGGGCATGCGGAAGTTCATGGTGGACTGCAGGGAGGTCCAGTAGGCCTCGACAAGGTCCTTGCCGAAGCAAGCAATCTCACCGGTGGAGGCCATCTCGACTCCGAGGAAGGGGTCGGCACCGGCCAGACGGGTCCAGGAGAACTGGGGCACCTTGGTGGCGAGGTAGTCGCGCTTGACGGCCATGGGGTCGGTGGGTGCAGGGACGCTCTCGCCGACGAGGGCCTTGGTGGCGATGTCGATGAAGTTGGTGCCGAGGACCTTGCTGACGAAGGGGAAGGAACGAGAAGCACGGAGGTTGCACTCGATGACCTTCAGGGCAGGCTCGCCGCCCTCAGGGTTGTCGGCCTTGATGATCTGCATGTTGAAGGGACCAGTGATGCTCCAGGCCTTAGCGACCTTCTTGGCGATCTCCTTGCAGCGGTCCATGGTGGTCTGGTCCAGGTTGGCAGGGGGCAGGACGAGGGTGGCGTCACCGGAGTGGACACCAGCCTGCTCGACGTGCTCACTGACGGCGTGGATGACGAGTTTGCCCTCGGAGGCGACAGCGTCGACATCGATCTCCTGAGCACCCTCGATGAACTTGGTGATGACGACGGGGTGGTCAGGGGAGACGTTGGAGGCGAGCTCAAGCTTCTCCTTCAGGTCCTCCTGGCTGCGGATGACAGTCATGGCGGCACCAGACAGGACGTAACTGGGGCGGACGAGAACGGGGTAGCCGACCTTGTCGGCAAAGGCCTCAGCCTCCTCGACAGAGGTAAGCTCCTTCCAGGCGGGCTGGTCGACGCCGATGCTGTCGAGAATCTCGGAGAACTTCTGTCTGTCCTCGGCCTTGTCAATGTCCTTGGGGTCGGTACCCAGAACCTTGGCTCCACCGGTCTCCTGCAGGCGACTGTCATGACGATGAGTGCATGCTCAATAAGATATTTGCGGGCGTAACTCACAGAGCAATCATTTGGGGCAGCTGTCCACCAACTGAGACCACAACACCAGAGGCGCTCTCGAGCTCGTAGATATCCATGACACGCTCGTAGCTCAACTCGTCAAAGTAGAGCTTGTCGGCCATGTCGTAATCAGTCGACATCGTTTCAGGGTTAGTCAACGTGGGTGTTAGCTTTGATGATCATCACGGAAGTTGGAGGTCTCGGACTTACGTTGATAACAACGGTCTTCTTGCCCATCTTGCGGAGGGCCTGGGTAGTACCGGTGGCGCACCAATCGAACTCGACGGAGCTACCAATGCGGTAGACACCGCTGCCCAAGATCATAATGCCGTTGTCCTCGAAGGTGACGTCGTGGGAGGAGGCGTTGTAAGTGGTGTACAGGTAGTTAGTGTCAGCGGGGAACTCGGCCGCGAGGGTATCGATCTTCTTGACCCATGGGCGGATGCCGAAGGCAAGACGCGCTGCGCGAACCTCGTCCTCGGTGCTGCCAACAGCATTGGCGATCTGGCGGTCAGAGAAACCAAGCTTCTTGGCCTTCAGGACCTGGTCCTTCTTCAGAGCCTGGAGGCCACCGGCCTGCTCAAGCTCGCGGGTGCAGTCGACCAGGTTCTGCAACTTGTACAAGAACCACTTGTCGATCTTGGTCAATTCGTGGACCTTCTCGACGGAATAGTTCTCGTGAAGCATGGCCTGGCCGACAGCGAGCCAGCGGCGGTCAGTGGGGTTCTGAAGCTCGTAGTCGAGGTCCTCGAACTTGTCGCCCTGGAAGCCAACGAACTTGGGGTCGACCTGGCGAATAGCCTTCTGGAAAGACTCCTCAAAGGTACGTCCAATGGCCATAACCTCACCGACAGACTTCATGGCACTGCCAATGTCACGCTTAACGTGCTGGAACTTGGACAAATCCCAGCGGGGAATCTTGGTGACGATGTAGTCGAGCGAGGGCTCGAAGTTGGCAGTCGTGGTCTTGGTGACAGCGTTGGGGAGCTCAGGGAGCGTATGTCCAAGACCGATCTTGGCAGCGGTGTAAGCAAGAGGGTATCCAGTAGCCTTGGAGGCAAGAGCAGAAGAACGAGAAAGACGAGCGTTGACCTCAATAACACGGTAGTCGAGGCCGTCGGGCTGGAGAGCATACTGAACGTTGCACTCTCCCACGACACCAAGATGGCGGACAATCTTGATAGCGGCGGATCGGAGCATGTGGTACTCTTCATCGCTCAGGGTCTGACTGGGCGCAACAACAATACTGTCTCCGGTGTGGATACCCAAGGGATCGAAGTTCTCCATGTTGCAAACAGTAATGCAGTTGTTGTTCGCGTCACGGACGACCTCGTACTCGAGCTCCTTCCAGCCCTTGAGAGACTTCTCAACCAGAATCTGGGGAGACAGAGTGAGAGACCTGGCGGCCATGTTGCGGAGCTCCTCCTCGTTGTTTGCGAAGCCAGAGCCAAGACCACCAAGAGCGTAGGCGGCGCGGACGATAATAGGGTATCCGACCTTGTCGGCGGCCTCAAGAGCCTCCTCGACAGTTCCCACGGCGATCGACTTGGCGATGGGGATGTTGATCTCGTCCAGGGCGCGGGCGAACAAGTCACGGTCCTCAGAGACCTCAAGAGTCCTAATGCTAGTACCAAGAACCCTGACGCCGTACTTCTCGAAGAGACCCTGGCGCTGCATCTGCACACCAAGGTTCAGGGCGGTCTGACCACCGAAGGAGAGGAAGATTCCATCGGGCTTCTCCTTCTCGATAACGTACGACACGTATTCCGGCGTAACGGGGAGGTAGTAGACCTCGTCGGCGAGAGAGTGGTTGGTCTGAATGGTAGCGATGTTGGGGTTAATGAGAACTGACTTCACGCCAGCCTCCTTAAGAGCCTTCAAGGCTTGCGCTCCTTTACAACCACTCTTGTTAGCCCAGATCCTCTTACAAGTTGTGACTCATTCTTGGCGCTCGAGGGTCAAGATTTGTCGGGTAGACGAACCTGAGTAGTCGAACTCGCCGGCCTGGCCAATGGCAAGACCACCACTGCCAATAACCAGCACCTTCTTAACATCAACGCCAACATGAGGCTTGATCACGCCGCTCTCGAGATAAGCCTTGGGGTTCGGCGCAGACTGAGCGCTGCTGGGACGAAGCGCACTCGAGGTGAAGAGGCGCTTCTGAAGCAGCTTCGCGCTGCTGTTCTGAATTTGAGCTCTGGCAGTGAGGTTGGCGGCGGCGAGGGTGAAGTTGCGGCCGGCCAGAGCTGTAGGGACTCGTCGACCATGTCGGAGAACGGCCGGAGCGCGACCTGCCAAAGTATTTGACATGGCCGACGGCATTGTGAAAGTCTCAGGTAACCAATGCGACAGAGACCGGTAGGAAGAGGGTGAGTTCTCAAGGTCAGAGCCAATTGAATGGTTTAGGACCGAGAGAAGGAGAAGATATGGCCGCCGCTTTGGAACCTAGGTTTGTGACTCTTCCTGAGCTTTGTTAAGGTTGTGGGGGAGGAAATATGACCGTCCGGCGTCTTCAGTTCCTCTTCAGCAAAAAGGCGGTCCGGGTCCGAAGCCCCGATAAGATAAGGAAATTTTTCTCTGGGCGTTGTTGAATGGCCGATCGGGGGGGCCCAACAACCTTTCTGGGCGCTAACTAGGGTAATATTTCAGGCGGTTTTCCTGTCGTCGACCCGTTTGCGTTCCAGGGACCACATGGCGGCCGTTATCGCAGGCTCTTCGTCACTGGTCGGCCAGTCACCCCAGTGACAAACCAAGCCCCTCATCGTCCTCGTCGCCCAGCCTCAGATAGGCGAAAAATTCTGCCATGCAGCAGAGGGCTGAGGGGACAGAGTTTTACGGGGTTTACAGTTGTCGAAACCTTCAGCGCAGCATTCAATTGGCGTAACAGTGTTGCCCCTCACTTTGCGCTGTTTGAGCTGTTTTGCTCAGTTGAATTACCTTACTCCAACAGACAGACTTACAAGCTGTAAAGCTGACTGAGCTTGGGCACACGACATGTCGCACTCTCAGACGGCAAAACTGCATGGCACTGATCGCTCAGTTACCAGTTACAGATCAGGCTGAGAATGCGACCAATGCCCTCAGGTACTTCTGCTGATCCCATGCTCCACCTCCTCATTTCCAGCTCCCAACGGTAGCGTACTGTGACTCACGTTGATGCTGCCCGCAGCAATTTCATACACCTGCCAAACAATTGCACGCACCTTTTTTGGTGCTGAATGAGGGTCCGAGCTTCCTGGGTTGCGATCTGACGTCTGGTCAAGCCCCGCCATATCTAGCATGTGCCCCGCCATCAAATGCCGGGGTGCTCTGAATTTCCCCATCCATCAAGCCATTGGCCAATGCCAATGCGCCGAGCCTGCGAAGGTAATGCCGACGGAGGAACCGGCGGAGTCTTCATCGGGTGTCGTCGCCGATGAGCGCTACGTGGGCGATGAGAGAGCTTCGATCTGTCATGAGGATCATCCATCACCCTGGTTGACACCTCATTTTAACATACACTAAAACGGTCAAGTCCAGCACACGACTCGCGGACTTGCAGGACCCATGAGTGAATCATAGAGCGTGCCTCTTCAAATCGTGGTATTCCATTCGCCAACAAATGCCAGCCCAAGCTCATCTCGTGTAAGTCGTGACTCTTTTTTCTTGCTTCCCATATTCATCCTGTCTAGTTCTTGTCTAATCTCACTGCCGGGTTCCTCTCGATGAAGTTCAGATCAACCTTGTGTCCCAGCAACTCACGAATGTTGGAGATGCCGTACTTAATCATAGTCGGTCTCTCGAGTGACAGTCCCCTTTTCTCATGTTAGCACTTTTCTCATTGTTGTGGCATACTTGGACAAATTACCATCCGTAGACTCTCATGTCCTTAGGCAGGCCCATCGCCTCCAACATCTCGGGTCTGAACATGCCACTGTTGCCGATCTCAACCAGCTTGTTCAAGCCCTTGTGGAAGGAGAAAATCTCCATACTGGGCTCGGTGTACGGGTTATAAGCAGGCTTGAACTTGATATCCGTAATGCCCATCTTGTTGAAGAAGATCTCCATGAACTCCATGAGGCCACCTAGGGTCAAGCCGTAGTCGGCAATGACACCCTCAACCTGGTGGAACTCCGCCAAGTGCGTAGCATCAACACTCTCGTTACGGAACACTCTGTCGATGGAGAAGTAACGCGCCGGGGGAGGTCTGCCATCGGGTCCCTTCTTGGAAGCCAGCTGGTGCAGGACCGCCGTGGAAATGGCAGTGGTATGTGTGCGAAGGACGAGTCTTTGGGCCTCTTCGGCAGCCCACGGGTAGCGGTATCCAATCGAGCCATATTTGCCATCCTGGTGCACCTGCTTAACACTCTCCCAGTACGCCTCGTAGTCCTTCTTATCGTCTTCTGACTCAGGGCGAGGCTTGTCTGCAACGGCAGGATCCGAAATATAGAACGTATCCTGCAAATCTCTCGCAGGGTGTTGCTGGGGGACGAAGAGGGCATCGAAGTTCCAGAAGCCAGTCTCGACGAACTTGCTGGTGGGCATCTCCTCGAAACCCATCTCGAAGAAGATTTGCCTGAACTCGTGGCGGACCTTGTTCAGAGGGTGAAGAGCGCCTGCGTTTTGGTCGGCACCAAGAGCCTTGAAGTTGTAGGGCTTGAAGTTGGCTGTCTTCCAAGAGCCAGATGCGATCATGTCGGCCGTCAGGTCTGTCTCCTCCTTCTTGATTTCGAGCGCGAACTCAGGCCCCTTCTGGATCTTGAAAGTGATGATCTTCTGGGTCTTGACCAGCTTGCGCTTCTTTAGTTCACTGATAACCTTGGGCTCGTGTGTGCGCTTCTCCTGGATCTGCTGGAGCTGGTCTTGGGTCTCGTCTTGGATCGATTCGGTCTATGGGAGCGTAAGTCAGAGCAGGTCGAAGAAAAACTGGCGACAATTGTACTTACGGCCGCAACAAACTTTCCAGTAGTATCCTTCTTTACCCATTTATTCTTGAAAGCCTTGCCTTGGCCAAGCTTGGTGACATTCTTGTCGCCAATAGCGGCCTCAAGCTCCTGGACCGTCAACCCCTCCAAAGCCTTGCGCACCGCCTCGAAGACGCGAGCTTCGTGACTGCCGTGCTCTGCAATCTGCTGCCCCTCGGCCTCCAGAATGGCCTCTTCCCGCTCAATTGACTCATACGTGACCATGGAACGGCTGGCAAGTCGGTCGAGGGCCGCCTTGAGGTCGGCGAACTGGAACTCAGGGAAGTGCTCAGCAGAAAGGATGGGGTCTTTCTTGGACAAAGCAAGAAGAATCTGCGATGTGAGGTCCCCAGAGGGACCGTTGCTTGCCGTCGCCATAGTTTCGTGTGTTGCTGTCTACAAAAGTGACTTGCACGAAGATTGTCGATGGTCGCTTCGTTGAGTCAGAGGGGCACTTAAGGCGGGCACTTTTGGCAGTAAATTTGGCCGCCACACCTCAGTCAGTGAAATCGAGGGGAGGGTGGACCCTGCGCCGATAGGGAAGGAGGGGTCCTCGTATCTATGTTCCTCCGATCACCGAGCCGCCCAAGGTCGGTCCAGTCCAATCGGCCCCGGTCGGGTGGACCTAGACAACTGAACACTCCACAATGGAAAGCCTTACCGAGACGCGTCCGTGCAGCTCCGTCCTAACCGCAGCTGTTCAAAGCTGTGGCGTCACTCTCGGCATCCCTGCAGTTGGCTTCGCGCTTATCCATAACACCCATCTGCATCAAGTCCCAACGGTCAGTAACGACTTGTTAACGAATGTTTCCATCGTCAACGCCCACAGCTATCATTCTTGGACTTGGACTTCGGCTATAGTATGTGAAGCTCCGCTTCGTCCGACGTTGCTGGATTATCCTCCGACACCAATGAGGCCAACGAGCTATGGTCGATGATGCCGCGCCAAACACCCTGCCAGGCCGACAGATTCCTCCCACAGACGACCATGAAGATGGCAGAGGGATCCCGGAACTGTCGCAGCGGGCGGACGATTCGATCAGTCGAACTTCTAGGAGGAGGAGGCGACGGAAGAGTCACAAGATCAATCCGGGCCTCTCGAAGAAGTTCGACCTCATGACAGAGTTGTTGCGGAATCTGGACGCCTTGGTGCACGCCGAGCTTTGCACATTATATTACATGGAGTAGGAATTTCTCGCTGCTGCTGCAAAAAACATCCGCTGACTTCTGCGATAGGTGTTCAGTGTTTCGCTTCGGCGTCCGCATTTATGGCCAGCAGTACTGGCTTACGCCAAAGCCCGACGACTATCCGCTGACGATGGAGGCTCCCCGGTCACAAGTAATATCAGTATTCGTACCAAATCTTCTGTGCATTCTTCTGCATATCTTTGCAGAGCTACCGACGGCTGGCGAGGCTGCAAGAGGATATCTCCATGGCGGTGTCATAGTCGACTTCATCGGGCAGAAGCCACCAACCTCGCGGCTTACTTTCTTGGCCCTTGACTTCATCATTCTAGCCGTTCAATGCCTGATGCTAGCCGTTCATTCGGAGCGCGAAAAGCTGCGACCAATTGTCCGGCCGCTTTTGTCCCGTCTGCCCCAAACATTGGAAGCACCGAACACTGCAATATCAACTCAAGACCATGACGCCGAAGAAAGAGGCGTGCTCAGGGACGCGGCTGACTTGGACGCGGAGGGTGCCGAAGGCATAGAAATGCAACCTCTGAGGTCTCGTGTCGATGGTGAACCCAGCAATAACGCGGAACGAAGTCGGGAAAGAAGTCAGTCGTCAAGACGCCGGTCTTCCCACTCCGCCACCGGGATGCACCTGCGCGATGTGCTCAGTTCAGGAAACGGAATACTCGGCGAGTTCCACATCTTTCATACCATTAGGAATGCGACGACAGACTTTAAAGGGGCAGCAGGGCATTCACTTCAGACGCTGGGTTATACAGCTGCGTTAACGAGAATTTCTGCAATGAGAAGAATACCTCGTTTAGAACGCAATCAGAGAAATTAGAGGTAGTTAAATGGTATCACGTTTTTTCCAACCTAAGCGATCTTGCGACCAATATTACCCACGCCGCTGCCCTTCACCGAAACGAAAATGTCTGTTGAATCGTCGTCGTCAACGTCCCGCAAGCCCCAGCTGCTTGCGCCGAATGCTCGCAAATCTCTGGCCAACCCAACCATTTCCTCCGTCCCTATGACGTCTCTGCTTATCCTTAATCTTCCCACGTCCTCGGAGCCCATAGCCATAAGTGTCAAGACGGTGCCGGCGGAAGATCTGCTAACGCATCCTCCTTGCGCGATGGTCTCCAACAGCTGGTAAGCACAGTTCTTGCCGATATCCTCGGGCACGACACCTCCAACGGGCGGTGCGACCACGTCCGCAGAGTACAGCACACCAACAGAGCTAGATTCGGCAACCAAGCTCAGACCGAAGCCGATGCCGTTCCGCGTCTTCGACTTATCCGCGGCCGTAACCAGTGGCGCTTGGTCATACTGGGCTGCAATATGAATATCTGACACCAAGGCGTTCAGGACCTCTCTTGCAGAGTGGATCATTCTGCTGTTGTTGGATGCTGAAACCCCAGTGCAGTACGCCACACCTCGTATCCTCCTTATCTTGCCAGGGTTTCGGTTCAGGTGAAGCGTTTTCGGAAGTCGGACCTGGGATGCGAATCTAAGTTCCACAAGACCGCCTCCGCCTCTGCCGCCTTTGCCGGGACAGGAGCGCTGCAGTACCCTCAACTCAATTCGCGCCGGCGGGATTCCGAAAAGACCAAAAAGAGGCAGGATGGCTGTACGGAAGGAGTCGACAGATATGTCACCAGTCTCTGTCGCAGATGTAATGACACCGGGGCCAGAGAATCGGACGTTGACGTGCGCTTTAGAGAATGGCGCAAGGAGGCAGAGCGGGAGGAGGAAGTAGGTAACGCCGCGGTTGTTGTTTGCCGGCAGGTTGTGTTCGATGACGTCGCCTTCGGCTGCGCCAAAACCGGCCAGAGTTCCGGTAATTAGACCCGGGTGGTACGTTATCGTCGTACCGGTGTACGAAATTTGCATTGAACTTCCATTGGTGACAGCTTCGAGGAGTCGGAGGAAGGAGACCTCATGAGGCGCAAGACCTGGGTGTGTCGGCGATGAACTGCGGATCTTGGAAATGTGGACGGGCTTTCCGGTAAGAGTCGAGAGAACAAGTCGTTGCGCAAAGGACCGATGTCCTGTGAATTTCATGTATTCCGGGGCGGAAGCCATCGTGCCGTCGTCTCGTAGCGGTGCCGATGCTCAAGACGCAACAGTTGAAAACCAAGCAGGTGGGATCTGAAGAATTTACCTTTTTTCTGCCGATATGGCGACCGATGTTGCTTCAAATAGTAAGCGGTGTACTATTTAGTGGGGGGGGGGCAGCGATAAGATAAGCCACTCCCGCGTCGCGCGCATGGGTTCAGGGTCCATCAATTTTTTTGATTCTGCCCAGTTCCATCACTTCCTTACACCCCAAATCGCCTCTTCCTCGATTTCTTTTCTGTTGTCCAACTTTGTCTCTCCTTATGTCGCATAGAGCTCTTTTCCGTGACATTACGTGTCGAAAATCCTTCGTTTGCCAGTCCTGTCGTTCATCAATAGGGACTGCGACTGCCCCGCAACCATGGGCCATCATACGTAGCTCCCGCGTCGCCCAGCTGGGAGCTCGGCCCCGATCCTACTCCCGAAACCGAAAACCTCCAGCCCCCGCGGGTGCAGCGGCGGCAGCACTTTTACAGGAATTGACGAAAAAGAAGGGAAAAGACGAGGCCACCTGGAAATTCTGGGAGAAGGACGGGTCGGGCAAGGTCAACCCGCTCCAGGGCGAGGATGCGTATAATGAGGCGCTTGTGGGCGCGAAGGAGATGGAGCGAGATCTGAGAAAAAGTATGAAGGCGGAAATAAGGGACACGCTATCAAAACTTGATAAAGGAGGTTTTTTGGGCTCCTTTGGAGTCGATAATCCCGATACCCTCGTGAAGGATTTTGAGGCACAGGTTGAGGGAGCAGGCAGCCCAGAGGAGCTTGGGGAGAGCTTGGATGCTTACATCAAGAGCTTGGAAAAACAACTCACAGAGAGGGGATTTGATGTAAGCGCATTCGACGATTCGAACCCTATGGCAAACCTACGCGTCATCGAGACGACGGCTGCGACAGAACCGGCAAACCGCAAGATGAGCCTCCCAATACCACAAATTCCCGAGACAGCGTGGAGACCCAACCAGCGGAAGAAGCTTGTTCGATTGAACTCTACACTCAAGCGGGTCACGAAAGAAATGGGAAGAGGGGAAAAGATGACCGTCGAGGCAGCCGTGTCTGTTTGGAAGGCGTACAACTTGGCACGGCAAACACTGGCGACGTCCTGGGCTAATGTTCCCCACGAGGTCTGGGACCTTTTGTGGCAGTATCTGTCCCTGGACGAAGCCAACAACCCCAGCCGACTTACGTTTCTTTCGATGCTGGCGAGGGACATGAGCGAAGCGAAAGTGCCTCTGAGTCCTTCTCAGCAGCTTGCATCCGTGGAAGCTATGTTTGCGTATGGATGGAAGGACAAGGCTATGCACAGCTGGAAACGATGCATGCCGAGTCTCGGCGATACCGGCGCTGATACCTTTCATAAGTTCTGGGAGCTCGGGGTACGCATGTTCTGCGAGATGGGAGACCTGGCTCAAGCAGAGCGTGCAGTCAACAAGATTTTGGAACGTCAGCTCGACCCTCGCATTCTGATGCCCTTCATCAGAACATGTGCAGAGGACCCAGAGGAGTCGTCACAAGAGAAAGCGTGGGATGCATACCGACGTATGAGAGATCTGCTTGGCGAGTCCATGGAACTCGAAGATTACGACAAGGTCATTTCGTTCTTCTTGACAACAAATCAGACCGAGCTTGCTCTGCAAGCTTTCGTCGACATGATGAGCTCGGGAACAATCGATGTCAGGGGGAAGCAAACTCTGCCCTCCCAGATCGGGAATAAGTTTTTCTTCGGCAAATGGTTAAAGCGGCTCATCGGTGCTGGAGACCTGGAAGGCGCATATAGCGTTTTCAAGTACATGCGGTCAATTCACGTTGAGGCGGCCAGCATTCAGATTAACGGCCTGATCGGTGCCTGGCAAAGGTCAGGCGGTGCCGACAACCTTCAGAAGGCCGATGATCTCGCCTGGGAGATGATCAACGCCCGCATCGAGTTCGTCAATGTTCGTCGCCGACTGTCTCGTACAGACGCTCCTATCCGCACCGTAGACATTCCCCGATCTGAAAAGAGGTCGGCGGCGATGCCGAAGGCAACACTCGAGACTTTCTCCCTGCTTGCCGAGAACTACCGACTTCGGAGGCTGCACGACCAACTAGAGAAGCTATGGAACGCTTCCACGGAGGCAGAGATCAGTCCAGGTGCCTTCATGATGAACCAGCTGATAGAGTCCTACTCTCAGATGGGCAACATTGCAGAAGCAAGAGATATTTACCGCATGCTCGTACACGAACGTCAGGTGAAGCCTGATCCTCACACGTTCATGGAGTTGTGGAAGATGCTTGGAATCAATAGGCTACACAGCCTGTCCGGTGACCATCTCGTCGACGAGATTAAGCTCACTAGGGAGACGTTCGCGGAGACGATTCGATTCGCTCACGTCTTCAAAGCCGAGGGCTTTGACGGCCAATTCGCGAGGAAGATATTGCATACCTTCCGCCGGCTGAAAGACACCATCGGCATCGTCATCGCCCTACGAGCATTCAAAGAGCTTTTCAACTACGGGCCGCCAGAGATGCTCACCCTTGAGATGCTAATGGAAACTACTGGTCTTACCTGGGATACCGCTGGAGTGAGACGGAAGCTGCATCTCGCGAAGCGCGGTATTGAGAGATACGTAGTGGAGCGGCCACGTGAGGTTCCGCAAAACAAGACTCTGGAGCAAATGACACCGCAAGAACGCAGGCAGGAAATGTCGGACTATCTCCAGGAGAAATATCTCCATGAATTCGGTGATGTTCCTGATGGATTATTGGAGCAAGTCGCCGACGAAATGGGCGTGTACGATATTCTTGCAAAAAGGGGTTAGAGGCCAAAAGTCCTCTCTAAAAAAATGTAGACATACATCTGTACTCATATAACGACACCCATCATGACTCCTAAGCATTTAATATTAAGTTGAGAACACATCGCTTGATGCCTCCGCTGAACTGAGTATGTGCCCTCCTATGCAGCTGTACATATGCCGCTTAGTCGTGATCCTCCTCCGTCAATCCAGGACATCCCTCCATCTCCTGATCAGGGTATGTGAACTTGCACCAAAAGCAATACAGGTGCTCCTTTCTCAGGTACTCCACCAGCCGCCGCAGCTTTTCTGCGTCCTCTAGCGCATTGAATTCGTCCAGTTCCGGGTCCTCCTCGTCAAGATCCTCTGCCGTGGCGTATATAGTTTGCTTCTTCCCCAAAGCCGTTCGATCGTCGTCATCTTCCAAGTCATCCTCGTACGTAGGCAGCCGCGAGAGACTCTGCTCCAGATCATGCTTCATCTTCCGATCCCTCTCCTTCTCCTCGCGATGCCTCACCAGCCCGCGCCAAAGGACGTTGATGGACTTGAGCGGCCTCGACTTGGCCCCCGTAGCCAATTTCTTCTTCCTCTCTTCCGCCTCCGCGCCCTCCACAACCTCGCTGTCGCCAACCCCGAGCTCCTTCTCCTCCGCCATCCTCTCCGCAATCCTCTGCGCCGCGAACACCTGGCTCTGCACCCTCGCCGCCTCCCTCTCCTGCCGTACGCGGTCGCGGTACTCGAGCGGATCGACCTTGACCCTCTTCCCCTCCTTCACCTCCTCCTCGAACTTCTCCGCCGCCTCTCGCAGCTTGCGCTTCCTCTCGCTCTCCATGCCGATACCCCCGCGACCGTCCTTGATCTCCACGGCGATCGGCTCCGTCCGCGCCGTGCCGTCGCCGGAGCCCAGCGCGCCGCCTTTGAAGCCCATCTTGGCCATCATAGCGAGGCCCTTGCTCTTCTTGGCGGCTGCGTCGTCGAGAAGGGAGCGCGAGAGGGCCTTTTCGCGGGTCTCTTCCTCCTCGGCCGCGAGTTCTGCTTTGGATTTGACGCGTCCTTTGATTTCGCCTTCGCGCTTGAGTCGCTGGCGGCGTTGGAGGGACGTTTCTGCGCCGCGGGATGATGTTGGTGGGGGTTCGTCGAAGGTCATGTTCATGTAGTCGTCCTCCTCATCGGAGGCGGCTGATTGTTTTGAGTCCATGGCGGCGTTGGGGTTCTCAGTTGAGGCAATGAGGTTCTGTAAGTGATACCTTGGTAAGATGAAGGGTTGTGGGTGTATGTTTATCAGGTTGGAGGTTGAGGTGTTGAGGAAAAAAAAAGTATGTCTTGACGTGATAGAACAGCCGACGGTGCACAGGTCTGGGCACAATTTGCATGTGTACCAGGTTTGGCAGCCGTTCGGTCGATGAGAGCAGGTCTGACTACTTTTTTACTCGCTGTGAAGTTGCGCAATAATCGACAGTGTTGTTTGAGGTACAGGCTGGTTAGAGACTGAGATCAGAGGTGAAGGAAGTTTCTGGCAGCTGGTGCCAGCTGTCGCGCAGTCGAAGATTGTTTAGACATTACCGCTATAAACAGATTCAATAAGATACTGCGCCTGAATATCAACCGACTATCGATTCTGGCATCTACAAGCAATTTAGAACATATGCTTAGTCGTTCGTATAATTTCTACACTGGACTCTATTTTGGTTCATTATCTATCTTTCAATTCCAATGTGAGCTTTGGCTCGTTGATCTTTAGGTCTACGAAGAATGAAGACGAGAGCAAACGGGGAATAGCTTCTGATAATGAACAATTTAGTGTTAGTTCTTGACTAAGTTTAAGAGACTACATACTGACTCGTAGATTCTAGCCTGCCTATGCTATCCGTTGGAACTAAACTGCATGCCTCTCTTGGCTCTAGGTGCCTGTCTTAACCTTGGTTAAAGCTGCGATACTTCGACTCAAAAATTTTACGAAATTGGACAGACTAATGGTAGTGGATCATGGGAATAACTGAACATTGAGCACTGGTGACTCGCCAGTTAAGCTTAGCGATGTGAATATATTAGTAACGACTGTCTTATTGCATTTCTCAGCGTGGAAGACTTCGAAGACTGTTGCATGATCGACCATGTCGAATCAAGTCCGTAAAACAAGACTGGTCACAGAAGTATCCCAATTGCCACGTCGCGTTGTGCAATTCCGAAGTCTTGCGCTTATGGCTTGTTGACTGAGGGTATAAGTACTCAAGGAAGGGGATGGAAAAGAGCTTGGCAGGCAATATATGGAAGTCGATGGGCACAATTCCGGTGGTACGAAGCACAGTTGAGGGATTCCTTGTAGATAAGTGACGAGAACCGAAGATCCTGGGGACAGCAAACTTCCTACCAAAACCAGACCATCCTGACCTGAACTTGACGACAATACCCCTGGCGAATGCGAATCGGGGCCAAGGCAGATTGAAAGAAGCCAAAGAGATATATCAACTCGTGGGGTCTGAGCATTTACTTTCAGCTGCATGTAATTCGTCTGGAGGAATTATGAGGGGAGCATACCGAGACGGCCGCGGCGATGGACCTCCTTACTCGCTTGCAAAGAGCTGGATGAAAATCAACACCGGCTACAGAATTGCTGTCAACAGCTCATGAAAGAAAACCCGAGAATGACGTTAGGGGGCGATCAGCTCGACATAAATTCGTTACTAGACGAATTGCCCGACTCTGTGGGATGTGACTTTAAACTCGAACAGAAACAGACACTGGGGAAAGTATGCTTCCATGCCGAGCACAGAAGGCTGATGTAAGTGGCCTCCAACGTCTCTGTAGCCACTCCAAGGTTGAAGTCAATCAAGTGTTCGATAATGGCTCAGAATTCGGGATCGGCAAGACGTGAGAATGGCCTGAGAACACTGTTCGCTTAATTGGAGATTCGGATAGGTCATTACTTTGATATGTAGAGTCCTAATCTATAAACACTGTCTTTGACTGAGGATGACTCCTCCGAAAACAGGCTTTCGCGGTTTCGTCTACTCGGGCCGTTCTCTATCTAGACCCGTTGGGCCAGCAGTAGTAGCGCCAACCCATTCTGATGCTGGTATTCAATACAAAAGAGAGGCAGTATGCCAATAAGCACATATGAACTTTTGATAACGCAAACAAGCAACCAGACAGCAGACCATCTACCTGTGTCTCGCCCTCTTCCGGCCCTCCTTCTCCCTCTCGTAGGCGTTGGCCTCCTTGCCCTCCTCGTTCTGGATCTCCGCCACGAGCCTCTTGTACTTCTTCTCGTAGGCCTCGTCCTTGGCCTTCTTGATGCGGAGGTTCTCGCGGGCCATGAACTGGGCATCCTTGCGGAGCTCGCGCATGGCTCCCTTGCGCTCCTTCTTGTGCTCCTTCTTGAGCTTGGCCATCTCGGCGCGCTCGCGGTCGGGGTCGTAGTGCTTGTTCGGGTCGAATGAGTCCTCGAACTTGGGAATGTATGTCTTGATTGCCAGGGGGCGGTGGTGGTGCAGCTCGAGGGGGCGCCGCGAGAGTTGGGCGAGCTTGATCATGCGCTCCAGCTTGGCCTTGGACTTTTCTATCTGCTCGCCGAGAGCCTCGGGGAGCTTGGAGCGGCAGGACTTGCTGATTAAGTGGGTGACAACGTCCAGTGCGGGCTGGAAGGTCTCGTTGAAGGAAGACTTTCCGGTCCATGTGTCGGCGGCGGCGCCGATGAGCTGGACGGTCGTTCCCAGCAGAGCAGCCTTGATGGCCTCAGCCTCACCACCGGACACCTCCTTGGCGGAACAGTCGGCGGGAGAGAGCTGCCGCAGTTCAACCTTCTTGGCCTTGGAAACCCTGATACCCTCGGCGGGCTCATGTATAGGGAAGCCTCCCGAAACTGACGGGGCGGAAGGAGAGAGGGCGCAGAGAGTGTTGAGGCAGTAGCTCACGACTTCCGGGACGTAGCGTTTTGAGAACTGTTGATATTGCACCGCTAGTGTTGACAGGTAAGTACCAGTGGCATAGTCGCTGAGCGTGTGCGGGATCTTGCCACCAAGGTAACGTCCGATCGTGAGCATCGCAGGAGTTGTGACTTGGTGGAAGTGGTCTGACGTGGGGAAGGTCGAGCCAATCGCAGTCAACAGCGTCAAGTCTCCCGTATGCAAAGCAAGCGGCCGTTCCTGGCTAATAGTTTGCAGATGAGAGCGGTACTGGACGGCGATTTCGACAGGGAACATCTTGGCAAGAGAGTGGATGTGGCGAATGACGCTCTCCAGCGCCAGAAAAGACGGGCTGGTTTCGCTACGGCTGTGGGCAACCAAGTCGACGAGGGCTTTGGCGAAGTTACCGAGCTTCTCCTTATGCCTGCTGTCCAGCTTGGGGTGGTACAGAGCTCTGATGCGTTGGACGATTGTGGGCAGCTTGTCGCTTGGGTATTTCTGCACCAGTGCCTCGAGTTCTTCGTAGCTCTGCGGACATGGGAATGTGAACGGTAGCTCGCCGTCCACTTCCATCTTTCCGCCCGCAGGTGCATTTGTGAAGATAGAGCTCTTGGCTTCCTCTTCGTTAAGGAGGCCCTTGGTGAACTCATCATCCTCGTCGTCCTCTTCCTCGCCCTCATTTTCCTCGTCCGAATCCTCCTCCTCTTCGCTGACAAGTTCAAGATCTGAACCGCTGGCGACCAAGTCGTCGTCGATGATGAAGTCGTCCTCGTCATCAAATCCAAGCTCCGTTGCAGTGGGTCGTGTCTTGATACCTTGTCCGAGGCCAAAGTCCTCGTCCTTCTCCTCAGGAATGAACTCGAAGTCAGGCTGGTCCTCGGGTTCGTCTTCCATCTCTTCGTCCTCGTCTTCCTCGTCACTCGAGACTGCCTCTCCGTTCATCCTCTTCTGGCGCTTGTCCTCAAGCTCTTTCAGTCTCTTAGACTGCTCCTCCGCCATCTCTTCGTCCGTCTTTGTACGGTCGGCGGGCGCGGCTCTGCGATCCTGAACGAGCTGCTTGAGGCGCATGTCGAAGTCCTTGTTGAAAGTAGCCCGGTCGACTCCAGCAATCAGTCTGGCCGACTCTTCGTTCTTCGCGGTATCGTTTTTGCCGTGAGAGAGTAGCAGCGCGTGGAGGTTGGGCAGTTCCTTGTCCAACTCCTCTCGCAGGTCCGCGTCCTCGTCCTTTGCGACCTGACGCTCGTACTTGTGCATCTTCGACTTTGCGATGACCTCTTCCATGACCTCCTTTTTCGACTTTTTCCTCTCGGGCTGTTCTTCGCCTGCGTCGTCCTCGCCCATTTCGGCGGCGCGGGCGCGCTTCATCCTCTTGGCCAACATATCGGAGTCGTCGCTTTCATAGCCCTTGAGGTCGTCCTCGTCAAAGTCGTCCACAATTCCCATTTCGTCGAAGTTGATTGATTGGCCCATATGTGTCAATTCACCGAGCGGCTCAGCCTCTTCGAGGTCGAAGAGGGATGTCTTTTTGTGTGTTCTTTGCTTCTCCCGTGCGAAACGTTCGATCATTTTCTCTTCTTCGGCCAATGCCGGGTCGTTTTCACCGAATCGACGATCGAGGATTCCGCCAACCTTGTGACGTTTTTGCATCTCGACGAGCAGGGTCTCTCGGCGCTATTGCTTCTGTTAGCACGTCGTTTGCGACAAATGGGTTGCTTTTCGTACCCTCTGCTCGCCAAGAGACTTTGCAACACCGGGACGACCATTGATTCCCTTTGCCGCGGCTCCAGTTGGGGGTCGGTTGCTTGTGACCTCGAACTTGGGTCCTCTCGGGTTGTGCTTCAGGTCGAAAGGATTGAACTGTTCTCGGATCTGGCCGAGTGCCGCACTCTTCTGCAAGCGCTTGTCATTCTTCGCCTTCTCTTCCTGAGCGAACTGACGCTTCTGCTTCTTGGACTTCTGGGGCCCAATAATCCCCTGCTCCTTGAGGGAGGACTTGAGTCGTTTGAGCTGAGAGCCGGCCATCTTGTCAAGCGCACCCAGTGTCTGGTAGTGGGAGATTCGCAAGTAGGAAATTGCGAGCGGTTCATTCCAATTTTTTTGCTTATCGGTCTTATCGCATTTGGTGGGGAAAATTGGTGGCGGTGGCGCACGGCAGAATGTACGATGGACATGGGCCCAAGCTTCTGGCACAGGTCGGGTATCTAGCGGTTCGACACTCCGTCGAGCTGCATCATCTCCGTTTATGGTTCTGCTTCGAACACATTTAATTATCATGGTTCAATAGCCTTCTGGCCCCAAGCATTCAACATGACTTTCATGTCATTCATTCGTGATGAGCGGGTTGTTCTCCTTGGGATCGGCGCCGCCACGTTCGGCATGGTCACTATGATGACCCAGATGCTGACGTTCATCCGCGACGAAAACGAGGTGAAGCCAACACCGCCCAAGACACAGTACATCACCCAGGAGACAGAGGATGCGCTCGGCTTGGAGACTCTTGACAAGCTTCTCTGCCACCCCAACTTCTCCATTCGGGATATCGCAATCAAGATCCTTTGCGACCGTGCTGTAAACGATCCCGATACCATTCGTCATCTACTCTATGGCATCACCCGGCCTGACTACGACACTCGCATGCAGAGCCTTCGGGCTCTCGCAACGTTGACGGGTCAGACCAACGGTCAGAGAAACTTATGAATTGATGGAACGGAAGAGCTGACTGACTTATAGACTTCGCAGAGGGCTTGTCCAAACTGCATACGTGGAGAGCGTACACGGCTCTTGTACGGTCCCTCGAGCTGAGTTTAAGCGACGTGGAGCACACGAAGCTCGACGATAAGTATTGGGACGAGTACTATCTGCGCGATATGGCAGAGAGGTTTTGCCTCATGTTCGTTCTCGAGCTGACCACGAAGTACGGGGCTGAAATGCTGGTCAAGGCCAAGTTTGTGGAGAAGTGGCTATCGAAACAGCCTTGGGGAGAAAGCGAGGCAGAGATCCAGGAGAACTTCATCTACTACATGGAACATAAGAACAACCGTATCGTCGACATTGTTACGAGAATCGCGCACACCACTGCAGGAGCCAAGGCAATCGTTGACTGCAAGTTGGCGTCCAAAACCAACTTCAACCTTACACCGGACGCGAACATTGCTGGCTTTACGATAGCGCTACAATCAACGCTGTCCAATGCAGAAGTCGATGAAGGACAGCCGTCGAGAGAACACGTGCCTCGCACAAGAGAGCATTCGGCAGAGGAGCAACGTCTCAGGCGTCAACATCGCGAGGCCATGGTGTTGAACGACGGCACACGACCGATTGGTAGGGATGATATCATCGAGAGAAGTCACGACTCTCCGAGCTGAAGGAAAAGCGGGTGTTCTTGACAAAATCCATGCAAGGATGCTGCATTTCGCGAGCAAAAGAAGGATACGCGCGCTACACATCATGTCGCGTCGAGCAGTAAATCAGGGGCCACAGATAGCCTGATGGCGCGAAGGCACGAACACGACCCGGAGAAGAAATTTCCTCGACTCAGTAGGGCCCGGTGCTGCCGACAGCAGGGAACACCCAAGATCGGAGGCGTGTCGAGATTGAGCACGTCGAGGTGGGAGGCTTGTTGGGGTCAGACGCGAATGGGAGATCGCGCATAATGCTAGGACTTGCAATTCATTCCCATCCGAGGTGGGAGTTGCACTGGCAGACCAAGCACGCGCGTGCTGCTGGAGATTTGGGCGGCACGACTCAACCAGCTGAGAAACTGTCATCGTACGGATAGACTTGCTAATGACAACATGTGAAAGACCGGTTGTCTGTAACGGTTTCTGTCGCTGCTTGACAAATGACGGGTGACTAAAAACCAACAATGCGTTCAGTCGAGGTTCTGATGAATGAGAGGTCGATTGACAGATTGGCGAGTTTATTTTCGTCCGATGATATCCTTCAACAAGTTCCGTGCTTCACATCGGTCCAGTCGGCGACCGGCACAAAAGTTTAGCGTGGTGATGCACCCGTGGCATAGCTTGTTTGACTGCCAATTCGGAAATTCTGGGCGGCTCCCCACTGTTCCTGAAAGCTTTGACTTACGTAGGTTGGCGCTACGCTAAACCCCAGGGACCCTCTCTCGGCTTGAAGCCATTCCTGGAGGGAAAGCGCCCAGGCTTTCCCTGTCTGGTCCCTGTCTAGTCCAGGAACGGCGTCCTTACCAGGACAGCGGCGTCCAACGAGATGCTGCGACATACCGTTGCCTACTATATTTTCTATATATCTATAAAGAAAAAAATAACTATTTTATCTGATTAAATTATACTTTAAGCTGTATAATTACTTCTATATAATTATATAATATTAAAAGTAAAAAAGTATTAATAAAAGATTACTTTATTAAAGTTTTTATAGCTACTAATAAAATAAAGCTAAAATATTATATAAAACTAGCTATAAAAGATATATCTATCTCTTTTAGCTTCTCCTTAATACTAACTAATTAAGATAAAATAAGACCTCTTAATATAACGTTATATTACTTAAATAATTAGATCTCTATTCTATTTCTATTTATAAAAATATATTAATTAATATTTAGATAAATTATCCTCTTTTATTAAGCTTTAATATAGCTATAATAATAATAGTTATTATTATAATCTATATTAAAGCTTATATTTTTATTAAAATATTTTAATTTTATAAATAGTTTTAGAAATTTTAAGCTAATAACTTTAATATTAATATCTCTAGTAGTTTAATAACTACTTTAATTATTATAAGCTATAATATAACTATTAGTATTATTTAATATAGTTTTAAAAAAACTCTTAAAATATTTAAATAACTTTTTAATTTAAATAGCTTTAATTAAAGAGGTAATAATAATTCTTAAAGATATTTAATAGTAGCTATTAAATAGTTTAGATTATAATATAATAGAGGTATTATAATTAAAGAACTATATAGTAATATAGAGAGAAGAAATCTTAATAGAAGTCTAATAATTATAAGTATAGTTAATATTAATAAATAAGGGATAGTTATTAGTATAGTTATTTATATACTTTAATAAGAATATAACTAGTGAAAATAAATACTTAATAACTAAATAGAGTAAGCCCTAAGGGAGCATACCCTAAGTAATTATGCTGTTGCCTATAAATAGGTAATCGATGTCAACCTGGGGCAGTTGTGGTTTAGGTAGACAAGGTGGGTTTATTTACCCTGAAATCAGTCGCTCAACAAGTTACTGTATTAGGCTGAGTGAGGCAAAACGGACAACACAATTTGTGACATATGCAAGCTGGCCGTTGTGCGTTGTCGGTTCTGATTCGCATCATTACACGCAGCCGTGTGACGACTTGCATGGGACCCATCTCTTTTCTTCCCAAGCAGTCTTCCATGACTCTTTCTGGTGGGATGACGGCGCTGCCCCTGGTTCTCTCGTCGAGCCGACTCTGGACACGGAAATCATAGATTGGCTGCCGGCAGACTCTGGGTCGCCGGAAAGCGGGAGCTGCTCGTTATGACCGATTAGGTAGCATCTGATGTGGCCGGCCCCGGCTCAGTTCGACGGTGGCTATCTAAATTTGGGAGGCGTTAACAGGTGACTGGGAAGGGAAGCCAAATCTAAGATTAAATGTCAGAATCGAGCGACGAGTGGTCGATTACAATGATTGCTCCGGTGCTACTGCAGGCGGTGTTGGATAACTGCTTTGTGCGATCCGATTGCTGAGAGGTTCTCTGATTCCCTCGGGCATGTATCGTAAGGTATTCATTCATAACGATGAAGATGGTAAGGCAGAGAGACACAGGAATGTTCACCCCGCGACGGGCGAACACGTTGCATGCAGGCGGTCAAGTCCCCTGGACAGGGCGGTTGTCTGCCCCGCTGGTCTGCATGCAGCGGTAAAGACAGCCAGGTTCGGACGATGCAGAGCTACGACAGCGTCATGGCAACCATGAGGAGATGGATGCAGCTGGAACCACTGAGGATGGCCATGGGGACGTCTGGAAGATCTGCGGCCTGCACCGCGATGGAGATGATGGAAGGAGCGACGCAGAGAAACGGTCCAATTGCAGTCATCGAGAGAACGTTATTGCCCAAGCCCATCATGAGCAGGCCGACACGGCTCCTTGCTGAATATGGATCCACGTAAACATTGGGGAGCTGTTGCTCGTGATACAAAGGCGTGGTTATTCCAATGTCTTTACGTCTGGAGTTGCTGTCTCTGGGTCTGTCCGTCTGTCTCATCTTGGCCACCTAGCATCCCGGCCGCAATACTGTCGTGTCGTCCGCCTCTTTTTTTATTTGGCTGTGTCTTGACTGTCTTGATCTTGTCTCTCCTTACACCACGCCAACGACAGTTGTACGAAATTCACAACCCTTCTATTCTTCGCCCATCTTTGCCCTTACCATTCCAGCACGATACCATCTCAACCCCGAAATTCGGATACTTACCGCTACATCGTCTAACCCTCCCACCGCCAGCCAGGATAGCGCTACTACACACCTGACGGATCACCAACCCCAATCCAATTCCCCTTCCCTGACCTTCATCACCCCTGCATCTTGTTGGCCTACGGATCCCTACCCAGAAGGCTGAGCCAAAAAGTGGTCAACGTCTGAGAACCCGTCTAGAGCAACCGTGCTTTCAAGGGGACAGGAGGCTCGGAGCGTCACAAAAAGCGCCCCTCATCTCGCGAGCTTTTCTCTGTCGCATTGGACATCTTTTGTCTGTCCTCATTCTCTTTCGGCTGTCATCGTCGCCTTGAAACGCTCCCGTCGTTGCCCGGACCGCTGCCATCATTGTCATAATAGCCCGTCAGCCGGCACTGGTCAAGCTGGTCGGAGCTGCCAGAAGAACCGACAAGGACCTCGACCCTCAAAGACATCTTGACCGCTGCCAGAGAAACGAGACAGCAATCCTCCGGCCTATCTCTTAGGCCAGAGACACACGTCAAGCTCCCGGGACGATCACACCTCGCCATTCTTTGGTTCCAGCCTCTTTTCGACAGAGCGCATCCCAAGTTTCCAATCACACGCGCCCAATCGACCCGAAATTTCTCCCGCCAGCCAGCCAGGTCTTGGGTTGCTTCTTCTGCCGTCCCTCACGCCAAAGAAGGCTCTGGTCGCGGATTTCATTCGCTGTCGGCTGCTTACTGCAAGCAACCCAACCTTGCATTGCGCTACGCCGCGGGCGACCAGTGGGGCTTCGGGAAACAACACACCAGAACCTGGAACCCGGCCTGACCTGCGCGGCCTAACAAACCACGGGCGGCCAGTAAAGCTGCCGCTCAGCACTCCCATCCAGTGGTCGCTCTAGTGGCCGGGTCCCTGTCCACGAACCGCGACACCCACTAATTATTGTCTTGAGCACCAAAACCATTTATTTCATCATGTCCGTCACCACAACAACAGCGACCGCCGCATACGTGCCGACCCATAGATCTCTCGCCAACCCGCCACGCGGTCTTCGCAAAGCTACCAGCTTCACAAGCGCTTTCCCCTCCGCAGCTTCGGCCTCTTCTCCCAGCCTCAACTCGCTTTACAACGCTCATTCGCGTCTCACGCCTTCGCACCACACTCTCCCGCGCAAATCCTCCCTGGCCGCGCTGACGCCCAACTCTCTCGCCTCCATCCCCGATGTGAGCGAGTCCTACGCCTACAACAGTCTAGCCGAGTCGCCCGATCGCAAGATGGCTCCCACCACTCCCGGTAAGCCCGGGAATGACTTCGTCATTGGCGATGTTGTCGAAGTCCCGGGCAATATGCTCGGTACCGTTCGCTTCATCGGCTCTGTGAACGGAAAGAAGGGCACCTTTGCTGGTGTGGAGCTGCACCCAGAGTTCTCACAGCGGGGGAAGAACTCTGGTGAGGTTGAAGGGTATGTTGGCGCAACACCATGCACCTTTGCAGTTGAAGAACGGCGGCTAACGCTTCTGATCTAGGGTTTCGTATTTCACGACAACTCTTGCCGGCGCGGGCATCTTCCTGCCTGTGACCAAGGCTGTAAGACGAGAGTCGCCTCCAGGCTCCTCATCGAGCTCGTTTCCATATACGCCCACCGCGAGCACAATCGGTGGCCTCAAAGTTGCCAACCAGAACTCGACAAACTACACTACTCCTACGCCATCACTTCCCGCGTTCAGCAAGTCCGTTGGCCCGCCGGGTCGCTCTACTAGTCCCGGACTGAAGAAGCCTAGCAAACCCTCACTGCGCCCAGAATCGCCCTCACGCAAGCTGCAAATGACGCCTGGGCCGAGACCATCGCTAGCGACCCCCAACAGAGTCCCCTCCAAGTTCTCGTCTCCCACGGGCAATAGGTTCGCCCAGAGCGTGCGTGGAACGGCCGGAGACCCAAGCAAAACACCCGGTAGACTGGACAGGAAACCTAGTGTGGGACCTCGCAGCGTCTCCGCTCTTGGTCTGTTCGACGAGGAGACGACCCCGACCGCGCTGCAACGAACCAAAACGAACGGAAGTGTGACGTCGGTTTCTTCATACAGCTCTCAGTTCAGAGTTCCCTCCCGCGCGGGCTCAAGAGCGGCCTCACGCGCGACCAACGATCAAGAGCTCGAGCGCCTGAGGACACAGTTGGAGGATCGCGAGAGACAGTTGAGGGACCAGGCAGCTACTCTGGCAGAGATGGAGAGCAGCCTCACCGAGCTGCAGACTCTTATGGAGAACACAGACATGACATCAATGAAACGGAATAGTCTCGACGATAAGGACTCAGCACAGCTTCGACTGCTGGTCAGGGAAAGGAACGAAAAGATCGCTATGCTCACGGCCGAATTCGACGCGCATCGCGCCGACTTCAGAAGTACCATCGACACCCTGGAAATGGCTAGTACCGAGACCGAACGAGTGTACGAGAAGCGGATAGACGAGCTTATGGGGGAGATTCGTGAACTCGAATCTCGCACCGACGACGTCGACGTGGTTGCCCGTCAGCTGAAACAGCTAGAGGAGCTTGTTCAAGAACTTGAAGAGGGTCTTGAAGATGCTCGACGTGGTGAAGCTGAGGCCAGAGGTGAGGTTGAATTCCTCCGAGGCGAAGTCGAGCGCACGCGGACCGAACTTCGCCGTGAACGCGAGAAAGCCTCGGCGACGATGAATGGTGCGGGAGGCCCACCGAATGGGGACCGCACTTCCGTATCCAAGGAGCTCGAGCAGAAGGAAGACGAGATTCGAGGGTTGAAGGCTATCATCCACTCTCTCAGTCGCGACTCTGTCCCAGATGCAGAAAAGCCCGAAGACCCATCGATCCGCGAGAATGCTCTGGCCCGCGAGAGAATGGAGAGAGAGCTTGCGGAACTTCGCACTCTTGTCAAGGACAAGAATCGCCGTGAGGAGGAACTCGAACGGGAAGTTGAGATGCTGCGTAGGGGCAGCGCCACAACCCAACAATCTGGCTCCTTGACGAATGGCAGCGCACAGCGCTCGTCACTTCGCGATTCAAGAGACACTGTCGTCTTGGCCCGAAACAATGAGCCTCGATCCCCCGAAGCCACACACAAGCGTGGACGTACGCTGGATACGATGCCCGAGAGCGACACATACTCGTCGGTTACTGAGAACAGTACCTTGTGGTGCGAGATCTGCGAGACTGGCGGTCACGACATTCTCACGTGCACCAACATGTTTGGAGATGTCAAGGCCAGCGGCGATGCCAGCAAGACGGGCAAGGACATGGCTAGAGAGGCTCTGAAGCCCATGGATGATGAGCACAAGCCTCCTCCCCTGTCCCCGATGAAGCCCAAGGCCTCTCTTTCCCCTCCGCCCACTCTGCCTGCCGCTCCTCCTATCGTCAAGATTCTGCCTAACCCCATGGATAACGGACCCGTTGCCGGTAAGGACAGCGGAGTGGTGGACAACTCGAAGTGGTGTGCTCTTTGTGAGAGAGACGGGCACGACAGCGTCGACTGCCCTTTCGAGGACGCATTCTAGGTGAATGAATAATGATCTCGGACCGGGAAGGGTCACAACTAGTACCACCAGCACGATGGTCCCACTCGTACGCCTGCGTCCGGGTCAATTCGCTCTGGAATGGTCTACCTGTACGATGACGGGTTCTGTGTAGGATTGTGGAAGGTCATGAAGTGGAAGTTTTCTGTTCGTCATAGCATTTGTAGCGATGATACCACAGTTCGAGCAGTTTTTGGAGGTTGGAGTTGACAACTTCAATCCATCAGGGAGGAACAGACATGAGAGCCGTTGGCGTCTTGACGATCATGCCATGGGGCTTCTATAGGATTTTAATAGTAGACCTTAAACATGAAGATTTCTTCAATCCAATTTGATGACGTCTCTGTCTCTGTCGCATGTGATGGGAGCCGAATGTAAACAGTAGAGAGCAGCTAAATAACAGAGCTAGAGCCCTTCTGCATTCGGATGACAGGGGTCTTCCCGTCGTTGCCGGCCGGGGCTGCTGAGTGTTCAATGCCGTCTCCAGAGTCAAAGTTCTCCACCCCAGCAAGAGTCCCCGTGGCGTTTCACGCTCTCTGCGCTCGAATCCTTAGCTCAGCAGGGCGCAGCCAGCCGATGGTGGAGGTGAGGTGGTGCTGCACGACTGACTGACGGGCCAACTCGTGTAAGGTACGGATTGGTAGCAAGCAAAGTTGATCTGATCTTTCCCATTTAATCACCTCCGTTGTCTCAAAGTTTGGAAGGAAAGTTTTTTTTCCCTACTTCTTCTCTCATCTTTCTTCAGATCGCGCGCGTTGTTTTCTTGTGAAGTCATCACTGCCCCTTCTCCTCCCTCAGTGACCTGCAATCGCGCGGTTCCAGCAATTCGACGAGTCCCCGAAGCGTCTGACGTACCCCGTCATCCTTGTGCTTGTCTTATTTTTAAACGGACCTGCGTCAGCTCCTGCCCACTCGCGGGTTGCCGGGGCCGAGAGAGCTATTACTACCTACAAACACTAGCTGTCCTGTCCTGATTTCCTTCGCGGAGAGAGCGCGCGCGCAAAACATAACGTAACCTCAATTCGCATCGCGAGGCTGTGCTGCTTTTTTGTCTTTTCTGTGTTTCGCTGCGTCTTTTGCAAACTCGACATTCGTCTGCGTCTAAGTCCCTTTACGAGCAAAACACAATCCGGCTTCTCGGACTTGATTGACTGCTCAATCGCACGACTGCCGACGAAGAGCAGCAAACCCGCGAAACTTCCGTCCGAAGGACACACATATCGAGGGAACGAAACGCGGAGATAGCCCACCATGGCACAAATGCTGCTCGACATCGTCTACTCCTTCGGGAACTGCCTGAACTGCTTCCCCGGCTCGCCGTCCCTCAAGATCAACAGCCGCAACTTCAAGATCCTCCGTCTCCTCGGCGAGGTAAGCCCGCCCACCTACGTCCTCCCGAAACCTCGACTCTCCTAGGTCCAGAGACCCAGAACAGCACTTTCTCGGAATCGACCAAGGGGAGATTGAACAGAAGAAGAAGGCAGAATAGAGACTAACGATGCGACACGCAGGGCGGCTTCTCCTACGTCTACCTCGTCCAAGACACGGCGACCAACGAAGAATTCGCCCTCAAAAAGATCCGCTGCCCCTTCGGCGCCGAGTCCGTGGCCCAGGCCATGAAGGAGGTCGAGGCCTACCGCCTCTTTGCCCGCGTCCCCGGCATCATCCACGCCGTCGACCACGCCATCGCCACCGAGCGCGGCGGCGAGCCCGGCTCCAAGACCGTCTACGTCCTCCTCCCCTACTACCGCCGCGGCAACCTCCAGGACCTCATCAACGCCAACCTCGTCAACCACACCGCCTTCCCCGAGCGCCGCCTCATGCTGCTCTTCCTCGGCGTCTGCAAGGCCCTCAGGGCCATGCACGAGTACCGCGGCCCGCCCGCCGGCATGGAGAGGATGGAGATGGGCCACGGCGATGAGGAGGACTCGACCGAGAACGTCGGTAAGAGGGGCAAGGGCAAGAACAAGGGCGGAAAGAGGGTCACCAATGCCGCCGCCGCCGCGGGCGCCGACGACGAGGACGAGGAGGACCAGCAGAGGCCCCTGATGGAGGGGGAGACGCCGGGGTCGGGGAATGTCAAGTCGTACTCGCATCGCGACATCAAGCCGGGTAAGCAACAATCACCACGGGAGGATGCATTACGCGGAACTAACACGAAGGGCGTCACAGGAAACATCATGATAGACGACTCGGGCTCGAATCCGATCCTGATGGACCTGGGCTCCATCGCCCCGTCCCCGATCGCAATCACCTCGCACTCGCTAGCCATCGCGACGCAGGACACCGCCGCCGAGCACAGCACCATGCCGTACCGCGCCCCGGAGCTCTTCGACGTGCAGACCGGCACCATCATCGACACCAAAGTCGACATCTGGTCCCTCGGCTGCACGCTGTACGCCTGCCTCGTCGGCAAGTCGCCCTTCGAGGCCCGCTCCGACGAGACGGGCGGCTCGCTGAGCCTCTGCGTCCTCGGCGGCGACTGGCGCTTCCCCGACGAGGGCGTCAAGCGCACCGGCACGGGGATGAAGGGCAAGGCCGTAGATTCCGGCAACGGCGGCGCCTCCGGAGACCCCAAGATCAGCGACCCCATCCGCGACGTCGTGAGGAAATGCCTCAAGGTCGAGCCCGCGGAGAGGCCGGATATCAACGAGCTCATCGACATTGTGGAAACCGTCATCGAGGAACTGCCGCAGGAGGGTTCGTTGTGAGGCAGTAGCAAAAGCGAGAACGTTTGATTCAGTGTATTGTATAATGATGTCACTTTTTTTTTTTTTTTTTTTTCATTATTCCCAGGGAATCTGCAAGGCTCGAGTCACCAAGGCGTTCTGCGGCGGGCGCATGTAGGAGGGAATTACTAGAGAGCCATTCTGATTGAAAGTGATTTTACATAGGTATCTACACGCCCCCCAAACTCAGGCCGGAGCATGTTAGTCACCTGCTTTCGTCTCTTGTGAGGTGTTGAAACACCACTCATCATCTACCATGCACTCTCAAAAGTCATCAAAGGGAGTAGCCATGTCCTCGCTCTCAGTTGAGTCTGAATCGCTTGACCCGCATTCGTGATCGAGACCGCAGTCGGTAAGGTATTCATCCTACAACTCCAGGCGATACGACGCGATCTCAAATGGTCGCAAAGTGATGTTGAACTTTCCACCGTCAATCTTGATCTCCTCAATGTCGTCCTCGAGCAAGTTGCACTTGTAGACGCGCTTGACATCCCAAGTCGTCTCAATGGTGCCCTTGCTCTGTCCACCAAGACTGTCGTACACGCGCAGGATAACGTTGCGACCCTTGCGCTTGGGAAGATCGCCGCGGGTGACATCTTCATCGTCCTCGCCACGCTTGACGGTGTCAAGCACCAAAGAACCATCGCCAGTCAAGGTGACGGGGCTCTTGGACAAGGTGGCCTGGGCAGCACTGGGGGCCGAAAGCAGCCTCAAAGGGTTGTTGAAAGCGTAGGCGGCGCGCACGGTCGATGAACCCAGGGTTCCCTCGTGAGGGAAGATGGCCCAGCGAATTTGATGAGTGCCCATATCCGCATGAGCATCGGGAGCCTTTGGTGCTCGGAGAAGTGAGAGACGCATGAGATTGCCAACAGTAGCGAAACCGTACTTGCTGTCGTTGAGGATAGAGACACCATAGTTGTGCTCAGACAAGTCAGCGAAACGGTGGCAACAAACCTCAAACTTGGCCATGTCCCAGCTTGTGTTGTAGTGAGTAGGGCGTTTGACGATTCCATACGCCGACTCATACGATGCCTCGGTGTTTCTGACGTCGACAGGGAACTCGACTTTCAGGAACTTCATGGTCTCGTTCCAGTCGACTTCAGCGTGGCACTCGACCCACGATTGGACACCCTTGAGAGCGGCCGAAAGAGTAATGGTAGATCGAAGTGAACTTTCCTCGCTGATCTTGACCTCAGTTGTCAGGCTGACACGATGGGCCTTCTGCTCCGAGATGGATGTCTTGCCGCAAGTAAGCTCCTTTCTCGTATCCAAGTGGTAGACTTCAACATCCCAAGCTTGCCAGTACAAAGGCTTGTCGTCAAAGACGACGTACTGATTCGCCTTGCCGCCCTTTTCGATGACCTCGCGTTCAGCAACGCGATCATACAGAGAGGTGATGTATCCATTCTCGACCTTCACGCGGAGTTGATCGTTCTGCAACACGAAGACGCCATCGCTGACCTCCTCGATCGTAACTGCAGGCTTCTCCTCCGAAACCTTGAAGGGGCGGATAGTGATCATTTGACCATCACCGCAAGCGACACCAGCCTCGGTCTCGGAGATCTCAACGACCTCCCTGCGGTGCCAGGGAAGTGTGTTCAACGCCATGGTCTCACCCAGGCGACCAGTAGCGGTGGCAGAAACTCCCAACACGTCGTGGATCTCCTTCAAGAGCTTTTCGCCGGTCTTGAATACCATTTCGTACAGCTGGAAAAAGAATTAGCCAAGATTCTCGCACCCCCTCATTGTAGAACTTACCTCGTCGGAATCATCGTAGCACATCTCAATGGAGCTGCCTGGCAGACAGTCATGGAACTGGCAGAGTAGGACAGCCTCCCACATGTCGTCAATCTCCTTCTTTGGGTACTTGTAGTCCTTGACATTGTCGCTAAGAGTAGCGATAGTGGCCAACAACTCGACATCCCTGAGAAGAGACTCGGATTTACGGTTGTTCAACTTGTTGTTAGCCTGAGTAGTGTAGGTACCGCGATGAAGCTCAAAGTAGAGCTCTCCGTACCAAGTGACGAACGTCTTGGCCTTGGGCTCCAGCTTATCGAAGAAATCATCAACAGTCTTTCCCATGTGCACTCTAGGCAGCAGGCCGACTTGGTCGGAAATACCACGGCATCGACGAAGCTTCTCCAGGTGCTGCCAAGTTGGCCCGCCACCACCGTCGCCTTTGCCAAAAACGAGCAATGACGTGTGATCTTGGTCCATGGACTTGTGCTGGCTAACACTTCGCTTGACGTCGCCAAAGTGTGCCTCGGCTGTGTAAGTCTCCGAAGGTGGCATATGGCAGATGACCTGGCTGCCGTCAAGGGCAACCCAGTTGAAAGTAGTGTGGGGAAAGTTGTTGATGTTGTTCCAGCTAAGCTTCTGGGTCAAGAAGCGGTTCATGCCTGCGAGGCGGCACAGCTGCGGAAGCTGAGCAGAGTATCCAAACGTGTCAGGCAGCCAGAAAGTCTGGCAACGCTCTCCAAAGTTGCTTTCGAAGAATCGCTGGCCATACAAGAACTGCCTGACCAAGGATTCACCGCTGGGCATGTTGGTGTCGTGCTCGACCCAGCTGCCGCCGATTGGGTGGAATCTTCCCTCCTTCACCTTGGTCTTCACGCGATCGAAGGTATAAGGGTACAACTCCTTCAGCCACTTGTATTGCTGAGCCTGCGAGCAGGCAAAGTTCAATTCAGGGTAGCGATCCATCAGGTCACACTGGTTAGACCAAGACCTGACGACCTTGCGCTTCGTCTCTGCCCATGGCCACAGCCAGCAGCTGTCAATGTGACAGTGACCAATGCCGTAGACCTGAGGGTCCTTGTCTGTGCTGTAAACCTTGTGAGAGTCGACGTCGGGACCCAAGTACTCCTGGGCGATCTTTCTGCACTTGAGTATGGAGTCTTTGTTGCCGAGCTCAAAGGCGTCGATCATGTCTGTGGCAACCTTGAGGGCCTTGTGCTGCTCCCAAGACTCTTTGGGGAATTCGCGAGCAGCATCACCAATGATCCAAATGTCGATCCAGAGAGCTCGCGCCTCCGGATTGACGGCGACGATGTCAGCTTGGCCGAGCTGGAAGTACTTGTTAGGTTCCGGGGGCTGAATGGAGTCTCCGCCTGGGGCGTTGCCGAACATGCCATTGCAGGCCATTTCGATGTAAATTGTGTGCTCCTTGCCGTCTCTGAACTCCTTGGGCAAGATCCATTCGGTACGCTCACCACCTCCGGTGAGGCCCTGGAGGGGTTTGCCATCTTCGGTCCAGACCAAGCCCTCGTTGTTGGCGTCCCAGTGTAATTCGAGTAAGTCCTTGTCACGCAGCTCCTTTGGCACGGTCAGGACGACCTTGAACCAGTGGGTTGACCAAGACGGGCCAAACCAGGCTCCAACCTCGGTCTTTTTGAACTCGTGCGATACAGCATCCTCGAAGGTCGGCCGGGTGGTATCGGGGGCGTCCCAAACGGAGAGTTTGACGTGAGGCTCGCCCGATGCGGTGCCCTCCGTCATCATCCTGGCTTGCAGTTAGCGGGAGGTTCCCCAGACTTGCTACGGGGCGCGGTGGGGTTCACGTACGCCAGGAGGTTGTGCTTCTCATATTGTCCGCTGGAGTAGAACTGGTTAATTCTCTCCTTGTAGATATTAGAGATCCATTGTCCAACAGGACGCTGGGCAAGAGCTGGGTATTCGCTCTTGCTCTTGAGTTCTCTGCCGCCACCCATAGTGTCAAGCCGTTGGTTGCCGGTCTGTTTCGATCGATCGAGAGAGCTCGGTGGAGCTGAGCGATTGTTCAAGCGACGATTACGCTGGAGCTCCGTCAAATGGTGATGAATCGGCCGCGGGGCAGCTGATAGAGGTGGTTCGCCTTTGTCGATAGCTTGTGAAGCTATGAGGGCGTCGTTCATATACTGATTGAGGGTTTTGCGAGGTTGCCGATCACTGCAAGAAGAAGTTCATGTTAGCTTGCCTTGGAATCGAGCGAAAGCAGGACGGGCTCAAGCTCCCGGGGGAAGCTAAAGCAGAGCACGGGAACACCCTGGCGCAGCTGGGCGACCACTGAAACACAACCAGTGGGAGCGTGCGGGGACAAGCCGGTGCAGCAACAGAAGTGCGGGGAGGTTGGGGCGTGTGATGGAGGGTGACGCAGCCATCATGCGATCCCCCTTGGATAGCCGGCGTACCAGCGAACTCCTCGGCCGACCGTCCACCACTCGGAATGCCTGTCTCACCTCATTATCTTGTTGTCTTGTCTTGGTGATTCAAAGCCCTGGACCCAAGACAGGAAGGTGATGTTTGGATGGTAGGACAAGATCGAACACGAGAGTCGTGATTCGGTCGGATAATTATACGAAGATAAAACGAGGGATGACAATGCTTTTACGCCGAAAGAGGGGACGAACGAGCCTGATCGGGACGAAGAGGTAGGCAGTATCGCAAGATCCCGTCGTGATGCAAAGTTAAAAGATGCAGCACGGTGTTGAGTATTAGAGAGTTGTCCGTAGACGGAAAAACAAGAAAATCACGATGACATGAAATCGAGTCTTGCCCGAGGCCTACGACGGCCAGTCAGGTAGGTAGGTACGTTGGACATAACTTCCTGTCTCCATGTCAAAAGTTGGGAAGGTGTGTCACCCCGTCAGCCCAAGATTTCCAGAAGGCGAGCTGCTGGGTTCTGGCCTCAGTTGGAAAGAGAACAAAATGGCAGTTGCTACTGTCCATGGACCTCAGCCAGCTAAGGTATTCAAATGCAACCGCAATGCAACCCAGAAGATGAACAATGCCTAGAAATAAAACAAGTAGTATTCCAGGTCATCTGCATGCAAATGCTGTTGCACGACAGTTGCACAAGACTCCGTACATAATAGTTGCAACCTTGGGGAACATTGTCCTGTCCGCGTGTTTTAGCGATGCATTCGCCTGTATGTACGTCGAGGTGGATATCCGGGGAAATCAAGTCATTGTGCAGCATCGCACCTTTGTCAAGCGAAATGCGGCACAATCGTCTTTTGTATGCCCTCGTGGTACGCCCCAGATGACCGGCAGTGATATGATATATCCGGGTCGATGTCCGATTCTTCAACCACGTGGGTAGAAGTGGCTGGGGTATTAGGTGGAAGGCGAAAACTTAGAGGGAAGAGTGACGATACCCGATCTCATGCGACGGGGACGGGGACAGCAAGTGAGGAGATATCGAGCCATCATTGTGGTTCGAGTCCCATCGGGGTGCATTTGGCCGGCGTCAAAAAGCTTCCAGAAAATCAGTAGAGGAGCACACCTAATTAAGCTTTAAATCATCGACCCATCTCGCTTAATTACCTAGCCGGCGAGACGATGTTCGGCTGGTGATGAAAGACACTCAGATTGGGACGAGCCAAGGCACTTTCTTTTTTATCAAATATTCGTCTTGTTTCCTATCGACGTGATGCAGGATATAATACTACGCGGTAGCCAGGAAGTGAGGTATGTAGATCGCCCAAGATAACCAAACCAATCATCACATCATTGTCCATGCCCGTAACACCCGTGAGAATTAAGAATGAGAACACATGCGCCCCAACACCGACCGTGCCGTCCGGTATCAAAAGAAAAGAAAAATCAAGATGACAACCCGGAGTCCTTGGCCCGGCTTCCAGTACCGGTGCCTGTACCCTTGTGGACAAGCTCGGAGCCATCTTCCTCATCCTCGTACAGGTCATCGTCGTCATCATCGTAGTCCATCTCGCCCTCTTCGAGCTCGTCATCGAGAGGCTGGTCAAAGTCGTCGTCGGCCTCACTCTCACTCTCGCTCTCACTTTCCTCGAAGCCGAGCACGCCGAGGATGGGGACCTCGATCTTGCGATACTGACTCCTGATCATGCCGTCGGCCATCTCAAACAATTTGGCGTCCTTGTCTGGCGGGGGCTCCTTATCCATGGAGAAGTGGGCCTCCTCTTGGTCAGCGAGGTCGTCCAGCGCCGGAATGTGCGGCGATGGCAGACCCTCGGGGACGCCCATGACCCACCTCCGGACGCCTTCGCCCTTAGCGACTCGGGACCGGCCGCTCTGTGCTCTTAACCCCGACCGGAATTGCCGCTTTTGCCTCCGGCGTCTCCGCTGGATCCGGTCGCGAATGTACCAGGCCACCACCAACATGGCTGCCTGCATCATCTCCTGGCACTTCTGCCTGTGCATGTTGGCCCAAGCCTGGCATCTTTGCTGCTGTGCGTTGGAGATGGCCTGGCACCGTTGTTGATAGTAAGCGGCAATGCGTGAGACCATGGCCACGTATCTCGGGTCCATCGGCGGCTGGCTCGGGTCAGGGCTCGGGGTCGGAATCGATGTCGCCGCCTGTACTTGTGCTTGTGTTTGTGCTTGATTGAGGGCCTGGGCTGTGGGCAGAGAGTTTGGCACTGGCGATTCTCTCTTCATCGGGACATTATGGTCGTCGAGATTGGCCTCGGCGGCCTTGCGTTTCAGTTGAGCAGACAGCGGGATGGCAGGTTTTCGGAATGAGAGATGCTCGGGAGGAGGCGTGACGGGGGCTAAAGGGTTGAAGTTGAAGGTAGGAATATGCGCCGCCATAAAGGGTGGTTATTTCTGAGCAACTTTGCTATCGTTTGTTGTGTGTTGCTGGGGTCGGTCTCGATGAGACGCAGTGTGTTAGATATCGTGGATATCGATGTGCGAGCGGCGGGTCGCTCTTGTTTCGTTCCGGTTGATGGATAATTTACGGGCTTTCGAGAGAAGAAGGAGTAGAAGAAGTGTTTTCCCTAGTTCTCAAGAAGTCGAGGGGAGGGCGGTAGTAATAGTGAAATGGGAGGAATGGGTGGTGGGCGTGGTGGTGTCGTTGTAATTGTACTGCTGACAGCAGATGAGACGGGTTTGGTGTTATGGGTGTAAATGGACACGGGGGATCCGCTGAAGAGCAGACAGGCAAGCGAGATAGACGTATCAAACCAAGTGCTTGGTAGGAAAGGAGGGGGAAACGGGGCGCCGAAAAAGAGATATATACCTAGAGGGCGATATTTCAAATGCAAAAAGGCAACATGACGGCGTATGCTGCCATGTTTGGGCCAAGGGTCTGGCGATAAATTTGGGGAGTGAGCGGGAATGGGCTGAGAAGGAGTCGAAATCGGTCGATACCGAATGGCAACCGCGCCGTGCTGTTGGGGCCAGGCCCGGTACGTACTCCAGGGTTCCCTACCGCCCTACCACGTACCTAGTAAGGTAAGGTACCTAAGGTACAGCAGGCGCGCAGGGACTTTCACCGACTCGTTGCGACCCGTCCATTGTCAGTGACAGCAAGTTCCAGTCGGCTTCATTTTTTTGGTTCCTTAGGTTCTTTCTTTTTCTCTGCTTCTATGCTTGCTCATCAGGCTCCGTCGTGTCCGGGTACCTTAACAGACCAATCCGGTGTCGAGGATATCTCCTTGACCGGACTTAGGTAAGGCTGTCTGGAATGCAACACACACTGTTCTGCTTACACGTCGCACCCTTCCGGTCCATCCTCATAACATTCTCACATCACCACGGTGGACTCTCATCCAAGCATCGTTCAGTTGCTTGGTATGGCATGCTTCGATCTTGGACCACGCTTCCCTACACTTCCCCATATTCCGTGTGTCCACACACTAGGTATCCGGTGATGTTTTCGGAGGACGTGATCGAACATCGTGTCAAGCACCCCATACTGCAGTAGCCACACTCGCACAATCAGACGCACCACACCTTCTATTGACTCCAGTCAGACCCTTCCAGGTTCCTCCCCTTCTTTCCCCGAAAGCCGCGCCGGGTCCTGGCATGTTTCCGACATCTGCCATCCTGTCTTTCTTGCATCCTGTGTTACCGTACCTAACCTGGTAAATCATTCAGGTACGAGCATGAAGCGATGACGGAAATGGCGCCTGCCATCAGATTCGAGATAGAGTGCTCCGGGGTAGCAGCCATCCTCTGCCGTCTGCCCATGTTTGATTGCCTCCAGCCGATAGTCGTCTGCTATTGGGAGCACTCCCTCGGGCTGGCTGTTCCCTTTTTGGGGGCCCGGCTGTGCGTTGATCATAATGGCTAGCGAGCCACGATATGGCCATGTATGATGCGACCCCCGCCCTGTCAATCTCAACATGACGGTAGCATCATTCGACTATCGCCCGCATGCCTGCGCCAACAGACAGTTTTTCTGCCAACTGGTTCACCCTACTGCACGTCGACCGCATCTTAATGGCTGTCTAGACGCTGGAGCCGTCCAAAACACTGTGTTTCTGCGGCCCGAAGGTCCTGAGGCGGTGCAGCCCAACTCGATGCATCGACAGACTGCGGCGGTATGGCGAGGGCTGAAATACAGTCCAACTGCTTCATCACACAGTAAGTCTCCACAGCACCACCTTCCCTTTAGTGTTTTGCGCCCTGCGTTCTGCAGTTCCGTTTCTGTGGTCCTCTGGCTCCAACGGCCTCCACGAGTCTTCCTCCTCCGTACGACTGGTCCAACGACATGACGCTAGTCGCAACAGACTCTCGTAAGACGATGATGCACACCAGGCAGGTACCGGCAAAAAGCATCAACACTGTCTTGGACCGTTCCGCCTTGGCTGTTGCTTGCACCTTGTTTAGACTCACTGCGCATCTCGCTGCACTGCCCATGGATCCTCTACCTTATCTGCCTTGTTTGTATCCCTTCAAACCAACATTCATTATTTCCAGTTCACCACATGCTGCGGATGGCGGCGGATACGCAAGACCTGGAGAGACCCCTAAATCCGACCAGACCCTGACCCTTCCCTTCTCCACAAACCCTGGCCTGTTTTTCTTCTCCGTCTGGTTCCATCTTACGTCCGGTTTGCGACATTCGGCGATAAGGATCCTCACAGTCAGGCAAAGACCAACATCGGATGTTGTCGTTTGCTGGCTGCTATCTTCGTCCGTCGCATCTCTGCCCCGAGCAAACGGACCAAAATTCGACACGCATCCGTACAGGGTTGTCGCCTAATTTTATCGCCGCCCCGACCATGCCATGCCACTTCCACGCATCCCATCCCATCCCATCCGCGGCCCAGGTGCACCAATGCCAATGCCAATGCCAATGCCAATACCACTCAGGATCCCTCCCAAACTGTCCCGCCCCAGGCGATAGCCGGTAAACACGTTGCTGAACCACCCGACAGCAGTCCCAGTCGCCTGGACCACCGGCCCCACAGTGCAGTTCGCAGCGGCCTGTCAGGCCGTCCGCCCTCCAGCGAGATCCCCCCAGGCCCCTATGGGTCCCGATCGATTCGGGCGGATTCGAGCCATCGTCCCGAAAAATCTCGCGATATTTCACGTCCACCATGCCGCTCGCATGATTCGCATCCAGCCCTGACCACCCCGGCCGCCGTAATCCACCCGGCTCATTATCTCATCATTCTCCCTGCTGAGCGTCACAACACCACATTCCTCGCCGCGTCCAGACCCCCATTCCTTACCTCCTAAGGGCAGGCTTCTTTATATCCGAACCGGACAAACACCTGAACCGACGTCACTCCCGGAACAGCTCACATTGATGATATGCTCACATGTTGGCCCGATCCCTCACCACATTCGCCCGTCATGACCTGGTGCCCGCGTTGCTGACTACTGCCCGATCGACTCTCTCCGCACCTCTCCGCCTGCGCCGCAGTGTCTACCGAGGGAGCCATGCCTCCATTTTCGGCCGAGAAGTTGTGTTTACGGGAGCGCCAAGCTGGCATTCGCCTGGTGGTGTCTTTGCCAGGGGTAAGAAGACAAAGTCTACGTTGAAACTTGACGATCTACCCCAGGGCCTTCTGCCGTTGGATCCCCGCCCTATGCAAGATGAGGGCCCAGCATATCCGACCGTCATTCTACAGGCACGTCGAAACATGCAAAAGTTCGATAATTGTGTTCTCTTGACGCGTGTCGGCGGCTTCTACGAGCTCTATTTCGAACACGCCGAGGAGTTTGGTCCTCTGCTGAATATCAAGGTCGCCCAGAAGAAGACCAATGCTGGCCCAGTTCCTATGGTAAATCCTTCTCACTTTTCTCAACAACCTCGAAAGCTGGCGGTTTCGTATCGTAGGTCTGATATGTGATTACTAGGCCGGGTTTCCTTTCTTCCAGCTGGATCGTTTTCTCAAGATCCTAGTCCAGGACCTGAATCGCTACGTTGCTATCGCTGAGGAGTTCCCCAACAAGGCGCCGGAGAAGGTCACCTCTGGTGGGCTGATGCATGATCGCAAAGTTGCTCGCGTCATCACGCCAGGGACTTTGATTGACGAGAACTTCATTGACCCTTACGCCAATAACTACGTGCTGGCTATTCATGCCCATGGCGCCGCGGCCCAGCCCGGAGGGGGAGGGGAAGACTGGTCCCATTCAGCCGCTGATGGGAGCGTGACTCCGGCAACTGGTGACCCTGCCGAACCACCCTCCTTGGGCCTCGCGTGGTTGGATCTATCCACCGGCCAATTCTACACTCAAGCTTCCGATCTGACAGCGCTCTCCTCGATCTTGTCGAGGATATGCCCCAGGGAAGTCGTGCTGGACAGCGAGCTTGAAACTCAAACCGGCCATGGCCTGTTTTCTATACTTGCCGAGGACAGACACTTAGTCACGTACAGCCCGTTCGGCGAAATCAGGCGTCTTTCTGATTGGACATCCATGCTCGAATCTGAAATCCCTCAGGCGACGCTGGACGCCTTCACTGAAGGTGAGGTGATGGCGGGGAGCCTGTTGCTACACTACGTCAAGGAGCGGTTGCTGGGGTTGAGCATGAAGCTCCAGCCGCCGCAACGTCATGAGAACATGCAGATCATGAGCATTGACAAGAACAGCATGCGCTCGCTGGAAATCAAACAGACCATCAGAGACAGTAACTTCCGGGGTAGCCTGCTACATGCCATCAGGCGGACAGTCACGAAGAGCGGCGCGCGACTGCTCAACGATTGGCTCAGTGCCCCGTCGACGTCGCTCGACGTTATCAAACTGAGACAGGATCTTGTGGCCCGTTTTATCGAAGAGCCGGACTTACGGGACTCCATCGTCCTGCTGCTCCGCCGCAGCCACGATTCGCAGCGCCTGGTCCAGAAGTTTGCTCTCGGCCGAGGCGATCCGGACGATCTCGTGGCCCTGTGCAACACGATCCAGGCCACGAACAACATCAGACAGCTACTTGAGAAAGCGTCCGATGAGTCCGGTTGCCTCGCGCAGATGACCGTCCGCCTCGACCTCAAGAAACCCCTGACTCTCGCGCGGCGCATCAAGGGGGCAATCGACGAGGATGGCATCATTCAGCAGCACGAAATCGAGGAGAACGAGGCCGGGGAGATGATTGCCCTCGCCAAGGAAATCGTCAGCACGGAGGGCACCGAAGACGACGCCGCCTCTTTGCCCAAGGGCGCCGCGAAGAAGAAGCGCCCGACCTCCGTCCGGGAGGCCTACGCCGACGACAACGAAGCCTGGATAATGAAACCCGAAGCGAGCCCCCTCCTCCGCCAGCTCCACGCCGACTTGGCGGCCCTGCATGCCGAGAGGGAGACCCTTGCCGAATCACTCCGCGAGCAGCACGACGCCGCCTCTCTGACCCTCCGCTGGAGTCCCGCCCTCGGCCACTTCTGCCACATCAGAGGCAAAGACACCCGATCCGTCCTCGATATCAAGGCTCTCAGCTCTAGCCGTTCCACGCGCTCCTTTCACGACCCCGGTTGGACCCATCTCGGCCAGCAGCTTGAGCACGCCCGGCACAGCATCCGCACGGAGGAGCAACGCGTCTTCCACGCTCTCCGCGCAGCAGTGGTTCTCAACCTCGTCAGACTCCGCCGCAACGCCGCCGTGCTGGACGAGCTCGACATCGCCACTTCCTTCGCCAAGCTCGCCGACGAGCAGGGCCTTGCCCGGCCCGCGCTCAACAACTCGACCGCCCACACCATCATCGGCGGCAGACACCCCACGGTGGAGGGCGGACTGTCCGAGCAGGGCCGCAGCTTCGTCCGCAACGACTGCCTCGTGGGCAGCCCCTCAGCCGGCAAGCTGTGGCTGATCACGGGTCCCAACATGGCCGGGAAGAGCACCTTCCTCCGCCAGAACGCCCTCATCACGATCCTGGCGCAGATTGGATGCTACGTGCCGGCCGACTATGCAGAGATGGGCATCGTGGACGCCATCTTCAGCCGCGTCGGATCGGCGGACAACCTCTACCGCGACCAGAGCACCTTCATGGTTGAGATGATGGAGACGGCGCAGATCCTGCGCAGCGCGACGCCGCGGTCTTTCGTTATCATGGACGAGATCGGAAGGGGCACGACGCCCGAGGACGGTACCGCCGTCGCCTACGCCTGCCTGCACCACCTGGCCACGATCAACCAGTGCCGCACGCTCTTTGCGACGCACTTCCACAAGGTGGCGGACCTGGCACTGGCAGACGGTCTCTGCGAGTCACAAACACGGGCGGTGGACATGTACTGCACGGATGTGGACGAGGATGAAGATGGTGGATTTGTCTATGTTCATAGCCTACGGAAGGGCATCAACCGACAGAGCCACGCTCTGAAGGTCGCGCAGCTAGCTAATCTGCCAGAGGCGGCCATGAAGGTCGCCAGGCAGGTTCTCGAACACTGAGAACACTTTGTACATTCACAAAACTTGTAAACTACGAAAAAGGCGAGAGCAAGACATGCTGGATAGGGGAGCATGCGAGACATAGAACCTGCAGCTTTGTGTACGTTAGCCAGATGATACCCGGTAAAAAAAGGCTGTACAGTAAATAAAAATATGAATGGGAAGCTTCCTCATAGGGTGGTGATGTGTGTCATCAAGAAAGATTCAGGGTTAAAAAGCTCTTGAATTTTTTTATAATCATAGGAAGCGGGTGTGTGGGAGAGAGCGGAGAGACAAGAGAATGGTAACGAACCTTTTCAGCGTGGGTGGAAGATCATGCTTCATGCATGTCACCTCACCAAGAGTCAAAAGTCATGGAACTGAAATGTGCCGTCAAATGCGATGTGCTTTGATTGACCGGCAACCCATCTATGTAGCCGTGCGTAAGATCCACGTGTCGTCGTAAACCCATCCGATTTAGCCCAGATAGAAGCCGTAAACATCGATTTCTCGTTACATGATTTAGTCGCTGCAAAACTTGTTAGCACAGCTCGGGGGGTGTCAAGGTTGGGAGTGTGAACGTACAAGAGACCGCCGAAGCCGCCATCATCATCGGACTCCTCGTCCTTCTCGGACTCGGCCTTCTCAGCCTCCTTGGCCTCGTCGGCGCCACCGGCAGCAGCGACGGGGGCGGCAGCGGCGTAGGCGTCGGGGTTGGCGATGCGGTCCTTGAGCTCCTCGATCTCGGGCCAGCTGATCTCGGTCTCGATGGCGACGGCGAGAACGTTCTTGTAGCCGTTGTAGAAGGAGTGCATGACGGAGGGGAGGGTGGGGAAGTTGATGGCCAGGGAGACGGCGGCGATGGTGGTGACGGCGCCGGCGAAGGCCTTGAGGAGCTGCTCCTCGGAGATGTCGAGGACGTCAGAGGGGAAGGTGTTGCCCTGGTCGTAGACCTGGGCGACGCCCATGCCGTAGGTGAAGGGGGAGATGTTGAGCATGTTGAGGAGGGTGGCCTCGGAGGGGCCGACCTTGGTGTTGGCCTCGACGAGCTTCAGGTCCGAGACGATTTCGATGGTACCACGGGCGATCTTGGTGGGGACACCGAGGGCCTGGAAGAAAGAGGTCTTTCCGGGCTCCATACCGGTGTTTCCGGCGGGAACCCAGACGTCGGAGGGAGCGACGGCACCGGCACGGGCAGGGGCGGCGACCTTGTTCTCGAGAATCTTGTCACGGATGGTCTTGAGGTCACCGTTGGTGAAGACGAAACCGACGTTGCCCTTGACGAAGGGGAGGAGACGCTCGTACTCGGGGGAGTCGGGGATGAAGGTCTTGAGGGCACGGCGAACCTTGAATTTTGCGTTAGCATCACGATCTTTCTTGGGAGATCGCCAATGGCATTGGCGCCAAAGGCTTCGAGGAGGAAACTTACCATGGTGTTCTTACCCATCAGAACGACACCCTCACCACGGAGGGATTGTCTGATCTCGTGCATCTGCTGAGAGCTGACATTGTCGACGGTGACGATGAAGATGGACTTGTACTCCTCGAGCAAGCCCTTGAGCTTGTCGAAGTAGCCAGCCTTGTTCGCAGATTTGCCCCCCATATCTTCTTATTTTATGAAGGCAGGATGTTTAAGGGCAAATGAATTTGTTCCTTGGGGTGAGTGATGGGTATCAAAAATTTGGTGATGCAGCAGGAAAGAATTCGAGAGCCTCCCCGGAGCAAAAAGGTTTTTGCTGTCTCGCGAAAATGTGTGGGTGGTTTCGAGACAGCCAATCAGAATGGACCTTAGGGCAACTTGCAGCGCTGTGCCGCGACTGCAAGGTGATCCAAGCTTCAGACTGGGAAGGTACGTACACCCGGAGTTATTCTTTTTTCTTTTTTTTGCTCTCGATGGTGGGGCATGTCCATGTGAGATGAGTTCTTGAGGGAAAGTTCTATCTCAACTTCAATCCCTTGCGCAGGCAACTTCCACTCAGTCAAATTGAGTCCTCTCAACTAGAGGAGCCAATCGATTCAAGATGAAGATTCCTTACAATTTCATCCAGCCTTCTGGAAATGTAGTCTTCGCCGCCAGGGGTGGAAAGATTCACTCCTTTAGTCTGCAAGACGGCTCTCACCTATCGACATGGGAGCACCCCGACGTCGAGAAAGTTGCAGCCGCCTCAGCCGCCGCCGCTGCAGCTAAGGTCGAGATAGAAGTGAGCTCCAGTGTGCCCACGCCCACATCCCCTGCCGATGGTGAGGAAGACGGCCCCCCGGCCAAGCGTCAGAGACTCGAGAAGGAAGACGAGCAGTCCAAGGACGACGGTGACGCCATGGTCGTGGATGAGCCTCCCAAGCATCCCGAACAGGAGAACGAGAAACGAGGGAAGAAGGATCGGAGGAAGGGTAACAGGGGCCAAAATCAGGGCCAGAAAGCAAACAATCGAGGCAGCAATGTGTTCGCGAGGGTCCCCGATCAACCTGTCATCACCCTCATGACCACTACCAGCGATGGCAGCCATCTGCTGGCCATCTCGGGCCACGACAAGTCTCTTTGGGTGTTTGAGCACGACGGCAAGGGCAACCTGAAAGAGCTCGGTCAGAGGTACGTCGTCTGTTGCGCCCCGCACTGTAAGATAGAGCTTAACAAACGTGTAAAAGAATCATGCCTAAACGCCCCTGCTCCGTCCTCATCTGCCCGGGTAATGAGACGATTCTGAGCGCAGACAAGTTCGGCGACGTCTTCTCGTTACCTTTGATCCCCACAGATAAGCCTGCTGCTGCTGCTGCTGCCGCCGCCACTGGTGATGCCGATGCTGGTGCCAGTACGCCAGCTGAGGAATCCACTCCGGCACCCGAGACGCAAGAGACCAAGCCGTTCAAGCCGGAAGCGAGCAACTTCACCGTGCACTCCAAGGCCAACCTGCGAGCCCTCAGGAACCAGGAGCGCGAGTCCAAGAAGGGGAAGCGCGACGTCACCAAGGAGGAGCCGACCTTCGAGCACACGCTCCAGATCGGCCACGTCTCCATGCTTACGGCGATGATGCTCGCGGAGAAGGGTTCGCGGCGGTATATCATCACCGCGGACCGCGACGAGCACATCCGCGTCTCGCGGTACATGCCGCATGCGCATGTCATCGAGGGCTTCTGTCTGGGTCATACCAACTTCGTCAGCGCTCTCACTCTGCCTAGTCAGGATGTTCTTGTTTCGGGCGGTGGAGACAGTGAGATGTTTGTTTGGGACTGGGAGGCGGGCAAGGTCCTGTCCAAGTTCGACATCTTGGAGCAGGCCCGACAGGTTGAGAGCGAGACTTCCAAGGTCGCCGTCTCTCAGCTTCTGTCAGCCACTGTTCTTGTCAATGGCCTGCCAAACCCCGTGGTCCTGGCGGTCTGCGAAGGGTATGTTTAGTAGCCCTTGATTGTGTTTCTTTTCATTGCTGACCCGTCATTTAGTATTCCTTCCATCTTTGTGCTGCGCGTCTCAGACCAAAACACTCTGTCCCACGTTCAGACCGTCTCTCTCCCGGGCAACCCCCTTCATGTGGCCCCAATCTCGAGCGACGGTACCCTGAACACCATCCTGGTGGCTGTCGACCCGGCAGAGTCGAGTACCATCGGTATCGTGTCTTACAAGTGGACCGGTGCTGCCTTTTCAACAACACAAGACTTCACCCCTCAAGACGCGAGCTTGAGCGAGAGTGAGTTCGACTTGACAAATGAGCAAGTGCGCAAGCTTTTGTACAACATCGGAGATCTGCGCAAAAAAGGAGACGACGAGCAAGGAGAAGGTGAAGAGGGAGAGCAAGTGGAGCAGACACAGGAAGCATCGTAGACACCGCAGGCAGCAGGCAATAAATCATTCAAACTCAAACACACTTATCAAATCGATTCAACGGATAATCCTCTATGACCGTGAACGCCTTTCCCACCAAGTCTCGATGTCCGTCGAGCATAGAAGCCAAGTGATGTTTTTAACACGCAATCGCTGGACCAGATATCCCTGTTACTGCTGGCCCATCGGAAACCAGCCTTCATTCTCGACGAACCGACTCAGCGCGTCTAGACGAGGCACCCGACCAGCAGCCGCCTTCCACAGGCAGCCTCCGAACGGCGCGCCTCTCTTTATCATGTCCATGCAACCGTTTCCATCCATTCGTGACAGGGAAAATATGCATTTCCGTTCGATTGAACAGATGAGAAAGAACTGCCTCGATCCACGCCCCCCCACACGCCAGAGATGCTCGTAATGCCAAATATCATCAGTAATCAACGTCATTTACTGGGAAGCGCACTGCACGCGCTCGGCTCCCGGGTGGCCATCCTCGTCATCCTCGTCCATCGAGCCAGCGCCGCCAAAGACCTTAGCTTGCGCGCTGTTGTCGAGATCCTCGAGGTCGGCAGGCTCGGACATGGCCTCGGGCGGGGGCACAGTCTGCAGAGACGGGGCGGGCAGCAGCTTCTGGAGAGCCTCGAAGGTGGCCGGGTCATCTGTCCAGTTCTTCTCGGGGAACTTGACGCTGAACTGAATGTAGAGGTTGCCGAAGTCGTGGTGTCTGGGGGAAGGCATACCCTGGCCGCGGACCATCTTCACGGCATCTGGGAAGGTTAGTAGGCGCTATAAACAGGAGAATCAACTTGGAACTTACCAGGAGCAATTGCTTCACCGGGCAGGATTTCGATGCTGAGCCACCTCTCGTCGAGGTGCTCGATGTAGATAGTTCCACCAGCCAGAGCAGTTACGAGCTCGATCTCGCACTGGTACAGAAGGTCATCCTCTTTGCGGGTGAAGCGGGGGTGGGGCTTCTGCTCGATCTCGAAAACGACGTCACCGGCCTGGATGCCGGGGGCCTGGTCACCCTCACCGCGGAACTCGACCTTGGTGCCGCTCCTAACGCCGCGGTCGACGTGAACGTGGAGAACTTTGCGGTCGACGATGGTCTTCTTGCCGTTGCACTGCTTGCAGCGGTCCTTGTCCTTGATGGTCTCTCCCTCACCATTGCAGTCGGGGCAGACGGTCTGGAAGCGTTGGATCATGGGACCCATCTGTCTCATCATGGTCTTCATACCGTGGCCGTCGCAGCCACCGCAACGCTTGACAGCGCCTTCCTTTCCGCCGCGGCCCTCACACTTGGGGCAGATGATGGAGCGCTGCAGAGCCAGCTTGGAGATCTTGCCACGGTAGACGTCCTCGAGAGAAACCTTGTGGGTGTGGTGGATCGTACGGGCCTTGGGAGGTCCGCGGTTGGGCATACCGCCGCCGCCGAACATGCCGCCCAGGCCGCCGCCGAAGCTACCACCGCCAAAGAACTGAGCGAACAGGTCCTCGGCAGCCATGCCACCACCGCCGCCAGCACCACCCTCGAGACCGGCCTCACCATATTGGTCGTAGATTTGACGCTTCTGGGAATCGGAAAGGATTTCGTAGGCGGCAGAGACCTCCTTGAACTTCTCTTCGGCATCGGGGTTGTGGGCGTTCTTGTCTGTTTGCAAACCGTCAGCAAGCTCGCGAGGATGTGAAGCATCTCGATGTGCTTACCAGGGTGGTACTTCAGAGCGTTGACCTTGTACGCCTTCTTCAGCTCGACCTCCGATGCTGTCGGCGCAACCTAGTGATTTCGTTAATAACTCGATGCGCCCATTCGATTAAATTTGTGGTGTTGACATACGCCGAGGGTGTCGTAGAGCTTCGTTTCCTTGACCATTTTGTATGTAGGTACAGTAATCTCTTATCTAAAACCTTGGCGCTGGGATCGGATTTGTGAATAAGGGTCCTTCTGAGGGGCCTGCGTCAGAACCTGTCAGCAAAATGAATCACGAAGGTTGTGTAACTTTCGTGGCCTTTTCTTCGCCGTCTCTCCGACTACATAGGTCGTTGGAGAGTGCAGGAGCGCGGAGGGCGTCTCGAGGCTGAGTACGGCCAACAGACGTAAGGAAAGAGTAGGCGGGTTGGCCAACGAGAAAAGAAAGCCCGCCACCTCTTGCCTCGCGCGTGCGACGAGCCAACGGAATCGCAAAAACGTACCTTGTGAAATTGCGGAACAAATACGTCTGCGCAACTGGGTATCTGGTAAACTGGAAAGGAGATGTTGCAGCGAGAAGAAAAGATGAGGAAGATCGAGGAGGTCTTAGCCAGGCTGGGGGCAAGGCAATTATTGATGCAATTCGTGGCGGGGAGGGAATAGGGTGGAAATCTACCTGGGCTGAATGGACCTGACGGCGCTAGTGACAGGACATTGGATTTTTCAAAATAAAGGGAGAAAGCAGGCTGCAAGTGCGGGTCGCCTTGCGCATTTCCCGCGCCCAAAAGGCCCCAATCTGAATCCCATGGAAAGGTGTAGAATGTTTTTGAGCCACCGTGGCGGTGCTGATGATGCAATACCTGCACCGTCCTGCCAGATCCGGTCCGAGGGGTCCAAGGACCCTGATCCGCTTGCTCCAGAAATTTGTTGGAAGACCTTGGGCCGCCAGTCTGGGCAGGCAACGACCCGGCATTCCAGGCCTCCAGGGGTGTCCTTCAGCGCAATTGCGCGCAATCCCATCCCCTCCTCCAGCCCGAATTGCTTCCCTGTCCCTATTCCTGTCCCATCCTGGAGAGGTACCTCGCTACCAATTTTCTGTCAAACTCTTTCCCAGGTTCCCCACCATCCGACAGTCGTCTTAGCTAAGCGGAGCCTGGATTTCTCATCCGTCATCGTTACCCACTTGTACTATCACCACGGAATCGACTCCTATCGGCGATAGGTTCAGCACACCCAAGATGCCGAGCCACCAATTATGAGAATACCGATCTTGTAAGGTACTTACGGATACTTCACAAACGGACGGTTATTAGTAGCCCCAACGGCAACCGAAATAACAGTCAGACTTACCGAGCCCTCCGGCCAGCACGTTTGCTTTTCAATGGGTCGTAGGTAGGACAAACTGCCAAGCGAATACGTGCCTTCGCGTTCGTGTTTCAACCCAGCTTAGCAGATGTCTGAAGGGACAGCCCGAAACCGCTGCAAGGCAATGACGGTACCCCCACGAGATCGGTCCAAATTGTTGGACCCTTCTTTGACCTTTCCGTACAATGGTTCTTTGGCCATATACACACAGGACTTCTCCCTTCCTTCGATCACCCACAATAGCAGCAATGGCGGTTGGGCTTCGGGGGTGCCACCTCGCCTTGCTATTATCTTTGATCCGGTAGTATTGTGCGATCTAATGGGCAGCGGCAGGCGGCGTCTATCTTGCAGTAATCATGCAGCTGTCGTCCGAGAGACGGAAGGATTCTCCCAACATCAACCAGGAATCGCCGTGTCAAATGCGGTCAGTGCTGAAAGGGCCTGCGAGAATGCCATGTTGGCAATTTCTGTTAGGTTCGAGCCTTGCAGGCTTGAGTAAGGTGGCTGACTATGTCATCCCTGGCTGCATCCATGGGCAGGCCTTGAAGCAGACTCATGGCCAGCCATACCCTCCAACTAGCAGCTCATGATGGATCGCTTCCGGGGAAGTTGGAATTTTCTCAAGAATTTGATGAGCATCTCTTAGGAAGACAACTCAAAGAGTCAAACACACCCTACCTTAAGATTCATCGATGTAACAGCAACACGATCCCATATCGTACCTCGAACTCGTTTGTTAGTATCCATTAATGAAACTTTTTTTTTCCAATCTCATCCATAACATTTCACATCCAGTGGCGTACGTATGTATGCTTCACTCTCTCACTTCTTTGTGTAGAAAATTGAGATTTATGAACTGATGTTGGATTGCGATGAGACCGCCTTTTTCGACTATGCTCAAAACCCCATACCTGCTGCTATCCGTGGGTCATTCGTGAGATTCATGCCTCCCCAGGGCAAGGTATCCGCTAACTTCAGTACTCTTACGGTGTAGACCTGCCGAATGTAAATTAGAGGCAAAAGATTCGGGTGAATGAACCCATAGTCATAATAGTCGTGATAGGAAGCACAGTCGAATCGAGCATCTCCGCCTGAGCTCCAACAGCCATCCAATCAAGTGCAACCAATTTGAATGACAGCGGTATCGCCAGGTTGAAGCTCCCCCGCGGCGGGCGGGTCTTAGTCCGGGGAACACTTCTACATTCCCAAGTGTCCCTGGACTTCCGTAACGAAATTTTCTCGTTCGGCTTTCCCGGTGACTGAAAGAGTATCTCAAAAATTTGGAAAAGAAAAGATTAGGTCTCAGATCTTAATTGAGCACGACAAATCTCTTATCAACGACAGACGAAGTGTATTGGCTGAGCTGTGCGCCTTCCGAAGGGGGCGTTTGGTCCCCTCGGAGAAGCATCATTCGGCACGCAGGCGTCTCGTGTGAAGGTGACGGCATGGGCCCGTTCGGGGGCATGCGGGTATGAGCCGTCCAAACTCTGGATTCGACAGTGGCATGATTTAGAAATACCATCATTAGCTCACCTGCCATCGTGAATGTAAACCGCTGCTCTTCATCAATTTCAAGTCGAGAACTCAACGTCATCTTTCACTCTTTGACTAACATGGATACCACCATAGACTTCAGCCCCTACCGTGCCGATGGCAAGCTTGTGCGTGAGACTCACCCTTTCCGTGTTGTATGGTATTAAGAAAACGACAGTACGGGTTCGTCTGCGTCGTGACCGGTGCTGCCCAGCCGGTTGGGCAGGCCATCATCGAGGAGTTGGCAGGTAAGTGATCTGACTATCAAATCGTGAAGACTAGCTTAAGGCAAGGGTAGCCCACGGCGCCGCCTCCATATACGGTACGATATTGTCTCTCAACTCATAAGCCAGATGAACATCGCACTCACATACCGCAGCATGCGACAAGGCGGCCAGCGATGAGGGCTTCAAGCCTCTGATCGACAAGGTACAAGCCGAACATCCCAATACGAATGTCATCCCGTATCCTTTCAATGTAGCCAAGGAAGAGGAGACACTCGTCCTCATCGATGAGCTGCTCAATCAATTCGGTCGTCTCGACGTCTGGGTGTCGTCCGCCGGATTACTGGGCCCGGCGTCCATTGCCGAGACGACGTCGGCGGACTTGCAGCGGTGTTTCGAGGCGCACTCGATGGCGCCCTTCTTTGCTCTCAAGTACGCGCCGCCTGCCATGGCCAAACTCACGGGAAAGCAGTCGTACCCGAACGCGGCGCCCAAGACGCAGAAGTACGGCAGCATCATAGTCATTAGCAGCGTCGCGTCGACGTACGGCGGGTGCTGGGGGCCGAGCTATGTGATGTCTAGCCATGCGGCTCTCGGTGTCGTCAAGGCTGGCGTAGCAGTTCTCAAGGGGACTGGTGTGAGAATCAACTGCATCTCGCCGGGCCAGGTCGACATTGGCCTTGATCTGAACGGGGTAGGTACACCGGCGTGAGAAACGGTTGAAACTTGACAAGCTGATGGCGTTCCAGATTGACATGAAGGGTATGAACTCTCAGTTTCCTCCGGCCAGTCTGCAAGGTCCAGAGGTAAGGTCTCTCATGGGCTCAACCACAGCATTGACTGAAGATATAAAAAGGCAACCAAGGCAACCATCGGCCTCGAAAGACCGGGCAGCCCGCAAGAAGTGGCCCGAGTAGCAGGCTTCCTCGCGTCTGGCTTCAGCTCCTATATCACGGGAGCGAACCTGGTCGTTGACGGCGGCGCGTCGTAAGTGTCCCCCCAGCACGAGGGGCACCTCATGATCCCGACATTAGCTCATCGATTGCTGGAATTAGTGCCATGAACCCGCTTACGATTCCCATCGGCAAAGCCCACCCGTAAGCCTCCAATGTAGGAAAGTCAGGAGGGACATAGGGCTGCGGGGTACTAGGTAGCTGCGAAAGCGCCGAGCACGTCTAGTTGGTCATACGGTGGGAAACCCATCCAATACCGGATCGTTTGCTGGGGTGGTTGGCTGCCCAAGAAGGCAGGACGTCTTGAAGCCGCAACGGGCATCTGCGGTGGTTGGTAACTGAAATTGATTGCATCGCTGTGTTGTAGGTTCCAAAATTGATAGCAAACGAAGATTGATTTGGTCCAACGCAAACGGATGTCGGAGACGGCCGCGGGGTACAAGCCCCATAAATGGAACATTCCAGCGAGCACTTTCAGAAGGCGTGTCGTCAAAGTTACCTCCCAGTACACGCTAACAGCAATACCCTTGGCCCGAACATCAGCCAAATACACGCTGTGACGAACGCTGGGTCTTAGATCATCTACAACCCTCACTTATCTCATCCCCACACCTTCTGCAACCTCGCTCTTCTCTTCTCTTCTCTTCCTTTCTCTTCTTTCTCTTTCCCGAGTTTCACCATGTCGTTCTCTCCCGAGGTTCTCGATATTTCCAACCAGTCTCAGACTGATGAGACGGCCAAGAAGTACGGCCTGACGTCCGTCGAAGTGAAGGAGCTCGAGAAGAGGGCAACCGCAGCAAAGGCCACGGCTTACTGCCCGTACAGCAAGTTCCGTGTGGGAGCTACCCTCCTCTCGAACGACGGGAAGTACACGGATGGAGCCAATGTCGAAAATGCCTCGTACCCCGTTGGTACTTGTGCCGAGAGAGTAGCTTTTGGCAAGGCCATCACTGAGGGCATCCGGGGCTTCAAGGCTGTTGCTGTTGCCACTGACATCGAAGCCACCTGCAGCCCATGCGGCATGTGCAGGCAGTTGTGAGTCCCCTCAAACCCCCAGTCCCGGTAACCCTCGGAATGCGGCAGAAGTCAACGGCAGACTGACGACATGAGCAAACAGTATCCGAGAGTTTGTGGATCTGGAGACCCCCATTCTCATGTTCAACAAGGATGGCAAGTACGTCGTCATGAGACTACAGCAGGTACGTTTGACCTACCTGGAACGGGGGAGATCCCGAGAGAATCTTGACGCTGACCTGATGGACAGCTTCTGCCGCTCTCATTCGGCCCTGAGACTCTCCCGCCTCCGGACGTGCTGGAGAGAAGCCGGGCTGGCGGAGCTTAGATGAAGCTCCGGCTTCGGGTGGAGGGGAACCTGAAGTCGACATGGTTGGCATAGGCTGTCTACCAAATACGACATGCAGGGTCGGCGTAACGATGAGCTAATCAACTGGTGTATGCGGGTTTGCGTCATGAGTTGGAGTTGAGGTGAAATTGTTGTTTGTGACGGGTGGGATGAAGAGCGATGGTAATGATGTACTGGGTGGGGAAATAAGACCCGACATTTAAGGTCAGACAAAGTTTGATCGTACTAATAGTCGTCAAACAATAAAAAACTGTTTCAACCAACTGAAAGATTTGCAGCTTGAGATGAATATCAACAGGCTTGTTAGCAACAATGACGGCATCCCGGAGATAGCGGGCAGGGTTCACATTGAGCAGCGTGGTTGTTAGACTAAGCATCTTGACTTGGCACAGTTTGCGGCCTTGATCTTTCACATAGCGCTCTCCGTATAATCATTTGGTCGGTGAAAGATCAACTGCCGAGGAGGAGCATGGGTTATTCTCACACTCAGACCTGTGGTCCCCAAGACATAACACCTTGCTCATGATAGAAGAGTTCCTGGCTCGATCTCGAACGAAGCAATAACCTAGAGGTTCTCTTTTGCCTGGCATGTTCGAAAGTTTCAGACCAATACTCTGGGCCCGAGATATAAGGCTTGTCGATAACACGGCTAATAGCATATGACGTTACTCGCGGGAGGAAACTGCTGGTATGAAACGACACAAATGGTTCAGCTGTACCGGTCTGTGATATGCAAAACAAACGTCAGCATAATCGCGGTATGTCACCGTATCTATCGTCACTCGCCCAAGCATAAGCTGGAGCACCATCCTGCTAGTTTGCAGTTCACGAAATCTCCAAGTTCCCTCCCAACTTCCTCAGCTTTATCACAAGCAGTTGCCGAGTCTTGGCCATGGTTATCGGTCATGCGGCGCCGCCTTCTCGCTTAGAATGTCGGCGGTTGATCATTTGTGGCATATTGCCGTAGACGGGAAGAACGCCGTTCTATGACTGTATGGAGCCGCAGGTAGATTTATGCGTTACCCAACCAACTCTCAATGATATAGGCAAATCATAAAGTCCTTGTTTCTTGCAGCGTCACGAGGAAAGATATCTATATTCAACAGGTGGGTTGAAGTGGTTGTTGTTTGCAGGACCAAGTAAGACTGAATACTTCCCCTTCATCTGGTATGAAAAGTCGCACACAGGGCTATGAGTTCGAGATGCTAACCAGAGAGATCTATAAACTCTCCACGGCTTTAGTCTGCTAGCTTATTGGGACCGCCATTTGAAATGCAACCAGGGTACCGGTCCTATGGACTCAGGTGAACCTCGCCGTTAAATAGGCATTTGCTCATCAAACATCATCGAACTCAAGCTACAGTGGCTCGCTCATGCCCAGCACTACTTTATTTCTTACTACATGAAGAGCCCAGGCTGTTCTCGCTTTCATTCCCTTGAATCGGTACCCTTTACATACTCGAGATGGCTTGTTTGGTAGATGCCGCGGAAAGGCGATCCAGACCTCCGCGTACATCCAGACCTCCGCGTACATCGATACCGGCAGCCGGGAAGACTCTCTGGCTATTTATAAATTGTATGAAATATCCAAAATCCATAACAGTGACCGTGGGTATGACTGGCAGGAATGTTCACAAAATGGCTACGGAAATGTCCCCTTGCACCGGTTCAAGCATGACAGCTCGCCAACGTCAGAAACCTACACTCTCGTCGCAATTACTCTTCCGTTATAACGGCTACAGCCTGAACACGCTTCAATCCAGGATGAGAGCCAATGTGATCGCACACCGTGGCCACTGAGTCTGCATCGTAGTTGACTTGACTGGCAACACTAAGCAGACCTCGTCTTGCGTACAATAGGTACACCGTTTCCATAATGTAAATGCTAGAAGACGAAACGAAGCCGCTGCTCCAAGCCTTTGACTTAATATTTACTCCAGTCTGTTCTTCGTTGACAGGAGCGGCTGTCGCCACTGCCTTCGTCGCAGCTGTCGACAGGCCTTTCAACTTTGTTCTCTGCATGTGCCTCAGAGTTCCTCCGTCGCAAGGCAGCGCCTCAGAGTTCCTTAAAGCCGTCGAAGATTTCAAGAGAAAACGGTAAGTTGCTTTGCTTAGTTGCGATTTATCGTCAACCCATAACCTCACAGTTGGATATATGTTCCTCGGACTGGATGTAAGTGAGCATGTAAGCCCAGCTTCTGACCTCGGGATCTTTTCCGCGTCCCACGCCCCTCCCCCTGCTCGAGCAGTGTCCCGTTAGTTGCATATCCGCTGTCCGGTCATCCCAAAACTGCGTCCCGCTTCCTTGCAACCCTAACGAACTGCCCAAAACGAAACGAAACAGGAAAAGGGGGGTCCTCCACGGCCATCGGACGGAAGGGGGGGCCACAGAGAGAGAGAGAAGGGATGGGGGAGAGAGAGAGAGGGCGGGAGGGAAGAAAAAAAATAATCGGGTGGGATTTGTGAAACTTTTTCCTTCTTCCCCTTCTCTCCACCCATACGAAACCTCCATCGTACTTTTTCTGCATCCAAGGAAGAACGGAATTTGGACACATTTCGAGTTCGCACGCAAGTGTCCTCTTGATGCAAACTCCTGATTACCAACCTCTACATCGTTGTGGCTTGCTGAGCACGGCGATGAGAGAGCTTCAGTTCCCTCGTCTGGCGGGGTAAAAAGGTAATACAGTCCGAGTCGATCCCCCACCAATTTTTTTTCCCCTTCGGCGTTTGTGTTGAGCGAGGGGAGGGGCCTTGCTGCTGCCTGAGGGTTGAGCAGGAAGGCCCCTCCAACTCACGGACCACGCCGAAAGACAGGGAGATGCCCTTATAGTCCGGGAAATCTTCGCTCTTTTCGCCTTCGGGCATTTGGTCAATTTGAAACGATACAGAGAAGATGTAAGTACCAACCAGAGGTCGCATGTTCGAGTCTTGGTGCAGTCACTAATTTCCTCGCAGTAGCATGGCCCCTGCACTAAGGATGACACGCTCAATCAAAGAGAAGCTACCAATTTTTTTTCGTCTTTTTTTGCATGCTGTTTTGATGTGCCACGATGATTATAATAAGTGCGATTCTATCTTCCAACGCGACGATAGGCGCAGTGTCTGGAGTGTTTAAAACCAGACTTGGGACGGTTGCTTGCACCCAGCCATATGGGAGTGGCAGGTCGAACATCAGTCCGACAGCACATCACATCCCACATGCCATGGCCCGCCCACGTGGCGCTTTCGCCGCAGCTCAACCTCTCACCTCCTCTGAGGTGGTCTTCTTCTCCAGTCTGCTGCCCCATGGGCTCGTTGGCTAGCTTCAGGCGTCACGATAAGGGCGGCCCTAGCCTTGTTTGACACAATAGCCCCCCCGTTGTCTTAATGCACGTCGTCTGAATGGACTGGCCAGTTGCGAGCCTGTATGGTGGAACAAAACGAGGCCAATTCTCCATCTCGGCTGGAAGAGAGTCGCCCTGTCGTTCCCGAGTATCCAGCTTCGTGCATGTTCACCCCGCTTCCTCCGCCCTGAACTCGTGGGAGCGGCACAGAACCGGACTTGCGGATGACTTCACGGCGAAAGAGAGACGCGGCAAGAATATTTAAAAAGCAGATTCATCATGACGAGGCCCCTACGTACAGAGAGACTAGGAAACTACTGAAGGTCAAAAACTAGAGCCCTGCCAAATGATTCTTTTAGGTACCAGTCCGCCGCACCTTCGTGGTATTAAGGTGCCAAAAGACTCATGAGCCTTCCACATGCAAGCCGGTTTTCAATCCCACCCGTGAGCCGGGGCGCGGCAAACACCCGTCAACCAAGAAGCTGGCCACGCCCTGTGACTCGTGAGGTAGCCTTCCGTGATCTATCAACAAACAAAAGTCCTGATGAATCTCGAGTGAACGCCCCCAAATGGTGTGCCAGATCCGCGCGTGATCGATCTGCAGACCCGAAGGGCTTTTGAGCAAAAGAGAGAAGTCGTAACCCGTGAAAGCGTAACTTAGATGAGGTCGGCAACGTTCATGGGCATCTCCTCAATCTGGGTGCTGTAGAACTGCTCAATCTCTCTCATCATGCGAACATCCTCGGCAGTAACGAAGTTGATGGCAACACCCTTACGACCGAAACGACCACCACGACCGATGCGGTGGATGTAGTTCTCGCGGTTGGCGGGAAGGTCGTAGTTGATGACCAGGGAAACCTGCTGGACGTCGATACCACGGGCCAGTAGGTCAGTGGCGATCAGGACACGAGAAGAACCGGAACGGAACTCCTTCATAATCAGGTCACGCTGAGCCTGGTCCATGTCACCGTGCATGGCGGAGACAGTGAAGTCACGGGCGGTGAGCTTGTCGGTAAGCCAGTCGACCTTCCTGCGGGTGTTGCAGAAGATGACGGCCTGGGTGATGGTGACGGTCTCGTACAAGTCGGAAAGGGTGTCGAGCTTCCACTCCTCCTTCTCGACGGCAATGTAGAACTGCTTGATACCCTCAAGGGTAAGCTCGTCCTTCTTGACCAGAATGCGGACGGGGTCGCGCATGAACTTGGTGGTGACCTCAAGGACGTCCTGGGGCATGGTGGCGGACAGAAGAACGACCTGGGTGCTCTGGGGAAGGAGCTGGAAGATGTCGTAGATCTGCTCGGTGAAACCACGCTGGAATGGCATGTTAGCACGGAAAATGTTCAGGTTCGCAAGGATTTGGACATACAGAAAGCATCTCGTCGGCCTCGTCTAGGACGAACATCTTCATGCCGTCGGTCTTGAGGAAGCGGCGCTGGATCATGTCGTGGACACGGCCGGGGGTACCGACAACGACCTGGGGACCGTCCTGCAGGGCCTTCATGTCGTCGCGAACGCTGGTGCCACCAATGCAGGCGTGGCACTCAATGTTCATGAAGTCGCCGATGGCAACGACGACCTTCTGGATCTGCTGGGCAAGCTCACGGGTGGGGGCGAGGATGAGGGCCTGGCACTGCTTGACGTTGGTGTCGATCTTCTGGAGGACAGAGATGGAGAACGTGGCAGTCTTGCCAGTACCGGACTGAGCCTGGGCAATGACATCGTGACCTGGGTAGAGAGTGAGCGGGATTTACGGCGCGAGTATCAGAGAAGGTGACGAACCCTTGATGACGGGCATGATGGCACGCTGCTGGATGGCAGAGGGACGCTCGAAACCGTAGGCGTAGACACCTGTAGAGGCGATGTCAGCAAAATGTATTCGGGTGAGGGCATTTTGGCCCAAATTTTCGGGCGCGAAAATACATACCACGGAGGAGCTCCGACTTCAGATCCATGTCATCGAAGGAGTCAACGGTCTCATCGTAGTTGGACTCGATCTGGCCTGTGAGGAAGAGTGTTGTTAGCCACCTGATGTCTTTTGGAATGCGCCAGGCAGGGGCGAGAGGAGGGGAAGAAGCGGTCGGTCGGCCGGTGGACAAGCCTCGTATCTGGAGAGAATCCTCGCAAAATAATCGCGGAGGACTTCAAAAGCATCGCATCACTTACCCTCAGGCACGTCCTCAAGACCCTTGTCAGCCATGATTGCGGTGTTGTTTTGGGGGGAAAAATCTAGATCACAAGCACTGCTTGAGATCTAGAAATATCGTCGCGAAGGTGGGGTTAGGCGAGGGGCTGGAAAATTCGCAAACGTCTCGAAAGGACCGTTTTGCGAGTGTGTGGACGAATGGAAGTCTAAGAATTAAAATTCTCTTCTAGATTAGATGCTCTTGACGATAGGCAAGAGCAAAACTGAATCTAGGAATAAAGTGCGTTGGTTGTTCGTGGGGTGACGGTGCACGTTGATTGTTCGGTGGGAGGTGAAGTTTTTATCAGCGAGCTCAGATTTCTTGACCACGTAAAAAAATTTCCTGGCGGCGGGCGGCCCCTCGCCTTATGCGGTAAGCGAGGTAATCGGAGAAAGCAGGCTGGTGATTAGGGCACACCCACCGTAGTGAATGAGCTACCACTGGCTGGGGGCCGTCGGTTTAGGCGCCGTGGTCGCTGCGAGCGCTGGGGATAGCACGCGCAACGGCAACCTACCCATGGAAGGTGGCACTCGAGTCTGACTTTTTCCCGGACGCAAAGTGGCGGGATGCCTGCCAAAAATTTCATCTAGGCATCTTCATGCATTAATTGAGTCAACAGAAGACTCTATCGAAGTGTCTGCCCGCCACTCGTACCACTTGCGCCTGCGCCTGCCAACCGAGTGACATGATTCCCGTTGCAGGGTTTGCAGGTCTCTGTCTCCTTTGTCTTTGACTTTCGACTCTCGATTTCTTCAGTTGGTTTGCATGCGGTTGGGTTCTCCAACGCCAAATCCCGCCGCAGACTTACCTGTTTAGTTTACCTTAGCAGCTGGCACATGTCATCGTCCAGTTGGGTTGATGGTAAACATGGCCAACGACACCTTCGCGCCACTCCAGGGTTCTCAATCCAATGGCAGGATCACTGGTCACGCTGACACCAACGGTCATGGCTATGACTCAAAACCTCTCGAAGATGCGGTCATGTCGAATGAGTCAATTCCAACTCATCCTTTGGGAGTGAAACCGCTGGGCAACCAATATCTGTCGGACCGTCCGAACGCTCGGAACCACGCCGGAGTTCTCAAATTTTTGCCCGATGAGGCCCTCATGGTCTTGCTAGAGTATCTCGACCAGACTACCCTGAGAAAACTCGGATACACTAGCAAATTCCTGTATGCTTTCTGTCAATCTGACGATCTATGGAAAGCTCTATTTCTCGAGTAAGTTCTGGCTGTCATTGTTCCAACAAATTTACGGCGGGCGTGTAAGCCAAGCGGCCACCCATCAATACGAGTAGACTTTCGACCAGAAGGTACCACTGGCTTCAACACCCCTGTGGTTTTCGACATGACTACACCGCGTAAGATTGCGGCAGCCTTGGTCCATGACTCTACGGTTCTAGGCCTCCTCAGCTAACAGCCGGTTAGGTCACATAACTCAGGCAGGTTCAAGGGCAAATGGCAAGGAACCTGGAGATCAACCCAACTTGAGCTATCACCCGAGAACCGATGTAAGATCGATTGTAGCAACGTCTTCTCTGACGTCCTGCACCGACCCTTCGTGTGCAGTCATGTGGATCTCTCGCAGTTCACATCAAAAATTCCGACGAGGAACCAGATCCAGCGAATGGAGACTTTGTCTTATGAGGAATTCGCCGACAAGTGGACAGAAGTTCCATTCATCCTGACCAACTACATTCAGTCATGGCCTGTCTATCATGACTGGAACCTAAATGTCATCTTAGAACGCTACAAGGACGTGGAATTCCGAGCTGAGGCCGTCGACTGGCCATTCTCGACGTATCATGATTACATGAAAAACAGCAACGACGAAAGCCCCCTGTATCTTTTCGACAAGAGATTTGCCGAGAAGATGGGGATCAAGGTCGGAAAGGAAGAGGGAGCGGCGTATTGGAAGCCGGAATGCTTTGGACCTGATCTCTTCGAGCTCCTCGGCAAGGAGCGACCGGCCCATCGATGGCTCATTATCGGACCCGAACGAAGCGGATCAACCTTCCACAAGGACCCCAATGGCACGAGTGCATGGAACGCGGTCGTCCAGGGCACCAAGTACTGGATCATGTTTCCGCCATCGGCCCAGGTTCCGGGAGTCTACGTTTCGAGTGACAGCAGTGAGGTGACGAGCCCGTTGAGCATCGCGGAGTGGCTGCTTGAGTTTCATGCGGAGGCGCGACAGCTGCCTGACTGCATCGAGGGTATCTGTAGAGAGGGCGAGATCTTACATGTACCCAGCGGATGGTGGCATCTGGTGGTCAACTTGGAGAACGGCATCGCGTTGACGCAGAATTTTGTGCCCAAGTCAAACTCCCTCTACCATCTCACCGAGGTTCTGGGCTTCTTGAGGGACAAGGCAGACCAAGTCACGGGCTTCAAGCAGGAGGTGACCGATCCATACGCGCTCTTCGTCGAGCGGCTGCAAAAGGAACACCCGGACATCCTCGAGGAGGCCTTGCAGAAGCTCGAGAAGAGGAGCAGCCAGAAGAAGAGAAAATGGGAAGAGGCGGTTGGTGGAGGTGACACCAAAGCGAACAACGGAGGCGGCTTCAGCTTCGGGTTCGGTGGAGACTTGGATGATGATGATGAGATACCATGAGACGTTAGACAGCGCAACTGCATTCTGTATGCTCAAAGCCTTGCAACTATGGAATGATGTAGCATAATACCATTAGAGAGGAAACGTGGAAGAAACCTCTCAAGTTTTCGATGCAAAAAAAAAGTCAGAACCTACAACTTCGTAAGTTGAAAGGACGCAGTCACCCCCTGGAAGCCGATCCAGTGGTGAGAGACGCATTCTAAGCAACCGGTACGTTGTTTACAGCTCTTGCTACTGGCTTCCTGAATTAGCCAAGTGGATTTTGGGTGCTCGATCGCTCATTGATGGTACCCTGACACCAAGACACATGTAAGATCAGAGGCTGAGGAAGAAGTGAGCTGAGATGGGACGAAGTTTGCCCAACCAGAAGGTCAGATGGCGTCACCACCACAGAAATCATCATTTAGTGCAGCCTGTGGAACATGAAATACCGTGGGTACTCATGTTGTGTTATGGGATAAAGGACGCACAATGACTGACCAGGGGCACGGCTGAAAGGAGTTCTTATCCCGCCCAACGGATTCTCAATGAAGCCCAGCAGCTTATCACTGGCAACCCTAGGTTTGGGAGTGTAAACCAGCCAGAAAAAGGCACGTTGGTATTTTTATACATGGTGCCTGACAATGTTTCTCATTGGCCCCCAACATCAACAATTACCAGATCCATGATGACTTCGCTTTTCTCACAGAAACATGACAGTTGATGGTCTCTCTCTGCCATGACAGCCCGGGAAAGGAGACTCAAGCCAACCTGGCCCAAGCCAGGCTAAATGTCCCTTTTTAATGAACCAGTGATGAGTTGAGAGGGGGCCACCGCTGAGGATGGAGAGACCCCACGCTCCAACACTGATCGCTGACTGGACAGCTCCCCTCTCCCTGGGCATCGGATTGGATATCTCTCTGGAGGCGGTAAGGTACGTCCCTCCTGGGCTTTGATTCCATTTCACTGACACCGGGTCCCCAGTACCCCGGCCCAGGGAGCTGTTGGCGACCTCTGACCTGAAGGTAAGGTATGGTGCTATTACTGGCGCCGCCGCATCATCCCTTCCACACCCAACTGAAGCCATTTTTGAGTAGCGGTACTTGTTCCGCCAGCAAAAGCCACGCGGAGGCCCAAGTACAAGTCCGTACCTCGCAATACCTAGTAGCAGTGACCTCCCGTCTCCTCAGCAAAGCAACGAGAGGTTCCCCGTTCCCCCCAGCTGGTCCCAGTCATCAGCTGAAGGGGGAATGCACCTGGTCGCCGCGTTTCCTCCAACATCCATACCATCATCTCCCGTCCCCCCTCACGCGCGTCTGGCATCTCGCCTTCCAACGGCCAGCAGCGACAAAGCAAACCAACGGGTAACGAAATCACAAACACAAGAAAGGCACAAACCGTGGCCTGCTTTGTGACGGACACATTGTCCATCTCATTCAACCCGACCAGGAGCTCGAGACAATCCCTCCTCTGCCCCTGGCTCCGAAACCATGTGACGGAACCATCGAGTCCCGCCCACCGTCTTCGCTCCCCGTCCCGTCCCATCGCCATCCCGTTCGAACTTCGCTTTCCCTCGATTCACCTTCGAACGCACCCAGATACCAACCTATTGCGCATTCTCTCATCAGTAATCTCGACGTTGCTCCTGCACACGCAACCCCTCCTCGCTCGATCCTCGTACTCCGCGATACACGAAAGCTGACATACTGCGTCACGCCAACGCTCAGCCCTGCCTGCCTCTGCCACTGCCTGCCCGCCGCCTGCCTTACATAGTAATTGCTCCACCCCCAGACCGAAGACATCCTATAGACTCGCCGCCTCGCTACCGGCCCCAAACTATACATACGCATACAATACATATTCTTTACCGCATCTTTACTGCCTGCTTGCCCTTCGAGGGCTGCGTCTCGGTCCTAAACCGCGCAATCATGGTTTCCGACGAGCATTACGAGATCTGTCTCCCCATCCTACAGGATGCCACTCTCGAGGACGAAGACAAGACGGACAAGCTTGAGGATCTTCTGCGCCTTCAAACCACCTTGTCTGGTCCCTCACTAGACAATGCGATCCTCGATGTACTATGGCGATACCGCGATGGAGGTGGAAGCTCAACCTCACCCCCTCCCATCCGCCAGACCATCCTTCGCCGGCCGTCACCCTCTCCGTGGCGCGGCAATGCCACACCTCTCTCCGGCTCTCCGCGTCTGGGCGTCAGTCCACTAGCACCTCCGGGCTTTGTTCCGTCCTTCTCGAGGACGAAATCATCAGCCGCGTCCCCCTTCTCTTCTCCGAGGCCGTCCCCGAGACTCGCCTTCGCGACGCCAGTTATACCCAACAGCCCCAACCTTAACGCCTACGAGTTCGCCAACGATAGGTCACCCTCACAGGAAACATTCGGCGACTACCAGACTGAGAACGTAGAGTGGCTTGTGGCGGACGATGCTATCAGTATCACCTCGTCTGTCGGGACTTCAAGCGGCCTTAACGCCGCCGCCCCTGAGTTCTCCTCCATGTCCTCGCAGCAAGTTGATATGTCTCCGTACGACATGCTTCGCTCGATTCTCGGCCATACGCGAACCGACGACGAGATCGAAGCCGCCCTTGCGCTTCACGGCTATGATTTGAGTGCAACCATTGCGTCTCTCATGGGAAGCCGGCCGCAAGAGAATGGCTATGCCACGCTACCCCCTGACGACTCAAAGACCTCTCTCCTTGGAAAGGCTTTGGCCGCAGAGGGACGCCCAACTACTCCTGCTGGACAGAGATCAGGGGTGATTTGCAAGTTCTACATGTCCACCGGGCAGTGTCTTAGGGCTGATTGCAGATTCAGCCATGATCTCAGCAATCACATTTGCAAGTGAGTTTATGAGTCTTGACATCTCGTTTGACTGATGGCTAACTTTGAACTAAAAGGTATTGGGTGATGGGAAATTGTTTGGCTGGCGAAACTTGCATCTTCTCTCACGACCCAGCGCATTTGTTGAACAAGCTTGCGCTGGACGGCTCTAGCACTCCGCCTATTAAGCAGGCCAACAACTTGGACTTGAACTCATTTCCAGCGCTCCCGTCTGGCACTCCTGAACAACTGGGTGGCTTTGGCGGAGGGGCGAACATTACAGTCGGTGTCACGCCGCCTCCTGGCTTAAAGCCCTTCTACCACGTCGAGAGTCCTCGGTCTAGGTCCCGTCCTGGTAGTCGGCATCAGCAAGCAAGGGAGCCAGTAGCCCCGTCACTGGACGACGCCGACGCCTTCCCTTCGTTGGGCTCTGCCGCTGCTAAGCAAGGCAAGAAGCATCACGGCAAACGCGGCGGCCACGGCCATGGTCACAAGGAAAACTTTGCACCAAGCTCTCTTGCTGAAATTGTCAAAATGTCTCCGTCCCCGAGCCAGTCCTCGCTCCGTCAAGATGCCAAGAAGCTCGGCCGAAACGGTAGTTCAACCAACATCAGGAACGGGGAGAACAGCCCTGCGGCGCAAGCAATCCCGAACCCGAAACATATCCCGTGGCTGGAAACTGGTGAGCGGGCCAATAAGGCCTATCTCAAAGCTCGACAGGAGGCCATCAAGCACGGCGGTCTCCGAAACAAGTTTCTCCAGAGGTAAGAATACGCCAGGCCACTGACAATCATCACGCTGACTTGTATAACCAGTGCTGCACAAGCTTGGAACCGTAATGATGCGAGGGCTGCGAAAGCTCTGAGTCTCCGGGGCCAGAGCGAGAACGACCTCATGAGGAAAGCCCATAGGGAGGCTGCCCGTGAGTTGTACGAAGAACGCAATAAGGGCACCGCCAATAGCTTCGAGATCTACGTCGACCTGCATGGACTTCACCCCGAAGAAGCGGTGGAGTATCTGGAGCGGGTACTGATGGAGAACGGTAAAGAGAGTAGGCCTATCTACGCCATCACTGGGACCGGACATCATAGCAAGAACGGAAAGGACAAGGTAGGCAAAGCCATCCGCAACTTTTTGAATGAGTGGAGGTACGCCTACCGCGAGTTCTCTGTTCCCGGCGACCGCAACAACATGGGAGGAATCTTGGGGGTCGATGCTCGAAGTTACGACAAGTCTCTGGCTCGTGACGGGGGAGCATCGCTTGCGGATGACAGCAAGGAAGAGGTTGATATCCTGAGTCAAGGTGTGGAGATTGGAGACGGCAAGGTCAGGCTCCTCGTTCGGGATCCTCCCAAGGGCCCCAGTGGACGGCGATGACGACCTCCTAGAAAGAAAGAAAGAAAGAAATCCCCAAATTAGAAAGAAACGAGTAGAATTGTCAGAATGACGCTTAAGAGAGTGGCTTCTCCTGTTCGTATGTTGAAGCTGTGTTGGCAGACGACGGAGCCTCCGAGCTGATGCCGCGTCCTAAAGTTCATGCAGGGAAGCAGCATCGAAAGCTTCCAGCTTGTGTGGAGCCCCCACATTGCGCACCTCGCCGGACGTCAAGGCGGATTTAGACCGGGCGGACGCTCGGTCGGCAGGCAAACCGAGCCGGATGCACAGCTGCTGCCATTTTAGGGGAGCGCGGACATTGCATCGAGCCCCCTGTATGCCAAGCGGTTGAAACCGTCCGCAGGAACGTGAGACATCATCATCATGTTTGCTCATGAAACGGGCGCTTCTCTTAACCCTCTAGGCTGCATATTGGTCAATCACTTCGGACTTTTGACGTTATTCAATCAACAGCCCACGTATTCCCATATCGCGATTCAACCTGCAATCTGACCTACCTTGGTCGCTTGAGATTACCCCATAAAGAAGTCTAAAAAGAAGGAACCCGGCAAACATCCGCCTAAACGGGACTCGCGCGTCCATCGAGAATAGAGACCTTGGCTGACACCTACCCTATCCTTCCTTACCCTGCCCGTGGCTTAGGTATCTTAGCTTACCTCATCGCGGGCGGGCGTGCAAGTCAGCTCCTCCGAACGTCATCCTCTCCCTCGAACGAAGCTCTCCTACACACCTCATCCTACATTCTCTTCCTGTCCTTCTTGGATCATTTTCATTCCGAGATGGCCACGTGAACGCCAAGCCCATCAATCGCCGAAATTCGACTCGATTACCCTCCCAGCAGAAGAAAAAAACCCCCCAGAGCCCCGCGACCCAATACATCCGGTGCCTCCGGGCGCACCACCAGACAAAAGAAACAACCCGCCGTCGACGATGCCCGCCGACTACGAGTCCGCAGCGCGGGCCCTCTCCCTCTCCCCGAACCCGTCCTCCCCCATTAACGACCGCTCCGATATCCGTCCGCCATGGTCCACCTCGCGATCCTCCCGCCGCCTCTCCAGCGCCCGCTTCGGGAACCGTAAGACGACCGCCCTCGCCGGCGTCAACCGCGCCATACAGTCTGCCGTCAAGACCGGCAACAGGTTATGGGGCATGTACCTCGGCCTCACGCCCGTCCAGCGCGTCATCGTCGCCGTCGCCCTCCTCGTCGTCAACGTCCTCGGCCTGCTCTTCCTCATCTACTCTCACGCCATCTTCAAGTGGCTGGCACCGATATCCCAGAAGTGGAGGGCCCTGCCGGGAGGGTGGCTGATCATATGGGCCTTCACGTTCCTGACGGCCTTCCCGCCCATGATTGGGTATAGTACGGCCATCTCGGTGTCCGGTTTCGTGTACGGATTCCCGCTGGGCTACCCGATCGTCGCGACGGCTACCGTGGCGGGGAGCTTGACTGCGTTTTACACGAGTAGAGGCATCTTTAGCGGATATGTGCATCGGCTCGTCGGGCAGGATCATAGATTCATCGCTCTGGGGCAGGTGTTGAGGAAAGATGGTATCATGATGTTGACGGCGGTGCGCTTCTGTCCGCTGCCGTACAGCTTATCAAACGGCTTCCTGTCCACAATCCCGTCCATTAAGCCATGGGCGTTCGCGGTTTCGACGGCGATGGCAAGGTAAGCCTCTCCCCACCGTGCAATCCTGAAGACCGCGCAATAGTGTACTGACATCCAACAGCCCCAAACTCCTCGTCCACGTCTTCATCGGCAGCCGCCTCGCCCTCATCGCCGAAAAGGGCGACGAGATGACGGCCGGCGGCAAGGCCATTAACTACATCTCCATGGTCCTCGGCGGCGTTGTCGGCCTGGCCGTCGGGTGGGTCATTTACAACCGCACCATGGCCCGCGCCGCCGAGCTGGCTCTCGAGGAGGCCGAGTCCCAGGGCGCGGTGGCCCCCGGTCGCGACCACGCGCCGGACTACTCCGATATCGAGGCCGGCCTCGTTGATCCGGAAGACGTGGCTGCGCTGATGGACGACGACGACATATCGCTGTGGGCACGGGAGGCTGTCGACGATGAAGAGGAGACGCAAGTGGAGGGCTATCACGATGACGATGATGACGATGTGAACGGTGCCAAGCGTGACGGGCCCAAGGATAAGCATGATGATGACGAGTACGACGGCGGCGCAAACGGGTACAAGGACTCGAATTGAGGCGTTGAGGGTTCTCGGCCTGATGCTGTAGACTTAGAGCTTGAATGCAAGATACGAGGCGTATCAGAAACCCGAATAAAGAGGATATACAATATTGAATTTCACGGCACGCATAGTGATGGGGTGTGTTCATGGTCGAGTATCTCATTTCTGGTCTTGTGGTATCATACGGACGAGTTCTGTCTGCTGTCCCCTGCGTCCAATCGCCCCCTTTTTACCAAGGCTTCGTCAATCTGTACATAAAACTCGTGCTATGCCACGGGGGAGCTCGGAGGGGAACAAGGTGAAAGTCAAAATCCCATCCCAACGCCTTCGCTAAAGGAAAACAAAACAAACGTATCCATCCCAGTCTCGCAATGTGTGAATAATAATGTAGTGGAAGAGAAGAAGGTTTAGGCAGGACTATTACTGCCGTCCCTGCTGGAAGTGCTGCATGAATTGGATCGCCTGCTCGATGGGGTAACCGATGAAGACGGGGCCGGTGAAGACCATCTGTGGGACGCCCCCAGGGGCGGTCTGCTTATATGCGTCCAGAGGCGGGTTGATGAAGGCCGGTTGAGGTGGGGGGGAGCTGTGAGCGGGCTGCGGCTTGACCGGTGTGGACGGCAGTTCGACGGGCGACGGATGTGATTGATCCGGATGAACAAAGGTCTGCTCGCCCGTGTTCGGGGTCGGCGAGGTGAAGCCCATAGCAGCCAGTTGGGCATGGTCGAAGGGGCATTTGCCTCCGGTCTTCGGAGCCGTTGCGTTGTCGCTCGCTCCGTTGGGCATGGATATAGGCGCCTGCGGGGATGAGGCAGGCTGGGGCGAGGAAGGCTGGGCTTCTTCGCGGGCTGCGCTCATGGCCGCCAGCTTCGTATGGTCAAAGGGGCATTTGCCCGTCTTTGCCGGCGTCTCCTCGACATCTGAGCCGGTTGGCATGAAAACAGGAGCAGGTGGTGGTGATAGCGGGGGGTGTTGATCGCCATCATCCAAGCCGGTAGGCTCATAGACCGGAACACTGATGCCCCATGGTCGGCTGGGTGACTCGCCCACCCGGACCTCTTTGAGGGGTCGGTCGAAGTGGCTCTGTCGGGCCTCCTCAGCATCCACGAGCTCTGGTTGCGACTGTTCGGCATCGTCACTAGCGGTAGCGGTAACAGCCTTTGCCCAGTTGTGAACCCTCTCGTTCGAGGCCCTGTCGATCTCTTCCTGCTCCTCCTCCGAAGACGGCAGCATGGGCTGGTGAAGCGCACTAAGCCCTTGAATCATGTTGACCAAGTTGCCGTATTTTGCGTCCAGCTTCTTGATCTGCACCTCGTTCTTCTGGTATCTCCTCACACAAACCTCGTGGCTGCGGGGGAGTTCATGTTTGTGTGTCTCGACGTAGTGTGCTATCTCCTCGGGAGAGTGCTGGTCGAGGTAGCGGATCGGGCACTTTGCTGGGGACCCGTTGGCAGCTGGCTGAGACCCGGATTCCTCAAGCATGGCGACGCAGATTGGATCGGCAGAATGGTGCGGCGTGGGGTCCTGCGACCCATTTACCGCGCTCTGCGCATCGCCCTCAGCGCCATCTCCATTTGACTTGGGTGCGGAGAAGGGACATTCGAGAGGTCCCTTCTTGCCCTCGATCGTAAAGTCTTGCTCGAGCACCGTCGACATCGAGGTCCCGGTTGCGGCTTCGGCTTCGCGCGAGGAGGTCTGTCTACTAGAATCGCTCGTCTTGCTCGTTTCGCCGATCGAAGATAGTTGCTGGGCAACGCGCCGGCCGTCCCGGATGATGAGTGCGATTTGGTTTCTGGTGTCCAGCTTGTTGCGCTTCGGGAGGGGAACGGCTTGTGATGCTTCTTCGAGAGATGGATTCGCTAGTTCCGGTGGCAGTTGTAGCTTTGCCAGTACTTCTGAGATTTCGGGGGCAGCTGGTGCATGTTTATCGGCAAGGTACTGGTACTGGAAGCCACTGTCGGGTCAGCAAGAGTTATCACCGAGGCGTGCCGAACAATGAGGAGAGAATCATGGGGTCGCAATCAGGAAATGGTAAGAAGTGATCGGTCTTCGCTCCTGACTGTGCAGGAGCTCTTGATCTAGAGCTAAGGTTGTTCATCATGCAGGAAGGGGTGTGTGAGTGAGTGTTGCAGCAAGCCCGGGGCGGCGCTGCTGACAAACCCACTCCGCGTTTCGAGGCTCGAACGTACCTGCTCGTGGGCGAACCTGAGCTTGTGCTCCAGGATCGTCTTCCTGTCGGTCAGGATCTGGACTTCATCGGCAAGGGCGTTGAAAGAATCAACAAGAGTTTGGGTGAGATGTATGTAATTCATCCCACTGTTGGTAGCTTCGCGATCGGAGCATGTGGGCGGCGGCATGAAGGGGCGGAGAGATGTGTTCGATGTTGGGAGTGATGGGGAGACTTTCGTTTCGGTGCCCATCTTTGCCGCCAAACGCCTGTCACCCCCGACAGTCATGGGCACAATGGAGGTGTCGGAGCGGTGCGCGTGGAGTCCGATCATTTTTGCCGAGCCGAGCAACTTCGGAGGGTATAGGCGGGAAGTTGATGTCATTGGTCAATGATTGGAGCTAAGCTTAAGTAATAGATCTAGACCGGCCGCTACCTTCAAGAAAGCGACAACGCTGGACAAGCCCACGCCTCTCGACCCAATAGTGGTACGATGCGTGACTCTCACAGCTTCGAGAAGCTCCCGGACTCGTCTAATATACGTTCACCCATTTCAGGAGCCTGAACATAAAACCACAGGATCGGGTTTATGATGGTCCAACCTCAACAGCAACATCGTCTCCAACATCGTCTCGTTGGACGTTCAACAGCAGTTCCATGGGCAGACGACGTTGGCTTGAGCAGCGATTATAGTGGTAGCAAAATTGAACTTATTTCATAACTGATTTCCGGTCATGTTCCAATTCAGCCAGATATGCTGTTGCTGTCAGAAGTGGTGGGGTTAGAGCAGAAGCAAATCCAGACTTGTCGGCGTATATATCATGAACAACGATCTCCACGTCAGGTTGCTTCTTTTACTGCCGCCTCATATTGTCGTTTCTGTGTGCGTTCTTTTCGTACTGCGTGATAGCCCGAAGGGATAGAGAACAAGCTGCCCCTTGCCATCGACAAGGATACGCCGGGGACGAAGGCGAATGATTCGGTTCATCTTTCATTCCGATATCTAAGTGTTCAGTAGGATAAGAGATGCTACCCTGCCAACTCTCACGTTGTTGTCAAAACTGCGAGTCATTTAGACGGAAATCTCCAGCATCAACGATTCGCACCGTAAAGATAACGAAGAAAGCCTATTGTTAGCTAGTCATAATAATGATGGAAGAAGACCACATGGGACCTTCCAATAAAATAGCTCGTTGAAAATCAAATTCAATGTGATATTGGGCTGGAGACAAGATAGGAAATCAGGTGACGGAAACGAGGGCATCTAGAATGGAATAGATGTAGAAGTTGCACTGTGTCTTGTGCTGAAAAGTACCACCTCTTACACTGTGCGGAAACCACTTGCCGTTATCAGAAGGTGCGGCGTCTCACTACACCTGTCTCGTACAACTCTCAGCGCGGGGTTGTTGAGATCCTTCTTTCAATCCGGCACACAAACTTTGAACTCTTACCCCCCAACGCGCAATTCAGTATCATCTGCGCTCGACGACGGGTTGCAGTATCCTGATCATGACTTCCAAGGTGATCAACGCAGCCAAGCTGCTTAGCAAGAGGTCCCATGTAATCCCTGGCAAGTCCTCAGCCTGCTGTTCCACGTATTATACCCAAAAACATCACTAATAGCTCATAGGGCAATTCCATGTCTCGGAACTCTTCTTCGAGGTCCCGAAAGACTACAACAATCAGTCTGCAGGCGTCCTCAAGCTCTTTGGCAGGAGTGTCACCAAACACGAGAGACCGATCGTTCCCCCAACGGAGTCTGAAAAGAAGCTAGCTGAGCAAAAACCATGGATGGTTTTCCTGCAGGGCGGCCCTGGCTTTGGCAACCCAGAACCCCAAGACAGCCCGATCACCCATACCGCCTTGGAACGGGGATATCAGGTGCTGTTCCTCGATTACAGAGGCGTCGGTCTCAGCTCCCCTGTCTCGGCCGCCACACTGGCACTTCACGGCGATGCCCAGAAGCAGGCGGATCACCTTAAGCTGCTTCGTCAAGACAACATCGTCAAAGACTGCGAGGCTGTGAGAGCTTATCTTACCAAGGACTTCCCCGAGGAGAAAAAGAAGTGGTCTCTGTTTGGACAGTCTTTTGGCGGATTCGTCATTCTGACATACCTGTCCAAATATCCAGAGGCCTTGCGGGAGTGTTTCCTCACTGGCGGTCTTGCACCGGTCGGCAAGAAACCTGAGCAGGTCTACGAAGCTACCTTTAAGAAGGTCGCGGAGAGAAACCAGGCATACTATGCAAAGTACTCTGAAGACGTCGAGAATGTCCATCAGGTGGCCCGGTTCATCCAGGAGAAGAAGAAAGTCTCCCTCCCGGGTGGTGGCCTCCTTACCGTCCCGAGACTGCTCACCCTAGGAATCGCCTTCGGTGGCCACGGTGGGCTTGACTCTGTTCACAGCATCATTTTCAAGCTGAAGACGGACCTCGACAACTTTGGCTTTTTTACCCGTTCAACCCTTGCAGACGTCGAGAATGCCACCGGATTCGATAACAATATCATCTACGCCATTTTGCACGAACACATCTACTGCGAGAAGCCGGGATGGGCCTCCAACTGGGCGGCCTACAGGGTCGGCAAGTCTTTGGAGCAGTTCTCCTGGCTTGCGAATGAACCTACGATTTCCGAAATCACGGCCCCTCCTCTTTACTTCTCTGGAGAGATGATTTTCCCTCTACACTTCGAGACATACCCAGAGCTGATCGAACTCCGCGAGGTGGCGGAGATTCTTGCTCAGTTTGACGGTTGGCCGGAGGATCTGTATGATCACGACCAGCTCAGCAAGAATGAAGTCCCCGTATACGCAGCTAGCTACATTGACGACATGTACGTCGACTCTCAGTTCGCCAGAGAAACAGCTGCCCTAGTCAAGGGTACCAAAGTGTACGAGACGAACCAGCTGTATCACTCAGCACTGCGTTCCAGGACGGAAGACGTGATGAGAGAGCTCTTCAAGCTGAGGGATAACCCCATTGACTAGTCTATTCTAAGTCATTACATTATTGATCACTGCCCTAGATGGGTATCTTTGCTGCCGCCTTTTGCCAAAACCCACATCTTGTCTCCAGGTGGTCTAGCTTAGCAGTCTCGAAACCTGCGTCGACAACCGTCCACTCCTTGTTTTCCTTGATGGAAGGTACGCCAGCTGCCGTGGACGGCGAGAGTTTCAGGGCGTTGGGGTCACTGGTCTGAAAGAAGGATGCAAAGGCACCTGATCATGTTAGTCAGAACAGCACTCAATCAAACATTTCCCAATTCAACTTACCAGCATAGCCACGGTAACGGACTGGATCCTGCGTTTGCACCGCGTTGACCTGGTTCCACTGTCCACTGTTAGCTGACACTCGTCTCTGCTCCAAGGAAGAACATACCCAGACGGTATCACTGGCGTGCTTGGAGGGATTGAGCGAGTACTCGCCCAGCCATCCGCCATTGGGCGCAGACCCAGCAAACCAGTACGCAGGACACGACAACACCACATCCCTATAGATGAGCCCGGCCCTGACGTACGTCGTATTATACGAGATCGTCTCCGTGGTGCCCGCCGGGGGATACAGCTTCTTCACAGCCTCGATCTCGCAATCCCCAAACCCGGGCTGGAATCCCCTGAGCCACTTGTCAAAAGACGCCTCGCTCGAGTTGAAAGCAGGCGACCCCGCGTCCGAGGCGCCCTGCAGTCCCGGGGGGACGAAGTTCTCGCCCTCGTGCGTGTTATGCATCGCGAAAACCACCTCCATATTCACCCTCCCCGCCGTCGTCGCCTCGGAGAGCGGCTCCTGCAGGAACTCCCCGTCGATGACCGGCGACCAGTTGAACGTCGACGTGTTGTACTGGTGCGCCGTCGTCATGGCCAGACTCGCGTCCCGGATCGTCTGCACCTCGGCCCTCTTCAGACACGCCAGGCTCTCCGGCCCCGCGCACCCCGTCCGCTCCGCCAGCTCGTCGTACAGCGCCTGCGCCTCCGCGCTGTCGTGCCGATACGTCTTGGGCCAGAACGGGCTGCTCGCCATCGCCTTGCGGAACAGCTTCTGCGTCCCGCCCCGCGCGAACGCCTGCGCCAGGACGCTCCCGCCGCCGGCCGACTGGCCCCAGATCGTCACGTCGTCCGGGTCGCCGCCGAACTGTGCAATGTACTTCTTCGTCCACCTCAGCACGGCCTCCTGGTCTAGCAGGCCTGGGTTCAGGTCCGACTTGGGGTCCGCGGCGATTTCTTTTCCCGGCAGCAGGCCGAAGGCGTTGGTGCGGTAGTTGGGGTACACGAACATCATGTCGGAGGCGTCGGAGACGTTGAGGATCGGGAACGCCGAGGGCGGGATGGAGAAGGCGGCCGATCCTTGGATGAAGCCGCCGCCTGGCAATCAGTCAGAAACATTGTTGACGCCAGAAAATGATTGATTTCCTCACCGTAAAAGGTAACGACCACGGGCTTCAGGGGTTGGGATTTCTCCCAGGGTCGGGAATAGAGGCCTAGGTAGAGGCAATCCTCGGAGCCGTTGACCTACTCTCTCTCACACGTCAGCCATCTCGCCCCTTCACACGGCCATATCTTAAGAAACCAGCTTCACTCACGGTCCGCTGCGGACACATGTCAAACGTCTGGCTGGAGTCGTAAACCCCCTCGACAGCCACCGGCGGCTGGGGTCCCCGGAACCGGTTCTCGCCCACGGGGGGCGCGGCGAAGGGGATCTTCTGCCAGTACGAGATGTTGTACCTCTCGGAGTACGCCCCCTGGAAGCTGCCATAGTCGGTCTCGGCGAGGAGATGCGTCTGCTGCGTCTGGCGGGGTTGCGGGATGGCGGAGGCGCCGCCGCCGGCCGCGAGTGCGGCGAGGAGCACCGCGGTGGTGAGCGTTGACGGCATCGGGATCGACGATGACTTTCTCGAAAGGCGCCGGGAGACACACGACGAACGCAGTCATGGCTTCCCGGGTGCCGGTTGGCGGGTATATATATATCTGCCCCAGCCTACTCCATACCCAGAGAAGCGTCCGGGGTCGTCGTATTATTGCAACACGACGCGCTAATCTCCCGCATCAACTCCTCCTTTCCCAATAGAGACTATTCAAAAACAAGACCGCCCGATCCTCGGATCTGGGAAAACACAATCAAGAGCCAACCTCATCTGGTGTGTCGTCGTGTGGGGTCACAATGGATTGGTGGGGTTGGTTTCTCTGGAGGCAGGGGTTCTCCGGAGCTTCAACCCCAGAATCGTGAGAAGCTTGCGGGGATCCCCGGCGCGGGGAGGAGCTGGCGCTCGGTGATTCTCCTCAATCATGTACCGAAGTCTGGTGCTCCAATTTCTCCGCACCCACCGGTGAACCCGTGGTCATGAGCACACACACAAAAGCTTCGCATATTCAAGGTATCACATCGCGGCTGAAGGGAACTGCATCATGGAGGGTGCGAATGACATACTCGGACTAAATCGAAATAAGATGTCCCAGATACAAGGGCATGGTCCCGTCTGTTCCGTCATGACAGGGAATTCTTCACTCGGTTTTCTTTAGACTTTAGAGTAAGTTCGGAAACACAATCTCTGACATTTCCTACGGGTATATGAGTCGAATCGCAATCGAAGGCAACCGAAATCACATGCGCCAGAGAGGGGACCTGCATCGGTCGATCGGATGAACGGGTACAGTGCAGATAGGCACACTTTTCCTTCTCTTTCGCTGCCAGGGAGTGTGATTTCTAGCATTAATTATACAAACACAACAACCCCCTTGCCCATCTTCTTCATCTTTAAATGGGACAACACAACCCGAGCAGAGGGTCCATCAAACAGACCAATATCATGAGAAACCACATTGTTTTCTTTGACCTCGCACCCAGATACGCAGCTGCGAAGAGACATACCACAGAAGAATGGTAGCGCATCCTGGTCCAATGCCCCTTTCCCACGCTCTTCAGTCACCGCACGTTGACACAACATCTGCATCACCACGCGACTGGATGCCAGTGCGGCTGCGGAGGCGGCGGAGGGTGCCGCAAGTGGGGAGGAGGCAGAGGCGCTCCGACGACGGGCCAGACAGGCATGGGATGGCTATGTATCGCCCGCTCCATTGACGGCAAAGTCCTGCCTCCCAGATCCTCCTCCCGACGAACCGCCGTCTCGCGGAGCATCAGAGCCGCCACTTCCGGGTGTCCGATCAAAAACTCGGAGGTCTCCTTCGGCACCCGTTGCCACAAGAGAGGCTGGAGGAAGCCGACGCGAGCGAATATCATCTTCAGCAAAGGATCAGACTCGGGTACGCCGGCGTAGAGCTTCGAACAAAGATGCAGAACGGCCGGCTGCGCCGCGTCGGATCCCGCAGACTCGAGCATGTCGACACAGTGGCGCATGATGGCTGTTTTGAAGTCGTCCATGAGGAACTTATTGGCGGCTATGTAGACATCCAGACTGAGCTCGTAGGTGAGAAGCCATGTCCGCATGTCCTCGCCCCGAATACGATCGCCATCCATCGCATCATCGCTGCCCGGCGCTGATGGACCCACCGAGGGTGTTGAGCCAGGAGGTGTAAGGATCTGGGCCCGGCTGCGAGGCCGACGCTGCGGCGGCATGCCTGGAGGCCGCATGGGAGGAGGCACAGGCATGACGTGCGGCATAGGGCCGCCGGGCATCGGCCTGGCGCGGCCGACGACGCCACAGTTCCAGCATGGTGGTCCGGTTGTGGTGGTGCAGCGCGGACATCTGCAATCTGGGCGGTGTGCACCGGGTTGCTTGCGATTCAAGCGCTCCCATTGCCGCTCTCGCCGCCGTTGCCGCCGCTGAGCCCGCATGCGACTCCTAGCGCTCGCATCGCTGGCCTCCGAAGATGAGATTTCCGATTCCGAGTCGCTCTGGTGGCCTGTATCTTGCGCCTTGCCCCGATCCGGCCCATCGAGACCCAAAGCGGAAGCGGCTGGTCTGATGGGAACGAAGCTTCTTTGATACAAAAACGCGACGAGGAAGTGGAATATGGCCGGGTCCTCCTCTGGGAAATCCATTGACTGCGCCTCCGCTTCTCTGAAGTCTCCGCAAAGAGCTTTTCGAAAGTATTCAGTCGTCACCAAGATGTCTCTGTGCACTTGGAATATCTGTTGGTTCGGAGCTCGGCCAACACGAAGCGGTATGATGGTCGAATTGTATCGGCCGTCAGCGGACGTCAGCCAAAGGTCTTCGCGAAGACTGGGTTCGTCCTTGCTTTTCTTGTCGTCGAATGTCTCATCCAGGACGACAATATCCGGTATGTCTGTAGGTGCACTTCTCATAACATCAATCAACGTGCGCGCCAAATCGCTCGTGTTGCTGCTACTTCCTCCTCCGTTCCCATTGCCAACGGTAGCAGACATGGTCAAAAATGCGCTCGTAACGCTATTGGTCGATTTTGGCCGGTCGTGTGAGTACTGTTGATCCTCGATATTGAGCGACCTGATGGAAAGGAATAGACCGTAGGGGATGAGCCAAATTATAACCGAAAGGTCAGAAGACACATCAGCCTGGTTGGGCAACCTCGAGGTGCGATGGGCTTGATATAGGCAATAGTTGCGCGCAAGACCAAAGTCAGTCAGGCAGCCACACCCTATGGATGTGATATGCACAAGTCGAACAAGACGGATGAGGGTGGGTAGCTCGGTGGGCGGTGGCTGTCAGACCTTTGTTGGCCGCGCCCAGCAGCCTTGCGACCACCAACTATGGCGAGGCGCATCTAGGTCACTTGGAGTCCGCCGGCCGAGTCCACTTTAGGACATGGTCGACTTCATTTCCCGCTTCGCTTTTCGCTTCCCTGCTGTACCTGCTGTGTAACTCCTGCATGAACCGTTCTGTAGTCGCATGGAAGAATCGAGTGCATGTCAGGTGTCACCCACAACTCTGTCCTGGGTTGACACCAGCCCGTGCCGTCTGTCGCGTTTCTGCGTTTGTCTCTCCTCTCGGCCTTGGTGCTTGGCTAGCGATTTTCTCGGGAATGCCACCCACCTCGGTCTGCGTTCCATCCCACGTCTTGTGCCTGCCCCGGGCAGCACCGGAACGGGACGCACGCAATTGCGGCACCGCACCACAACGCAGTTGTCCATGTGATGGACCAGTGTTGCTTTTCAATGTCTTGCGCCGTTGGCACCCTTCTTTCTTGTCTCGCTGGTGGAGGTGTTGAGAGGGTGGCTGTCGGCTCAGGGCTTTGTTTGTTCCCAACCGCGGCTAGTCAGACCACTGGGAAGCTACAGGAGCCTAGAGTAGCGGTGGGAGTGGAAGCGGAACTTCAATACACGTAGTTTCGTCGCGTTAAAGGTCTATAGAACAGGTGGGCGGGGCTTCTGTCCGATGCAATGCAGGCTGGGCGTCTTCATCACCAATTATTGACGGCTTTGCGGCGGCTTGCATGCGCATCTGCATCTGCGGGAAGTGGTTGGAACGGCCTATGAGCGACACCGCCAACTGCCCGGGTACGATACACCCAGTGGGCTCGCGACGCAACGCTGCAGCCCAGGGGCTGACCGCACCAACGTGGCCGACGTCTTCCGGTCCGTTCGTGTTGGTTGAGCAGCATGGTCATTCTTCTTCATAAATCTCCTGTTGCATCTGGATTTCTGTCCGCTTCGTCAGCTGCCGTGTACCAACCGTCATCGAAGTATTCACTTACGCCACAACCGGTTGGCCGAGTTGGAGATGACCTGGGCCTTTGCCATCAACTTTTCCTCATACTTGACGCTTTCCTGTCCCTTGATGCGAAGTTTACTCGGTTGAGCCTGTATGATGGTGAGCCACGGATGCTTAGCCGAGGAACTTTTGCTTACCTGCATGAGGATTGGGAGGAGCTCTTTGGGATCTGCATTCGCAACGGCTGCGACGCTGCGAAAGCCGTTTTCCCAGAAAACTCTCCTGTTCCACAAAGTTAGACACATTTCCGACATGGCCTTCAGGTTGCGCAACTCACGCGGTCCGGCTCTTTACGAAGGTAATTTGTGCCAACGCCAGCAAGTCCGACCTTGCGCCTGCTATCAAACGATCCGAGAAGTGGTCCAGTGCAGCAGCCATGACGCTGCAGCGTGCGATTAGTGAACTGATTTGTGGTGTTGAAAACATGGCGACTTACCCCCAACCCATATGTTCGCAGAACTTGATCATGCCAGCTGCGAACCCATGGCAAGTCTGCGATAGGGTCTGAACAGCACCCCGAGGCACATCGTACTTTCGCGCAACGGCATGGACAGGCATCTCGTTGCACAGGTCTCGTAATTGGAAGGCCAAGTAGAACCGACGGTGTACACGGACGATTTCCTTCTCTTCGGGTGTCGTCTCCTTCAGTGTGCTACCATGTGCCCTGAGGACGGTTAGCGACATCGGAAGAAAGGACAACGTCTCCTTACAGTCGGTTGATCACAGCACGCTTCAATCCGAGAAATCCGAGAACACGGTGACCGCTATCATCGAGATTCTCCATTTCGTTGCGAAATACTTGCCAATTAATGTTGGCACCGAATTCATGTACGGGTGTGAAGATGTAGAGAATATGCATCTCGCCGTCCATTACGAAGGCTTGGAGCGCTCTTTCCAGCTCCTTGTGGATGAAAACTCCGTCGTCGGGATCCAAGGCAGAAGCCACGATGGCGTGACCTAGTTTTGTTGGCTGGTAGTTGCCGCAAGCATCTGCTGTAATGAATCCCATTGATTGCAAATTTTTGAGGCTCGTCTCGACACAGTCTTGTAAAGGCTCGGGAGCACCTGTATATGCCAGAAGTGTTCTGCTTAAGTATTCATCTAGAGCATCTCTGCTCGTTGCAAGTCGTACAGCGATAACCTCCAATAATGCCCTGAGATCGGTTAGCTTGAATTGTAGTCTTTGGTCGCCGGAATCCCAACCTCTGAATACGTTGCTTGTCTGTTATCAAGCCACTCGTGATCTGGGGCATCTCAGCGTTCATCAAGTCGACGACTTGCTCAAGATCGTCTTTTCGGCAGCATAAATAGGTTTCCCCGACCTCGTCTTTGCCCTTGCGACCGGCCCTTCCACGCATCTGCCGCAGCATGGAGGGGCCAACGAAATCTCGCCCCATCCGAGCATTGTGAAGAATCACTCTTCGTGCAGGTCTACCACACGTCAGCTCGAGACTTATCCTTCCGGCCGTGAGCTCTTACAGATTAATGCCCGCCGCGAGACTGCAGGTAGCTACGCATACCTTGATGACCCCGGTATCGTAAGCATTAGCAATTAGTTCACGCTCTTCCGTGGTCAATCCAGCCTGGGAAGATCAGCAACGTCAAGACCATGGGGTCTATGGCCAACCTACGTCTGACACAAGGTTAGTCGGGAGATCTAGAGTTTTCATGGATTAAACTTACGATGAAATGCAACACCCATCGGCACCGTCTCTTCGAGAACAGGATCCATACCGGTGCCAAGACTCCGCAAGTCAGCCATCAGCTCGATCCGTTTCTCGACCATCGAATTGTCGAGTTCTTCAAGGGTAGGCATAACTCTAGCAATCCAGCGAGCATCCGATTCGCACCCAGGTCGACTGCTGGCAAATACTAGAGCGCCGTACCCTGCCCTAGCAGTCTCGCTGGCCAGAGAAACAACCGCGTTGAGCACTGGGTCTTTGAACTCTTTGTGACTCGATAGCTCAACGCGTCTGATTGCTTTGGAACTTTGCGTATGTTGTGTCCCTGACTTCAAATCACCGGCTGTCTTTAGCAGCTCGCTTGTCGTGGCAGCCGGATACACGTTCCCCTCATAGACCAGATGTTCTTCAATTGGCACTGGTCTGTATCGTGTTTCATATGATTGAGCTCCGAGCCAGTCGGCCAGTAGCTTGATGTTCTGCAACCAAGAGTTAGCTGGTATCCCCTGAGAAATCTCGTGTTGGAGCCATCACTTACGGACATGGTGGCACTCATGCCGATGATTTGAACCGGATGAGGTAGACTTAGCAACTTGGTGCCCATCAACTCCATGAGGTATCCTCGGTGGTCATCGTCAATCATGTGGAGCTCGTCCAGGACGACGGCTTTCAAATGCTTGATTGAACAGTCGTCGATCGCCGTGTTGACGAGAGCATTCGCCTGTCATAGTCATAGTTAGCCACTTCCTTCCAAGCAACTTCTGTAGTGCATCCCTGCCTTTTCCATTGTGCAAACGCCGATGTCGAAGTCGGCCCAAGTAGGCTTGATCTTGCTCCCACCAAAGAAACCAATGACTCTGATGGAGTCCTCGTCAGCGCGGCGCCTCCAAATACGCTTCTCATCGTCGATTTCTTCCTTGGGTTTGGGTACCCCCTGCACGATGTTCCGTAACCATCGAACTTTTTCTTGGACCAAAGCGACATAGGGCAAAACGAGGAGCACTTTGGAGTTCTTTTCTTGCAAGACCCTCTTCAGCATTAGCACTGCGGCAAGGTCAGCAAGGTGCGTAGAATATCGTCTGCAGCGGGTGAACTCGCCATCGGCTACAAGTGATTTTCCGCCTCCTGTTGGAGCACTGTATACGAGATTTTTGTCTCCGGAGAGAAGTCCGGGGCCTCGCAGACATGCCTTTTGCCATGGGTACATGATCTTGATGCCAAGGCCGTACAGGTTGCGAATCAACGGCCGAGGGAGGCCGTAAAAAGGGTGAGCAAGAGCAAGCAAAGGATCTGAAGAAGACGACGGCGTGGATGGGACAGCATGTCGTTGCGTGTACTCGGAGGGCCCTTGGCGGGCGAGTTCTAGGGACGTGATCGGGCTCGCCGTGAGTCTCGGGGCACTTGGTGGCAGACTTATAGATCGTTGTGCACCCAATGTGCGGCTTGATAGAGTCGTCGGTCGTGGTGCCGTAGGGTGTTCCGGTTCAGAACGAGCACGCTTATTGCCAGCCGTTGTTGTGGTCGAGTAGGTATTGCCTTGCTCCTTGGCGGCTTGGACCGAAGTCTTGTGCCAGATGCCGTTATTGGAGGCCATGATGGGGCAAATGATTGGTGGGAAGCACACAGCAATCCATGGATGATGAAATCAAGCTGGAGGCAGCTCGAGGTCGAAAAAGCAAATGTTCAATGGTATTTAGGCAATCCGGATCGTGGACGTCGTGCAATGCAGGCCAGGCCACTAACAGGCTGCCTGCTTCCTTGTCTGTGATGCACGCACTTTGTTGATAGAAAACGGAAAAGCGCGTTTGGAAAGACGTGAAGGCAGCAGCAGGGATGACCCGCCTTACAAGGGTCACGCGAAATCATGTGGGAAGGGCGGTATTACCTCATCTTGCGGAAGTAGGGTACGTACACATTGCGGCCGGTGTGTAAGGTTTCTTGGCTCCGTACAGCTCATTGGATGCTGCTTGAGTCGAGAATGGGAAATGGAAACGCTGCGACTGGACCTGACCGGCTGCTTTACTATTTAGATACTCATTATACAACCCATTATTTATCCTGATTAGTCATGCCCCAAGCGACATGATGCCATATAACGATAGATTGCAAGGTGAATATGAACTAACAACTCGATAGACGAATGAATGACCTGACCGGCTGCGCTGCTGCAGGCAGGAAGGACACTGGTGACTGGACGGGCAGGCTAAGGTAGAGTTGGAGGTGGTTGCTGGACTCGGCCGGGTTGGCCGGGTCACGATACGTACTCTTCACTGACTGGTCGGTCTGGATCGGGGAACGGGGTCCACTCCTGACCGAGCCACAACCTCACACACGGTCTGGTGAGGTGGGGGGTTCACGCGCGTGGCTCACTCTGAACCTTTGACTGCCCTTCGTGTGGCTGTCTGCTCCACGGACCAGACGTGGCACTGACGCTGGTGTTGCAAGATTTTTTTTTATTTTTTTTTTTTGGGAATCGGGGCCAGTTGGGTTGGAGTCAGACTAGCCTGGTCTCCGATGGACATCTGCCACGAGTTGCATTGGACTTTATTGGGGGTTGGAAAGGGGGAAGGGGGAAGGGATGAGGCCCGCTCGGTGTTATGGGGGCTTGTCTGAGCTGTAAGAGATGGGAAGACGGGAATGGAGAAGACGACAGGACAAGACAAGACATGGCCAAGACCACCTCAGACAGGTGAATCGGAGCAGCAAGCGGAGGTGAGAGAGAACGGAACGAGAAGAATAGCAGGATATGGCACAGGGGACTACCAGGGTCCTGTTCTTTGTGCGGTGCAGCACCAGACAAGACTCCAGCCCCAACCATCAGGAACCCGAACCGCACCCGCACCGCACCGTAAGGTAGCTGGCCAACTCGCGCGGACGAAGGATGATCCAGGTCCAAGAGCCAGCGAAAACCCTCCCGCACCGGTGCGGTCGCCCCCAGGCCCAGCCGCCCAGGTGAGATGCAAGACCCTGCCCCGGACAGGGATCATCATTCGGCCCCATCCTTTCGTTAACGCACTTCGCTAGCCTGTCACGGCCTGCCGCCAGCGACCACCACCCTTCTTTCGTTCAATGTCGATGACATGGACCGATGGAGATCGATGGCTTCGTGCGTCTGAGATTGCCAGCTCGACTTGGAATGTCAGTCAAGAGAGACCATGGTAAAGTGGCAATGTCGATAGTCTAGCCCGCAGTCTACCAAACCCATGTTGTAGGGGCCGGCTGACTGAGATTGAGCTCTTGTTCCCCCTCACCCAACGCACATTACGTCGGCCGTCATCCATCCTGATTTACGCCGCGTCTCCTTCGACAGAGGCCAGTTCTCATTCGGATGACACGTGTCTTTGGTGGCCATCTTTTCTCTTGGCCTTTGTTGCCATGATGTCAATATCCGATCGAGACTCAATTGAAGTATCAAGGCTGAGATATCGGGTATTCCAGCCATAGCGTTGACGACTCGGCGCAGGGTCCGATTGCTGGTCCGAGGGATAAGGGAGTCAAGACAGCTGCGAGGCTCGACGCTTGGATTTCCGACGGCCACACACCCACGCACTCAAAGGCCACCGTCCGTCCTCCTCTTGTGCTCTCCATCATCTCTTCTCCGTCGAAAAGGACTCGACATTCATCATCCATGATTTCGCGGTCGGCGGGTTGAAGGCGATGGGAAATGGGCCTGAGTCCCGGGAGTGCAGCTTTTGCTTGTGCGGTCGGCCCCTTGCACCATTCGGCATGAGGTTCCTTTTTTTTTTAATTCGCTTGTGCCGGATCAACCGACACATGCGGTCAACTTCATCTGTCTTTTTCTGACGTCCCCCGTCTCCGCTGCAGCAAGCCTCGGGCGCCACCGCCTGCCAGGTCCATCGATATCAACGAGTGTGCGTACTCAGAAGGATGATGACTTCAGCACGTCCGTGTCGTCCTTTCTTGTCGAGAACTTGCATCGTGTCTCTTTTGTTGTCGTGTTGTTCTTTTTCGTCTTCCCCCAAGGCTCTGTCCCTTTCCCCACGGCGAGACACCGTGAAATTGCAATTGTGGCTGCTGTCTGGGCGCTGAGTAGGACGGGAGCACACGAGCAGTTCCATGTCGGTCATCCAGAATGAGGTCCATTTGTCGCAGGACTCGGTAACGAGATCTTCCAGCAAGTGGTCTTCTTCTCTATGCACTTTATGCAGAGGACACAGGCAGCCTGAACTCGTGGTTAAGGGCTGCGTGGCGAGAGGGTAGGCACGCGCCCGTTAAGCATTGCCCATTACCTTCGCTTCGCGTCACTAGTCGTGCTTGTTGGAAGCATTGGCCCCATTTCTGCGTCGTGTCTACCGCCAATGGTTTGCGGCGCGATGAGGCGTAACCCACGTAGCGCTGACAAGCGACAAGCGACGAGCGACGACGACGGCGACGACGAATGGTGTTTCCATTGCATCGTGTCCGTAATCCCCAGACGATATGGGTATGGTAGTCGCGGAAAACATGGCCGAACTGAAGCTCTGTGCGAATTCATTCTGCAGCAGCATCCTCGTCGTCACAGAGAAACGGTAGCTCAGGGTACGTACCGGTCGGCAGCGTCGTCCCTTCGATTGGGGCTCCACCGCGGCGTCGATGTACCTCCGTTGGGTGTCCCACGCATCTCGGCGACCCCAGTCTTGAGAGTACCGGGGATGTACTTGGTAGGGTTGGTATGTGGTTTGAACTTTGAAACGCACAGTGGTATTGTTTGCGCTGATGTGTCTTCAAACCGGACGGTCGTCAGAAACGTCAAGAGAATATTACACTCGCTTGGAAACAAAATCCCGGGCTAGCGTGAGCGGGAGCGAAGACGCCTCGATCGCATCTGTACTATGTAGTACTTGCTGAGGTACGCCGCATGGGGTGGTGCGCGCCTTGCCTCGGAACAGCTGGACGGGCAACGGTCGGCATCTGACTGTTACCACGAACGACGACCGCCACCCCCATCGTGAACAACTGCCTGGGGCTAGCCATTAAGTACTGAGCAGGTGTGTCTTCAATTAGGAGAACAGCACTCTGCTGTTCCCACGGCAGACCGACTGCTGACTGGCGAGGCAGCTCGCCTGATGGCACAGACCGAAGCTGGATGTCGACAACAAAAAGCTCGGAAGCCCCCACAGCCTGATCTAACCTCTGGCACAATGGTCGCTCGTCCGTTCTTTGTGCGGCTCAGACTATCCGCTGCTGTGCTTGATGCCAATGCCGCCGGGGAAAGAGAGACGACCACACAACACCAACAATTTCAACAGACGCGCTGCGAATCCATGCTTCTAGGGATTCTCAATTGCCCAGCACGAGTCTCTGCAGCATGTTTTGATATCAGCCGACGATGCAAATATTGAGTGCTGGGCTAGAAGGGGGAACACCGCCAAGAGGTGACGTCCAAATTGCGAATGGAGAGGGGGCCAAGGCGAGGGGAAGGAGGGCAGAAAGATGTCTGGGTTCGCGAAAGGGAAAAAAACGATCAGCTCAGTGCCAAACCAGCAGTGGGAGGCAAGCAATTATTGATAGCCTCCGAATTTGAACTGCCCCATGTCGTGCATACAAACGTTGACATGGCTTGGTGTGCATCGACACTGGTAAGTAGGTACTGAAGTAAGGTAGAAATGGTGGTAGGGTAGGGCGGATCATTCCAGACGTGGCCGTTATCCGAAGTCATGCCTGCGGTTTAGGAAGAGAGAAAAATGACCAGATGAAGCTGAGTGCCAACACTGGCCAGCCAGGTACGGTATCGGTAGGTGCTGCGCCAATCCGTATGGGAGGCACCCCGTTCGAAATGTCTCCCTTCGCCAGTGCGTTGCTTGGGCAGACAGATGGTTAAGCCACTGAGGCCGAAGATACAAGCACCTAGTCGAGAGTGCCGTCGAGCTGAATCGCGGAGATGGAAAGGCTTTGAGGGATTGGAATGCCAATATGCTGCCCGGCTTCGTAAGCAGCAAAAAGACGCAGCGACAGCGAATGCTGTTGATATTGGGGTGGGCGGCCAAGGGCCAGCGGGCATCCCAGAAGGTGGGATGGAAATGGAACCGACACACATGGGTGATGACGGGGGTGTGGACGACATCTCGTGGGCACATCCCTACGCGGTAGGGAGTTGTTCGTTTCCACAGGGTTGGACAAGCCGGGGTGCGACGAACCAAGGAAGGGAATCGAAGGAAGAAGTGGGCGAGTCGCTGGAGACTGGACACAGCCAGCAAGGAGCAGTCAGAGCGACCGAAGGTCGGTCGAGTCGAGTCGAGTCGGAGCACGGTTGGCTGATGATTCGTCAGTTGTTGGTGTATCTGCGTCCCAGGTTAGTTTAGATTCGAGGTGAGAGTACGAGAAATACAAGACAAGCATGAATGAGAAGCGAGAAGAAACATTTGTAGTCGATACCGATGGTCAAAGCTAGATTCGCTGGAGTGCAGATATTCCGCCAGGCAAATCATAGCCTGGTTAGGACGCATCTGAGGCACTGGGGAACACACCAGCATGCAATATTGTGTGTGTGTGTGTGTGTGTGTGTGTACTTTGTACGAATGGTTATTGAGGGCGGGGGCATCGGACGGGATGAAAGTATGCAAAGTACCTACCTGCCGGCGTCTTAGTTCATCG